GCACTCAAAAATCAAGCACTCAAAAATCAAGCACTCAAAAATCAAGCACGCTGGAAAGGGGAAAGCGCCGATTGTGCGCTGATCTTCCCAACGAACGTACCGAAAATGGTCGAAAATGGTGCACCACATGAAAATCGAAACCGCTCAGCTGTGCTAGAAAGGGGAAAGCATCGATCGCGCGCTGATCTTCCTGCACCCCGCAGACGAAAATAGAACATCGCGGGATGATTTTTTCGGTACATGTACCCGATCATCAATGCAAGATTTGATTGGTCTGCAGCACAACGTTAGTTCGATGCCACGGGTAATGTACCCGAAGATGGAATTGATGAACTGACAAAAATGGGCTCTTCTTCAACGAATTTTGCTGCGATTTATCAGCAAGCATTTGCTTGAGAAAAAAATCAACCAAAGAAAAGGCAGATTCCCATTTCCCAAGCCTGAGTCCTGATCCAGAATCATGATTTTTTGAGATGGGTGATTAGAAAATGGCCTATGCTCCGAAGCGGGGCTGGAAGGAGCATAAATCCCCCGCCACCTCGCGTCCTCCCTCCTCTCTCTCTCTTTCCTCTTCTCACATTGATTGCTCGATTGTTCTGCTTGCAGCTGCTTTTCGATTGATTACCAACGCGTTTCAATTCACTATCATCAAGATGGACTTTTACGAATACATCTTCACGGTCATGCATATGGCCATTGCCGCCTTCCACATTATCTTCGTCTCCGCCTTCACCTCTCACCCCGCCGTCCGACGCGTCGAACCCGGCGTTCGCCAGGCGATTTTCTCTTTCTTCTCGCCACAGTTCTTCTTACTCACGCCCGTTATGCTCACCTTAACCGTTAATAACTGCGTTATTCGCGGTCTTTTTTACCTGCTACGTCTTCCCCAGGTCCATCGACTCGTCAACCGGATGGCTGACGTTGTTACCCATGTTTTCTGTAGTACGTTGCGTTTACATGGTAATGGCTGCTTCCATCGCGATGGTCCGCTCTTTCTTTCTCTTTTTCGTCTGCTCCCTTTCCTCTGCCAGGATCCAAGGCACACCAAACATCCCTGCATTGGCGACACACAGGAAGCCCAAGTTCGCTCGGCCTACTGTGCATGTAGCCAATCCGATTTTCTCCACGGGTCGACCTACCGTCAGCATTGGCCACGACGGATCTTCCATGGCAAGCAACAAGGTCCCGCCTCGGTTCAATCGCCCGACGGTACACGTGTCAAGTCCCATTTTCGCGCAGACACAGCCAATTGGCGGCCCAGCGGAGAAAATCGCCAAGGCAGGTGTGTTTGGCAGATTGATTGACCCAATCGCAGATTGCGTTGTGCGTCTTTCGGACCGAGTTTCCCGGTATCTCGACAAGCAACACTCCCGTTTCAGCAAGTGGCCCCAAGGGGAGCTGCGTAGGCCGACTCGCGAGTCAGAGGATTGTGAAAGGTGGATAATTGTCCGTCGTGTGTTCGCTGGTGTTGCCGACAGACTCATCGACTTCGTTGATCACTTTGTTCTGCGTCTCCGGCGACAGCTGGAAGACTACGAGAGTTCTGGCAAGTGGGCCCAAAGGGCACTGCGTAGGCCGGTTCCTCAACAAGCCGAAGGACACGAATACAACCGGGCCGACAATAACCACGAGAGTTCTGGCAAGTGGCCCCAAAGGGAGCTGCCTAGGCCGGAGCCTCGTCTAGACCCAAATCGATCGATCTTCGCGTTTCTAGCGACGAGTGTGCTTCCCCCTCTCGCTCCTGGTAAGCTCATCAAAGTGCATGCTCTTTTACAATTGTTCATTGTGTTAACCTGGGTGTGTCCTAGCGACTGTGCCTGGTTTCGCGGCCGAATCGTGGGTGGTGGTGTATGGGACACTCTGGGGTATGTGGACTACCGTGCACGTATCACCACGCGTTCGATTCCGCTCGCAGATGCAGATCTCTACCCCCCTCCCCTCCTCTGCCGCCCTCTTCCCTCTTCCCTTCCGCTCGTTCTGTTCGTTGCTGCCCTCCCCAGGTGCTGTTCTGTCGTTACCCCACTCATTCTGCTCTGTGCTGCCCTCTCCGAGTGCCTTACGGTCCTTCCGAGTCGGAAGCTGGCAGGCTGGTGGATACGCAGCTGAGATACTGCCCACCAGTCGACCTGGCTCCAGGTTTTACTCAGTTTTCCTGGAAGCAACCACAGTCCGTGGTCCCGAATGGGCAGGTCTATCTCTAGTCAAGATAGCTAGCTATTCGAATTGACTTGTTTTGTGCTTTTACTTTGTGCTCTTTAGTCTTGTGTCTCTTGTGATGTGATATGTTGCCTTGTCTTTTCGATTCATGTGTAAGATTATGTCCATACCCCGGTTGTATGTGTCTGTCTGCCTGATCCATCTTGATCCTCAGTTATGTCTAATGTGAGTAAAGCCATTGAAGTGCCGCAGTTTCCAGTCCTCGCCCATCCCACATGCCCCATGCTACCCAATTAGTTATTTGTGAGACTTTTCAGGTTCCAGACATCACGGTGAGTATATCTAGAAAGATGTAACTAGATTGCAACCCGGCTCAACCATTCAAAGCACAGCTACCTCCGTAGCTACATCAACGTTTTCTGGGATTTGGTGGCATACGGTACCTTCTAGGGCCGTCGACATCTACGTCAGTTTGCTGGCTTGGAGGCACGTATCCCGCGCGATACTACTTCCGCACATACGCATCGAAACCTGCCAGCAGCAGGAAACTCTTGGATTGGCCATTCGAGGCCTGCTGTTGAGGTCTGAGGCGTCACGTGATACCGCTGTCAACTCGAGTCGTCGAATACTCGAATTGCAGCCAAAATGTGGGTCCCTTGGAACTTAGAACTTACAGTTTGGACACGAAGGGCCGAAGCATAGTGAGTAAAAAGCGCTGTAATACACCGCAGTCGAATACATTCGCTCGCAAAGGTTTCAACCTATCCCCTCTCTCTCAGCACAAGTCTTTCTATCACTTTGTACCCCCTTCAATGCAATGGGCATCCTCGAGTTCCTCTCGACCCTGTTTGGCCTCGCGTATTTTGCCGCGTGGTCGGTGAGCTTTTATCCGCAGTCGATGCTCAACTTTAGACGGCGATCTACGTCAGGGACCACGGTCGATTTTCCCCTGATCAATTGCCTTGGTAGGTAGCAGCCAAGCAACATTGCATTTTCTGTGCTCTGCCGTGACCAAGGTACAATACATAGACATACTGACGTCCCAAGGTTTCTCCGCATACCTCGTGTCCAACGCCGCCTTTTACTACTCACCCCTGGTCCGTGCCCAGTATGCCGCTCGCTACAAGGGCTTGACGCCAACCGTGCAACTCAACGACATCACGTTCGCTGCTCACGGCCTGGTGCTCTCCATCGTTACCACCAGCCAGTACTTCTTGCCCCGTGCCTGGGGTTTTAACCCGGCCGCGGGTACCCGGCCTAGCCGCTTCATCCTGGGCATCTTCTTTGGATCCATGGTCGGCGTGGCCACCGTCATCTTCATAGTTCTCGGCTCGCCGAACCGCAACAGCACCCGCGCGCCCGCGGGCTCGTGGGTCTGGCTGGATGCCATCTACGCCGTCTCGTACGTCAAGCTAATCGTGACGCTCATCAAGTACACGCCCCAAGTCATCTTCAACTATCGCAACCGGTCAACCAAAGGCTGGAGCATCCTTCAGATCCTACTCGACTTCTCGGGCGGCATCTTGAGCATCGCGCAGCAGTCGGTCGACAGCTACCTCCAGGGCGACTGGTCCGGTATTACGGGCAACCCCGTCAAGTTTGCGCTAGGCAACGTGTCCATGATCTACGACCTGATCTTCATGACGCAGCACTATGTGCTCTACCGGGGTGCCGACGGCAAGGCCGATGAGGCCGATTCACTGCTTGGGCGCGGTGACGAGGAGCGGCGCATAGATTGACGGCACTCGCCCTATGGTCGTGCCTTCCCGCTTCATGGAGGCTCAGGGTATTTGCTTTTGAAGGCAGCAGCAGCCTGGGACAAGCCTGCGCCTTCTAATGCGAATGCGCATTACAGCGCGTCCAGTCATTCAGCCCCGTATCCCCAATTACATGCGCATCATTCCACAGACAAACGCTGTGTTCGATTACCTAGTATTTTCTTTGGGCCACTTTCTCTTCTTTAAACATACCTTTCCGTCTTTCCTGCGGTGCAGCGCCGCGACTTTAGGAGAATGTCGGAATGGCCCAGCTCGTTCCCTCAACCCATTGCCAAGGAATTGTCTCGCACCATCGACGACGAGGGCGATGATACCTTAATGATGGAAGACGCTCAATGGCCCGATCTCAATGTGTCGTCGAACCTGCCGTTGCATGTCATCGGGGTTTACGCCGTGGGCCTTCACCGAGGCGAAATCTGGCCAAATAGACTGGACAGGGACGAGGACGACGTACCGTGCCGGTTGGCCGGTTACGAGTTCTCGGGCATCGTAATTTCAACGTCGCCTCGCTCGCCTCTGAAACCGGGAACCGAGGTTTAGTACGGTCTCTGCTGTTTGCGTTACTTTGATACAGTCGTGGCTGACATTGGAGCCGATAGCGGCAGGACGAATTTCCGGCGTGACGGTAACGCCCGCACATACACGGTAGCGACGTTCAACGAAATCGCTGCAAAGCCAAAGACCTGGAGCTGGGCTCAATGCGCTGCGGTGCCCATCGGTGGTCTTGTTGCATTCCAAGCCCTTTTTAGCTTCCCCTTGCTCTTTGAGCCGACGCTGGAAGGGTGGGGTCACGCGGCCGGCCTGGATGGACGCAACAGCAAGGTTCATTTGCTCATCACAGGTGCTGCTAGCCCTGCTGGGGTTTGGGCTATCCAGCTTGCCAAACTCGCCGGCGTCCACAGGATCGTTGCAACTTGCAGTGCTGAGGACATCCCTTTTGTCCGCAGTCTGGGTGCCAATGTAGCCCTCGATTGGGCCGAGGACGGCAATTTAAGGGGATGGTCTGCGGAGAGCGGCGGCCAGTTCAATGCTGTCCTCGATCTGATGGGTGGCCATACTTTGACCCGTGCTTGGAGGCTTGTTCGCGACGGCGGTAAAATTGTTAGCGTCGCCCGCGATACTGCGAGTGCGAGGCCCGCAGGAGCCAGCAACAGCGTCTTGCATTACAACTTTGTTCTGGCAAACTGTCCAAGACATTTGAAGACTATTGCCTACCTTGCGGACACCGGGCACCTGAAACCCGTCTTGGATCCTGAGGACATTTTTGAGTTTGACGACTTCGAGGCCGCGCTGCAGAAGCTGCGGAACCACCGGCGCGGCCAAGTGGTCCTGCAGCTGAGGCCATTAGTCCTAGGCGGCATTATTGACTTACTGCGCACCAACGGTCGAAAATGGGAAAATCAACGAGATTTTGACGAGGTGGTTGTCGAACTGAGCCGAGGGGAGGATGCATCAGATGAATACGACTAGGGGCATTGGATGAACTCCCTGGCGGACTCGGGCGTTGCTTCGACTTCTACAACGCCGCACAGCTCTGGAACTCTCATGCCTTCACAACCCTAAGTCACCGGCCCATGGGGCTGCCGGACTTGATTGCCCAGCTCGCATTTAAAGGTGTAGCTAGCCGGCCTCTCCTCGAACGCGGACTCGGCAAGCGCTTTTGTCGTTTGGATGTTTTGACAGCGATGTGCTTAGACGATCCATAGGGGCCTTCATCAGTGTGCGTTGATGGGATAAGCAGTTATACGGGCAGTCCTTGAGCGTCCTTCTATTCACTCTTCGCTTTCCGAGGTGCTGTCCAATGGTAAGCCACCTCCCGGTAGTCACTTCGTCGACGCAGTTCACCCCGTTCTCAATAGGTCTAGATTTCTCCTTGCGGGTAGGCCAGAGAGCCAATGCACTGTGACGCATCTGTCGTTTCTGAAGCTCACCAAGCGTGCATGTAGTTCATGCACTCTGCTGCGCAACAAACGCGGCCAAGAGTGAAGCCTAGCATGTGCTTTCCGCTCTGCCCAACAACGCACCTGCTTTCATCAGAGCTAGTAGCCGGATGGTGTGAGACTTGTTGAGTGGGAAGGAGGAACCCAGGGAAGACTGTATTTATTGGTGGCCACTGAAGGCAATGGGCTTGGCTCCTTCAACCTCCGACAACCTTCACCTCCCAGAATCAGTACACCCATTCTTCGTCTGCCTCGTTTAGACTGGATGTTCGCCGACTGAAGAGCGAATTGGCTGTCACCAGCGATGCCCAGTCCCCTCATCAAGCTGAGTCTATTCACAAGGTTTGGCCTCCAAGTCCATGCTCGTCCTAGCAGGTTGCCAACGTCACCATAGTTGCATCGGGCCTCTCCGGGTCCAGACTCTGATGCGGCCTAGGCCCTACTGGCATTTTACTCACTGGCATTGTTGGGCGCAGAGACATGTGATGGCTCGTTAGTTTTCGGCGGGCGATGTTGACAACCAAGCAAGCGCGACTACTCAAGGACAAAAGCCTGATTCAACGTGCCGGAGCCAAAAGTCCAGGTCAAATCCTAATCCACCGCCCTCGGCCGCTCTATATACTTCTCTCTCGCATCGGAAAGCCTCAACAGTGAATCAACCCGGGTGGATAAAAAGAAGCCATTCTGTTCCCAGCAATGTGCCACCTCGCCACCTTTCGCCACGGATGCGGACATTGGACTCTCTTCCAGCTGCACTGCGACAGGGGGCAGGACCAGCTCTGTGACAAGGGGCAGACCGAGGTGATTGCGCGGTACAGGACGGGATTGCAATGCCTCGACTGCTTCGACCGAGAGTGGTATGTTGAGCCCTCCATCATTGTCCCTGACATTTCCATGCCGCCATATCCCCCCTTTTCTTGCCCCTGGAGGTAAAGAGACAGCTTTCCCCTTTGTTACTTTTTCTCCCTGGGGATTGACAACCTGACCCAACACATGCACACACCCAAATCCAGCACAATCCCACATACTAAACCACGACTCCAAAGGGAGATTTTGGACGAAAACCGGCTTGCACGAACAGATGACTCCCTCGCGACCCTTGCCCGAAAAGCCGCGTCAGGCAGCCTCTCGCCCGAGACCTGGTATGCGCAGGCGTCCCTTTCCCTTCTTAAACATTCCCACTCCTTCCCGATTCACCCATTCCTAACCCAGTTTTGCTTCATACATCTACATCCTCCTCCCCTTCCCTTCTCTCCCCTCTCTCCCCCAACAACCAAACCAAGCCGAAAGAAACAGGCATCAAACCACACCCTGCTAACATGTTTCTGCCTTGCTTTGGCAACTAAAAAAAAAGTGCCTCTCTGACGTGCAACATTGCCGCGCAGGACCGCGCGCTCGAGGAGCAGGCCCGCGTGGCGCGGCACCGCCGGCGCGGCGAGATTGTGCTGGCCCGCCGCTGGGCTGGGCAGCACGCCCGCGCATTTCTTGCTGCCCGGTCCCGCCACCACCACCACCGCCGAGGGCTCGGCGTGGCCCTCGTTCCGGGTTGTGTTGGAGGAAGAGCTGGATCTCAGAATCAGAGTCAGGGCTCGGGTTCGGGACGCAGTCGAGAGCAGCCAGGTCTAAGTCGGGGCCTCAGTCTGAGCCTGAGGCTGGGTGGTGGTCAGCCTCAAGGTCGAGATCAAGGCCGGGGTGATGGGCGGAATGGGAATTGGAATGGTGCTGGTGCTAACGCAGAGATTATGCAACCTCGCGCACAGCCCACGGGTTGATGAGGCAAAGCAACTCTCCGTCTCTCAGCCTCCTTGGGGTAGCTAGCTACCCACCCACGCCCACGGGTTGATAAGGCAAAGCAACTTTCCATCTCTCAGCCCCCCTGGGGTAGCTAGCTACCCACCCACGCCCATAGCCAAGTGGGCAGGAGCGTCCTTTAATCCCTCCTCACCTAAACCCTCTGTTCGATTCCCACCTTGGTCGAAATCTTTCTCAACCTATCCAAAAGGAGCTAGGAGCACAAGCCCGCCACGCTTTCCCATCTTCACATCGATTGCTCGAGTTTTACGTTTCTGCCAGCAGCTGCGTCTATTGAGAGTTCTAACCGCGTTTCTTACCGAGAGCTATTCCACCATGGATTTTAACGAATACTTCCTCACGGTCATGCCTGTGCCTGGTTTCGCGGCCGAATCGTGGGTGTTGGTGAATGGGACACTCTGTGATATGTGGACTACCGTGCACGTATCACCACGCGTTCGGTTCCGCTCGCAGATCCTGGGTGATGTGGTGAATGGGACACTCTGTGATATGTGGACTACCGTGCACGTATCACCACGCGTTCGATTCCGCTCGCAGATCCTGGGTGGTGTGGTGAATGGGACACTCTGTGATCAGCGCCCGCAATAAGTCAAGAATAGCTAAGCCAAGTCAAGCCGACCACCCGGCAAGCAAGCCAAACCGGCCCTCAGAACAAGCCAATTAAGCCAATTCGAAGGCCCTGTGTGTTTGCTTGACTTGAGTGGGTCCCCCTACTATAGTGGTGATACTTCCTGTCCTCCGTTGGCTACCTACCTACCCGTCAGGTCACCTATATACTACTAATATTTTCCACCCTCCATTAGCCCTATCTATCTATTTAGTCGCGAACAATGCACACCTATCTATATCTTCGTCGCCGTCCCCGTTTCCAAGTGTATATGGAACCTAGGTTGTGTGTACGTACTGACTCGGTGTCGGAATAACCTCTTCCGAAGGCAGTCAAGCCGACTTGCAAGACTTGCAATCAAGCCAAATGGGCCAGAAAAAGAGCCAAGTAAGCCAATTCGAGGGCGTTGCTTGGCTTACTTGACTTATTGCGGGCGCTGTCTGTGATATGATATGTAGACTACCATGCACATACCCCACGCGTTCGATTCCACTCGGAGATCCTGGGTGATGGTGAATGGGTTCCTATGTGGCATGATGACCAAGATGTACGCCAGCACCAAGGTTCGGGCGCTTGCCAGCTTCGTTTTCATGAACTTCGTTTTTCTTTGATTGTTTCTCAGCGGAGTCTACATGGTGGTTTTGGAGTCGGCTTCGGTCTTGCGATAGGAGGTATTGGAACGGGACGGGGATATTGATGGGGTTTGAGATCAGGTGGGGAGCGGTAAGGGGGAAAGGCAGAGGTGTGCCGCTAGACGAGGTTGGTGGGGGTCAGACTCGGGGCTGGAGTCGGACTGGCACTGGAAGGCAGGTTTCTGCTACTGCTAACTGGTTGAGGAGTGCGGAGCAAGTTGCTCATAGGCTAACAGGAGAGGAAATGAGGCTGGCCCCCAGGCTTGGAGTGACCCCGGAAAGAGTACATAAGGTTTGGTGAAGATGGAGATGCTGATGAGGATGAAAAGAAACATGGCCAGGGATCTATCAGAGAGGAGGAGCCCAGAGTTAGAGGCAGGATGTAAACGTACGTAAGAGCAGGCTGCACCGGCACCGACCGAAACCGGTATCAGCTTTTGATCTCTGGGGAAAGTCGAGCAGAACAGTCCACGCTCTACCATCTCGCTTCCAAGCAGCTCATATTAGCCAGCGGCAAACGTATGACGGGGGCACAGACTGAATTCTCTCAAGCTAAGCATGCTAATAAGCACTGCTCAACTACCCTAATGAGTGACCGGCCCTCCCTTAATTAACTCTCCAAGCGTCTGTATGTCATCTAAATCAAGCAAAACAATCCAAACCAACGCCCACGAGACCGGCATTGCAATAGCGCGACAGCATTGTTGCCGCCCGACGTCTCGGCCCGATACGCCGTCCCAGCGATGGCGTAGCAGCACTGTCGCTGTCGAAGATAATATCTCTCGGAAAAAAAGGGAAGCCCTTCGGACAAGGCGACAGCGTATCTAAACACGAATGGGGTATCATAAAGCCAAGAACGAAACCTCCCCTCCCGCCTGTGTTTTTTATATATGCAACCATACCCAACCGATTTATCCAGATCAGCAGCCAGACTGGGAGGGCAATAGCGTAACAGCATTGTTGCCCTGCCCAGTCTGAAGCCCTCAAAAGAGAGAGGGTTCCCAAAAAAACGCCGTTTCCCATGTTTGGCCAGCGATGGCGCAACGGCACTGTCGCTGTCGAGGAATCCAGCCTCGTGTGTGCTGTTGTCGGTTGGCCGGGTGAGCGAGGGAGACATCTGTCGACTCCCCTCCTCGGACAAGAGAGGCCCTTGGTAAACCCCGGACCTGGATATCACCAACCATTTTTTTACCCCTTTCTGTGTGCTGTTTTCTTTCCGCAATGTGCCAAATCAGTCGTCAAAATCGTCTGAGCGAGTGTCGTGAAGTGAAATTGTGGTGGCCCAGGCACCCTACCCCTGAACCGCATACTCCGCGCGCGCCCCCCTTATCTCCCGATCCCGCGCCTAGCCCCTAAGGCAATCGGCCCTAAGACCGGTTGCGGCCCCACAGCCCGCGGAATCCGCGTTGCTCAGCTTCGCGACGAGCGGCGCCATCTTGGTACTCGTCGGCCGAGTCGACCGCGGAGCTGCCGCTGCTCGAGATCTTGTGGCTTGGCTCGTTCCCAAAGATCCGAAGCAGAACAGTCATGACCAGGCTGCTGGCAATGCTCAAGCAGAGGATGCCGATCATGGTGAAGTTGCTCCGCCGGTACTGGTATGGCCCTTTCGCGGCGTCCTCGGGCCAACCCGTGTACAGGGCGTAGGTTGTGGTGATGCTGCCCAGATTCCCGAGGCCCGATACTAAGGCTGACGCGGCGGCGACTCCAACCTCGCGGTGCCGGCGCTGGAATATCTCGTTTGTCCACGTCATGCAGATAGGGACCGTAGGCCCGAGACCGAATCCCACCATCAACAGGCCGCCGTATCTCGCCCAGGGGTTGGACAGCGCGAATGTCACGGTGAGAAGGCCGGCGATCTGGATGCATACCGCGGCGGAGAAGAAGAGGGCACGGTATCGGTGAAACCGATCAGAGATAGGGGTAACCAGGAGGATCGCACAAAAGTCCATCTGCTGTAGTTAGCACTAGAAGAGTAGATCCCGAAGATCTTTGGGCACTCACCATCCAGATCGGCGCGAACAGCAGACTAATCTGAACGCCGGTAAACTGGGGGTTGATCGCCGAGATGATGACGTTCCCATACAGCTGGGTGCCAATCCCCACGCCCACAACCCCAAAGTACATCAGGACCAGGGGCCACAGCCGCCAATCGATCAAGACCAGCCACAGATCCCTCAGGTTCCAGGGCCTTGGGTGGTACACCCTTCTCAGATCATGATAATGCACGAGCGCATCCTCACCCTTCAACGCCTCCGGACTACCAGGCAACCATCTCCCCCACCAGCTCCGCTGCCTCACCTCGCCTGGAGCGAGCGGCCTATCAGGCAGCCACCAAAGCAGCGCGACGCCCAACACCACCGCCAGCAAGCCATACACCAGAAACATCCACCTAAACCCCACAATCCCCCGCACACCATCCATCTGCTGGAACCCAGCCGACACAAGCCCAACGACAGCGGCCGAGACCTGGGAGGCGGTGAAGTACATACCAATCCTCTTCCCCGTCCTGCTGGGCGGGTAGAACAGGGTCAAGTAGTAAGCCATGCCGGGCCACATGCCGGCGGTGACCATTCCCAGGAGGAAGCGGAGGAGCTTGAGGCTCCAGGCTTCGCGGGCGGCGGCGAAGCAGGTTCCGACGACGCCCACGGCGAACACGATGCGCGCCATCCACACGCGCGGGGACAGCCGGGACATGACCAGGTTGGAGGGCAGATCAAAGAGCACGTAGGAGACGTAGAAGAGGGCCAGCGCCGTGGACGTGTCGCGCGCAGTAAGCGAGAGCACCGAGGCCAGGTCGTGGCCCGCCGACATGTTCATGGTCTGCGCGATGCCAATGTTGGAGCGGATGGCTGAGGTCAGGAAGTACAGCACCCAGAAGGCGGGGATGATGCGCAGGTCGAGTTTTCTGAAGGATGATGATGAGAAGTATCAGTAACGGTAGCCCCAGGGGAGTGAGTGAGTCTGTGAGTGATGGAGGAGAGCAGGAGGCATTGTGAGACGAACCGGTAAACTTGCTCAACCCGCTCGACCGAGTAGTCCTGAATAGGTGCTGGTTTCTGACTGTCACCGCCGATTTGCTGCTGGCCATGGTCATGATGCGCTGCGTTGGCAGATGGGGAGGGGTTGTGCGTCCCCTCCATGACGACCACCGCTTCGTTCACCTCATTACCTCTCTCTTTCACTGGACCCGGGTCGTGAGCCATACTGAGACGCAGAAGCAATGGAGGCGCGTGCTAATTGTCTGTTCTGGCTACGAGATGTTTTTTTGGTGGCCGACTTTGTGTGTGAGGAGAGAGGGGATGAGGAAGAAAAATAGAAATGTATTGAATATGTATTGTATGCCAAGCGGAGGCTATCTTACAAATGATACCCTAGTGTGGGCCGAGTGGATAACATGCAGCTAAAGTGCTAAACTTGTTGAGTGGTTGAGTTCGGCGAGATGCAGGTGAGGAACCGGATTGTGGGATTGACGAACAGAAGCCGAGAAACGAATGGAAGCACTCAATAAAACGCTGGCCTTCGATGCGCAAAAGGATACACGGGATTCCCCAGCTTCTCTGGGAAACATGTTGTATTCCCCAGCCCCTGAACGGATAAGGGGCGCTTTGTTTTGTTGACTCGACGATGGTACAAATATACCCTCAACAATGCTGCCAGACGGAGACGGACCTGCCGTTGGAACAGGTCATACATCTTGTATTGATTGCATCGAAACCCTGTCGCAAGGGAGTGCAAATTGGATCAACATCGAAAGAGTCTGACTCAGGACAAGCCGATGCTCGAGTACGCATTCAGGGCAAGCTGGCCACCGAGGTGAGCATACAGCACGGTGCTCCCCGCCGCTATCTCGCCCTTTCTGATCATATCCACCATTCCCGCAAGACTCTTCCCCTCATAGACCGGGTCGGTGATGAAAGCCTCGGTCTGGGCGCCGAACCTGATGGCCTCGAGCGTCTGCTCATCTGGAATCCCGTAAATGCCTGCGTGATAGCGGTCGTCGAGGATTATGTCGGCCTCGGTGATGTCGTCCTCGTGCAGGCCAATCTTGGACGCTGTTTGCCTGGCGATGCGCAGCACCTGGTCAAACGTCTGCTTCACCTTGGCCGAGGCGTCAATGCCCACCACCTTGCGCTTGGGCGACCCCAGTTTCTTCTCTGCCAACTTGAAGCCGGCGACCATGCCTGCCATGGTGGATCCTGTCACGGCGCACACGATGACTGTGTCAAAGAAAACACCCAGTTCCTTCTCCTGGGCTTCAACCTCGAACGCCCACCTCGCGAAGCCTAGACCGCCCAGCGGGTGATCTGATGCTCCTGCGGGGATATAGTACGGCGTGTGCCCAGCATCCGCAAGCTCCGCCTTGAGGTTGGCGAGGGTCTGCTTGTGCTCGATCCCAAACTCGGACGGATGCAGCCGGATATCGGCGCCCATCAGTCGCGACAGCTGTATGTTGCCAACCTTTTCGTAGCCCGGGTCGGACCATTCTACCCAGTGTTCCTGCACCAGAGCGACCTTGAGCCCCAGCTTAGCGGCCACAGCGGCGACCTGGCGGGTGTGGTTGGATTGCACCCCGCCGATGCTGACGAGCGTGTCACATCCCTGCGCGAGGGCATCGGGAACAAGGTATCTTTCAGCTGGGTCAACTGCTGGTACTTGTATTATAACAATACCACCACTGGCGGCGAAGCTGACGACAGGAGTCGAACTCACTCAAGTTTCCGCGTCTTGTTGCCCCCAAAGGCAAGCCCGGAGTTGCAGTCCTCTCGCTTGGCGTACACCTTCACCTTGCCGCCGAGGGCCTCCGAGATGCGGGGCAGGTACTGGATCGGCGAGGGTCCGAAGGTGAGTGGCTCGCGCGGAATGCTTGCAAAGGGCTCCGGAAGTTGAAGATCCGCCATATTGTCAGCGACGTCCAAGCGAGCTGCTGTTGGCTGGTGGTGGAATCGTCGATGGCCAGATTGAGCCGTATCATGAGAGTGCCTGGAGCGGTTCCGGGTCTTTCTTAACAGGGGTTGCTCTTCGGGTCCCTCGACCAGTTACCGTCTATCGGCCGCTTTCGGCTCTTCGACCGCAGTTACCCGATGCCCAGATACCCCTCTCCCGTCGATAGGGGATGCATCCTACTAATGGTCTTGTTCCGGTGGGTCCGGCAAGCTTGGTCAGCAGTGCTAGAGAGTGGCTATTGACCACCTCAAGCAGTGTAGTGCTGACGGCGTGGAGCATATAAGACGGCTTGGCAAAACATCATCATGGCCCATGGGTAGCTCGGGGGTGAACAGGCGGGCAGATGGAGAGAGGTCAAGTTGAATTAGGTATGATTTCCCGACATGTAAATGGTCTCCTTGCTGCCTAAAGAGAGTTGGGTGCTAATATCAAAACACCCCGGTCATCTAACTGGGGATCAGGAAGGAGCACCTGAGGTTTCAACTCTGCTATCCAGGCGAGCTAGGCATCATTACCTCGAGGCTCCTGTGTTCTAGGCGTCTCTTTCCCCGGCACCTTCTCCCCGCACCGGCTTGCCGGATCTTGCAGCCATTGATCTGACTTGAGAACGTCGGTGAGTCATCACCGCTGTATCCTCATTCACTGCGCCGTTAATTTTAACGACGGAATCGCTATGCTTGCCCAGGTCTGAGACTTCAATCCTGCTCGTGTCCTGTGCTACTAGGTCATGCGTACTGGTGCCGCTTCACTAGAAGTATAGGCTTGAACAGTAACGATATGGGTAGGACCGCAGGGCAAGCCCTTAAGGACGGGATGCCTTGCCGCGCAAAGCTCTCTCCAAGAGGGGGGACACGAGACGCTGACTCTGCGCTCAAGTCATCAGAGGCTTGATAGGTAATCACTCGTCTTCCCAGACTCTATACGGTGACTTATAAATAATGCTGATGACACTAGCGGGCTTGCCCACGTGGAACATCCCGCAGAGCTTCCAGTCAGCCGGAATTGACATCCAACCATGACATCTCTCGGGGTGCCTAAGCGGTTCGAGGTAAGGTACTCAATGTGTGAGCCCTCCACAATCTTCATCTTCTTCACGCTCGGGTCCGGTCCTTAATCCGAGCGTGAACTCTCCAAAAGGAAATTCATACGCGATCCTAGACGGATGAGGACGACGCCTCTGCGTCCGCCTTACCCCCTATGGTTGTCTCGAGAGAAGCAAGTGCTGAATAGAGAACCAACATGTCTTGGTTCGGTTCGCCTTGGGATTCTGAGCCGCAAGAACCATACGGTAATCGCCAAAACCTCAAGCCTTCTTTGATGGTTAGGTATGCCATGCTCTCGGCATTGGTTGTGCCCTAAAGCTGCCTGGTCAACCCGGGACCGGGCCGCAGCCACGGTTGCATGACATTGCCCGAATGATGGCGCAGGCCCAACCACTTCAAGAGTCTGTCTACCGGCGAGGGCTTGCAGTGCGAGCACAGAGAATCGTGGAGGCTGAAGGAGACAATGCGGACCCGGCAGGCGAACGTGAGTTTAGGTGAACTTGTGGCGTTCCAGTTGCTCTACTGTCGTTGGCCTCAAGGCTACAGCGCCCTCCAAACCCAGACCCTCGGCCCAAGGATGAGTCATGGCTGCCTCACTGTTTTTCCACCTTGTGCGCCGGTGTCAGGTCGGGAAAATCGACATCGAGTCATTTCAATTTGAATGCCTGCTGAGGGAACCTTGGATGCTACAAGAACCCGGGTTGCGACTGCTGGCCACCGTTGATGGTCCTTTCCCGGAGTAAGGATCGACTTCGTAAAGGGAAATGTTTGGTTCTCGATGCTTGCTCGGTCAGACACACCTAACAACAGCCTTGGCGCCCTCCACCGATACCTAAGGTCACGTGCGCTGCCCAGGCCAAGTAGCCCCACAGAAGCAACCTTTCCGAAAAACCCCGTTGGACAAACCAAACTGCTCCACCATCTCTGCCACGGGGCTGTGCCACCGGGTTGGGCTATTGAAAATTGATCCTCAGATTTAAGGCAAACGTGAACTTTGCGCCCCTACAACACGTAAGTGCCCAAGGCAGGCATCATCACCAACTAATAAGTCGGCCATCGACTTGTTCTCGACGGGCTCGAAGTGGCACTCTACTCGCTTTTAGTACCCCCTTGGAGGTGTCCGCCACTCCGCGACCACAACTGGCATCTGACACCGGATTCTCGATCCTGGGTTCTGCACCGGGGGCTCTTTTCCCTATCGAGCCGCCGACTTACACCCCGTGCGGTTTAGCACCTCTGGGCAAAACAAGATGAGCGTGGTCTACGAACCGCGGGCCTTCATCCATGAGGGCAGTTATCCGCCCATAGATGACCACCACCACGATCCCACCCCGGACGCCGACCGCTTCACAGATCCCACCGATGCCGTCGTCAACGAGCTTGCCACGGTCGCGACCTTCACTGCCCCTCCCCCTCCATATGTAGATACCACCGCCGAACCTCGAATAGACCTTCCTACCGCCCCGTCAGCCGTATCAAAAGAGGATTCACCAACAGCAACAACACCGCAGCGTGTAAAGGCGATTCCTAAACCAGACCGCGAGGTGACCAAGAATCTAGAGGGGAAATATGTATGTACGTGGCCAGGCTGTACCGAAGAGGCCAAGGAGTTCGGGCGCAAGTGCGAGTGGAAGTGAGTCTAACCAGTCCCCCTGATTGAGTTTACGCCTGGACTGACGAATGACAACGACAGTAAGCACATGGACAAGCACGACCGGCCGTACAAATGCGCGGCCGAGGGGTGTGAGAAGCTGCCGGGATTTACATACTCGGGCGGCCTTTTGCGGCATGAGCGCGAGGTACACGGCAAGCATGGCGGTCCCAAGAATTCCTTCTACTGCCCGCACGTCAACTGCAAGCGCCACTCAGGCAAGGGATTCTCGCGCCAGGAGAACCTGAACGAGCACCTACGCCGTGTGCACACACAGAACGGGGCGGTCCTGAACGGCAGCGGCGGCATCGAAATCGAGACGGACGACGGGGCAAGCGACAACCCCGCCAACATCGGGGCAGCCGCGGGGTCGGCCGGGGGTGGCGGTACTGGCCAAAAACGCAAGCGAGACGAGCGGCCCGAGGACAGCGACTTGCGCGAGGAGATCAAGCGCGTGCGGCAGGAGAACGAGGAGCTACGGCGGCAGGTGCAGGCGCAAAACCAGCAGACGGTGGTCATGATGCAAAAGATCTCGCAGCTCCAGCAGGCGCTCGAACAGCGCATGGCCTCGCCCATGGCCAGCGCGTCCATGATATAGGATTCATTGGGCGTCCGAGCTGAAACGAGCGCCAGGGATGATGCTATAGAGGACGACAATCCTCGAGGGCCGCATACCCCTACTTTCCTCGACCTGTCACTGCCCGCCTGAAGCGGCCTGTCTTTTCCCATCTGTCGAAAGAACCTCCGTTGTCTTCCTATCTTCCTCAATTCACACTGGGTTAAGCATCTGAACAAAATGATTCCCCCCTCGTTGTTGGCCTCTTGTTACTATTTATTTTGATTCCCACCACTTCTTTCCTTTTTTCTCTCTCATCTCTAATTATCCCCTTGTCACGGACGACCGCTGAACGAGTACTGTATGCATAGAACGCGGAGTTTGGGTGATTCCTTTGCACAATCGACGGGCGGGAGTGCTTCTAGCGACACACGCTCTGTCTGTCTAAATATTCGCTAGCCATATGGGTGACGGTGGTGGCGTTGGCACGGTTGGGATAGGGGCATAGTGTTGTTTATTACAACGATACCTTACACATTTTCACACGAGGGTCAGGGTTTCAGGGGGGAGTTTGGCTTGTTTAACGGTCCTCGGCCATTACGGGTGATAGAGAGGTATGCTACCACTCGTCAGGGTCTGTGTTTTGTTACTACTAGGCAGAGAGGAGGTGGGGAGCATCAGATAGCTAGCTATGCTACCGCGGGGGAGAAGAATGGATCTGAGGTGGATGTGTATGTACTGACTAGCTCGAGATTAGCTATGGGCAAGCGAGAAGGACATTGTGGACTGGGAAATCTCCAACTCCCATCGTCAAATGGATGCCTTGATCACACCTCGACTAGAAGGAAGCATTTGCCACCACAAGGCCACTATCTACATGCGTTGCTGTTCTGTTCGTGGCTTCGCCTGTCTATGCATAAAACCTCTCAGAGCTACGGATTTGTAAGGAGCTTTTACACGCATACGTCCTCGGGTTACGTCAACCCGAAACGTGGCTGGGGCTGCTACCCCTGCTGCCTGTTGCTGCAGATCGTGGATCGATGGCGGCGCCGAAATGTATAATTGCCTGAGGCAGAGGACCCTGTTGGCCTAAGCCATTGGGTTGAATACGAAATACGTTGGTCTTACCTAGTGTATGACTTCCTGAACCTGTTGGTAAGGTAATCAATACTGGGTGTGAGCAATCATAGATTCTGATTGCGCTCCCAAGCTATCTCCCTGAACTGGTATTTTCCAATTACTCCATATCGAGTTTTCATTTACCAGGGGAATCCAACTGCCCCAAATGATCTCCTTCTACGAAGTACCTAAGTTATCTTCTACCTGAACAGTGAATTCGCTTTCCGTGCCTCCCAGGTTAAGGTGACGAACCAGGTCATCTGGGCTGCCAGATAGTCTTTTTCGGAGCAAGCCCTATTCGCTGCTTTACTTATGTACATCTGGGGGTACGGATACGGATACATTTCATCTGATAGGTACTGCCGAGGTCGCGGGCCGAGCGGGACACCCGGCCGAGCCCGGCTCTCGGCAATGGCCCCTTGCAGTAGCGTGGAGCCTGGCCCGCAGTGGTAATCGCGGGGTAATCCAGTGCTGTGATGGAGGGGTACAGTACGATTGCGATGCAGATGCGCCCGGAGCTGGAAAGTCAGCCGCCTTTCTCTCTGCATACTTGGATGAGAAGGGACAAATTTCGGGCGATCCGTCATCCATTTATTTTGGACAATAGGGAAGGTCAGCAATTCTTCTCTACACTGCATTTCTAGGCAGAGATACTCGACGGAACCCCGCCCGGTCGTCAACGTCAGGCTGTATCGGCGTTTCGTACAGCAGCTATCAACTCATCAGTCACAATATCACCCCTAAGGTACCTTCGGTCATCCACTTGGTGCAAGAAACAATCCGTAACCTAACGGTACCAAAAATCCAGCAAAAGAAAACACAAACAAAACAAGAAGAAAATGTCCCTCGACACCTCCTCCCTCCCACCACCCCCACCAATCTCCCGCCGCACGGTGCACATGGCCGGCCTGCTGGTCGACGTGTACGGCCTGGAGGAGCTTTTCTCCTCCGAGGCAACCCGCGTGTCGTGTCTGTGGCTGCACCATCAGCGGACCCGCCGCAAGGAGGACATGGCCGACATTGCCGCGCGGTGTGTCGGAGCTTGGAACAGCAACAACGACGACGGCAAACCTTCTTCTTCAAGTAAGAAGCAGAGGAGGGGACTGATTGCCCTGGCCTACGACCAGCGGAACCACGGCACCAGGCTGGTCAGCGAGCGGGCCAACGGGTCGTGGCGCGAGGGAAACCCCATGCATGCGGTTGACATGTTTGGGGTCGTCGCGGGTATGGTGGCGGATCAGCGGGTTTTAATGTCATTCCCCCACACACCATGACTCTTCTCTGGTGATACGGTGAGGGTTTTGCTGACGAGGTTGAGACACACTACAGTGATTTGGTCGAGGGGTGCCTTTTCCATGATGATGATGCCGCGCCGGTCAAGAGGACGGTGGACCAGCACCTTGCCTTGGGCATCTCGCTGGGTGGGCATAGCGTGTGGCAGCTAATGTTTGCTGAGCCGAGGGTTGAAGCGGGCGTGGTTGTTGTTGGTTGCCCGGATTTTATGTGTGCGTTTTTTTCCTACCATCGCCCTCTGCGGACAAGAAGACTGGCCAGTACCTAACTGTGACAACAGACCTCCTCGCGGACCGCGCGCGACTGTCAAAGCTGCCGACTTACTCGGCCCAAGACAATGGCGCATCCTTCTTCGGTAGCAAGGACTTTCCTCCGTCGCTTGTGGATGCGTGTAGGAAGAACGACCCCAAGGCCATCTTCTTCGGGACTTCTGCTGTACCTACGACGACTGCGGCCGGGCCAGCGGATGACGCTGCGAGGCAGATTCTGCATGACCGCCTGCGAGGTAAAAGGTTCTTGCTTTGCTCCGGAGGGGATGACAAGCTGGTGCCATACCGCTGCTCAGAACCGTTCCTGGAGTGGTTCAAGAAGGCGACGGAGTCGTGGTTCAAGGATGAAGATGTCTCTGTGGACAATAGGGTCTACTCAGGCATTGGACACTCATTCAGCACGGACATGATCAAGGACTCGGTGCAGTTTGTCCTGGATGTGGTTGCCCATGCGGGGGAAAGGGCCTCGCCAGCTAAAACAGATGAGCAGTGGGCTTCCAAGATTTGAGAATTGAAGCGCAACAGCAAGTAGCTTCGTCTCCCGTGCCATAAGACTCTACCCTTTCGCCCACGGTCGTCGACCGCCCTCAAAAAGCGCCTCACTCCCATCGTCCAACTGCCGAACATCCACGCCGCTCCGAGACCTCTCCTCTTCATCCAGGAACAGCCGCTGCTGCACGCCCCAGCAATTCCTCCGCCGCCTCTTCCCTGCGAGCGCCTCGCCCACCCCATGGGGATCTTCGGCCCACTGCCCAATGGCCAACTGCACACCGCGCATAGCCTCGGCCTTCTCAGTGGATCCCGACCCTGAAGCTTCGGCTCCCAGACCCGCGGTGTCAATACCCGGCGGGTTGATCCCGATAAAATCGACCCGGTCAAGAGGAAACCCGATTGCCGCGCAGTGGCCATCAACCAGGCGGTTGCGCTTGAATGCGTGGCTGACAATGGTGAGGCGCTCCGGCCAGACGGTGTGGCGGCGCCAAAACTCGATAAGGGAAAAGAGAATGTTGTAGTACGAATCCAGAGCTCGCTCCTCCAGCAGGATGCGATCCGGGTAAGTCGTGTTGCCCGGGAGGAAGCCGAAATAGGAGTTGGCGACGACAAGGTTGTAGTAGCTCTGGGCCTCGGAGAGTCTGGTTTCCTGGCGGGTCGGGCCGCTGCGGTATGACTTGGTTAGGTCGCAAAGAAAAAGAAAAAGGGGCTGGTGAAAGTATTGCAAACTCACCCTGAAAACACCAGGACGGCGGTTTCGTCTTGACTGAGCGCCTGCACACCAGCTTTGATGTGCTCGATGAACGTCGGTGTCTCGCCTTGCTTGTAGCCTTCAATCAGCCACTCGGCCTCATCCCAGCCATTTTTGGGCCCGCCTAGCCAAATCGCGTGGCCACAGACGATAATGAGATGCCGCGGGGCGGGCATGGTATGGGAGTATGCAAGGGTAAGTAAATGCGATCGATGAGGGTTATTGACAGCGCCAAACCCGCTTTTTGTGGACAACTAAGCGCGAAGATCATGTGATACCAGGATCGATAACAAATGGAACGAGTGTCTACGACATGTCCGGCGACTAGGCAATCACATCGCCAAGTTTACAACTAGGCGGTGTGACTTCAAAGGCATCGCCCCTGTCCAACCGTCGTCATGATTCTCGTAAGAGCCGCAAGACGTTTGAGACAAGGTAGAGACTGCCGGCAATGACCATAGAATTATCCCCAGCCGCCTGGGATGCCCAGGTTAACGCCCCTTTGACATCGTCTCCGGCGTTGTACGTGGCTGCCGCTTCGACGCCGTGCCGGGCAGCAGTTTGCAGCAGCATTTCGGGATCCGCGGCCTTGACCCAGGGCATTCCATCAACGAGCCCGAAACGGACAGCGACGACCTTGTCGCCGGGCCGAAGAAGCAACCCAAGAATGCCGTCCATGTCCTTGCCCTGTGTAGCCGCCAGAACCCAGGTAATTGGCTGTCCCTTTGCGCGGAGGTGTTTGTTGACGTAGAGCGCCAAAACCTCGGCCGACTGGGGATTATGAGCACCATCAAGAAGTACGTCTTGCCGACGACCTGTAATCTTCTCGAGGTCAAGTCTTTGCAATCGGCCCGGCCACGACATCTGTCTGATGGCGGGTAGGAACTGGGCCAAAGGGCGGTCCTGGTTCGGACACGCCAGTCGGAAAGCTAGATGAGCACACGCCAGATTCTGTATCTGATGCGGTTCGTATTCCTCACTGGACAGCAACTCGGCAACCTCCCTCGTGGAAGCGCAGTGAACCTCGGCGCCCACGTCCTCCGCATGCTTCTTGATGACTTCCAGGACAGCCGGTCCGTTGCTGCCATCCACCACGCAAGGGACACCGCGACGCATGATGCCTGCCTTTTGCAGAGCAATCTCGCCAATCGTATTGCCAAGAAAAGACTGATGATCGAGACCGATCTTTGCAATAACGGTGACGGCTTTCTGCTTCAGTACATTGGTGGCATCCAACCTGCCGCCGAGACCGACCTCAACCAGGCCAAACTCGACTTTCTGGCGGTGGAAGATCTCAAAGGCGGTCGCCGTCAGGAGCTCAAACTCGGTAGCGCCAAGCCGCTGTTCTCTGTCCCTCTGCTTCACCACATCTTCGGCATCCCGAAAGACGGCCTCGGAGACAGGCCGGCCATTGACGGCAACGCAATCCCAGCGGTCAATCAGATGCGGCGAGGTGAAGCGCGCGTGCGAAAGGCCGCTGGCGGTGAGCATGGCCGAGAGATAGGCGCATATTGAGCCCTTGCCGTTTGTCCCAGCCACGTGGATCGCCTTCCATGTCTGCGGCGTGTGCTGCACCAGACGAGCGACGCGGGCCAGCCCCAGGTCGATCATTCTAAGGTACTGTAGAGTTACCTCAACAGGCAAGGATGGTGTTGTGGATGAGTCACGACGCTCAAGGGGCTTCGGCTTCCAGGGAGTAGGCTCTAGGATAGATTCCAGTGCCTGCCAAGAAACTGAGTGAGCTTCTGAGAGCCTGTCGATTTTCAGCATTCGGTTGCTTCCCTAAACCGATCGACGGCAGGGTCCTTTAAGCCCCAGATAGCGGCATATATTGCAATATTGAATTATACAACTTATGCAAGTTTTGATTCCAAAAACATCCATTCCAGTGTCGCCTTTGTATTGCATTCACTGAGGTGAGGCCCCTGGTCATGCATTTAATGCTGCAGTTGACGTTCACGCTAAAAAACCCCGTAGCGTTCCATGCTTGGCAAGCTCGCCAAGCCCCCTGCTCAAGCCGCAGGGGCCTCCAGAATCTCTCTGTGGAAGAGCCCGCCCCGGTCAAAACGAGGATTGGCCCGTCTTCGCTGTTCGCATCTTTTTTTCTCCTTCCTGCCACCCGCAACCCCACGCAACAGATGCGCGAGGGCCCAGCTTTGAAGCTTTGACGCATCCCCAACAACCGAACCCCATCGATTGACGAGCCGCGATATTACTTTCGTAGTCGCCTGAGGCCGACTATTACGCTCGTAGTCGCTTTTCCCCTCGAAATTGCCATAAGAACGGTCCCGGCCGACATCGAGGCGAAGATGGGTCTTCGGTAAGCCTACCCGCCCCCTCCCCCCGGCGCGACCGCGCTCTTACCCACGGGCCATTTTGCCATCACTCAACGACTCGGCGCGTCGCGAACACGCCTTGTTTTCATCATTAATCTGATGTTGCGACCGCCAAGATGCGCCGCCCGAGCCAATTTTTTTCATCCTTTCTGCACCGCATGCTAACCACTTTGCGCCCCCAATCAGGTTGTACCAGGCGCCGGTCGAATCCGACATCCAATCCAAAGCCGCGGCCGAGAAAGGGCCGGCGCAGTCGCGGACGTCGATTCGGAGGATCCGCTCGGCGCGCGTCCCGGATCGAGCACGCGAACACCGTCGCCGCGTGCTCGCCGCTGCCGCCGCCTCCTACAATGGCTTCGACCCCAGACGCGGTTCGACGGCGTTGGACCCGCCCATGCGCTCTCCACCAGCCGCCGACAGCAGCAGCCATGGATTGACCCCCGGGTCCGATCAGGGCTACCGTGCGCTGCGCGATGTCGCCGGCCGCATGGGCATCCTGGATGATCGAGTTGTCGCTATGTTTGGCGAGCGATGGGCTCACCTGCACGCCGAGTCGAACCCGAGCCCCCGGCGCGATGACAGCAACGAGCCTTCGCCCTTGCTGGGGATGGCCGTCGAATCAGAGTTCCTGCCTCGCAGTAGACCGCCCCCGGAGCCGTATGCATACACTTTGTCCAACATTCGATCGACTCAAGCGCCTAACCATCCTGTATGTGCCTCATGGTTTATGTTTCAAAGTATTTTCGCATGTCGCGTTCTTCTCTAACACATCACAGTCGCGCAGCGCTACGAGGTCTCCCGGGCTACTTCCCAGCCATCGAAGGCCAGACGAAAGTTGGCTCCGTGACAGTGCGACCGCTCGCGATGAACACGCGCCGTCCGACCGAGTCTCAAGCCGCCGTCGCAGCCCGCGGCCATCGGCGCTCGGGAGCTCCCGCCTCGACGGCTTGGGCGACCGTGACAGGAGCCTCAGCCCCGAGATGTGGGGCACTCTGCAGAGCACGCTGACGCCCGACCCGCAGCCGCCCAGCGTCGGGTCTTCGTTTGCCTCGGCGTCGGCGGCGTCGGCGGCGGCCGCCTCGCAGAGCACTGCGGGGGGTGCCGGCTCGTCCAGGACGTCGTTCACGACGACAACCTTGGACACGGCAGCCGGCGACGAGTCCACGTTTGAGCCGCCGTGCGAGTCGGGGTGTGACAACTCCGACACGGAGGGCGATGAGGACGACGAGATGGACCAGATTGACATTCCCAACTTTGGCTTGCGCGCGGCGACCCGACGCTCCTACGCTGACGCGGCGCGCGGCGGCAGCAGCAGCAACAACAACAACGCCGAGGACCCGCTGGAGCTTTTGGGGGGAATAGGCGGGATGCAACGGATAGTGCGCACCCTGGCCCGACGCGAGGATATCCCCGACGAGTGGTGGGCGGAAGTTGGTCTCAGTCGGACCTTGTCCCGGGAGGCTTCCGATAACTGATGTTTTTTTTTGGCCTTCTGATATCTATTTGGCGGAAGCGACGTGTGCCTTGGGCAAAATAAAACGAACACTTCGGGACCCATCATTTTGGTGGCGTTTGGTGGCGCAGAGCGTCTTGTGGTTATCCTTTGATTTACCTCTTAGCCCATACTCATATGGCTGGGCATGTGAGGACAGGTTTCTATCCGTTCGAACTGGGCACTGGAAGCGTACGGTTTCAAAAGGGGCTTTAGTGTTGGAATGGATTGGGCTTGAACTGAGTTATGTGGTTCGTTGCTATCTCTGTTGGCATCAAGCATTGCAACGATCAGCCATGAATTCTGGGGGACGAGCTTATGGTTAAGCCGTCCTTGAGTTAGCATATGTAAGACTATTCTGTACATAAGGCGGTGTTAGGGAGGCCGGGTCTGCCCTCTGGCTTTGGCCCGAGGGGCTCGCGGCTTTAATGAAGCTCGAATGCTCGATACGGAATGCTTTTCAGGGGATCAGGCACAGGGTAGCTGTCAGCGTGCCTGTGAGGATAAGGTCGAGAACTGCCGAAAGAGTTGCCCTGGAGTGTCTTGTTTCGCACATACCATCTCTTACACGCGGACCATGGTACTGACGCTGCGCATAAGTTTCCTGCTCCCCCGCCTTCCTCCGGGACTAGGGGCAGGGTTCCATTTGACTAAGATGGCATGCTTCATGAGCTCAGCCCTGTTGAATCAATGGAACTTTTGATGTGGAGGAAATCTCTCAACTACCTACCTAGCGTCTCTTGGAGATCTCGGTACAGTGAGTGGTGGAGAAACACATACAAGCTAAGAGACCTGGATGCATTATTGCATTTCCTTGATTCAGATAAATGCCTTACAGACCGGTACCTGGCATGTTTAATATCCGAGTCACTTTCAGGCTGGATGATGATCCGGCGACGCTTATCCCTCAACAGGGGAGTCGCGGCCTAGACCAGAGCCACTAACAACCTGGAAGATGGAACCAGGGCCTGGAGCGACGCCCAAAAAGCCGCGCCGAAGCGGCACGACACCACCAACGCCATGCGCTGCAGGCACGCCCGGTCAGTTGCCTGAACAAAACCACCTGCACCAGGGGTCCCGAGTAATAAGTTGAGGTGTGTTGCCGTCCCACGTCCCAGGATCTGCAACTTACCAACTTGGGCATTACGGTAGTCCCAACTTCCCTGCTGCTGAACTTCTTCCTTTGGGAGTCCCCGCCGTATCTTACGGAATCTTCTTGGACGTGAAGCAAAAAGCTTTTGTCGGGAAGCTTTTCACTGAGACGTCCTTTTCCCGCCTTTCTCTTTCTGTTTTGATCTTTTCCCCTATCTTACCTACGTATTTCCCTTTTGCCAGACGAAAACGTCAACCTATTAACGTTATTGAGTGGCCCTTCAATTTCTCACCCCGGCAGCCACCGAGAGACCCTTGCCCGAACCCCGCGACCTGGGCTTGCCTGGCCTGCCCTGTGGCCAGGAATGAGCGATTCGACAGTCTGCGAGCCCGTTTGCTTGCTCTCCCTTCCTCCGGTCATTGTCAACCCAACTTTCTCTTCCGACTGATGGTCGCCTCTCGTGAGAAGTCTCGACAGTTTTAGGGTCCACAGCTTCTGCATTCCCCACCCTAGGCACGAATGATTTGAACAACATCTTGCTCTACGCGCCAACTGGTTCGCAGTTGTTGGGCAACCCCTCGGTCAGGCGGACATGACAAGTAGTAGGGCAGCACTACACCGACACCCGGCCGCCAGCAATCTTCTCGACGTTCAGACGGGTCCGACAGCGACTTCAGCACATCTGCGGGGATCCAGGCGGAGGATAATCGCAGTCTGGGGCGCCCGGAGCTCAAGCCGAAGCCCAAGCCTAGCCCGGCCCGAGGCATGGCGCCAAACACACCGTCAGGCGGCGCTGCAGAGCGGCCATACCATGGCGCCAACGGCAAGGCGGTGGTGGCAGCAAGGATGCCCGGGACTCCGCGCCGGGAACAAAGTCACAGGCAAGACAAGGCCGTGCAGGATCCGGGTCTGAGGGACTATGTAAGTCTCGGCTCTTTCGCTATGCAGCCCCTCCCCGCCATCCCGTATGGCTACCGCTCCCACCTCGAACCTGTTGCCGTCTCTTTGTCTTTTTCCCCAGCCGTGTTTGTTTCGGGAGAAAGGGATGTGCACGGCCCGACCCTACGTACATACACGTGTTGCATGTGCGCATACACCTCGCCGGCCTACATATGCATCTTCGATTCGGCTGGCGGCTTGGCGGCCCTTGTTTGTTTCTTTGTCCGGATGCAAACAGGGCGCGGGAGCTGGACGGGATGGCATCAATCGCCTTACCCACACCCAGGGGCTACGGCCCGCCAAACTTTGTGAGACATGGCTGACCGACTCGTTGTGTAGCGCCTCGGAGACTGCATTGGGAAGGGAGCTTTCGGGTCTGTCTACAAAGCCTTCAACTGGGGGACAGGCGAGGCCGTCGCGATCAAGCAGATCAAGCTCGTTGACGTGCCCAAAAGCGAATTACGAATGATTGAAGTGGGTCGAGGCGACAGGGAGTATGGGAATGCCATGATACTGACTGGGTGCAGGCCGAGATTGATCTCCTCAAAAACCTTCATGTTAGTAAAGAAAACGCCGCCACGGCAACCGGCACAAGTTTGGGGCGGATTGCGAGCAAAACTGACCGGCTAACAGCATGACAATATCGTGAAATATATTGGCTTCGTCAAGACGGCAGACTGCCTCAACATTATCCTTGAGTCTGCTTCCCCAAAACCGTCTTGAGCGCCACATTCCCGGACTGCTAACATCTCACCGCCAGGTACTGCGAGAATGGATCTCTGCATTCAATCTGCAAAGCTTACGGGAAGTTCCCGGAAAACCTGGTTGGTGTGTACATGACGCAGGTCCTACAAGGCTTGCAATATCTGCATGACCAAGGCGTTATTCATAGGGATATCAAGGGCGCCAATATCCTGACCACCAAGGATGGAACCGTGAAGCTTGCCGATTTCGGAGTGTCAACAAGCACACTCGCCGGGCCAGACAAGGAGGCTCAGGTCGTCGGGACCCCGTACTGGATGGCCCCAGAGATCATCCAGCTGTCGGGCGCTACGTCGGCTTCGGATATTTGGAGCGTCGGATGCACCGTGATCGAGTTGTTGCAAGGGAAGCCGCCTTATCATAATCTCGCTGCGATGCCTGCACTCTTTGCTATCGTCAACGACGACCACCCGCCTCTTCCAGAGGGAGTGTCTCCCGTATGCCTTCCACCTGCCAGGTTGGCGCGAGGGCGGCTTGCTAACCTGCTGCTACAGGCTGCTCGAGACTTCCTCATGCAATGCTTCCAGAAGGACCCAAACCTACGTGTATCAGCAAGAAAGCTTTTGCGGCACAGCTGGATCACTGGCTCCAGAAGAAGCGACGCACCTGTTGCCAAGGCGCCGTCCAACTTCAGCCAGGCCGTCGAGGAGGTGAAACAGTGGAATAAGGCCCTGAAGTCGTCCGAAAATAACCTCAGGGCGTCGACTGGCTCCGAAAACAACGGTCCGCCGCACCGCGGTAATCTAGCCACCTCCTCCAAGGGCCCACTGACCCTTGCAAAGCCGAGACATACGGCAGATGCATTCAGGTCCCCTGAGCTTCCCGGTAAGCGCCCAGGAGCCTGACCATCACTAATTGGGACCTAGGCTGACACTTCGCAGACGACGATAACTGGGACAATGACTTCGCCACGACCATTTCGCCGAGTGCGCTCCATCTCCCCCAGATCAAAGGCCAAGACAACTTTGGTGGCTTGCTGTCAGGTGATCGGTTGAAAGCTTTCGCTTCCATCGATGGGCACCGCGACGATTCGGAGAACTGGGATGCGACGTTTGAAGGCGGCGAACTGGTAACCATCAAGGGTTTAGGACACTGGTCCGAGTTAGATCCGCAAGAAGAGACGATTCGGCCGCTGCCCAAGAAGACAGAAAAATCGCTTGAAGCGAAGAGACAGCAGGGGCACAGGCGCGAGAGGAGCAGGCGGGGCGCCTCGGACTCTTCTCAGCCGGCACAGCCAAAGTCACCTGTCAGGCCTGGGGCAAAGTTCGAGTTACCTCCCCGTCCGGACGTCATCTACCGAGAGCAATCCACGGAGGACTACTCTGACCTTTTTGCCGACAATGACCATGTCTTTGACAGAAGGCTAAGCCTTGTCAGCAAGGTGGGTCTGGCTAGGCTATATTACCGCTATTGTGCTCGAGCTCATGAATTTATAGGATGCGCCGCAACTGTTTCACCCGTCCGACTTGACCAGCAGCGTATCAAAATCCGCAAAGGCTCCCAATGGCGGCGGCAGCATGCGCAGAAAAGCTGCCTCATCTAGACCCACCCTATCTGCCCCTGACCAAGACCACCAGGTGAGAAGGACACGCTCCAACCTCGAGATTACCAAATTTGCCGAGGACGAGGGCGACGAAGACTTTTCGGATATTTTTGGTGGTGCTGACGACGCCTCTGTTGTCGAATCCGGGGAGAGCGATCGCGGCTCCGAGGATGGGGGACCCGGCGGCCAGCTCATCCTCTCGAGGCTGTCGAATAACTCTTGGCTAGGCGACGATGAGGACGAGGACGATCCGTTCGCGATGATGGACCCAGGGTGGGATGAGATGGATCTCCAGGCGAATATTGCCAGGGATCGGCATGCGAGGTTAGCCGAGCGGGTAGAGGAGCTGGTGAGGAGTATGAAGATTGGTGTAGGTGAAGATAACTTGGCGGAATTGGCTGAGGATTTGGTGAGTACTAACCAAAACTCCTGTTTGCTCTGTTAGCTTCTTTGGATGGAGGGCTAACTGGTCATGTTTGTGCAGCTGGCTCTGCTGTGGGAGAATAATGAGGCCAAGGATCTCATCATCAGTGCGCACGGGTTGCTGCCGATATTGGAGATCTTGGAGCCTTGCACGGTCAAGAGCAGGCAGCACATGATTTTGCAACTGCTCAAGATCGTTAATGCGGTAGGTTTTGGTCCCGGCTGTTTCGTGTTTTATGGTGGCCTGCGCTGACCGTTATAGATCATCCTGGACGATGTTGAGTTGCAGGAAAACCTGTGCTTTGTTGGTGGCATTCCCATCGTTACAAAATTCGCTGCCCGGCAGTATTCGAACGAGATTCGGCTCGAGGCCGCCGCCTTTGTCCGGCAGATGTACCAGACTTCTACGTTGACGCTGCAGATGTTTGTCAGTGCCGGTGGTCTTAATGTCTTGGTTGAGTTCCTCGATGAAGACTATGAGACATCCCAAGACCTTGTCCTGATTGGTGTCAATGGGATTTGGAACGTCTTTGAACTCCAGGTGCGGCGCATGACATACGGCGAGTTAGACGCGCTGAAGCTGACGATGCCCAGGGACCGACGCCCAAGAATGACTTTTGCAGGATATTCTCGCGCAGCAAGATCCTCGATCCCCTTGCTGCGATCCTGCACAGGGTATTGGACGAGGACAGAGACAAGCTGTCTGAGCTGGTTGAAGGCAGGATCGTCAACATTTTCTATCTGTTCTCCCAGGCTGAGCCTTACGTCAAGGAAGCCGTGGCTGAGCGGCAGGTTCTTAAGAGTATGACACCTACCCATTTCAACTGTTTCTTCAGCTGGCTAACTTGGCGGTGGTCAGCGGTGCTCAAGGACCTCAGACGGATGACGCCATCCCACCAAATCACCATGCTCAAGTTCATCAAGAACATGTCTATGTGCTCGAGTGTACTCGACTCGCTTCACTCAGCGGATGCTATTGACTTTTTGATCGATGTGCTCAGCCATTCGATGAGAAAAGGGGAGAAACATTTCCGAGAGATTTCCAACCAGGTCCTGAATACGATGTTCAACCTCTGCCGTTTGAGCAAGGAACGGCAAGAGTACGCAGCTAGCAATGGCATCATCCCGCTGCTACTCAAGATTATGAAGACGGACCACCCACCGAAAGAGTTCGTGCTCCCCATCCTCTGCGACATGGCCCATTCCGGCAGCAAGGGAAGGAGGTACTTGTGGCAGAACAACGGTTTGGACTTTTACGTGTCGCTTCTGGCAGACCAGTACTGGCAGGTCACTGCGCTGGATGCCATATTCGTGTGGCTGCAAGAGGAAACGGCGAAGGTGGAGTGCCATCTTCTTGACGGCAGCTTCACCCCGGCCATTGTGTCCTGCTTCAACCCCACCAAAGCTAACGCCTTCGACGCGAATCTCCTCGAACCTTTGCTCAAGGTGCTGAGGCTGAGTCCGGCCGTGGCGGCGTCACTCGCCAAGGCTGACATGTACGCCGGCATCGCGCACAAACTTAACCACAAGAAGGCGGTTGTACGGCTCAACCTGCTGCGTCTTGTGCGTAACATCATGGACGGCTGTGAGACTAACAGTTTGCCCATGGCGTCTACCGCTGCATCTACAGCTGGCCGCCAGCTGCGCATCCTGTTTGACAACATTCAGACGCTGGCGGACAAAGATCCCGCTGTCTTGGTCCGGAATCTCGCGTCGGAGCTTATCCGCAGCCACATCGACGCTGATTTGCAGCACGAGGCGATGTCTCTTAGCGCGCTTAGCCTGGGGATGAGCGGAAGTGGCAGCAGCAGCGGCGCCTCCACTGCCGGCTCCGGGCACCGTTCCCGATCAGGTCCCCGCCGCAACACCAGCTACACACCCCCCGGTCTGCACTTGAGCATGTCTATGCCTCCGACTCCAACCCACGGGCATCGTTTGACGCAGTCCTCCTCGGCCTACATTGAAGTTGCCGCCACACCGAAGCGGTCGGCCGTGGGTCTGGCCCAAGAGCGCGACGCGGCCCTCTTTCGCCCGCGGAGCCGTGACGGCGTCGGCGCGACGAGCATCCCCCGCCGGATAAGCGACACCCCGCCTACACCCCTGTCATCAGTTAGCGAGAGCGGCGGAACAGCGACGCCGAATCCCCCTACTCCCGCCGGCGCATCTTCGAGGAGCCGCCTCCCTAGAACGTCAATGACTTCCTCGACGCGCCCTAGCTTGACAACTGCTACGTCGGCTCCCACCGTCCCTGCGGGCTCTGCCACCCCGACTTCTGCCGCCGGAATGAGTGATAGCTTCTCGGGCGTTAGCAACAGCTACAAGGAGTACTACACCAGCCAACGCCGCCCCAGCACCAGCGGGAGGATACGCTCCGGCTCGTCGGTCACCAGCGGCGGGAGTGCGCGATACCCGGTCTCGGCTTCGCCCACTGCTACTTCTGGCAGTAGTAACAGTGGGAGTTTTGTGCTAGGCGGGTACCTGAGTGCTACTGGAGCAGGAGGACGACTCGGTGATGGTAATGGGAGTAGAGAGGGTAGTGTTGACAGTGGCGGCGGGAGTGGCAGCGGGAGTGGAGCGAAGAGGAGGAGTAGACCGCCTAGCTCGGATCTGAGGTGGTCTTAGGTAGACCGGGCTCGGGGGCCTGCGAAGCGGGGGTCGGGTTTCTCCTCTGCTGCTTCCTCCTCCGTGTCGTCGTCTTCTCCTTCTGCTGCTGCTGCCATTAGACGGGGTTTGGGCTCGAGAGGGCAGGGCGGGAGTGGTGCTGGTGGTACTACGCCTGGGGCTGGGACTGGGCCCGGTAGTGCCGGTGTCGGGGGAGGATAGTAAGCTTTCATTTTTAATATTTCCCTCGGTACGCTCAGACTCAGGTCGGTGTTATTAGAGGCTTGGCTCTGCATCCATTTTCTGTTTTTTTTTTTGCGTTCCTTGGGTGGGCTTTGATGCATGGGTGGAGTTGGGCGATTGCCTTTACATAGCAGCTTCGAAGGTATGGTTTGGTCTTCGTTGTTGAGTGTATCTACTTATTAGAGGGACTGCAAGATGGACGGTGTGAGGGCGAGGTAACCTGACAAAAGGGTTGGTGGCGAGGAGTGGATGGATGGTAGACTCCAAATGGCCGGGCAGAAAGGGGTTGCTGGTGTAGGTAAGCATGCAGTTGGCGACTGGGACTCACCACTGGAACTGCATGTTGATTCGAACCCGGATCGGTTCCTACCTGCTAGGAGTTCCCGAAGATGGCCATGGGAGGTCAAGAGAGGCACGCATTACCGTACTTTTCTTTGGTCAAGTCCAGTACAGTACATAAGAGACATGACATGCTCTGTTAAGAGGGGTAGTCGAGGGAGCAAAAATCAGAGCAGAAATTTACGCCGCACCAACAGCTGGTACAGTATGTATGTACATACATACACCGATAATGTAAGACTTACCTGACATGTGAGAGTGAGCTTCCAGGGGGATGTTACAGCTGTTCTTCAGTGAGCAGTTGCAACTTGCGACTGAGTGAGCGGAAGCACGCGCTGCTTACATAAGGTACACAATTTTCTCAACCAATCAATCACAATTCGACACTTGGCGTTCCTCACCTGACTGCAGCCTTCCGAAGGAAGGGGATGGGCTGTGTCGTCAGTGTCCATGTCAGCAGCCCGAAAAGGTGTGCCTGGCATCATGTTCTCATCGGTCAAGGACAGCGCTTTACCTACACATGTCCAGCGATCTGCTGCGCCTTTAGCCAATTCAACATCTAGCCCTCTTTCAGGTGCCAAGTGCCCATGCTTCTATCTGGTCAACCATTCTAGATGATAATTACATTGTAATTCGTCCTACTTAGCTGTATCTTGTCTGTACCTGACTGAGCCCTTCCTGAGTTTCTTCGTTCCTCTCGAGAATTGAATGGGATATTGACGCCATGGTAACGCGGAACGGGGTGTATCTCGCTGGCGTGATCGTTTCGATTGTGGGTGAGTAGTACTACCTACCTCCTTCCGACTTCCCTGTCAGTATCAATATGATGAGTGAGGTGCAGCAGCCGGGTTTCATTCCCAGTCATTGATTTTGCACTTTCCGAAACTGTATCTCTAGAGTGCGCAGACTGACGGTTGCCGGCGGCAGCCTTGGCCCTGACAATCTCATCCATCGCCTCCCCGAGATGGATCTCGTACAGGGTATTGGACCCGGCGGGCGGTATTGTCGTCGACGCCAGCATCGGCCTGCACCAGCGATGCAAGTGGTCGGCTGGGGCGTCGTCGAGCAGAACCTGCGGGCCCTTCCCTGGCGATGCGTCCTGCGACGGCGGCCGAGCGTCCTTCTGTTCCATGTGGCGCACCGCGGGCTTTCTCATGAACTTTGCTGTGGCTGCTGAGCTGGCCACCATCGCCGGCTTCGTCCTCGTCAGCCGAAACGCAAGAGTCAAACGCCATGGCGGGTGGAAGATATTGGGGTTTATGTTGGTCGTTGTGGCAGCGGCTCAGTTTTTGAGTATGGCTGTTGTGGTGAGTCATGTCCTGAAGATCATCTTGAGCCTGGTTCCGGGACGAGCAATGGAGCTGATGGCTAATGTCCCGTAACTAGGCATATCTCTTTGACCATGACGACCTCTTTCTGGTGCCGGGGTATTACCTGGACTCGTCGTGGTATTTGTGCCTGTCTAGTGCGATCATCGCACTGCTGTGCGCATTCGGACTGGCCATCGCGGCTTATGCGTTGCCTCCAGAGGATGGATACCAGTTCTTGCACGATTCGAGTGATGTCTAGGGTAACGATGGGTGTATGTTGGGCTGAGTCCTGTGCCCCCTATAGCTGTTAGTGTACAGTGGCATATTGCATGTACTCACTCTCCTAACGAATCCCGCATGCGAGGATTCCCCTCCCCAAGGGGTCGCACCACTCTTTAAAGAGCTTGCGCAGCACCTTGAATGGCGAGACCCGCGCCTCTGCTCAAACCTTCACATGACACCTACCCGACTTGGGAAGAATCGTTGTACAAATATGCCGACCTGCAATTCGGGTTCCGCAGCTTTCACTACCTCGGTATCTTTGTTGCACACTCCGCCGAGATACGAATACTAGTGTTTTGATACAAGCCAATTAGCTCCCTTGGGGGTCTCCGGAAAACCCATTCAGCAGTATCAGCAGCCGTCATGGCGATCAAAGGTATGGAGTTGTGCACACATCGGGGTCATCGAGTGGCTTAGCTAATACTAGTATTCCAGGTTGGATCAAGGTGCTGATGCCACTGCAGCCCCCTCAAATCTACAGTGTAATGAGCAAATATTTAGCACTACGTACTGTGCCTACCCGTCATCCGTATCGGGATGTGTGCCAGTTCGGATGAATTGGGGGCTGCTGCAGGGGAAATTGCCCTGTCAAATTCTGTAAACAAACCGGCAATTGGTGGTCGCAGCCTCCCCAGCAACTGGACCCCAAAAGTCTGCAATGCACGCGTCAATTGGCGATGGCCCTGCAGGGCAGGGGTTTTTTGTCCTTTCTCCGTCCGCGCCTTGCCTTCCTTATTTTTTCACCGCCCAGCCCACCGGCGCTGCTTCATTTCTCAAGAGCAAGCCCCTGGGCCAGCGCCCTGACCGATACTAGTATCTGGATTTGCCTCTTCAAGGGCCTATCGCTGCAATACTAGTATTGCAGGTCCCGTGTCGTCGGATCACCTCACGCTGTCCAAGATGTCGGGCAGATACTCCCTGCGGCAGACTCCGAGGCAAGTTCCATCCACCTCGACCCTGAGCTGTATAAGAAGCTCGAACCGCTCTGTTTGCACTTCTCGCCTCACGTTTCCATCATCGTCACTCCAAGCATTACTAGCTACCTTACCTACGAATCTCAATTTCCTAACTCTCGCTCAGGAAGAAGGAGCTCTTCGACGGTCTGGTTGAGACCCCGGCCCGTCGCAATACGCGCCGCAAGTCGCAGTTTCCTGCCGAGTCCGACGCCGAATCCACCTCTGGAACGTCCGAAGCCATGGAGAACCGGTCACTGCGCCGGCGTGGCACCGCCAAGTTCATCGAGCACATTGATGAGCTGACACCCCCGGAGACCCCCGTGGAATCCGACGCGAACCCGGACCCTGCGGTCAGCGCCAATGCCACAGCAGCCAAGAAAGACCTCACCGACGTGAAGGCCATCGACGGCTGGGTCCCCGGCATGGACCCCAAGGTTGACTACTCCGGAGAGTACGAATTCGGCGGGCCGTGGTTCGTCTCTGTCATGATGATCGGCTTCCCTCTCCTGATGTGGTACATGTGGATCGGCGCAATCTACTACGACGGCGGGCTGCCCGTGCCCAGCCCCGGCCAGAGCTGGGCTGACTTCGGCAAGCACCTCGCCAGCCTCGTCTACACGGGCGCATTCCCGCACGCCAAGGCCTGGCTGATCTACTGGGTGTTTTTCATCGGCGAGGGCGCCATGTACTGCCTGATGCCCGGCATCTGGGCGTACGGCAAGCCCCTGCCCCACGAGGGCGGCAAGCAGCTCAAGTACTACTGCTCCGCCTACACGTCCTTCTACGCGACCATTGCCATCGTCGCCGCGCTGCACTTTTCGGGCGTCTTCCCGCTCTACACCATCATCGACGAGTTCGGCCCCCTGCTTAGCGTCTCCATCCTGTCGGGCTGGCTGGTTGCCATCGTGGCCTACGTATCGGCGCTCGCGCGCGGCGCCCAGCACCGTATGTCGGGCAACCACATCTACGACTTCTTCATGGGCGCCGAGCTGAACCCGCGCATGTTTGGCATCCTCGACTTCAAGATGTTCTTCGAGGTGCGCATCCCGTGGTACATACTGTTCCTGCTGTCGTGCGGCGCGGCGGCGCGCCAGTGGGAGCGCTACGGCTACGTGTCGGGCGAGGTGGGCTTCCTCGTCATGGCGCACTACCTCTACGCCAACGCCACCTCCAAGGGCGAGGAGCTCATCGTCACCACCTGGGACATGTACTACGAAAAGTGGGGGTTCATGCTCATCTTCTGGAACCTCAGCGGCGTCCCCCTGTCGTACTGTCACTGCACCATTTACCTGGCCAACCACGCGCCCGACGAGTACCGCTGGAACCCTTACGCGCTGGCCGCGCTCTACGCCAGCTACCTCTTTGTGTATTGGGTGTGGGACAGCTGCAACAGCCAAAAGAACCGCTTCCGGGCCATGGAGCGCGGCACGCTGGTCAAGCGCAACACGTTCCCCCAGGTGCCCTGGCAGACGCTGCACAACCCCAAGGTGATTGAGACGGGCCTTGGCGACAAGATCCTGGCCGACGGCTGGTACGGCCTGGCCCGCAAGATCCACTACACGTGCGACGTCTACTTTGCCACCACCTGGGGCCTCATCACGGGCTTCAACAGCCCCTTCCCCTGGTTCTACCCCGTCTTCTTCGTCGTCATGATCGCCCACCGCGCCTGGCGCGACATCCACCGCTGCCGGCAAAAGTATGGCGACGCCTGGAAGGAGTATGAGCGGCAGGTGCCGTACTTGTTTATTCCGGTATGTTTTGCTCCTTGGTCCGACTCATTGCTATGTGTTCCTTTGCTGACTTGTCCGCAGTATGTATTTTGAAACCATTGTTGGAGCGGTGGGTGTGCTTGCGGGATACATTTTGTAAGATGGAGTCAGTGAGGAAAGGAAACAGTATCCTTGGAGAATGTAGCAGTTGTGCAATGTGGGATGCGATGATGAGAGCAAGAAAAGGAGGTGATACCCAGAATGCAGGAGTACTTAATTAACGGAGCTCTGTCTTTGCGGGCAAAGTTGCGGATGTAGCAGTTGGATACCTAGGTGGCCTTGCCTGGCTAACATACTGCACCTAAGCATGTATTGTAACATAGAGCATTCGTGCTAATAATGTTAATGTTTCAGAAGAGTACATGTAGCGTTGGCTTCTCATGTTTGGGTAAGTGTGCATGACGTGTTTGATCCGCTAGGGTTGCTGAGAGTGAGAGACGGGGGAGGGAGAAGGGAGAGTAAGGCATCTGGCACCTTCCTAAGATTCCGGTACTCATGTGAAAAGACGACAACCTAGTTTAGAGTGGTAAGTAAGAGGACTAGCTCAGCTTGAGCCTGGTCTATGGCTGCACATGGGCTCCAATGGCCTACCGAGTCTAAACTGCGAGATGTGGGCTGCCCATTGATTTAGATTCAGACTGTAGGTCGACTGGGTGTTGACACCGCCGTCTACAGTCTTGAACCCCTGGCATCACATGAGCTGAGTACGCCTGACAGAGAGAACAACACCATGCAATATAGACTAGTACAATCTTTGCTCCATCATCCGTCTATGATGATAAAACTAACCCCAAGAGCGATGAGCAACCATAAATGTGACAATAGTACATGTACGTCCCGCAAAGCCATTGGCCGACCGTCCCATGAGTACGCCGCTCGCTCAGCCCTCAATAATCGACCCCGTCACTGGTCCCCGTTATACCAACCCCAGCTCTCCCCCCGCTATCCAGCACCTAGGGAAACTGGCGCGAAAGGGAAGGCTCCTGTGTGCTTGTGGATTCCGCCTAGGAATATGGTTTCCGTCGGTACATACAGCTTGTCGCTCCATATCCTGTCGGTCATAGATAAGTTGCGGGCTTATCAGCACGAAACCCCGAAACCCGCCTTGGAGTTCATGAGCAGAGCGACAATCAAACCGTATAGACCTGGGACCTGCGTTAGCACATCTAGCAGATTGTGTGGCAGAGGCAGAGGAAAACGCACCCAAAACTTCGGCAAAAATGAGAATCAGAATCATGCCGACGAAGAGCCTCGGTTGCTGGGCCGTGCCGCGGACGCCAGCATCACCGACAATGCCGATGGCGAAACCTGCAGCCAAACCCGCAAGACCGACGGCAAGACCGGCGCCGAGGTGGATGAAACCAGTGTAGAGAGCGTAGCCATCCTGTTTGAGCCCGTCGGATATCAGGACGGAGACGACGAGACCGTAGATGCCAATGATACCAGCCATAATAACGGGGACAATGTCTAGGAAAAAGAGCAATTGGTCAGTAGGATACTCGGAACATCCTGTCGTGGCCGCCAAAACATACTCCTGACGATGAGATCAGGCCGGAGAACACCCATAGCAGCGATGCCCACACCCGACTTTGCTGTGCCGTACGAGGCACCCAGGCAGGTGAAGACGATGGCTGCGGTGCAGCCCATGGAGCCGAAGAAGGGCTGTCGTCATGTCAGCATGCGTGGACGAGTTGGGTTGAGCAAGAATGTTGAATGAAGTCGCGGTGCAGCCGCAATTCTCGGAATGATGGCCGCCAACAAGGAGCGGGCGGTGTTGTAGGGGCGGATAGAGCACTAACCGCGTAAACAGGGCTGCAAGAGACGGCATGGTTAGCAGCGAATAGATCGAGCGACGAGTAGTAAAATATGGCAAGGAGTCAATGAATCGGATCAGATTTAAACGGGTATGGCTGCCGAGCAGCAGCGGGAACAGAGAGCTCGGCGCGTGTTGAGGAGAAGGTGAGAAGTCCGGATCTCGTTGCTTACCAGTAGTCCGTCATTTTGAAAGCTTGCGCGCGAAGCGGCTGTAGCGACTATACGATAAATGATAAATACGCCGGAGGCAATATAACTCGGTGCTCGATGGGGCGGCGTGAGAAGTCGGACGATGGCAAGCTGGTGACGGCGTCGTTGATGGGTTGTCGGATTCGAGGTTGGCTCGGTGGGCGAGGTGTTTCCAGTTTCCAAGTTGCAGGTTGGTTGGCTGCGCCAGACAGAGCTTTGCTCGGACCAGCCACATCCTTCCGCATCAAAGTCACTCTGATTAGGTAAGCCGGATGCCGATCCAACCTAAGCCCATTCTGCCAGCTGTCACCGCTCAAACTTTGAACCTAGCAAGCCGTCGGTCACTTTTCGGTTAGCCAAGTTCAGTTATTTTCTGTTGTCTCTCCCGAGCGCATTCTCCCACGACGACCTACGCAATCTCCAGGGCGAGCAAACGCAGTGAACCCTGGTGACAAGCCACACGCGTATCCGAAAATATCTTATCGTCTTAGCCGCCCACCAAAACGTCGACAATGTCTGCGCAGAACGAGTCGGCTGCCTGGCCCAAGGCCGAGGACCCTGCTCTTGTCCAGGAACTCTTGGACTGCGTGCAGCAGGCGAGCCACTACCGGCAGCTCAAGAAGGGCGCCAACGAGGCCACCAAGTCCATCAACCGCGGCACCAGCGAGCTTGTTATTCTCGCCGCCGATACCCAGCCGCTGAGCATCGTCCTCCACATCCCGCTCATCAGCGAGGAGAAGAATGTGCCCTACGTGGTATGTGCCATGCCTACTCGGACCGGACTCGGGATATCAGACTGATAACATGGTTGCAGTACGTTCCCAGCAAGGTTGCTCTGGTACGTGTATCTCAGAATCCACCTCCTTTTCTATTTCAAAACCACGGCTGCTCCTTTCCCGGATTGTTTCTGACGTTGAGTAGGGCCGTGCTTGCGGTGTCTCGAGAGCCGTCATCGCCGTTTCCCTCACTTCCAACGAGGCTTCGGACCTGAACTCGAAGATCCGCGCCCTGCGCGACAAGGTTGAGAGACTTGCCATGTAAGGCGATCGATCTTTATGTGGTTGTGGGAGATTGGCCGCACGGATCTGGATGGGCATCGCCTTCATGAAGGGACGCTGGCGATGCGAGCCTACGACTGCCCTGCCGGATGAGCTACACAGAGAGGAGATTCGACATGTCCCCAATATAGCCGGTCAGTCCTCGGTAGTTTAGCTCAGATCATCCAGCATTATCAAGCGACCTCCCCGAGCCGGGAGAAAAACCGACTTTTATTCCCCAGGGTTGGGGTTACTGTTGCACCTGTCCCCACCTTGTTCCCTTCATCACGGGATGCTGCAAAAAGCCCTGCAGAATGACGCCTGAAGTTGCGTGGATGCCCCCACCCACCATTCAAGACATCATCGGTGCCATTCCAAGAGTGATCCCCACGTTTGTGGTTCAGCGCCTTGCGTTGGCCCATTCTGCCCAAGATTCCCAGGTGGCGAAGCACTAGCAGCTAATAACTGTCGTCATTTCTCTTAATTGTATTTCTTCTACCGAAAAGTAAAAACCATCATTCAAGCAGCGAGAAGCTCTCTAATAGCAAACCGTGAGCGCCTTAGTGTCGGGTACCTGGTTTATGAAATGAAGCCATGCCGGGCCTGGCTCGCAAAGTGATTATATGCGCCGCTGTCGACGGGCTGGTGCTGCACCCGCTCAACGCGAAGAAGGACCAGCAGCAGCAGCAACAGCGCTCCTCGTCTCTCGCCCCGATCAGAATCAAGTACGGAGATGCCTCCATATCTGCGATCTCCCGGGACGCGGCGCCGGATCTCTTGTCACTCCCTCCTGACTCGTCGTTTGAAGCATTTGGTATCGTCGGTAGGTCATGCCCATCTCACAATGCCCAGCTATACTTCCCTTTCATTGTGTGCCGCCAACATATGCCGTACTACATAGACTGCATGCGCCGTAACACAACCGGCTGGTCCAGCTCAACCCCTCTATCAACCCCTTCCTCTTACTTCTCGTACATAGCATAGCTAATCCCATAAAGGCCTGGTAACCGTTTTCCGGTACAGCTACCTGATCTCGATCACGCGGCGCCAGCAGGTCGCGCAGGTGCGCGGCCTGCCCATCTACGTTGTGACCGAGGTCGCCCTGACGCCCTGCACGACGCAGCAGGAGGCGGCGAAAGCTGTCGCCACGACTGCTGCGGCGCTGCGGCGGACAGCAACGACGACGACGAAGACGGCCGCCGGCGATAACAGTACCAGCGCCAGCGCCGTTGCCAGCGCAGATGCCAGTGCCAGTGCCAGCGCCAGTGGGGACGAGACCTCGCCTGAAGCCAATCCTACATCTGCTTCTGCTTCTGCGGGTCCCGGTGAGGGCGGGAGTGCGGGTACGGATGTTGATGATGACGACGATCTCCCTGTCGACGGGGAGGCTGGTAGTGGTCCCGAAGGAGCCGCTGCTGCTGCTGGCCACACCAGGCGCAGCAGCGTCGCGCAGGAGGTGATTGGGCGCAAGGGGAGCTACGGGCGGTTTGCGCAGAGGTGGTTCGGTCGGTCCGGGTTGGGATTGAGCGCTTCGAGAGAGGCGGTAGGGCCCGCTGCTGCGGACGGGGCCGCGGGTGAGAGTAGCAAGGGGGTGAACGATGCTGACTCAGGTGTGGAAGGTGACGGGAGTGTGACGGCAACCAGTCTCCTGCCAAAGCTGCTGCGGACTAGCCAGATCCTGTTTGGATCCAGCAAGACGTTTTTCTTCTCGTACGACTACGACATTACGCGGAGTATGGCGAATCCTAAGATACCCGAGACGGGGCTGATCCCGCTGCATGAGCATGTCGAGCCGTCGTATTTCTGGAATAGGCATATCATCCAGCCGTTTATCGACGCCGGGGTCGATAGCCTCGCTCTGCCCCTGATGCAGGGGTTCGTGGGCCAGAGATCATTCGTCGTCGACAGCCACCCGCCGCAGTTCGACGACGTTGCCAAGGAGTCGGTTGAGCTTAGCGATTTCGGCTCCTCTTGGGCTGCGGAGAAGGAAAAGGCCACAGCCGAGATGCGTCCGACCCAGAAGAAGTTTGACATTACCGTTATCTCAAGACGGTCGATCAAGCGCGCTGGCTTGCGGTACCTCCGCCGTGGGATCGATGAGGACGGCAATGTAGCCAACTCGGTTGAGACCGAGCAGATTCTGTCGCCAGCCGAGGCGACGTGGGATGCTGCCGCCAAGGTGTACTCCTTTGTACAAACCCGCGGGAGCTTCCCGCTCTTCTTCACGCAGTCGCCATACTCCCTCAAGCCCGCACCAATCCTGCAGCACTCGCCTGATGCGAACTTTGCTGCGTTGAAGAAGCACTTTGATGGCTTGCGTCAACGATATGGCGCGGTTCAAGTAGTCAACCTGGTTGAGAAGCACGGCGTGGAAGCACCGATAGCCGAGCTTTACGAGCAAAGCATCCAACGGCTCAATGAAGAGTCTGGCTCGGGGGCGGAGAAGGTTGGATTTGAGTGGTTCGACTTCCACGCTGTTTGCCGCGGAATGAAGTTTGAGAACGTGTCGTTCCTATTGCAGACGCTGGGCAGCACGCTGGATCGATTCGGAAGTTCTGTGTCCGTTGACGGCCAAGTTGTGGCTACACAAAAAGGCGTGTTGCGGACGAACTGTATGGATTGCTTGGACCGGACCAACGTCTGCCAGAGCTCCTTCGCCAAATACATGCTGGACGGGCAGCTGAAGGAACAAGGTTTCGATATGAGCGCGCAACTGGATCAACAGAATGCCTGGTTCAACACGCTGTGGGCGGATAATGGTGATGCCATCTCCAAGCAGTATGCTTCCACTGGCGCAATGAAGGGCGACTATACGCGTACGAGGAGGAGGGACTACCGAGGCGCGCTGACTGATGCTGGCTTGTCATTGACCCGGTTGTTCAATGGGTAAGCGAACTTCCAGTTTATTCCGGACGTGAACACACTGCTAACAACGTGCCTCAGCATGTTCAATGACTTCTTCCTCCAAGCCAGCATTGACTTCTTCCTGGGCAATGTCACTGCTCTCGTATTTGAGGAATTCGAGGCCACAATGATGACCAAGGACCCCGCGGTGTCGATGCAGAACATGCGTCAGCAGGCCATTGAACTCTGCCAGAAGCGCGTCATTGCCGATGAGGCCGAGGAGTTCATTGGCGGTTGGACGCTCCTTACACCGCGTGCGCCCGACACGGTGAAGAGCGCATCCTTTGAGGAGGCGGTGCTCCTCCTGACAGATGTAGCTCTGTATCTGTGCAGGTTTGACTGGAACCTGGACAAGGTATCGTCGTTTGAGCGGGTTGACTTGGCCCATATACAGAGAATACAGTTTGGGACCTATATTACATCGACCATCTCGCGCACTCAGACCGACGAGAAGCGCAACGTCGGGCTAGTTATCGAGTACAAGCCCGGGCTCACTGACGTCACGCGTGTAAACACCCGATCACTCTCCTCCATGTCGGACACGCCGAAGGCTCAGGGATCTCATGAAGGCCCCAAACCAGACGAAGGGGCGGGTCCGGCAGCTTCAGGGTTCGCGGCATTCCTGTCTCGCCGTCCACAAACCGCGACGGCTCGCAAGATTGCGCTCAAGGCGCTGTATAGTCAAACTTCGGCGGCCGACCCAGTGGCTAAGAACAAGGACGAACCGAGCACCATCACCCGCCTGACGGAGATGCAGCAAGTGGCACTTATTGCAACAGAGATTGAGAGGATGGCAATCCACAACCAGCCTCGGCTGGCGGGCAAAAGCCAAGAGGAGGCAAAGCTGATCGAGGAGGGCGAGATTATCTCGCTGGCTGAGGCAAAGCGCAACACGACCCTTTTGGAGCAACTTGGGCACTCAATCAAGAGGCTGGTGTGGGCGTGAAGCTCTGTGTAGGCCAGCCGACGGATGGTAGATGCTTTGCAAGAGTCATTCACCCGAATAGACGTTGAGGGCATAGACACCTAATCTTCTCCGTCCAGACTCGCATCCTCAGCTTTGTAGAGGCGCAATTGATAGCGCATGTTTTCGAGCGGAATCGGGTAGTCGAGCGCTTCTGTTCCGGCCAATCGGAACCACACCGAATCTTGCGATTCGAGCTTCGCCCATCGCCGCCCGTTGACCGGCTCGCGTTGCGTTCCGAGCATGATCCGGTCTAGAAGCCATTGCATCGGGTATCTCTTCTCTTCCTTCCCCACGCTAGTCTCGGAGTAGCTACCCGGGCTGTCCACAACGAGGAGTAGCGATCCGATGGGGATAGTAGAGGTCAGGTCCAACAGGAAGGCGGTCGTCTTACCGATGCCGCTCGCTGTGAAAAGCTCATTGAGGGTGAACAGTACCGTAACGAGCAGGGGTTGGCTCCCCACGAGTGTAGAAAGGCGCTCGCTTCCCAGTGCCAAGGCGTCCTGCTGAACGAATGTTGAGGTGAAACGCGATGCAGGGACCATGGGGGAGTTGGAGGCCTTGGCGGCTTCGCTGGCAAAGTTGGATAGAGGCGGAGGCGTTGTGAGGCTTGTGGTGAGCTGAGAGACAACGGTGGCCCAGGGGCCTGAGTCGAGGAGGGTTATGGAACCTGATAGAGAGGGATACTGGTTGAGGAACGCACCAAAGGCAACTACTTCAGCGGCGCCACCGCCGATAGAGAGGAGTTTGATACGACGCTCAAGCTGCGGACAGTTTACTGAGTTCACACTGTCTCGGTCACCTTGCTTGCCGTCGTCGGCCTGAAAGTGTGATGAGATGAGGTCCAGCTGCTCCCTTATCCCATTGAAGACGGCGGCATAGCACAAGGCTCGTGTTGGGCTCCATCTCGCGGCGTAGACTGCCAGAGAGTCCGGGTCACCGAATGCCTTGGCAAAGTCTCTGTCGAAGAGTGCCTGTTTCACGTTTTGAAGTTTTGCGGTGAAACTGGACGAGGATAGGACCTCATGAAAGGTGTGACGGAAAACATGCAACACACGTTGCTGGTGCTTTCTGTCCACATGTGATGCCAACTGGTTCTGATCATTGGTGTCTTTGGCTGGCGAACTGGTTTGGACTTTGCTTGGCTGTCGCTTGCTCCGAGATTGTTTGCTGGCTTTGGCTTTTCCTGCATTGGAGGAGCCTTTATTTTGGCCGGTCATCGCGACATTTGCTTTGTTTAATTAGCCTTCGAGCCTCATCGGCTGTGGAGATTGATCATTGGGTATCCCAGCGACGTGGTTCTACACAGAAATCGTAGGTGCTTTTTTGGAATTAGGCTGAATTCCGTGGTGGGCCTAACATCGAGCGTTTGACCTTTGAAGGATTGCGAACCCTAACCCTTATCGGTACTACCCCGCGATGAATCTTCAATCTTGTACGACACTCCTTAAGCTCCTTCCTCTGTCCTGCGCAGTCAATCTCCCGAGACGCTTCACTTCTGTTGGGCCAGACTGCAGTTGTATCTAGGTTTTTCTTGAGCATATCGCCGTTTAGCAGCACATCAGCCAATCCTGCGGAGGCAAAGATGTGCCCAGTGACGCTTGCGCCTGTCGCTTAATAACGACACGACAGCTTCTCTGCCCCGCATCCCTGCGCTTGAAACTAGCAACCGGGCCATGGGGGAGGGGCAAATCTGGTGCCTCCAAGTTGCCCGGGACAATGTGAAGAAAAATGTTCATTTTGTAGACCCACTGACGGGATGGGAAGTCTTGGAATGAGAAAAGGCCTCATTGATAAGGAGGTGGTACCTCATAGAGCACCCAGAGTGGCACTACCTGCGGCTGGGAAGACACCTCATTGTCCAGCCCGCCGATGGCAGCATCACCGCGGAGATTATGCTGAGTGGCCGAAACTGCCAATTGACTGGTGACTGCCTGATCGACTCCCGCGCTTCCAAGCGCCAAACTAGCCCTTAGGTAAATAGACGGATTCATCCGTTGTTGAATTTGTTGCATATCTCCACGGCAGGAGTTTCATGCTCAACCATTCTCCGGTTCCTGATTGTACAGTAGACCCCTTACCTAGGTGAACAGCTAAGCGAACCGTGACTGGTTCCAGCCAACGTCACTTTGTCTTCGACGTCACAGCGCTCTGCTGTGCTCCGATAATAGGAATGGAGAGAAAGCGCCCCTGGAGGCAAAAAAAGGGTGAAAACGGCGCGTCAGAGGCCTCTGGCATGAACCGGAGCGCTCCGGTGGGAGAGTGATTCAATATCTCCACAGTGGCATATATCCGGGCGAACCAGAAGTCCCTGGAGCACAACGCGGCTACCTCAAACTTGAAGTGCTACCCCACTTTGCGCCAGAAGCTGTCGGGACATCTCGACATCCCAACGCCGAGCTTTCCTGGTACACATAAAACTAACACCCCACCTTCTTCGCATCTTCCGCTTTCTCTCCCTCGCATTCCCAAGACTCTCCCAACGCAGCAACTTGAGACTCTAGCCCGCCGGAATTAGCTTTCAGAATCGCGCAAAGATGGGCTTCACCGACGTTGACCAGCTCGCCATCAACACGATCCGTGTTTTGGCTGTATGTTTCTGCCCCTCTCCTTCTCACTCAACAGAAAAATGAACCCCGCCCCCGCCAAAAGCGATCACATCCTCTCCCCGCGCCAGTTGCGGATAAGCGCTTCTTCGTTCCCCGACACACAATGTTACTCTCCCATTGAGGATTGGAAGATGTAGAGGTGCTCACAAGTTTCGCTGCCCAGGCTGATGCTACCGCCAACGCCAACTCGGGCCACCCGGGTGCCCCCATGTAAGTTCTCTGAGCATCTGCGTGGGCCAATGTCCGAGCTCGGAGCTATTAACCCAAATCTAGGGGCATGGCACCTGTTGCCCACGTTCTCTTCAACAGGTTTATGAGGTTCAACCCCAAGAACCCCAAATGGGTCAACCGGGACCGATTCGTCCTCTCGTAAGTGCTTGGCGAGAGGCCTTGGAGCTGCTCGACTGTCTCTTTGAGACCGTTGCTGACCGGTCTCACCCAGCAACGGCCACGGCTGCATGCTCCAGTATGCGCTGCTCCATCTCTACGGCTATGAGGTCTCTATGGATGACCTCAAGGCCTTCCGTGTAGGTTCTGATCACCCCATGGGTGAGGTGCATCCTAACATGGTTTCTTGCACAGAAAGTAGACAGCATTACACCCGGCCACCCCGAGTCTCACGATACCCCCGGTGTTGAAGTCACCACAGGGCCGCTAGGCCAGGGCATCAGCAATGCCGTCGGTCTCGCGATTGCCCAGGCGCATACCAGTGCCGTCTTCAACAAGCCCGGGTTCGACTTGATTGATAACTACACATATTGCTTCCTGGGCGACGGCTGCCTGATGGAGGGTGTTTCATCCGAGGCCTGCTCGCTTGCCGGCCATCTTCAGCTCGGCAATCTCATTGCCATCTGGGATGACAACCATATCACCATTGACGGTGACACTAACCAGGCCTTCACAGAAGATGTTCTCAAACGGTACGAGTCATATGGCTGGCACGTTTTGACTGTTGAGGACGGTGACCACGACCTTGCCGGCATTGAGGCTGCCATCAAGGCTGCTCAGGAAGTCAAGGACAAGCCGACTCTCATCCAGCTCAAGACCATCATTGGGTTCGGTTCCAAGCAACAGGGCACTCACGGCGTCCACGGCTCTCCGCTCAAGGCCGATGATATCAAGCAGCTCAAGGAGAAGTTCGGCTTCAACCCGGAGCAGAGCTTCGTTGTGCCCCAGGAGGTATACGACCTCTGCCACAAGGTGGCGGCCGCTGGCGCCGCCAAGGAGGAGGAATGGAACAAGCTGTTTGCCAAGTACGCTGAGCAGTACAAGGCTGAGCACGATGACTTGATCCGCCGCCTGAAGGGCGACCTTCCCGAGGGCTGGGAGAAGCACCTCCCCACCTACACCCCCGCCGATTCGGCCGTTGCATCGCGAAAGCTTTCTGAGACAGTCCTTAACAAGATCTTTGACGTCATTCCCGAGCTGGTTGGAGGCTCGGCCGACTTGACCGGTTCCAACCTTACGCGGTGGAAGGGCGCTATCGACTTCCAGCCCCCTGCGACAGGCCTGGGCGACTATGCAGGTCGGTATATCCGTTTCGGTGTCCGCGAGCATGGCATGGGTGCCATTTTGAATGGAATGGCTGCCTACGGAACTGTTATCCCCTATGGCGGCACTTTCCTCAATTTCGTCTCATATGCTGCTGGCGCCGTGCGTCTCTCTGCTCTGTCCCAAGTGCGCGTTATCTGGGTTGCCACGCACGACTCAATCGGTCTCGGCGAGGACGGCCCGACGCACCAGCCGATCGAGACGCTGGCCCACTTCCGTGCTCTCCCCAACTGCATGGTTTGGCGGCCGGCCGACGGTAACGAGACGAGCGCGGCTTACTACGTTGCCCTGATCTCGAAGCACACCCCCAGCATTATCGCTCTGTCGCGTCAGAACCTGCCCCAGCTTGAGGGCTCGGTCATCGACAAGGCGATCAAGGGTGGCTATGTCCTCCACGAGGTCGAGGGTGCCGACATCACACTGGTTTCGACGGGCTCCGAGGTGTGCATCTGCATTGACGCGGTCAAGGAGCTGGCCGAGAAGCACAACATCAAGGCTCGCGTCGTCTCGATGCCCTGCTTCGAGGTCTTCGACGCCCAACCCAAGGAGTATCGTCTCAGCGTCCTTCCCGACGGTATCCCATCTCTGTCGGTTGAGGTCATGAGCACCATGGGCTGGGAGAGGTACACGCACGAGCAATTTGGTTTGAACCGGTTCGGTGCTTCGGGCGCATACAAGGATGTGTACAAGGCAAGTCTCTTACAGATTCCGTTCTCAGTGGCTGCTTACTAACCAAGCGCAACAGAAGTTTGAATTCACCCCCGAAGGCATTGCTAAGCGGGCCGTTGCGACGGTCAACTTCTGGAAGGACGTCCCCAACATCCGGTCGCCCATCAACCGTGCCTTCCAGCAGCTCATCTAGACGCCGGGCCAGTAAGCGCCGCTTGGGAGGACTCGGAGGAGTGGCTGCATATCCACGCGATAGAACAGCAATTGGGAGTCCAGCGATAGCTAGACGGGGTATGGTTAACTAGCGGATAAAAGGCGGGGATCGGATGCAATAGCCATCGAATGGGTTTTCTACTAGGTGTTTGCGAAGTATCAAGAATCTTTTTTGCGTGTCTTGAGATTCATCAGAGCAGAAATAGACCGGTTGTGCCGTACAGCGTTCAAGCGTTCGTTGATGTGCCAAATGTCGAGCCTGTTCGTACCCCTGCAGCCTGACAAGGGTCGGTGAGAGCACGGGCCACATCCGGCAGCGTCAAGTGGGCAGGGCGACTTCAAGCATCACTGTCGGTTGGTTGGAACTGCCACCTCGCATTGCGACTCGCTGACGGTTGAAGTATCAACACCGGAAACCATCAATTTGAAAAGGCACGAGAACTGAACATACCGAAGGCTAGGCGCCAAGATTATACTCTAGACTGCGCATACGCACACATATCCCATCACTCAAAGATACAGGACAGCGACACAGCCATTGTCATGGACGAAGACAAGCTCAAGGCCGAAAAGGTGGCCGCGGCCAAGAAGAAGGTATGCCCTCATTCTTAGGCGCCCGAAGGACTCGCCATGCTCACACCGACGCCCCGATATACAGTTGGAGCAAATGAAAAAGGCAAAAGCCAAAAAGGCTGGCGGCAGCACCAGCACCAGCAAGAAGGACGACATTGCCCTCGAACCTGCGACCTCTGCCCAAGACAGAGACACCCCCGACCAACCCCAAGCGCAACCGCAACAACCACAAGAACAGCCGGACCAAGACCAACCAACCGAGCGTTTCCCCGCCGCCGAAGATACCCCCACCTCCCCGAGCACTATAACAGCTACTACCACCACCCCCTCGCTAGCGCAGCAATCCAAAGCTCGCTCGACCTCCTTCCGCCAGGGCTCCGTGTCCCTATCCACCGGCGGGCCCCTCTCGCCGGGGGCGTCTGCCGGGCTGGGGCTGTTCAGCCCCGAGGCAGGCGAGACGGCACCGGATATTTACCGCAAACACGTCGGGCGTATCGAGGAACTGGAGAGGGAGAACAAGACCCTAGCGAAAGAGCTGAAGGATGCCGAGAAGCGGTGGGCGAGGGCCGAGGAGGAGCTGGCTGATTTGCGGGAGAGGGGCGGGCCTCTTGGGGAAGGGCAACCTGCGGATGAGGAGGCCGGGGTGGAGGGGTTGGTGAGTCCCTCCTTTTTTTCCCGTCATCTTTTTTGGTTGGTTATGCATGGTGTGGGGTCAGGGGGTGCTGACTGCGAGATGGACACATAGAAAAAGGAACTCGCCGCGCTACAGAGGCAAAACGCGCAGCTGCAGTCGCAGATTGCGCGCACTACGAGCGGCGGCGGCAGACAGCACGGGTCGTCGCCATCGCTGTCCATGTCGTCGCCGCCCGCCATGGAGCTTGAGGCGCAGCTGCGCAGCAAGGCGGCCACCATTGAGACGATGGAGCTGGAGATGTCGCGCCTGCGCGCGCAGGTCGAGAGGCTGTCCGTCTCGGCATCGACACCATCGGAGCAGATCGCCGCGCTGGAAGAGAAGCTCGCCCGCGCGGACAAGGCCGCGGGTCTCGCGCAACGTGAGCTGCATGATTTGAAGATTGAGCTGGAGGGCGTCTCCAAGAAGGCGGTGAAAGAGGGCTCAGAGAGGGCCTCCGCCGAGACAAAGCTCCGTACTCTGGAACGGGAGCTGGCTGAGGCTGCGGCTGCTAGGGATGAGCTGGCTAAGAAGGCGGAGGCGCTGGAGAAGAAGGTTGTTACGCTTACTACGCTGCACAAGGAGCAGGATGGCCGGACGCAGGCTCTGCGGAGGGATAAGGAGCGTGCTGAGAAGGAGGTTGCTGAGCTGAAGCAAAAAATAGAGCGGATAGAAGCGGAGAATTGGAGGTTAAGAAAAAAGGATGCTGCTGAAGGTGGCGGGGATGATGAAGGCGTTGATGAGCTGGAGGACGAGGAGCGGCAGCGGATGCAGAGGAGGATCAGGGAATTGGAGGCGGAGAATACCGATCTCCGCAGGGGCATCTGGCACGAACGGAGGAAAGAGATGCAGGTGGGTCCGGACGAAGCCGTGGCTGTTGGTGCTGCGGGCCGGTTCGAGACGGTGGACCTGGGGTCTGGCCTGATGTCGCCATCGAGCCGGAAGGGCGGCGGCGGGGGAGGGCTTGGGGACTTTTTTGCCAGCGGGCTGAATGTGCTTACCAGTGCTGCCGGCGGCGGCGGTCATGCGCACCACGACGACCTGCTTGAGGATGATGATATGGAGTTTGACGAGGAGGCGTTCCGTCTGGCGCAAGAGGAGGAGCAGAAGAAGCGGCTTGAGCGGATCAGGGAGGTCAAGCGGTCGCTGAAGAATTGGGAGGGCTGGAGGTTGGACCTGGTTGAGAACCGGAGGGGCGGCGGGGAAGGGATTGGAGAGATATTCGAGATTTGAGGTGTAGTGTTGCTGAACCTGTGACAAATGTAACAATCACGTATCATGTTTGTTAGACTCAGGGTAGATGACTCATGAGTATCACTGTCTACTGGATTGGACGCTCAGAGCATGGGCTTCTGAAGTACTATTTATTGGACGCGTTTCTCTCTCTTGAGCTGCGCTTTCCCTGATTCCTCATCGGTTCAATCACAAGGCACCTGGCTCTCGACTTTGGTTTCCTTCATCCTAACCTATATTAGCCCTCATTATGGTAAGCTCACGCCCTAATCCTGATCAAATCAAACGCTGGAAGACGAAGTCAAGTTCTTTCAAGTTCATTGTATCTCTGGTGCCTAAGCCTAGTAAGCTAGGGCATTTTTGGATGTTATCGACTTCTATTAACACTTGGTAACGATGTTGAGGAATTATTCAATATTATTTTCCAAATGATCATTTAGCAACTTAAATTTGAAGTTGGCAAGTTAGAAATAGAGGTTGGTGCCGGTTCCTCCCAAGTCCATCACTCATCTAGTAGGCACCATCTTAGAGAAGTCCCTATCACACTTGTCATTATCTTACAAGTTCGTCTTGCTAGGTGCGGGAATCGATTCCCTAGAGCAAGATGAAGACGACAACAGAACACAACAGCGAGGCTGTGGTCCAGGTGGAGAGTGTAGCAACGACGACAACTAACTATATTCTGACGATTCAACACTCCTCTCATCAAGTTTTCATCTTTAAATTGACTTCCCATCTGATTTGCTTTAGTAGTCTCTCGTCTGCATTCTTCCTCCCATCTCGCATTTTCCAACCAAATTCCTTCCGCCTTATATTCTACCCTCGGAGCCCAGCGTCTAAATTCTTCCTTCTTTCAAGGCCATTCTCATTTCAGGCCTCGCTGTTAAAGCTCCTTAGAGCTCTTTGGGGCTGAGAGCTCCTATGTCCTCTTTGATAGGGCAAACACCATTGAACCACCAGCCAGGCAAGCCTATATAGGCTTGCCTTCCAGAGTCTCTCTGGTTGCCTCTCTTTCTCTCAGTCAGAGCGATAGAGCCACAGATCCAGCAGGCCACCTGCTTCGTCACTCCACTTTGCCTCCACCATTCCTCCGACTCCTCTCCGGGCACAGATGTCGAGAACGTGTGCGAACGTGAAACATCTGCCCAAGTCACATATCCTCGTTCACTAGAATCATCAACAAACAAGTCTTCAGGAACCAAATGTAAGCCACCGTCTCCCTCATCCGGCCTAAAATACCAGCCGAGTTTCCATTCTCTAACCTCGACTAGTCCCGACTCCATTATGGAGAACGGCAACTCCAGGTCAGTGCTAGCTACCAGTTACATCCATGTATACCGGTGAAGCAAGGGCCATAGTTGACACCAGGGCCGTCTAGTGCCGACCACAATGGTAGACCGTGTCAATCTTCAGGCCACCCAGATGAGGCTTCTACGTCACGAACCAAAAAGGATCTGGAGGAATTTTCAGCCAAAATCGATAATCCAAACCTCGTTGCCAACCGAATCACCGGAGTCAGCAATCTGTGCAGATGCATCGAACGTATAACGTGACTCGAAAACGAGACGTTCAGCTCTACCAATCTGACCCCGGCCCTGGTCGAGTGCGAGCGAGTAGTGGCCGAGCTGGATAAGATATTATCCGTAGGCACTGCCGTGAGGCAAGACCTTACTAGTATCGATTCATGGTCATTCGAATCGATTCCACCCCGCAGGATGAATCAGTTCAAACAGATGTCCTGGTTCTTTTTCGATGTCGCACCTGCGCATGTGAAACAGATATTCACCAACAACTTCGAGTTTGGCATCCAGCAGTTATCCGACAAGCTGGTTCTTTTACAAATAGCGCTTGTTCGTACTCTGGATCTCCGACGCGCTCCGAGAATCGCCACCGGCCTTCAAAAATAAATCTCATGAAGTTCGAGCTACGCCGATGACGGCCATTGCTACTAGTGCCTAGTTATGGTATGTTGGCAACCGAGGAAGTCATGAAGGTTCTAGGGACGGTATGATCATTAGCAACTTAGTTACCTCAGGTAGCACACGGGATTGATGATGTTTACTCTTCCGATCCACTATCCATCTATGTAAGAAGTTCACGTTCACTAGGGCCGGTTTTGAGTTGATGAGGATGATCTCTTTTACACCTGGCTTTCTCACTTTGGTAGACATAAGGTAGAACGGCAACACAACTTACACAAGGCGGACATGTGGTCTGTCGCTTACAAAGATCTCCAATAGTCTGTTTGCTATTAGTCTCTCACAGGTTACCCTGGTTGGATCATGATGAATCGTCTTATTGCATTCGTAATCATTCGGGCCCATGGCTGAATACCTATGATACAAGAACAACAGCAATCACAGCGGCCTCAAGGCCGTGACGTATATTATGGAGACGCGACAGTGACATTGATGATTGATGAGGACTGATAAGAACAGTACCCGGCTGTCAAATTTTATAGATCTTTACTAAGAGACAATACGACTGCCGCAAGATTCATCTTTGCTATCAGTCCCTTTCTTGAAGGTTGGGCCCTCTTATCATCGTTATTGCTCTGATATGTAGTAGCTATACATTGATCCGATTCACCCTCGCGCTCTGGTAGTCTCTCTCAAGTCTCTCATTACCCATTCCTCCCATGACCTCCCACACTTTCCTCCTGAATTTCTTCCACCTCATTCATTACTACCAACCTGTTCCGTTCTCCCACGTTCTTTCCATTTCTGCCAGTGCCCGCCTCTCATTATCGAATGATTGTCTAGTTATATTTCCTGCCATCTCTCCACTCTCCTCCAACGTTCTTTGGAACCCCAAACACCACACCTTGAGTGACACAAACCTCGAGGCATCATCACCGGTCGGGAGAATGAATCATTTCGCCGAAACTGACGATCAAATGTAAGTGGTTGTTGTTCGTTGTTTGTCGAGAAGTATTGGTTGAGTTATGCTCATCCGTCAATCGCGGCAAACAGCGGACGTACTTGACAGTCAGCCATGTCGGCGGTTAGTAATTCCAGCAAGGCAAACAACAATTCAGGGCCAGCGCCGGTCGTCCCACAAAAGAGAAAGCGGCATAAGCAGGAGTCGCCCTGTACAGAGCCGGAAGGCGAGCGGTGCTCGTCTTGCCAGCGGAATGTCGATTTGGCGCCAGTGGTCGGAGAACATATAAAGGTCTTCACCCAGCACACCGTCTTCCATGAACCATTCTTGATCGATTTCCCCTCACTGAAGGATCTGAAGCACTGCGCCGATGCCATGATCAGAGACGACTCATTTGGCCCTGCTCGCCTAGGTCTGGCCCTGGGCCGATGCAAGTTGGCGGTGGCTGAATTGGATGAGATAGTCTCATCTGGCAATTTTCTAAGGCATCACATTACAAATGACGGCATACCTGAGCTTTCATACGCCACGTGTCCCAATTTCTTGCGGACGTGCCAGATACTCAGGGTCAACCGTTTGGTGTGGGATTTCGTCGAAAAGCAAAAAACTCACGACCGGTTTGAAATCCGCAATGCCGCCGAGTCTCTCGCCCCAAAATTGGCGGCCAACCTGATGCCATTTCAGAAAGTGCTAGGGGTTACGCTGGCTCTTCTAGGAGTGTTGGAAGTTGCTACCGACATCCATGAGTATTAGTAATTCCCGAAAGGTGGCGATGGCGACCATTCTCTGCGCCGTGGCTGCGGTAAGGTAGGTTAGCAACATAATTCCTACAATCTATGTGTATTCTATAAGGTGATGCTTAGAGGGAAGACATAGGAAACTGTACCAAATCGACTAGCACGCAGCTGAATATCGACAAAGACACGCTACTGGAGAACAGGCCTTTGAAGTGGCGGCGGTAGGAGGACCGGGCGAATGTGGATGGATAGGTGGTATGGGACATCATGATGAGCCTTGGAGACAACGGCAGAGGCAGGGAATGCCGGTGAGGAAGATTGGCCCGGGGAGAAGAACATGCCAGGACCAAGAGAGCTTGCTCATTGCTCTTAAACTCTCAAAAGAAAAGCTACCTAGGCTGCTTTATTTTGCGATGCCTTACAAAATAATCGAGTCATAAACCTTCATCTTTGCTTTCATCCGTATTGTAATCCTTGGATCGATATCAAAGTTTTATTGATATAAAACTCCCTAGGACAACGGGGCAAAAGAAAACGGCATAAAGTCAAAGTTAATTTGATAATAAACTCCCTAGGACAGTGGGGCAAAAGAAAACGGCATAAAGCTCGGGCGGGAAAGCCATCGTCATGAACTGTTCAAGGGGCGCCTTCCTTCTAGGGTCTGTCAAGCTGCAACTTGAAGCTGTCCTAGAAAGGACCTCGAAACAGAACTCGAACCGATGACCTCCCGCCCTACGAAACCGTGCAGAACGATTTCATAGTTAGCTGAGATATCCATTCGGTCACAGGACCACGCCCTGCGGTGAGTCTAACTTGCTTTACCTTGCGCTGGACCTTGGATATGTACCCTTTCCCGCTTCCCATCCTCACTACTTACAAATGCCATCGCTCTAGAGCCACCCACTCCTCAGCCTCTCAGCAAAGAACTGCATCATAGGCAGCGCCTCTTCCCTGTTACTCGGCATTCCGTCGCTCGCCCTCTTCCACCTCACCACTTTGACCTGCTCAAACTCCCGCTCGAGCACCTCAACCGCATCCTCATCCACCGCCTCACTTTCCCTTCCACAACACACCAGCACCGGCGTCTTCGCCTTCTCCCTCGCGCTAAAGCTGGGCACCATAGACGCGGGCAACGCCCCACCAACCGAAACAACCCCTTTAAACACTGCCCCTTCCGCACCCAAACCACCCCCAACTTCAACTTGAACCTCCTCCACCCTGACCCTCCCCTTCCCCACGCCCGCCGCCAACCCCAACGCCAAACTCCCACCCTGCCCAAACCCAAACAACATAACATCCCCAAACGACCACCCACATTTTCCCACCAACACCTCCCCAATCAACCGGTCCATAATCCACCCCTTGGCCTTGTTAAACCCAGGATCCGCATCCAACCCCAACCCTTCCCCACCGGCACTTCCCCCAATCCGCAAATCATCTCCCCAGTGATAACCCCCCGCCTCCCCTCCTCCCCCTTCCGTTGGTGATGGTGATGGTGGGAAAAGGGCAGCGGGCAGGGGGTTCACGCCACGCACGGCAATGGCCAGGACCCCCGGCAGGGCAAGGTTGCGGGCGAAGGAGGCAAAGGGGGCGTGGGTGTCGCCCAGGCCGTGGAAGAGGAGGAGAATGGAGGTGGTGGATTCGGGCGGGTTGGGGTAGGTTAGGGTGAGGGAGTTGGGGGGGAAGGGGGAGGGGGAGAAATCTTGGGGGGTGGGGATTCGTGGTGGCATTTTCTTTTTGTTTTTGTAAATTTGTTTTCTTTGAGAGTCTGGTTTCTCTTTTATTGTGGCGCTTACTTGGGGTGTTGGATTTTGTGTAGAGTTCGATTTGGCGATCGGAGTTGAGTTGCATAAGATTGTGGAATGTTCTAAGGTGTTTGTGAAGTGGATTTGGGTGTTTCGGTCCCGAGTGGAGTGGACGTCATTTTAGGGACGGAGCGGCTTCCGTTGCCGGTGGGGCTGGCTCGGCCCGGTGTTGCAGGGGTAGGGTATACTCCGGCAATGGTCCGACCGCTCAGGACTACGACGCTGCGATAAAACCACGGTTCTAACTTGTAGATTATCTATGTTTTGCGACTCCCAAAGTTCGTATAAGATCTCTATCAACAACAAGAGCAAAAGTAGCTAAACACAACGCGACAAGATATATATCACGAGACTCCCTACGCCGGGCATAGCTTCATAACCTCTCAAAGCTGCCACCCTCGCTCCTCTTCACCATCCGCGAAGGGCCAGGTTGCATCTGCGTCCACTGACCCAGGGCATCCCACTTGCCCGCCTTGGTGTAATCGCCTCTGGCGCTCCCCTGCATCCACGCAAACCGAAAATACTCATTCGCCTGCAAGTTCGCGTCTCTCGTCCACGTCAGATTCGTCACGCTCGATCCGTCATCAAAATACCTGCGGAACCGCTCCACGTCATTCACGAGCACGCTAATCCCGTCATACTCCCCGCCCGGCGGGGGCTTCCAGGTAAAGGTGATGTTGGGGTTCGGCTCCCCCAGGGCAATCACGGGCTCCAGGATGGACGGCAGCGGCGTCTCCATCGGGGCGTCACCCCGCAGCGAGAAGGCGGTCTGCAAGAGGGGATCAAACCCCCAGCGCGCGATGCCATTGACAAACAGACCGACGAGCAGGCCCTGATACAGCAGCGAGGGCCGCGTCTGCAGGCTGGTCCCCGGCAGCAGGAGCAGCGCGAGGATGTAGTGGTGTATGCGCAGGTTGAGGTCCGGGAGCACGGCGCAGATGATGAGACCTAGACCAAGCAGGGCGTACAGCTTGAGGTAGCGGACTAGCCGCGCCTCTTGCCGGAAGAACCACACCTGCGCGGCTGCGATGACGACAAGGATGATGATGATGATAGCCAAGGCGGCGCGCGCGCCGGGCTGCTGATTCAAATCGTGCGGGGTGAGGCGCTGGATGGGGATGAAGTCGAGTGTATAATTGGTCAGCGCTCCCACCCACGCACCGCCGAGCCAGAGGACCGTCTTTTCGATTTGCGCCGTGAGGCCCTTGAGCGTCCGCCTAATGCCCATCTTGTCGTACATGACCCATGCGACGAACATGGCCGGGAGGAAGTTGCCGAGCTCGCGCGTGAAGAGGGAAGGCACGTCGGTGTAGCTCGGAGTATCCGTGGCAAGCCCAACAGTCCAGTAGAGGACACTGAAGATGGGGAAGAAGAACAGGGCTGGCGAGGTCACGAAAAGCGAAAAGACGACAGTAAACACGACCGAGACGGCAAGCAACGGCCACCTCATGTCACGGGCCTCACAGCTGATCCCGGGTTCGAAAGTGAAGGAGAGCGGAAAGTACGAGTCAAATCCCACGCTCGTGATGCCATTGCTAGAGGTGCTGTTGAAATTCCTCTGCGTCCCAATGAGCCTGACCACGCCGCATCCGCCATTGGCATTCGAAACGACGCCGGAATGCACCGCCGAACCGCAAATGAACGAGTCGCCTCGGTAAACAGCTGGGCCGTCGCCGGACAAGGGTGGCCCGCCGACGACGAGAGGTCTGTAGACGATCTCCTGATCGCCAACGGCGTGGGGATTCAGCACCTGGTAGCTCGCGCAGTTGGCTGGACACCTGAACAGGAACCCTCCGTCGGTAAACGGGCGGCAATCTATGCCGTCCAGCCCACAGCTGTTCCCCGAGCCCCAGTATGTGCTCCCGCACCCAATCGATACCGGCCGGCCCCACTGTGCCACCTCGGATGCAACCAGGCCCTGGCGCATAACCAGAGCAAAGGTGAGAATCCACAGTCCGAAATAAGCGAGGACGGCGAAGGCCCTGTGCAGCTTGCGCGGTAGGTATTTATCGAGCAGCGCGATGGGAGCGTGTTGAACCTGGGGGAACAGCGGCTCGATCGTAAAGCGTCGCGGGTTTGCCGGGCCCCTGACCCATTGGGCGGCAGCCTTGATGAGGCGGCGGGCAGGGTAGGGAACCCATTTGAAGCGCTTCCACGAGCCCTCGTCCTGAATGAATCGCGGCGTCGGCGGCGAGTTGTCCTCCTCGAGGTCCTCGACCTGCGGGACCTCTGCAATCGGGGCGTCGGGGTGGTCGGCGGCAAGGACGGACCCATCCGAGTCGGTGACGCCTTGACGGTCTAGATCGCGGGCCTGAATGCGCGTCCCGAGGTCCGTTTCACCCATGATGCCGTGGGCTATGTAGTGAACGTTGGGTGATTGGGTGGTGCGGCGGCACCGTACGAGGGGAAAACAAAAGCTGTGAAACTCAACTTGACAGTAGCATGCCGCTGCGAAGAGGGGAAAGGAGATCAGAAAACTAAATATCGACAATATCAATCAACAACTTGCAAATTGCGAGGGATGGTGGCCAATTCAGGTCTGGAGAAGAGGCGACCTGGAGAGGGGACCATCATCCGGATACGCCGCTTGGCTGTTCCTGGCACTCGGACTGTGAAACACGACTGACAGAGCGGGAACGGAACGGCTGGGTGGACCTGCCTGGGCTGCGGTAAGGCTGTGGAGGTGGGGTTCGGTTCCCTGTCAGTGGAGCGAGCTGAGCCACAGCAGTGGGCCACAAGCCCCGATAGCGTTAGATTCTCGTTTTCCGTTTCAACTGAAAACCCCTTTCCTAAAACGGTGAGTGAGGGAGGCTTGCTGGGCTGAGACACGAGAGATCTTGACTGAAGATTTACATATACAACTATACAAACAGGACACAGTCGAGAGTGCACCTAAGATGACATACTCTTCCTGAAGATAGACCGATAAACACCATCTTGTGTCCTCGTCGTGGCTTACGGCTCACGTCCACACCAGGCGCAAATTCACGGCTGCGCCGAATTCCAGGAATAAATCACAAAATGACAGTCGATATCCCGGACGGCGATCAAGAAGCCATGAGATTCGAGATTCTCGGAAGCGTCCTCAAAGACGGCGCTGCGGCGCGGCTAGGTCGCTTAACGCTGCCAGGACGCCGTCCCATCGACACGCCCAACTTCGTCGGCGTCACATCACGCGGCGTCCTGCCGCACCTCACCCCGGACAATGTGAGCAAGCATTTGCAAGTGAGCAGTGCCTACATGGCTCTCGAAGACTGTGGGATGACCCGCTATCTCTTACACTCGTTTGTAACTAACTTGTGTCTAGTCATTGAAAAACCACAGCAATACTCCAAAAGGGTACCCCCTATTTTCTCAACTCCCACAACAACAAAACAAGGCACTCCTCTCCACAGCTTCACTGCCATGCCGCCATCCGTCACCACAATTCTGAGCGCCCGACGCCTCCCTGCCGTTCCCCCACCCAACGGCAACACCAACGACTCCATCTCCGTCTTCACCTCAACCGGCTTCCAAGTACTCCCGACCAAGGAGTACCTCTCCGCCGTGCAGACTCTGAAACCCGACATCGCCATCCCCCCCGCAGACCTCACCCACGGACCCGTCGCGCCCAATTCGAAGCGGGCACTTCGCATGGCCGAGCGCACCGACGAGTGGGTAGTTGAGTGGTTCTCGTCGCTCTCACGGAGTAGTAGCAGCCCCCAATCCACCTTCGCGCCGGTCCTTCCCATTTCACACTCCATCCAGTGGGAGTACCTGGCGCGGCTGGCCGAGGATTACCTGCCTTCATCACAACTGCACGGCCTGGCCTTTTACGACGCCGACGTGCTGCCCGACATAGCCGCGCACACCCCGTCCCTGGTCCAGCTGCCCCTCCTCTCCCTTCTCGCATCACAAATCCAATCCCAAACCCAAACACCCCACCACATCCTGCGCCAAATCTCTCTCGGTATAGACCTCTTCGCGATCCCCTTCGTCAACGCGGCCTCAGACGCCGGTCTGGCGCTGACCTTCCGCTTCCCCCCGCCTCCTCACACCACCACCACTAACGGCCCACTACTGCCGCTGGCAACCGACCTCTCCCTCCCAGAGTCCAACAACACAACCTCCCTGGCACCCCTAGCCGAGGACTGCACGTGCTACACATGCACATCCCACCACCGCGCCTACGTGCACCACCTGCTGTCGGCGCGCGAGATGCTGGGTTGGACGCTGCTGCAGGTGCACAACCATGCCGTGATGGCAGCGTTTTTTGCCGGTGTGCGCGCCGCGCTCGCGGAAGTGGAAGGAGGGAACGACAAGTTTGAGGTTCTGCGCAAGGAATTTGCCCTGGCCTACGAGCCCGATTTCCCAGAGGGAATGGCCCAGCGGCCTAGGGCTAGGGGATACCAGTACAAGAGTGCCGGTGGAGGGGAGGGGAAGAGGAATAAGCCTGCTTGGGGGAAGTTGGGAGGGGCCGGGGTGGATGTGGATGGGAACGGGGAGGCGGGGATAAGTAGAGGTGGTGCAGAGGAGACAACGGGTGGGATGGCCAACGGGGAGGGGGCGTATGCACGGGATTTGGAAGGGCGAGGGTTTGCGCAGGTGCAGAATTAGAAGGGTGATAGATGAATAGAGGGATTGAATCGGTTTGTTTGGTTGCTTGAGCATGGCTTCTTCCCACGCGGCTGCTTGTATAAGGTTACTTATGCGAGCGGGCTGTTGAGCAAGCGAGCGTATGTGCCTTAGCCATCTATTTTCTACTGGCTCTGTCCTGCGGCGGCATCATCGCCATCAAGCTGCACTATCCTCTTTGGCTTCTTTTTCTTCGCCTTGACTACCGGCGCTGCGTCCGCCTGAGACGACCCCTCGCCCTCACCCTCACCAGCGACAACCTTCTTCTTCTTCTTCTTAACTTTTACTCCAACCCCCTCTTCCCCATTGTCCTCCTCCCCCTTCGCCTTCTTCACCGTCTTCTTCTTCTTCTTTACCACGATCCCCTCGGCCGGTACGCCCTGCGCGACCTGTATCCTTTCATTAGCCCGCTGCATCTCCAGCCGCAGCCGCTGCACCTCCCGCATCGCCTGCGCCATCTCGGCCTCTTCGCGCCGCTGCTGCTCGTCGTCCGGCCGGTCGCCGGTATCAAGGAGACTTAGATTATTCAAGTGACTCGAGTCGACCTGCAGCAGCGATTGCTTGAGCTTTCTAGCAGCCTTGGCCTTTGCGAAACTGTCCGAGTTGTTTTCCGAGTCGTAGTTGCGCGGCGTAACTGGCCTACTACTCACGCCGCTGAGTGTCTCGTCGGCCGCGACGATGATGCGCTGCTGCTGCTGCTGCCGTGGCTTGGGTCGTCTCTCTGCTGTTGTCGCCGCTGGCGCCGCACTTGCACTGCTGACGCTCAGTTTCTCCAAGTCGAGCTGCATAATGGGGATTGAGTCGATGTCAAGATCCGGGCCGTTTTCTTTCTGCAGGATGTTATGAATGGGTGTTGACGTCCCCCCGGACCGGGTCGAACCCCCAATATAAAAGGGATCGTCTCGGTTACGCTCCATGCGCTCGGCTTTCCTCCGGGCGATGATGTCCGCGTCGAGGTAACTTTCTTCGCCGACCTGCTGATACGAGCCAGGGATTTCGTCGGGAGCATCCGCCAGCCTCTCTATCGCTGGCCCACTGGAGATGCTCGTAGGGGGCAGTTTTCGATTGTAGTACACTTCAAATTCGTCATCGCCCTGAGCCGGCAGCATCAGCGAGTCTGCCTGTGCCAGGAGATTGTTGAGGTTCGGGTGGATCGGCTCATCCAGGTCAAGGCCCTCGGGTATCGGTACGTTATGCTGCGTTCCGGCAGCAACCGAGTTGAGTTCCCATCCCGTGAACAGCGATGGGATAGCTTGTGTGAGGAGTAAAGGTGCGTCCTTCTGCAATTCGTCTGTAGAGGGCAACTGGCCGGCCGCCGCCTCGGCCGTAAGCTTGAGCAGCTCAATGAACTCAACAGCACGTTCTTGAACTTCCAAGTTTGGATGTGATGCGAATGGCTCCAGCACGTGGATGACACGGGCCATTAACAACGACAAGGCTGATTTTCTCTCTGGTGTCCAAGGCGTCTGATCATCCCCAGCAACGCTTGCAAATAGCTTTAGAATAGCCTGTAGGCACGTTGCAAGGACCTCGGGATTCTCGATCCGCGAAACGAGGCCCAATAGGTGCCGGAGGGCATCATCAGGGGAGTAGAGCTCGAAAGCGTATTCCCCGACCACATATGCGATGGGTTTGAGCGCTCCCGGGACAACCGGACGCGAGCTTGATATCTCAGAGCTCAGGCGCGAGATGACGAGCTCAGCTGCCCGGACGGCGACGGGCCTTATGGCTCTAACTTTCACAGCCACATTCCTGAGTTCGTTGCCAATTCTCTCGGAAATGTCGACACCTACTCTCGCCGTTGGCGCAGTGATGTCCGAGTCCAGATCTCTCGTCCGCGGAACTGGCGCAATACGGACGAGTTGGGTCAGAACATCGATATACCAGTCAAAGTCGACCAGATTGGCATAGTTATTCTGAGAGCACATGCGTAGAATCCGGCCAATCACGTCAGTAGTGTAGTCATCCGGGAGTGGTGGTAGTGCATCCTGCGTCTTGAACAGCCGTTTGGAACCAGCACTTGTCTCGTCGCTCGAATCTGTTTCCAGATCGTGGCTCTCGGCGCCGTTCCCTTGCTGATTTAGTGCAGCCGAGGACGCCTTGAGCTGTCTCATCAAACGGCTGACGATCGACACTAGGTTATCGCTGCTGACCATCCCTTGCACCAAGTCGAGTGCTTTTATCCTAATCGTGATGTCCTCGCTGTCAATGCATTCAAGAATCACGTCTTCCTGCTGCGCGACGAGGAACGGGTGGGTGACAACGATCCTGTTAAATGCCAGGAGCGCCACATATTTCACTGAAGGGTTATTAGCTTGGGACTAAACGGCGGAAGGAGAGACTGGGAACGTACGGTTTGGGTCGCTGTTTAGAGACACCATGCCCCTCAACTTGGAGACACATAGGGAGGCAACCTCTTCCCTAGCGGAGAAGTCTTCTCCCTCACCCAGGATCCCGCCCTGAATAATACCGTTGATACACTCGTACAGCAGGGACATGGCCCGAGTGGTTCGAATGAGATTTGTCAAGGGCGGCAATAGCTTGCGGACGAGGCGCGGTTCGAGGGGCGTAAGAGTAGCAAACTACAAACACAGTCAGGATCACGCGGTGCAGGAAAATACCTATTTCGTCTTACAAGTTTGATCAGTTTTATTGCCATCCAGTTGTTGCCACCATCAACCAGCAGTTCAAAGAAGCGCGGCGCGAGCGGCAGGAAGTCGTGGGGTCTCCGCCATCCTAGTTCGCATACGACATTCACGATAGCCGCCGTCACGCTCGCATCCTCGTTCACGTCCATCAGGCGCTCCTTGATCTTTGGCCATGCAGCACGTAGGGCTTCGGGATACACCAACGCCAACCGGTACAGAGTGACAACAGTCTTCTTCCGGATAGCTGGTTGAGAGTGACTGAGGCGGGGCAATAAGTCCCCAAGGAGGGATATTGATAGCGAGGGGGTGATGATGTGAGGCAGCGCGGCGATCGGGAGGGAAATTATGGTCGGCGTTGAGGCAGCCAAATCCTGGGAGAAGATCAGCACCGGCCCGGCTTCCAGAGCGATGATAGGCAGACCGGCCTACCTTTTTCAGGAGATTGGTTGCCATCATGAGCACATCTGTATCAGGGCGGAAGCTCTGCACGGCGCCGAGATAGCCGACTCGCTTCTGGTGGTATTTCTGGGACGCCATGACTTCAAGGACGTGAAATGAAGCCCAAGACATGTCGTGCCCAACCATTTCGAGGTATATGAGCTTGAGCAAGGCGGTCGCCTTGACATCTGCACCGGGACCGTCAGCCGGTCGAGCAAGGAAAAGGGGTCATTGGCAGACAGACCCATATCTTGGCTGCGAATTTCGCTACGGCATTCTTTCAGGCAGTTTTGTATGTACTCTTTCTCGCGGCCCTTATGGTTGCGCAGACCTCGGATGAGGTCGTACAGCGACTTTTCGAACCTGGGGACCAACGTCAACATCAACTCTTCGGCGCCGGGCGTAAGGGGACCAAGGGGGCGGCGAACATGGCTGTAACGGTTGGCTGTCACGCCTATTGGGTTTGAATGCACGCCGAACACTCAGTTCCCGCTCAAAGAACCGATGCGCAGTGTCTCGCTGTTCGATGCTCGATGGTTCCGGGACGACGCTCTCGTGATCATGGAATGCGGGATTGGGGCGGGGTTCAGCGGCGAAGACTCATGTCGAAGACGAGAAGAGCTTGAGATACGATGCAATGATATGCATCTTGTCACGGTAGTCTCGGCGGCGATGGTGGGAATCCTAGGTTGAAGACGTTTTCCTGGCGCAAACTGACCTGCATCACCTTGAATTCCACCTTGCAGCGCCGAGGAGAGCAAGATCAGGCACAGCACGCAGTGGCAGTGGCAGCACGTCACTAGACTGTCTGCATTGCACTGAGCTCGCACTGTATTTTTTTTCGGCCCGGAACAAGCGGCCCCCGGAATTAGCGGCTCAGCGCTGGAGCTGTGGGGCTTACAGCCTAGACCTCCTGAAGCTGGAACTTTGCACCAGCCTGGCGCTTGAGCATCAGAACTGCAAACGTCACAGGCCGTCGACAGGTCGTTGCCAGTCTACACCCTATATACGGAGTAGTCCCGCTCCAATTCAACGACGATCGCATAGACAATCCAAACTGACGATGGCGCCATCTCTACTATATCCGGCAACGCAGCTGCCCCCGGCCTCGGCTTTGGCATTGTCTCAGCAAGCCCCTGCGGTTCTGCGCAGCTCGCCCGCGACCGTGTCCTCGTCGCCTCTCAGCGCCTTGTTCTCGGCTCCCGAGAAGCCCGAGCTATGGATCAAATACGAGAATCTGATCTTGTCATGTCTGCGGACTGGCGACGATCAAGCTGCCCACCAGTGCCTCGAGCGCCTCGTCGCCCGCTTCGGAAACGGCAATGAGCGGGTGCAGGCGCTCAGGGGATTGGTAAAGGAGGCCGAGGCCCAGGACGACAGCGCATTGGAGGAAGTGTTGAAGGAGTATGAACAGATACTGGCCGAGAATGACACAAATATCGTTCGTTGGCGTCCTTCTTTTCTTCCCGCCTTCATTATGCGACCCCCGACTTACCAAGCGCGTCCAGCCTATCGCGAAACGGCGCATCGCGCTCCTGCGGTCCATGGGACGCGTCTCCGACGCGGCATCCGCACTTGTGCAGCTTCTCGAGTTCTCGCCCACTGACGCTGAAGCGTGGTCTGAGCTGTCGGATATCTACCTCTCCCAGGGTCTGTATCCACAGGCCATCTACGCCATGGAAGAGGTCCTGTTATTGGCTCCCAATGCATGGAATGTATGCAAGACAAACCGTCGACCCTCAACTTAAACCCTATCGTTAAAGCCCCCTGCTAATCTGCCCTCTCACAGATACATGCTCGGTTGGGCGAGCTGCAGTTCATGGCGGCTACTGCCCCGGGTGTGGCCGGCGGGTCCTACCAGAAGTACATGGCCGAGGCGATCAAGCGGTTCGCTCGGAGCGTCGAGCTGTGCGACGATTATCTCCGAGGATACTACGGTCTAAAGCTGGTGAGACGTCCGGCACCGAGTGTAGAGTGGAATGTGCTGCTGACGGGAGCACTAGGTCTGCAAGACGCTCCTCAGTGGAGGCTCTAACAAGACGGCAAAACAGACCGACGACGAGTTCGCCATACCGGATACCCGCAATACTGAGCGATTGAATGAGCTGGCCACAGCTAAATTGTCCGAGATTGTCCGACACAGCACCGCCCGCGACCAAGGATGGCGTGGGTACGACGAGGCCGAGATTGCAGCAGCTCGTCAATTGCTCTCTGACGATGTAGCCGCTTCGTCGGCAATTGAGAGGTGATTGAGATTCTGGCCCAAAACAGAATGCGCCGCGCAGGGATCCGGTGACGCGTTTGTTGCTGTGGGCAACTTCAAATCGGGTGCGCGACCCTGATAGGGAACCGGTCGGCTGCGGGTCCGTCTGCTTGTGTTGCAAGCTTACCGCATCGCCGCACAAGGCCATGACTGTTTCAACAAGGCGTCGAGCTTCATTGGTGCCTTATTACGAGAGCTTGCATTAGCCAAGATGGTGGGTCCTTTTGGGCAGAAAGACTTGGAAAGAAGGCGGCCGAACGTGGCTCCAGTAAACGGGACGGAAGGATGGTGCGCGGGTGGAGAATGGGCGGTGCGGCGTTCGAGCCCAACCTGGTTGCGGCTCAATGACGGTCCTCTTCGGACCGGTCCCATCAGTCCCCTTTGGGCAGGAGAAATCTCGACATGATCGGCCCAGCCTCGACGTGAAAACTGGCTTCGACTGGCCACTCGTTCGGAAAGACGGACACGGCCGCAAATTATGTGCGCGGTGCCTGGTTGCGCGCAGCCCCATGGTTTCTTTGGCTAGCCCTGGCTCCGGATGCAAGCTTGCAAGGCCCCTGGAACCATTCTCTCGATTTTCTTCAGCCTAGCCTAGAACGCCCTCTGCAGGGCACAAGTTGACGTGTTCTGACGGCCGCAGACAAGCCCCAGATCGTGTTGTCGATGCTGCAGGTTAGCAGAGTTCGATGTACAGTACATGAGCAGAGCGACTGGAGCTGGCTGTCGGCGAGGACTATATCTTAGACGTCGCTGTTCCTCAGCCAGGATGCTGCGTCGTGCCTCCACATCTACCTGTGTGTCTGTCCATCCTCGCGACCAAGCCGGCGAACTGATGCGTCTGCTTCTTCCACTCCCGTGCCAGCCTTTGATCTCTTTTTGGCGATTCGCATCTCGGCGTTGAATCTGTGTTACAGATCTTGTCATCCCAACCCCACGCCTCGACAGCCTGTCCCTCTGGGTGTAGACCCTCCTGAAGGGAGGAGAAGAAAGGAACAAAATCATGTGGGACAGTTGAGGGTGCGGGCAGGATCGTGATGACGAGAATCTAATGGAGTTGCAGCGAGCAGACTGCCTTTATCGTCGGCTGAATGAAACCTGTGAGGGCTGAGCAGGTGATGTCGAGTGTCAATGGGTGGGCTTCTTTGCTATACCCACTGGCGGACAGAAGGCCTTGGTTTACTGCCAACGCCAATGGGACTGGCCTGAGCCCCATGACTAAGAGACCATGCTCACCGCCAGACAGCAGCGTCGTGACCATGCTGGGGGAGTTGGTGTTGGGGTCCACGTCGGGTTGAGGAGTTGGAGGCTGGGGCCAGGTACGGGACAGGACGTACAGGTTTCGTTTGCAGGTGGCTAGCATTGGAGAGGGTCTCAATGAAGGAATTCGAGTGGACTGGTGTGTAAGCGAGGTTTTTCCTGTAGAAGCGTAGATGGAGTAACCGTCCGCCTCCTTTCTCACTGTTGTTGTTCAAGTCGCCGTCCCCATTTCAGTCTAGCTTGGGGACACTCGTACATTTTATTACACCGATGCAAGAGCTTGAATCCCTTCACTCACCACGAGCCACCGTTCACACCTATAATAACACCGTACTCGGCCAGCACCGTGCGACCTGCGTCGGGTGTTCCACAGGCCCTGCTCATGAGATTGGGTTGTCCAAGTTGTCTTTGTGAGCAGGCCCGTGCCCTAGGTGACAACGCATATTAACTTAACCGAGAAAGTTGAACTGCCATGGCAAAGTCGGTGAGAGAAGGACTCGTCGCAAAACACCAACTTCCAGATCCAAACACAGCAGCCCCGATACTCCCGTCTCCAAATTGCCATTTGCTTGTCCGAGGTATCCCGACACCGCCATCAAGCCCCCGCGTCAGCAGCTAGAGAACACCTGGAACACAGAGGCAACCCCACCACACCACAGGCACTCTTGGTTCTGTGTTCTGTTGGACAGCGCGCACACACACAACAGCAAGCACTGTCCTGCCCTTCCCCGTCATCAAGATCTACACCTCCCCTTACACGTAGTAACGGGGAATAACATAATTGGAGGCCATTGGGGACAGCTTCTGGAGCAAAGCACAAACAGTCCATTGGTATGACAATGTTCCTCTTATCTTTTTCGGTTTTTGCACTTTTTTCTACCCCACGTCGGCGGTCTCGAGTCGCTCTTTCCATCTTGTCGACTGCCCTTCGTTCTCCCTAGACAACCACTGAGAGCCATGATATCCTCGGCTTGGCAACCAAAGCCAGGACACACACCGCCGCCACTTGCACACACGAATTGGCCTGCGGAGGGTGGGAAAGGGGCAGGGGCCCAGAACGTCCCTGTTTAGGTAACCTAATGGGTTGACCTCAGATGCCATGAATCCATGATGGTGTCCACGGCACTCCCCGACTCCCGCCAGCGTGTCGCGGTGTACAGCCACTCATCGTCATCGAGTCTGGCGGTGCTCGCAGCCTGGCGCCTGGCGAGGACCGCCAATCCCCTCCTCTCTCGTTGCCTGTTGGGTGCTTCGGCTGCCGTCGTGGAGCTTCCACGGAAGCTGAATGGCCCCTCACTGACGCTATGCCAGTAGTCGAGGCTTGACCCTCTAGCCTCCGTGTGCTCTCTCGAGTCCTGACCGGGCACTCCCGATTCGATTCCCGTTCCCCCACGGTCACGAGTGTCACCTTGGCCGCTGCTGTAGGCTAACAACCATCTCTAGTGTACTGGAAAGGCATGTAAGTGTGTGTTGCTTACCTACTTTCCCGCGTTTTCCTTCATAAAACCAGCAGCCTCGCTCCATTCCATTTTCCCACATTCTCGTCGATTCAGTCCAATTTATCCTTCAAGCTTCAGCCATGGCGATCCGAATGGGCTAAGGGCTCAATTCCGCCTAGGCTGGGTCACCTCGCCCTTTCCTCACTTTCCCCTCCTCCACTGCTTCAGCCGGCAAATCCCCCCCCCCTGTGTCCCTGTCTGTGGATCCGGCCTGGGCTTTTAGGGCACCGTTACCTTGCCTTACCGTTCCCGCCGACGCTGACCGGCAGGCCCAGACATCAGACTCTCACTCACCCAATCTCCGCCCGCTTTTGCGCCCAACGACAGCATATAGCGACCGTGCGTCTCGAACACGTTTTCTAGTACTTTCCTGCATTGAGAACCAAACAAGCCTCGTTCGGAAACAAATTCACTACGATTCCCCGACTTCTGCGATAGTGCAGCACCAGCTTCCCGGCTCAACACACAAGCGCCCGCTTTCCTTCCAATCTGCCGCCATTTCGCCCTGCACACCCCTCACGACGCCTTACGCACACCGCCAGCTCACCTCTTTTGGGTCCTTGGATCAGACACTTGTGCGCGCAAGGGCGAAAATTCGTCGCCTACTAAATTTTGGCTTAGACCTGCCTTGGTTCCGACTTTCTCGCCGTAGATTGTCGCGAGTGGAGGTGACGGAGCTTAGGAATTCCCAATGCCGTAAGTACAACGGGCCGCATTTATGACGGCCATCCCCTGTCCAGCCTGCTGCGCCGCAAGGCCCGTGTCCTTCTACACCACATTCCCTTTTCTGTGTTGATTTTACCTGGCTAATTCGTCACGACATCTTCTATTTTCTGCGCATCAGGAGAGGACAAACACCCGCAGCAATCAAAGCCAACGGGCGCAGGACAGTTTCAAGTTCCTCGAGTTCTTTCTACGACGACGGAGAATCAGGATCGCACGCAGGGTACAGCGAGGAAGATCTCGCCGACTCCGACGACGAAGTGGACGACGACGAAGACCAGTGGGGAGACGAGTACGACGAGCTGGACCCTTCGGATTCCGCATCGGCAAGCGCCAGCCAGGAATACAGACGACCCCTTCAGCGGTCTCACAGTCCCCATCCACACCGTAGCGGGTCGCGCCGCCACAGGATCCCTCCCGCGCGCCAGTCATTCCCCTACCACGCTCCCTCAGCCCCACCAATGAGCATAGACCCTTCTGACGACTTCGCTCCGTCGCAATACGGGCGTGGCTACGGTCCACCGCCTCCGCAAAATCACGGCGCATTTTACGGCGCCAGACCCGGTCCACAATCGGGCGGCTACGCCCAGAGTCACGTTGGATTCATGCCGACCCCTTACAGCGGCCAGATGGTCCCCTATAACGACTTCCGCAACCCCTTTTCCCCCATGGCGGGTGGTGGCGCCAACTATTATGGCGACCCCAGAGGGCACTATGACATGATGCCTTACCACGGCGGAGGAGCCGCCTTCTACGGTGGCGGCGGGGGCCCAGGGTATGGTGTCCCGGCTCACATGCAACCATACATGTACAATGCCCCGCCTCCGCCACCGACCGAAGCGCCCGCACCTGCCCCTCCAACGCCCGCGCCGCCGGCTGAGAAAAAGCCGGATCCCGAGTTCGAAAGAATGAAGGCAAAGCTTGATGCGCTGGAACAGGAAAAGAAGGCTAAGAAGGAGGAGGAAGAGCGGAAAGCATTGGAAGAGAGGATTCGGAAGCAGGCCGAGGAAGCTCTCCAACGACGGATGGAAGAGATGAGGAGGGCGCAGGAAGAAGCCAAAAAGGAGATTGAAAGAGCCAGGATTGAGGCAGAAAGGATCGCGCGTGAGAAGCTGGAGCAGGAAAAAAGGGCGGAAGAGGAAAGGAGAAAGAAGCAAGAGGAGGAAATGAAGAGGATCGAACGCGAGGCGCGTGAGAAGCTTGATGCTGAGCTGAGAGCCGCTGAGGAGCGCAAAAAACGTGAGGCAGAAGCTGCAGCCTTGGCCGAAGCGCAAGCCAAAGCCAGGATTGAGCTGGCTGTCAAGAAGGAGCAGGAGAGGATCCAGGCTCAGATCAAGGCCGAAGAAGAAGCGAAAGCCAGAGCGGCCAAGCAAGCGGCCGAGGAAGCTGAGCGACTAAAGAGGATCGAGGAGGAGGCCAAGCGGAAATTGGAGGCAGCAGTCAAGGAACAGGAAGAAAAGCTGGCGGCGGCGGTCAGAGCCGAACGTGAAAAGCTGGAGGCAGCACAACGGGCCGAGAAAGAAGCCAAGGAAGCGGCGGAAAGGAAGGCTAAAGAGGAAGCCGAATGGCGGAAAAAGGTCGAAGCCGATGCGAAGCTAAGGGCAGAGGTTGAAGCGAGAGAGAAGCTTGAGGCCGAGCGCAAGGCCGCCGAGGCAAAGAAGGCCGCCGAAGACGCCAAGAAAAAGGAGGAGGAGGCACTGAAGAACAAGCTCTTGGAAGAAGCCAAACGGAAGGCCGAGGAGGCGGCCAAGAAGGCGGAAAAGCCGCCTATCAAGTTCAAAGATGCCGTGGGCCGGAAGTTTAGCTTCCCCTTCCATATCTGCCAAACCTGGGCGGTGAGTGCAACCCCTTTCGGCTCGATTTAATATGCTGACCACTCGTGTTTCAGGGCATGGAGGAGCTCATCAAGCAAGCCTTTCTGCATGTCGATGTCATTGGGCCCCATGTCCAAGAAGGCCATTACGATCTCATTGGGCCCAACGGCGAGATCATTCTGCCGACGGTTTGGGAGAAGGTAGTCCAGCCGGACTGGTCTATCACAATGCACATGTGGCCAATGGACAAGACGCCGCTACAGCGGCCGCCGATGCCACCCGGAATGATGCATCCAGGCACGGGCAGGGCTGCCCACGGTCACCCGCCACCCGGTGGACATGTCCACGATCCGCGATTGGCCGGCATGGGCGCCGCATTTGGCCCGCGCCCACCGAGTGCCGCCCCGGGACGTGGCGGTCCGCCGCCGCCGCCGCCGCCTGGGTGGCCCCCCATGGGCGGGCGGCCCATGCGGCCTGGTATGGAAGCCCGTATCATAAACGCAGAGCCCACGAAGGCCAAGAAGAAGGGAGGGGCACCCGCCTCAGTCCTCGGTTGGATGGCTGGGAGCAAGCCAAAAGCTAGTGGCAAGAAGTATGTTGGTCCTGCGCGTCCTCGTGCTCCAACACCACCACCTCCTCCACATCCTCCTCCTCCACCACCTCCTCCTCCACATCCTCCTCCTCCACCACCTCCTCCTCCACCACCTCCTCCTCCACCACCTCCTCCTCCACCACCTCCTCCTCCCCCAAAGCACCGCTCCCAATATGTCTCCCACTTTTTCTACCCCGCCACTGTGCGGTTGCTGTCCAAGTCTGTTTATGTCTCATACACATCAATCCCCCTGCTAATATTTCCGTTGTATTTGACGCTGATATGCTAACTGCTATGTTTGTTTCAGGAAGAAGCATTAAGCTGACTTGAACTGGGGCTGATTGCCTCAAGATGTTCACATCGTTTTGCCTTTATCCCCCGATTCACTGCATTCTATCTTCACTTTTCTTGCGCAAAACTCGTCGAGTTGGTTATTGATTTTTTGATACCTTGTCGCCTAAATAGTTCGGCGTTAGCGTTTTGGTTCATCAGTCTTTATGTTGGTGGTTGCATGCTCTCTCGCCGATTCCCTACCCTTATCCAACCCCCCTGTTTGCCTTGGATACAACACATCTACCTGGCGTGCTGAAGCTTGGGTTTGGAATCTATGGCGGCTTGCTCAACCTTGTTTGGCTGTTTCGGCTGGAATATGAGATTACGAGATGGTAATGAGGCTATGAGGGATGGGAAAATGACTGAGCAATGATATGAAAGGATGAGGTGCGATATGATGCGGCTGACTCGTCACCTATGGCGATTTGCAAACGCCAACTATGCCATTTGCGCTGGACCATCTGGATGAATGGCGAAATCCTACGGAAGGAGGGGGCCGGGTGCACCTCATCGCCGTCGCACCAAACTGGCTTGGGAAATGCTTTGGTAGTTCCATCAAGCTCGCCGGCTTCGGTTTACTACTTTGCCTTATTTCTGGCGCAAAAAGGGTCAACTTTTTTGTCGGTGGTGGTAGTTGCGGTTTGTTGTGTGGCCAGAGGGAGGCTTGTTTTGGATCCTTAGAGCTGTTTTCTTTTCCTCGTCTCGCAACACATTTATCTCGGGTCTTGACAGGTGTTTGCTATGGAGTGGTCTTGCCTGTAGCTCTCTCCTCATTCTATATGCTTGCCCATCGGCCGCCTGTCTCTGACAGATTGCTCCATCTCTAGCATACATCCGCCTCCCGTCTATGCCATTCAAAACAGCAAACCAATCTAAAAAGAATAAAAGTTCATATGCATAGTACTATATACACGTGTTGTACACAGCTTGGCGTCTATATGCCATGCTCCTCTTCGTTTCTTGTTTATCACATTTGGGACTTCCCCCTTCTGCCGGGCACTTGTTCAGCTCTATCTCCGTCCGTAAAGCTTCCTGGCCCTCTCCTCAAATGCCGCCACCATCTCGTCAACCTTGTCATCCGCCACCTTCCCCACGGCAAATCCCAGAGCGGGATTCGCGAACTGAAAGGTCACGCTCAGCGTCACCTCGGTCCACTCCTTTTGCATCATCTCCCCGTCTTTTCCTGCCTCCTCTTCAGTGGGTTTGATTCCAGCTCCTGCGCCTACCTTAGACGCAGGCCGAGAGCCACCGTCGGCAAAAACGGGCGCGACGGTCCAGCGGGTAACCAGGCTCTGGAATATCCCGCCCTCCATACTTTGAGCTTGTCCCTCCTCCCCTTCCCCCTCAGGAAACCGGTACCCCTCGCGCCGCAGCACCTCGCGCGGGATCGACGTCGCCGCGGCCCCGCTCACCGCCTCCACCACGGACCCGGGCACGCAGTACACGCGTGAGGTGTAGGTTTGTGTGAAGGGTCCCCAGCCGACCGTCAGATCTGCTATCGCGGGGTGGCGGTTTGGTGGTGGTGATGGTGGTGATGCTGCTGTGATGCGGGGTGTGGGAGGGGTAGGTGGGGTGACCCAGGAGGTGACCGCCGAGTGCGTGCAGTGCGGCAGGAAGGACGAGTAGCTGTCAATGTCGGCTATCAGGGCGTAGACCTGCCATGTGGGATAGGGCAGCGTGCGGCGCGCGCGGAGGGTTTTTGGTGGTGGTAAAGGAGTTGGGTTGGGGAGGTTGGGGAGGGCGGAGAGTAGCCAGGAGGTGGAGATTGTGCGTCGTATGGAGTGGGAGTGGGAATGGTAAGGAGGCGGCGGCGCGTGGTGCTGCGGGAGGAGGGGCGAGAAGGCCCTCTGCGCTGGTGGCGGCGATGATCCTGACGGTGATGGCGGCGTGTGCCGGAGAAGAGGAAGCCGGGTTGGAGGAGCCCGTGGAGTGGCCAATCGTGGTGCTGCGGGTAAGCGCGGCGGCATTGTGGAAGCGGAAGGAGGCGGCTTCGTTGTGCGTGGTCAGGGATGAGGACGATGATGATGGTGTTGCAGATTCGGCGGATCGGATGTTGTTGAGATCATGGTTTCGTCCAGAACACGGAAGTAAGGACTATGGTGTTGTGACACTCAATTGGCGTTATTGAGGCTCCATTGCTGCGAGTAGTGGCCGGGCCCCTGTTTGCGATCGCCGTTCAGATCTGATGAACGGCAGATCGTCTTTTCTTCCCGAGGTCGGCTCGGTCGGCACTGCACTGTTCGGGGACCGTGCCAGTCCACCGTATATCTACAGAGTTCAGACTGTAGCACACCGTGTGCGGACTTGCCCCACATCTTGAACCATTTGAAGTATTTTTTCTCGGCTTCCTCTCCGCTCGTTTTTCACCCCTCTGATGTTCCGCATCTACAGAGTACAAGTTTCTGCGAAATGGTCCCGCGGACTCGCATTTCAGCCAGCGTCGCTCAATGACCTGCGGCGCCTGTTAGCTGCTCCCTCCAGGCGCGCTAACACGAATTCTACGCTACCGCCCGCCATGACAGCCGACTGCCCTACGGTCGAGGCTGCTGGCCAGACCGATGACCAAGAGAAACTTGGTGTTGCGATGTCCTCGCTCGAAATAGCAGAGGAACAACAGCAGCCCAAAGTCCCTCCCCATCGCTCGCACGACCCCCAGTATAACCAAAAGAGGAGCGACCCGTTCCAGTTCGGGTCCCGCTACCTTGGAGAGGACGATGACGTCTTCGAGTTCAATGCCTGGGACCATGTTGAGACTGACGATGCGTACAAGGAGTATGCTGAGCAGCAGTATGCCATGCAGAGGCAGTCGCCTGTATCGGACTTTGACAAGGGTGAGTGATTGTCTTTCTTTCTCTTTTGCAGAGTTGCTCCTGGCGCTTGTGATGATTTACAATCATAAGCATAGTTCATCTGAATATCTATGAAGACACCAATGTATTTTATAGTCTTTCGCTCCCATCTGATGCGCCCCGTTGATAGCCCATTGATATCTGTGCCTCATGGTAGCTGGCAGCAGCTAATCTGTCAACAGTCCGATTCAATTCCGACCCTGCAAGATGGTGGAACCGGTTCTACAAGAACAATACAGCCAATTTCTTCAAGGACCGCAAATGGCTTCAGCAGGAGTTCCCGATCTTGGAAAAGGTAACTCAGGAGGATGCCGGTCCTGTCACCATCCTTGAGATTGGAGCCGGCGCCGGAAACACGGCGTTCCCCGTGCTCTCCAAGAACAAAAACCCGAAACTGAAGCTGCATGCTTGCGATTTCTCCAAGCAGGCAGTTGAGGTCATGCGGAACCACGAGTCGTACGACTCGGAGGTGATGCAAGCCGATGTCTGGGACGTTGCCGGAGACGATCTTCCACCTGGTCTTGGAGAGGGATCCGTGGATGTTGCAGTGATGATATTCATCTTTTCGGCCCTCTCTCCGTCACAATGGGACAAGGCAGTAGAGAATGTGTACCGTGTGCTCAAGCCGGGCGGTGAGGTCTGCTTCCGCGACTATGGCAGAGGAGACCTTGCCCAAGTCCGGTTCCGAAAAGGACGGTATCTGGACGAGAACTTCTACATCCGGGGCGACGGAACGCGTGTCTACTTTTTTGAGAAGGATGAGCTGGCCAATATCTGGAGGGGTGAGCATAAGCAGGCCGCTGATGGTGAACATGGTGTGCAAGCTCGCTTTGACATTGAGCAGCTAGGCGTGGACCGTAGACTGCTTGTCAACCGCGCCAAGAAGCTCAAAATGTACCGCTGCTGGCTGCAGGGTCGGTTTAGGAAGAAATAGACAACCAAATCATTTCCATCAACAACTACGTACTAGTCGCATTGAATCCCTTCGCAATGGATGCTTTCACACGGTCTCAATAGTCCAAAGGTGCAGAATACCGGTATTGTATTATAATACAATCACAATTGTTATGTAGTTTGTAATTACACAACAAGGTCCTAGCTCCAGCGCCAGGGCCCCGAATCCTCTCACCGCCCGGTCTCAAAGGGCAGAATTGCCCGAATGCGACAAAGCAGGAGCTTCGTGCCTTCAACGGATCAACCACCCACTTCTTTCTCGCTGTGGTTTGGGGAGGCCGCATCCTACACCATATCAATGGATGAGGTTCTCAGCCGTCTTCTGACTTCTCCCCATCTACTCAACCTTGCGATACACCGAGATCGGCAACATCACTTCGCGCTTCTTTGATCATTTCGTGCTCACGCGCCGAGACTCATCGTCGATTCGTCGCTTCATCGATCCCGTCGCCATCTCTCGTCTGGTAAATCGTCGCCCGCCGCCCGCATCCGCATCGCTTTCACCGTCATTTGCCAGCTTGCCTACGCTCTTTTGCGATTATACCATTGTCTACGACGTCGAACACCCCCCCCGCCACGCGAATCCCCAAGCTCCTTTCCCTTCCGCAACCCCGACCTTCCCGTCTATCCTTCTTAGGACCTCCATCGCCAATGCTTTGCCTCGGTGATCATGGCCGCGCCAGCTAACAACCCCTTCGGGGGGTCTCCTGCGCAGGCCCTTACCAATGCTTTTGGCGCACCCGCTCTTCAATCTGCATCTGTATTCGGCCAGCCAACTCAGAGCACTCCGTTTGGCACACCATCTCAGACCAACTCCGGCACGTCGAATACGACACCTTTCACTGCGCCCATTGTAAACCCTTTTGCTGCCCCAATATCTGGCGTCGGGCCCTTATCGACAGGAAACCCTTTTGCGCCTCCGGTCCGCTCGTCATCTGTCTTCGGAACGCCGGCTACTTCTGCCCCGCAGTCAAGCGCCCCTCCATTAACAATAAGCAATCCATTTGGCAGAGCGTCACCACAGCCGTCCGCACCCAACTCATTTGCTCAAGGTGCGGCCAACACGTCAGGCGGTCCATCGGGCTTTGGAGCTGGCGACGAAGACGCGATGGCCCGTGGGACCAAGCAGTTTGGCAACAACAAGAATGGTGGGTTTGGTGGACGAGGCCAGAGCAGTGATGAGCCACGTGGTGGTCGGTTCCCGAATTCAAAGTTCTTAGGGAAACAACCCAACGAGCATGGAACGGACGAGAACAACGGACTCCAAACCGTCGACCGGAACAAGAAGCCTAAGCGGAATGACCGCAGTCGATCCCCTCGTAGGGTGAATGGGGACGAGGAAGGGCCCGTCCGAGAGCCTACCGAAAGGACGAAGGAGTTGTCACCCTTCGCCTTCAGCTTTGCAAACAAGCTGTACGGCCGGCTTAAGCAAGAGAATATCAACCCTCCACAATGGCCAGCAGAACCTGGCAATCCCAACAAGCGCGGCGCTATTGAGGGCCTGAAAGATGCGTATAAGAAATACCGCACTCGCGTCTACGCATCCCTACGAAAAGCTGAGCTCATCGACGACCCGGAGAAGAGGCGGAGGCTCGAGGATGCGCTCCCTTTCAAAGGCATATGCGAAGACATGTGCCCAGAATTTGAGCAGGTCTACCGTATTGCCGAGCATGATGTTAAGACAGAAGAGAAGGAAGTTCAGCCTGGCGGACTGATGCTGTGGCCGGAACCGTCCCGGATGGTCAAGAAGTTTGCCAGGTCTGCTGCTGGTCAAGATGCGCCCCTGCCCATGGATGTCCGCTCTGTCGATGCGCTACGGAGGACGACGGACTATCTCTTCAAAGATCTTCTCCAATCGGAGAACAATCTGCCTTCAATGCACAACTTTCTCTGGGACCGGACGAGAGCGGTCCGGAAAGACTTCACCTTCCACTCTCAGAAGACCGGCGAGGAGATGAAGGACATGGTCTATTGTTTTGAGACGATTACAAGATTCCACGCCACTGCACTCCATCTATTGTCGAAAAGGGGTGTTGCGAACGAAGACTTTGACCAGAAGCAGGAGATTGAGCAGCTGGGTCGGACCATCCTGTCGCTGATGGAAGCGTACGATGCGTGCCGCGATAAGCGCGTCACCTGCGAAAATGAGCCCGAGTTCAGAGCCTACTATCTCCTCTTCAACGCGCACGATCCCTCCATAGCAAAGAGGATTCCAACGTGGGGGAAGGAGTACTGGTTTGAGTCTGAAGAGATGCAGACGGCTCTGTCGCTTGTCCAGGCAATGGACGATGTCCGGGAACGAAAGGGGCCTATCAAGCCGCGGCGGCCAACGACCCTGTCCGACACTTCTTTCGCAAACTATTTTGCCATTGTTGAAGACCCATGTGTCTCTTATACAATGGCCTGCATTGCCGAGATTCATTTCACGACGGTGCGCCAAGGCATTCTCAAAAATCTAGTCCGGAGCTATGCGCGTTCCAGAGATGCCCCTCGTACAATTACGGCGTCGGATTTGAACCGGATGCTGAGGTTCGACACCGATGACGAGGCCGTCGAGTTTGCCGAGCTTCATGGTTTTGAGTTCTCGACATGGGTTCCCGAAGGGAAAAACCAAGTGCCTGAACCATATCTCCTTCTCAACTCCAAGAAAAAGTATGTACCCTGCCCGCGAGTCAGGCAGTCATTCTCGGCAAAACTGGTCGAGCGCAAGCGCACGACACAGTCCCTGATTGATGTCATCTACAACACCATTTTTGAGGAGCCGGTGGAAAAGTCGGCAAGCGAGGGGGGAAGCCCCGACGGGCTGTTTGTTAGCCAGGCAGCGCGATCCGAGACAGCCTCCTCTGTACCTTCTGCGACGGTAAAGCCACCTCTACTGTCATCACAACCAACCGGAACTCCTTCGCCGTTCAGTGTCGCTAGAGAGAAGACACACCTTCCTAACGGCATTCCACCAACCAAAGAGTCCGCCGGGACAGCGGCTCCTGAGCCCTTTGGCTTGCAAAAGTCGCAACCAGTATCCGATCCGTTCGGAGCTCCAACCCGACCCGCAACGGGTTCCAGCGCGTTTGGCCTTTTCCCTGGCTCTAACACGTCTATGCCTCAAAGCTCATCCACCGCCAGCTTGACTAGCACGACCAAACCACCCCCAAGCTTGAACCAACCTGCGCAGACAACGGCCCCTCCACCTTCAACACCCGAACCCTCAACACCTCTGGGGCTCTCTCCATTTTCTAAAGAGGCCACCTCGACACCTGCACCGTTACTACCGACCGTTCCGTCCGCACAAGCAGCCTCTTCCCCCCTGGCGACTCTGGATGCCGCTTCCAAACCAGTGCCGGCTGCGTCTGCCTTGGCGTCTTCTACCTCAGCGCCCCCAGCTCCCAGCATTGCGTTGCCATTTCCCTCGTTTTCGACAACAACGTCCGGAAAGCCAACGGAGCCGCCACCTACCCCTGCCGTTCCTGCAGTACCAACAATATCCATTTCTCCAGCCTCTGATGAAGACAAACTCGTCAGAAAAGAACCATTCCAGTCCATCTTTCCTCCGTCGAAGCCAGGGATATCTAGCCAAAGAGCTTTTCCCGCCAGCTCTAGTTCACAAACCGATGCATCTCCAGCGCCCCGGCCGGCTACCGCGCCGCTGAAGCCTCAGCCTCCTCCGAAGCGGGATCTGATGGGTGACTTTACAAAATGGTTCGTGCAAGGTGACGGCGGTCTCATGGAACAATTCACCGAGATTACACTGCAAGATATCCTCTGGGAAGCCTTTTCGGCCTTCCAAAGAGAAGAGGAAGAAAGGAAACGGCGCGAAGAGGACGAGGAGTCATGGCGGCTCGCCCGCGCCCACCAAGCCTACCGCCTGCAAGTTAAATACTTTTACCGATGGCGCGACGCCGCTCATGCCCGCGCCACCAAGCGCATTCTCCGCGAGGGCAAGAAAAAAATGCGCCTCTACCGTGCGCAGCAGCGCCAGGCACAGAAACAGCAGCTCGAGGCTGCGGAAAAGGCCGAAATTGAAGCTAGGAGGGCCTTTAAGCGCCAAGCCCTTGAGAATGGACTTCGCCTCGGTCAACTGGCGGATAAGGCACGCCGGCGCAACAGTTTTGCACGTAGTAGTATGGACCACGTTCGTGACTCTCACCCTGAGGAGGAAGCACGGCTGTTGCTTGAGACCGGCGTGTTTTCAGGCATTGGGGATGAGCGGGCCCATGTGCAGAGGGTCATGCGGGAGGATACCTGGTTACCGCTTGCGCCGGGACGAACGTTCCACTACTACTCGGACTCGGAATCGGAGCTCGAGTTTAATTCCCCGTCGCAACCGCCGAGGTCGGTGGCGGACGAGACCTGTAGTAGCGCCGGTGGCGGCGACAAGAAAGAAGGGTGGAAGACCAGGTCGCTGCGAGAACGGTTCGGAATTGACAACCAGCAGCGCTCCAGCTCCAGGGGCAGGAGCGTCTCTGCGAGCGGTTCTGTCAACGGCGGCAAGCCTGCTCCTTCGCATCTGAGCTTCAGGCAGTCCCTGCCTTCATCCATGCCCCCACCGCCTACAAACAAGACAACGAATTTCTCGAGAAAACGGTCAGCCGATTCAGACGGCGATTCGGAGGCGAGAAAGCGCCTCGCAGTGCATGACAACCTTAAAGGAAGCACCGCTGGGTCGCGGCCAAGATCCGGGTCTACCACCGCCCCCGTGGGTTGCCACCGGTCTCGCCATTGGGAGCTCCGCGCCAGGGGGTTGGTTCCCATGCCCGACGGGAGCTGGTTGCCCGAGGCCATTGCCAAGCACAGCCCCACCCCGACTACCACCTCCGATGTGCTCTCAGACGGTGGCGACGACGAGACCGAGCTTGATATGAGCGAGGTTGTGCGCAGCAGGGGCTCGCCTTCTCCGACGAGCATGCAGCTCCGTCTGGAGAGGCTCAAAAGATCGAGTCTCCGGGCGCATGCCGCGAGGCGGGGCAGTTTTGATTTTTACTCGCCTGGGGCTACTGGTCTTGATGTTGGTGTTGGCGCCGGAACAAGAATCGGCATGGATGGCTTCCTGAGCGGCGTGAGATCGACGACGTCCACTTCCACACCGGCTCGCCCTGAGAGGAGCCTGTCTGCGAAGAGAAAACGGGAGGCGCCGGCTGATGGAGATCGAGATGTGGATTGTGGAGAGGGTGAGGAGGACGACAGGGAGCTGTCGCCGCCCGACGCGAAGAAGAAAGCCACGAGTGTCCCTGTCGTCGGGGCGGCTGCTGCTGCCCCACTCGGTCGGGAGGAGACCAATGCCATGGTGGAGGACACGAGGAGGATGCTGAGGGAACTGAAGGAGTTTATGGATCGCATGGACCAGGAGGGGGGTGGTCCTGTTTCTTATCAGGTGTAGCGCGACGGAGCTTGGGATATGGCTTGAGTTGGCGAGGAGCTGTCTATGGAGAGCTGCGAGCAAATGGATCTCTCTGGAGCGGGACTCAGCCAGGTCACGGCTGTCTTCGCAGGGAATGATACCTTCGACATAAAATGCGAGGGAAAGGTGAATATGCCTGGGTATACTAAGAGAAATGACGGCATCAACAAGTGGGATGGGCCAACCACGAAACAATTCGGGGGAACAAAGCATTCGAGATGAAAAATAATGTCTGCGACCAAGCAAAGCGGGCAAAAGCATATACAGGGCGTTTTTTTTTTTTTTTTTTTTTTTTTTTTTTTTTTTTTATGGACGGGAGACTGGATGGACAGGTATCCAAGTTTCTATGCGGCGGTTGGTGGTCGGTACCAGGCATTCATTCACATTCTGTTTGTACATACATATACACATCTTTGCTGCATGGCTGTCCGGCGTTGTCTGGACGGTGGTTAAATGGACTCTGGCCACATATGGCGGATTGCATATTTGTGCATTCTATTCATACATTATCCAGCCGCTGCTCATGGTTCGCGTGTTCGGTGTCACAGGCATCTTTGTGTTGGTTCAAGACGATCTACGGCGGAGAAGGGGTTCCTGCTAGATCTTCAGTTCATGCCGTCTGGGTAAATCTACGAGCGGCCGGCAAGACTTAAGCCTTCTAAAAGAACTCTGGGAATTAGGCACGGGGTAAAAAGCCTGTATATAGTAGAAGAGCGATTCTTCGGATTCTGATCCCTTCAATTTGCAGCTGTTCACGAGAAGCAAAGGGCCACACCATGGGAGCTACCGACCTAAATACGTTTCTGATACATCTCTTAACATTACCCAGGTAAGAGCCGGATTCATCAAATGTGCTCCTTTTGGTTTTATGTCACATATGTACGCCGCCAACAGACTCGCCAAACTACGCCCACTGCCCAGCCGGCCAGTCATCCATGATCCAAGCCGTCAACCAGAATCCAAGACCATTGTAAGGCCCACATTCATGTCCAAACGCTCCGTCCCAAGAATACACAAGATTGCTCTCATCACTCGTACAAATACCCAATGTAAACAAGACATTAGCAGCAAAGTCAGCGCTGAGGGTATATCGCCATGACTTCAGCCACCCCAAACCACACTCGCATCCACACGTGATCTCCCTAAACAAAAAAACTATCACCTTTTGGGTGGCGCCGCAAACGTGGTTTGTATCTCCCACGTTTCGACGGGACTCCCAGGCACTGCATTCTTGGCGTTTCCTTTAGATACGGTACGACTTCCACGCCAGCCAGTTTCATTCGCGGGCGGCGGAGGCGGAGGCGGGGGGACTTCGTCGCCCATCGCGGGGCCATGCTTCAAAGGCCTGTGGTATTTGGGTGTCTGCTCCGACCACGTGCCTCCCCTGAGCAGGGGCGTCCCTCCAGTCCCAGACGTCGGACTGCTGAAGGTGCTGGCTGACGCCGGGACCGGGCTCTCGCCGTAGGCGTGCATGCCGTGCTCGGCAGGAACGTACGCCTTGATGGTCGGGAGCAGGGCTGCTGTGCTGCGCACCGAATCGGCGGAGAGGGGGTTGGAGTCCGATGGAGTTGATACCCCTGCTGTAGAAGGTGAGGTGTGGGCTTGGGGTGGCGGCGGGATGCATGTTGTCAAATGGTGCAGGGGCGCTCCGGCATTGGCAGCCTTTTTCGAGATGTGTGTGGAGTTGTCCTGATACGGAGACTCGGATTCTTTGGCCTTCCAGGACGGAGACCGCAGGCCATAAGCATCACCCTGCCCGTCCGCAGGCGACGACACGCCGTGCTCAGCGCCTGGCCAGAGGCGGGGAGAAAGCATGTGTGTTTTGCATTGAAAAGAAGTAGAAGATGGCGGGCGATGGCCGAAACGGTTGTAAAAGTCGGCCTGAATGCTGGCGCGCGTGCGCCTGTTCTTGCGCTTGCGCAAACAGATGAAGGTTGTGGCGGCGATAATAAGGATGAACACAATACCTCCGGCGACAACACCAACGATTGACGGTGTTGACAATACAGGGGCAGAGCTGGTTTCCTCATTTAGGGTCGCAGGATCGACAATGCGGACTAGGTGATTGGAAAAGACAGTCTCATTCAAGCCGAGTAGCACACCCTGTGCGGGCTGTTGCAGGCAGCCAGCTTCTAGAGCCACGAAAACTACGTCTCCTATTAGTGCCACGACCTCGTGCGTTGGGCTGGGAGCTCCTTACAATTGGCTAGGTACCTGGTATTGCTGCTAGCGGCGAGGCAGGGTGTACACTTGTCATAGATTTCTTTACTCATGCCGGCATTGTTCGCTGCCGAACAATAAGAGTATGCCGTTGTCTTGCCCTGGCTCGGGATGCCATGTTCTATGGAATCCTTTAGGGGGCCGCAAGCAAACTCGTTTTGGCATGGGGTTGAACCGAGACCGGTCGCATTGGGGTAGTTGAAGAGGCAGTTCGCAGCAGTGTATCTCAAGTTGTCTGATTAAGGGATCAGCAGAAGGTTGAGAATGCCGTGTCTTCGAGACTTACATAAGAACCACATAGTATCACTCTCACTCCCTTGTGAGAAGTCGCTTCTTTGTAGACATGTCATGCATTCCTTGAATTTGTTTCCTGGGGCCCGTGAGTAGTCGCTGTCGAGACAAGTAATGTCGGAATTCCTTGTGTTTGACGAATTGGGGTCCGAAACATCGAGCTCTGGTGAGTCCAAGCATAACGATGCGCATGGCGAGTTTGGTGTTACTTGCAAGGCCGAACCGACTTGGAGCTGCGATAGTGAGAAAGCCGTTATGAGCGTCAATGCCGTTGATGCTATTGTCCCTTGATAGCGCGCCATGGTGAGAAGCTCGCCACAAGCGGGATGAGAGGGTAGGAGTATTAAAGCCCGGGTCCAGCCTAGGCTTTTAATGCGACCGGCTAAAGGAGTGAATGAGTCCGGGCCAGACCATCAAGGAAGAGGAACCCTGGGATCGCATCAACGGTATCTCAGGTCGAGAAGAGGACCAGAGAAGTGAAAATAAGGTAGATGGTATAATGTATATTGAACGTTTGGAAAACCAGGCACTGGAGAGGATGCAGACGCAGGTCGTTCCCCAATTCCTATATCGTTATCCTGCTCAGTTGCACAGCACGGGCATTCTCGTGCCGCCGTGGTCTGTGTTCTCGATGTGCGTGTTGGGAAAGGCGGGGGGGCAGCAGTAAGAGCGGGTGGGTGAATGTGACGAGATGCATGCAACGTCGACTAGGGACAAGAGACGCAGACAAGGCAGTGGGGTCCAGACGCATTGTCGGCGGCGAAGGCAGAAGTGTTTTTCAGGTGCGGCACTGCTTTGTAGACCCCGAGCTGGGTAAGTTATCTTATCCTAGACCGGATCGGGATGTGACGAGTTGATGGTCTTGTCTGGCCCATCTGGGACCTTCGGGGAGAACACTGTCACCGACCAGTGACCACCCTTGCGAAGTCCTCACCCGGACAGCCCAATCACGGCGAGGAGCTCTATGGCACACGGATGGTCGGCAGAGGGCCGTTCCCCGGCCTGGTGGCGGCCATATCTGCTGTTGGCAAACAACGGCAGCGGCCGTCGCCCCTACCTTAGTTCCCGCATTCCCTGATCAGTGGTGTCTGTGCCAGACTATGGTAGGATGGTGTTCCGTTTGTGGAATGTTGGAAGTTGGGACTCAGTCAATCGCACAGCCGCCAGCCCTTGTGCCTTTCGTTGTCTCGCTTGCGAAACTCAGCTCTAAGGCGTAGTTGCTTCAGCGCGTGCTTCGGGTGACGCTGTGATGAGGCACTCCACTGTGATCGTTTGCGACTTCAATGACTGCAAGAGCGCATTCCCTCTTCTCGGTTTGTTTGTTCCTGTCGAAGTTGGCGAGCTAATAAAGGAGCTAAAGGAGCTAAAAGACAGGAACAGGGTTGCGGGCGCTTCGGAGGAAGGCGCCAAGACTCATTGGTACTGCTAAGCTGGGGCCACCATGGCGAGACTATCACCCAATATCGGGAAGCTTCAACCAACAGCATCTTGCTGTAGCCATCTCATTCGTTTCCACTCTACCCAAACTAAGGAAAAAAGCGTCTGCACGACATTGATAGCGAGACAGCATCACTGCCGTCTCAATGCGGAAGTGTCCTACATTTTACCCGCGGTATGTTGGCTGCTTGATTGGACCACGGCGTTGCCTATCGATCGGCCTCTTGCTGTTGCCCCTTTTCCAAGCTGTTGGATCATGGAGGAAGCCATCCATGCTGTGGGGAGAATGACCGAGATCAGAGGAGAAGCGTCTACCTCCATTTCGCCTTTCCCCGTCCACAATCATAGCATCACCATTCCCGTCATATTCGCATCGGCACAGACCCGGTGCTTCATCTATTGGTGACATTGTCTTCCGCGTTTCAACGCACGCTCAGACGATCTTGACAATCTCGCAGCCCGACATCGTTCCCCATCTGCGACACACAAGACCGCCCAAGATGAATTAAGACCCTGCTGTATTAACGACACCGATAGATAAGTTGGCCATCCCTCTGTCTCCCCAATGGCGTGCTTTTCCCAACTGCAAGGGAAACGGGCCAAGCCGGAGCGGGACGGTGACGGCAGGTTCAACCCACCGGAGCTGCCACAGCAGGCGCCGTAGTTACCAAAGCATGTTTAGCTCACCATTGAAACATATGCCATTACCTACCCCTGTTGCGGTCTTCTACATGTGAAAGGGGCTATATGGTGAGTTTGAACTTAGTGAGACCATCATGGAGCTGATTTTGTTGTGAGAAAGCGGGTCACCTCCATCTGGAACCCCTTTCCACCAGTTCCTCAAGACACAACCACCTTGTCCCCCTGTGCCTCCATGTCGGCCCCGAAAAGGCATCTTCCGGCCGGACAATTCCCATGGAACACCATCCAACGGGCCCCCGGTGCCGCGGCCGCCCCACCCGGAGCCGTGATATTAAACCGATCGCCGGTCCGAATCACCGGGCCCCCATCGACCCGCTCATACGGGCCCGTAATATTCTCCGCCACCGCATAATTGACACTATACCGGGGACCATCCCAGCAATGGTTACTATAGAAGAGCACGTACCTGCCCCGTCCTCCTCCCCCTCCACCGCCGCCCCAACTGCCCTCCTCCACCTCCTGATCCTCATCCCGGTAAAACACCAAATCCGGCGCCTCCACCAACGCCCCGTCCTCCTCCCCACGGTCAAACACCACCACCCCCTCCCCAACAAAACTAACCCCATCCGCCGGATCCACCTCCTGCAGCACAATGGGCGTCTGCCGCCGGGGCTCCACGCCATTGTTGCATTCCCCGCCGAGCCCCAGCGCGTTGCCGTCCACCTTGTACAGGAGGTACCGCTTGCCCGTGGGCGGGTCAACAAACCCCGCCGGGTCGATGGCCCCTCCCTGGTCGAGCGGGCACGCCAGCGGTGACGGTAGGGGGCTGTACGGCCCCAGGACGGACCCGCTTGACGAGACGGCCGCGCCGACGCAGTGCAAGGCTGACTGCGGCGCGGCGAGCTGGCCTGAGTAGTACATTATGAAGGTGCCGTTGCCGTTGCCGTCCTCGTCGCCGTGGTTGTTGTTGTTGTTGTTCTTGCTGCTATCACTGGGAAGGTAGTGGACGGAGGGCGCCCAGGTCTGAGAGCCCGGCCCGGCAGTCCAGTTTCCCGGGTGTGGCAACGGGTCGGCCTGCGGCAGGTAGGTCCATGGTCCCTGTGGCGAGGGGGCGGTGGCAGCCTGGACGTTTCTGAATATGCGTGGCGAGGGGAAGGTGGTCGTGGTGGTGGTTTGGTTCTGGTCGGGCTCTTGTGGAGTGAACGAGCCCGTGGCAAAGGCGTACCATGCGCCCGAGGCAGGGTCTTGGATTACGCAAGGGTCCGGGAAATCGAAGGGGAGTAGGGGGGCTTTTGGCTGGGCTCGGGGTTGGACTGCTGTAATTGTTATTGTTGTTGCTGTTGACGATGATGCGGACCGGGGATAGAGCCGCAGCGTCAACAGGAGGAGGAGGACGCAGGAGATTGGGATGAAAAGGGGGAGCATGGCTGCTGCTGCATTGGAAGAAGCGCTCAACGAGGCGGGTGGCTCTTCTCCCTCAGGAGCCGGCACTAACAGCCTTTGACTGCATCGGCATGCAAAGACGAAGAATCAGAGGCGACTCTGAGGAAACGGGGGGCACTGCGAGTAAGGTTGCAGCTGAGTTACGGCCGACAGAAGTGATCGGATCATCACCAGGCTCCTATTCGAAGATTGACATCATTCAGGCTCCCGACAGGCCAGTATTGTACCTGACACCTCGCTGACGTATGGAGATCTCGTGTGGCTTTGGCTCGGACCGCTTGCCAGGAGAGAGGAGACAGCTGCGGAGGCAATTCGTGGCATCCTGTTTGCTTATAAGCACGAATATGCAAGATGCCTTTGCATTAGTTGTCGAGAATACTACTGGTATTATTGTCCTGTGACTCTGAGGCCACTTACTGTTTGTCTCGCAACAAACAAGTCCACTATTCACCATGAGCCTCTATTGGATCCCCGATCCCAAGCCACCATTCATGCCTTATTGATGTCACCAATCCAAACCGACAATAAAATGAATCCTGCTGTCGAACCGGAAGGTGTCACGTCTTGGGGATGGAGCGAGATGCGACCAGCCAAACAGACAAGAAACTCCGAAATACCGGGCCTGATGCCCGTTGGCACAACCCTTAGCCGCATGATGCTAAAAATCTGACAGGTACTCGAGGCAATCTAGCCCTGACTCGAGACTAAGCTTCCGGCCGTTCTTTGTCGGGCTTCCAATGGGAATGGATCTTGAAATGCGGCCTGTATTTTACAAGTGTGTTTGAATATCAACTTCTTTAGCATATCCATCCCACAACGTGATCAACTCCCCTTCCTAGAATCCCATAGACGGAAGATCACCCGGAAGATCACTCCACCTTTAAGTGCGTTGGGACTTTTCTAGTTGAAACAGAGCCCTTCCAAAGAATTAAACTTAACGATTCCACCACCTTGAACACCCTGAAACGCCGATCGTCCTTTTCCATGCATCCGCCGCGGCAAAACGCCACCTCTAAGAAGAAACGGAGAAGAAGGAACTAGAACTAAGAAACCCATCTCCGTCTTAGTCGCTGTCATCCGCCTCCCCCTTCTCTGCCTTCTTCGCCGCTTTCTTCTCCTTCTTGAGACGCTTGCGCTCCGCCTTCTCCTCGGCGGTCTCGCCCTCATGCTTCTTGCGTTTCTTCTTTTCCTCCTCTGGCTTCACCTCCTCCTTGGGCTCGGGTTGCTCCTCGGATGTCACCTCGGCGCCCTCGACCTTCTTATCAGGGGAGGCTGGCGCGGCCGAGCCGGCCGGGGCGGTGTAATCTGTGTAACCCTGGGTCCACTGGGCCGGAGTGGCTTCGTTGGGCCGGCCATACTTGTCAAGCTTGCCATTTGCCTTGAGCTTCTTCTTCTCAAGCGCCACGGGACCCAGGCCCCAGCGGCGGGGGTACAGATCGCGTTCCATGATGCAACGCTTGACCTTTGCAACAACACCATGGTCACATGTAGACATCCTAACGAAAAGTTAGTGTTATGCGCTGAAAACGTCGGGAGTGGTGACACATACTCGACGGTGCTCATCTGTGCAATGCCAATGGCAATAGCTTCACCCTTGGTAGTCATGAGAACAACTTCCTCATGGGTCTCAATGCCAGGATCGTATCGGAGCAGACCAGGCAGCATTAACTTTGCTCCGTAGCAGACTGCATTGACAGCCGAGTCTTTGACGACGAGCCGCTTGTACGTGCAAAGCAGCGTCTCGAGGGGCTGGATGACCTTGCGCAGGTACGACTCGTCGCCGCCATTGTCGTACTGCCACTGAGCGTCGAGAACGTCGTGCAACGTGACCATGTGTCCATCGTCCTCCGACATGACACCGCTGCGTACGCGGCGCAGCTCCTGCATGTGGGCACCGACACCAAGCAACAAACCCAGGTGCACGCAGAGTGTACGGATATAAGTACCGGCCTCGCACGACACCCAGAAGACACCCAGGTGGCGGTCGTTATCGAATTCGATCAGCTTGCTCTCATGGATCGTACGGATACGGAGCTGGCGCTTGACGGCCGAAATGAGCGGCGGGCGCTGGAAGAGCGCGCCGGTCAGCGTCTCGAGGGCCTTGGCAAAAGCAGCCTCGCCGCCGGCAACGGTATCGTGCATTCGGATGACGCAGACATATTCCTTGCCCGCGCCCTGCTGGGCTTTGACGAGTCTCGTGGCGCGGTCAATGCAGACAACTGTGTGGGAGATTGTTAGTTAGCCTGGACAGGAAGCCACAGAATTTTCGGTGCATCGTCACGTACTCAAACAGCCGGTGACCTTTGGGTCCAAGGTACCGGAATGACCAGTTTTCTCGACGCTGCAATACAGGTCTTAGCACACCTCTTACAGCGAAACCAGTGCCGCGGAAAGGCCCACATACCGCAGAATTCGCTTGAGCCAGGCGACGACTTCGTGGGACGAAGGGTTTGACGGTTTATCCTGTTATCGAGTTAGCCTTTTATGCTCCTTCACCTCGCAATTTCCCAGACCACATTCTTCTCGATCGAGGCGCGATCGAATCACACCGCAGCAAAGCACTGACCAGATTTATGACACCGCTCGAGACGTATGACTTGATGTCGCGCTTGTGCGGCGCAGAGCCATTGGGAATCGGTGTGAAATGTCCCGACCGCACAAGCATCTTATCATAATTCTTCAGCAACAGCGGCCAGGTGCTCGTGTCGAGCGCCGGCACCGTGTTCTGTGGCTTGATCGTATACTCATCATCTCCCACGCCCTCGCCCTTTTTCACCAGTGCTGTAGAGGCCGACATTGTCGCTGCGAGTAGATTCAAATAGACGCCTGTTGTGGTGTTTATTGTTGCCAACTTGCCCCACTGTCGCCTGTTTGTGAAGTCGTAGCTAATCTCGAGTCCAACTGAAGCAAGATGTTGATTATTAGCAAGTAAAATCTTCCGCGAGCTGGCAATGATCCTTCAGCGTCGGGCCAGCAGGCTGGGATGAGTATTTGGACAGGCCCAGTACGCTTATCCACCGCCTTGTGGTGCTGGTCGACCTGGGAAGAAAACAGATCCAGGGCTTCGTCCCCAGAAATTTTTCGCTACTTACCGACGGTAGGACGCGACCTAGTGTGGGGATGTGATATCCTGGGTGGCGATAACCGGTTGTGAAGGAGCTCACGTGGCGATAGAAAGTTATCCGAGGTTTGAAGAAAAGAGAGAAGGTTTGGGGGTTTAAATTTTTCGCTTTTGGTGACTCACAATTAACTAGCGTATGCAACAAAGCAAACAAGATCAATCCGTCCCCTCAATTAATGCATAGCGGACATACAATAACATATGTCTCTGTGCTGTGGCAGCCTACTATGAATGGTAATGGATTTCATACAGTCCAGATCAGTCAAGCTATTCCAGATAAATTACAAGACGGTCCCTGTTATCATGGGACAACTCGCTCTCAAGTCTCAATGCTGCCTGATCATGCATGCAGATGCAATTCAGAAAAGCAAGGCCTAGCCACAAAGACTAAACCTGGTATCTCCTAAAACGCCAATGTCCTATACGCCGGGTATATTATTCGCGTTTCCAGAACCAGATCCTAAGAACGCACTTCATCAAACTCACGACTCCTGCGGCCGTCATACTAAAGAAAGGCCCCGTTCCTCGGCGACAGAGCAGCGTCGGCTATGCCGCCTGTCCCGTCGTCCGCGCCGGGCCGCGACCGATGATGCCTCCCGTAACCCGGGTGATGCAGCACCGGTGCCCGCGGCTCGGTCGGCATCGGGTACCTGTAGTCTCGGTCCAGGGTGCCGGTGTTGCCTTTACTGCTGTAAGGGCTGTCCATCTCGTACTCTTCGCCTCGCTCCTTGCCCTTGGAGTCGACCGGATATCCATTATGGTTCAGCATCTGGTACGGCGATCTCGCCTCGTCGCCGCCTAGCGCCACCCCTATCACATCCTGTTGTTGCCTCTTGTCGTATTGCATTTGCTGCTGCATGAGGAGCTTCTCCTGCCCTACTGTGGGCCACTGCGTGAATGCCGGCGGGGGCGAGCCGTGCACGGGTGATTGCTGCTGTATCAGATCCCCAAACTGCTGTTGGGTCGGCAGCGACGGCCAGTTCGCCGCGACGGGACCGGCACTGCCGGGTGATACGGGGCTGTTGTACTGGCTTGAGTAGGGGCTGAAGTATCGAGGGAAAGCCCCGTCCGTATGCGCGCTAACAGGGCTCTCGGTCTCCCAGCCGCGCAGGGGCTTTTGGCTGACTGGAGTCTCGAACATGTCGCTGCCACCGCCGCCGTAGCGGGTCGAGGGATGCGGCCAGCCCTGGGCCTCATGGCGGCGCTGGAGGTCGCGCAGAAATGCCCGCCGCTTCCGCTTGCCGTTGCATACGATGCAGAAACCAGCCACGGCCAGGAGAAAGGCGAAACCGCCAAAGGCGATGCCGACCCGCCCGCCGAGGGAGATGGGACCGTAGTCGGTACTCGGCACTGACGCGTAGGCAGGCTGTGGCGGCACGATCACAACGTCCTCGGAGCCAAACAGATCACCCTGAATAGAAACTGTCGAACCGGTCGAGGGCTTTTGCTCGCATGCTGCTTCAAGAACCGTCATGTAGTTGATCAGATACTGGCCATCGTCAAGGACGTCGAGGCAAGTCGAGCACTTTGGGACAAAATCCGCTTCCCAATTCCTGCAATAGTCGTAAACGCCAACCGTAGTGCTGAAGTTCTGGTATTTGATTGCGTCCTCTAGCTCACCACATGCCGTTCTAGCGCGTGGTCAGCTCGCGGTACTGAATGGCCGGACAGCGTGTTCAAGCTCACCTCGTAACGCATGGGTTGTTGGGACCCGAATCAAACAGGCAATATCCCATATTGAACCGCAGGTTGTCTGGGAAGTCAAGGGTTAGTCACAAGCTAACACGGAGCTATTGCTGACAGCGGGAGATGCATACAAAGTAACCATTGGAGATCCGTCTCGTTCCCGGAGACATGAGTGCTTGTAAGCAAACAGTCGACACACTGCTCCCAAACTAGGCCCTTTGAGGATCTTGTGAGGCTGCCGCTATCGCAGGGCATCTCTTCCCTGGAGATCGACGAGAGGACATTGCCGCAGAATTTGGAGCATGGTGAATCCGGCGCGACCAGCAGCGACGCCGCCAGCGGCGCCGACACTGCCACGGCGATGGAGAGACGGGGAACGTTGGCCCGCATCTCGGTGGTTCGAACTTCGCTTCCCTTCAACGGTGATTATACCAGAGTTTCGATGGAGTGATAGGATATCTCGCCTCGCGGATGAAGCAGCAGAGCAGTTCCAGGAGACGCTTAGTGCCGCGTAGATGGACAAGACGACATAATGCCCATCTTCTGTTGCAGAGATTCCCCTGATCACGGAGTTGGGACGCGGATATACTCAAAGACTGGGGAAGAGGCCGGCAGAGACTGTAGAAGCCACCGAGCACAAAGCAAACGATTAAGCGCGCAGGTTACCACCTCATCCAGCTTGTTCCACGGGGTTTCGGCACTGATTCACAAGAGAAACAGGCTCCAGGAATCGATGCTAGCAGGTGTGACAGTGACAGGATGGTCGGCGAGGACATGGCACACACAGTGAGAGATGCTAGAAGTCTGCGAGACTGTGACCCCGGCACACAGCGTCGCTACTAGTAAACAGCAAGCATTCTGCATTGCAGGACTGTGGACTGTGTGAAGTCCCCTGCTCAACCCAACCTGCTGCAGATATGGGATTATGGATGCCATGCGCGTGATTGGCGATCGGAACACGCCGTTATTGTGTGAAGGTGTGAATGGGCAATTGGGAAGGGGCTGATGGAAATCGATCGACACTCCGCCATGGCTCGGATGCCGTCTGCCAGTCAAGCATTGGCCGCAGCTTCAGGCCCCCGGAAAGCATGCCGCATCACGGCGCGGCCGGACTCCTAGACCAAGTTGGTCATGCATGTGCTCGCAGCTTGGGCCAGTGGTAACACAAGGAACCAAGTGATTGCTGCAAGGGCCCCTGCGAGTCCTTTTCACTTTCACACCGTGCCCGGTTCCACTGAGTACTTCGGGCTGTGGATTGGCTGTCACTCCGCACCTGCTGCCCCACTACTTTCCCGATGCGGCCGAAGCTTAAGGTGCCATTTCAACGCCAACTCGGAAGTCTCTTTCCACCACACTCACAAACCAGGCAAATGCCGTTGCAGAGTGGCTTCCCAGCTGGGCCGCAATCTTTTCCGCCGCTTCAGCTCTCATCAATCAACTGAGCCCAACATCCCGTTCCACGACATGGCCCCCGCTCTCGCTGTTGGTTGCACTCTACGGTTTGTCGATTCTGTTGGACCCCGCCCGTCCGTTTCCACTTTCCAGATGCGACGGGACAGGACGGGAGGAAGAGCTTGAGTAAAGCTTGGCTTGTGAGGCATCGCAGGAACGGGGAGATTTGGCACGAAATCGCACAGCAATTGACCATGTAAGCAATATGTATACGACTCCAGTTTTTAAAGATTTGGTTAGACCGTTCAAGAACGCTGGGCACTCCCAGCTGCCCGGACACTGGATGCGCCCGGCCTTCCCCATGTACATACCTTCATTGCAAGCGCCGCATTCACTCAATTGCCTCTCCAGTACGGCAACAACTTCTGTGTATACTATGTATGCGATAGCAAACAAGGAACTGTGCCTACTCCTTACTTCGGTGATAGGACGAGTAATAACGAGGGACAAGCTGGCTCCCACCCTCAGAAACAACACAGACTGTCGTACAACCATCAGTTAGCGGTCCATGCCCTGCCAACGCATATTATCCGGCTCCCATTGGCATAAAGTCATTGCAAACGAAATTATGGACGGCGGCAAAACCAGACTGCCGGATCCCAACGGGCTTGGTCGAAGCTTGTCTGCGTAGGCCTTCGTCAAAGGGAGATATGCCTCGGCATTGGGGATATCAAATGCCGAACCCTCCAGAGGCTTTCCCGAGGGGAGTCCTTAAGGTCCTCTGCGGAATTCAAGCCCGTTAATGGCGGTTAAAAAGAAGGTTTATCCGACCCTGTTGCCAACAGCTACAGCGATACCATTCCGACCACACTGCCTCCATACCTAGGGGTCCAAGTAACGCTGTTGGGCCTCTGACGCGGTCCAACCTCCGCAAGGCCGCCGCTCATGGCAGAAGTCTTGTCTCTATCCGACCAACTTCAAATGCAACGTAAGACACCATTTTGTGTAACATCTCTCGACGATGCAAGAAGGGCGCCAAAGGGATGGATGCAACACTGTTGGGGAAGAAACATAGGATGAGACACATGAAGGGGCTCTGGCGACGTAAAACCAGCGTAGAAATATAGTATCATATCTAGACCTAAATCCAAGGCCAAATCACTTTGCCATTGCATTTCCTATAACATCCCCTATTCCATTGGATCCTTGACCCCGGACTTAGTGTTCCGGTCGGTCAAGTTACCTAGCACCTCAGAACTCCCAACCCGTTGCAAGCCCCAAGTTGCCAACCCCGACTCCCAGCCCCAAGCTTTTCCTCCCCCAGTTCCTTAACCAGGTTTCAATATCCTTTAAGCCCTTGATAGACCCCCAATCCCACTCTGCTTCTGATCCCGGCCTTCTCCAACGACGCCCTCAGGCTCGAAAGCGAGACGATTTACTCGCGAATGATGAGAGGCTCTCCTAGGTTCATTTGTACGCTGCCCGTCCTTGGCTTGACCGTCGTTCCGTCTGCGACATCCCCTTCATCATCGTCATGGCCGCCCTCGTTGAATGTCAGAACAGATGAAGTCGTGGAGGACCACATCCCAGGGCTTATCAGTCCCGGAGCTGTCTCCATGGAAGGCGGAGAGGGCAGCTTCTCTTCCCTCAGCCGTCGGCGCCCTCTGCATTCCTCCTCTTCCTCCGCGCTTGTTGGTGGTTTCTGACTCTGTATCAGATTGCTAGGCCAATCTGGACTGCCATTCAAGCTTCGAGTCTCCCTCCACTCGTAATGCAGTTGCCTAGCATCTCCATCCCGACCCGAACCCCATCGCTCCCCCAAAGGAGAATCTTTCCCAGCAGTGAGCTGTCTGCCGCGAGTTACACGCCCAGAGGTGTATCCTCCATCAGAGTCACCATGTTCGTCCTCGGAGAGGCGCGTGTCAGAATGGTAGCCATAGACCTCCTCTTCCTCCTCCTCCTCGTCTTCATAATAGTGATCCTGTTCGTCGGGTATGAAAACTGCGTGGCGGACACGAGATGGCGGGCGCGGGCCTAGCACTCGTTCGCTACGAGAAATATTTTCCTTCAGGATGCGTGTGCTTTCAAGTTGTCTGCCACTGTCATGGATGTCATACAGGGAACTGCTTCTCATGACGGGCCTATCTCCCGCTTTGCTTGCTGGCCTGAAGGGCGCAGGAGAGAACGAGTCGTGCATGCTCGATTCCCGCCCGTCATAGGCTTGGTCCGGGCCCTGTGAGAGCGGGGAACAACCCGCGTCATCGGAAAGATTCCGCACCTTCGTCGATGTCGGCCGGCCGGTGGGGGATGGGCTGCTATCGATACTGGGGCCGGACCGTTTACTCAGCTCTTGCAAAACACCTGCTAGGTCGGTCCAGGAGTCGGGTACAGCGTCTCCTTCTGGCATCCTATCCGAGTCCTCAGCTACCTCTTCTGTTTGTTGATGATCGGCCTTAGATTGGCTGAGATTTGGAGTGTCAGAGACTGATTGGCCATGCTTCTCTTTGTCCAGTGAATCCGCTGCATCCTCCTCCTCCCGGGCGGATTCAGTCAAGGCAGCGAGTTTGGGCTCATGTTTCCAAAACCACTGCGGTGGCTTCGGGTCGATTGGCGTCGAAGTCCAACCATCTTCTTCGAATGGTGTTATCGGAGTCATGGTCGCACCCCCGCCAAAGAGGGCAGAGTGTGAACCATCATGATACTTCCAAGGCGACGGGCTCAGCTTGTTTTGAAATCGCCATGGGGACCTTGGAGTCGACATATGTGGTCGTGGGGGCCGCCGTGCCGAGACAGCCGAGAACAGTTCTGGACTATCAATGGTGATGTCGTCGGTAATAGCGCCATCCATTCCCATGTACTGGCCAACCTGAGGGTTGGTGGGAATATGTAATCGGGTGGGTGATCGACTATCTGCTTGAATCTCATCGGTAGGGCCTGAGGGTGCTAGCCAGGGAAGCCTAGGGGATGTTGCACTGCGAGGACTCCTGGGCCCGACTTCAACCCTCGGGCTCGTCGGCTGGCTTGCATGGCTTGCTTCCGGGAAGACTGTATCGGAAACGCCCCCAGAGGCTCGCCTATCAATTGGCGTGCTGTCATGACCGTCGACTTCTAAATCCAAGGCTGTTTCTTCCACCAAATCGTTATCTGCCTCAACCCCGTCCGCATTTGTCAGCCTGCTCTTAGGCGGAGAGTTTGTATCAACGACAAGAAGTTCCTTCACTCCACGGCCGAGGACGCCATAGACGAATACCTCACCACCCTTGACGCCAAGCACGGCACTGGTCCCCGTGTACATTGCCTCATCTTCAACTCCGGTCCTGTTGCAGAACACGACAAGCACCTCCTCCTCGTTCTCTGCGCGGATCAAAGGCTCGAGCCGCTGGACCCAGTAGACAAGCGTCTCAAGATCTGGTTCCTTGGTCCTGCGACTGAACGAAGCGGGATCTTGATGTGTTTGCCAAGCCATGGTCAGGATCACCACGTTGGCGTGCGAATCCAAGACGTGGTATCCAAATTCGAATTCATCCCATGGCGCCTCAAGTTTGTAGGGGCTCATAGGATGTCAGCGTACAAGGCTTCGAAACAGCTGAGCAGGAAGAACATACTTGAGATCGGTGCAGATACCCAACGCGACCGTGCCTAGGCCGGGAATGGCGTCGTGGAAGAAGCCGTCTTCGCCTTCTAGCGCCCATGTCTCGTCAGTGTAATACAGGAAAGATTTCCTGTAGTTGGCGATAGTATCGCCATCGCCGTTCACGACGAGAGCCGAGTTGTAGTACTCGGGTGATGCAGGCCACTTGGCGGAGACATCCACCTTCTCCGGGTAGCCCACGACAACCGTGCAGTCATACTTCAAAGCGGTTGTTCGCGCCCAGAGAGAAGTGATTCCGGAGCTTGTATGCTCGAGAAAGGGCGAGATTTGCTGCAACGATCTGAAGTTGTAGCCTGTGGAAGGGCACGTTAACACATGGACCTGGCTATTGTCGAGGCGTGAAGAGAACGGATGCTAATGCTGATGCAAGGGGAAACAAACAGGACCAAGACGTACCGGTGAAGGCAAGCTCGGGCAGAACAAGCAGGTCCAAGCCATCGAGCTCCTCGGCACTCGCTTTGCTGAGAACGGCGTCTGCACGGTTGAGATTGTTATCGATGTCGCCCACCTGAGGGGCGAATTGCAAGCAAGCGATCTTCATGGTGCCAGACTGCCGGGAAGCCTTGCGGCCCGACCTTGATGAGACGAGAGGGAGCCAGTCTGGGTGAACTCAACTTGTCCCAACAATGGCAGCTTCAGCGGGTATCAACCATGATGTCGGGGATGGCAGTCGGGGGAGGCGGGGTCCGGAAGCTTTTCAGGACGGACCAGCATCCGAGCTGAGCCACAGCCCAGGACATGGACAAGTGGACAAGGGAAAAAGACGGTGGCACGCGGGCCTAGCACAGCAGTGCGGCCTGGGTTTACGGAACCATCGACAGGGCAACACGGCCCCTACCATAGGTGATAAGCCAGTTGTGCCATGACCATCTGCTAAGCGCCGACAGCCACGCTACGAAAGTACTTTATGATGCCACCCTGTTCAAGTGGTTAGGTTAGCTTGTGTGATCTCTCCGCACCGGCCACTAGCATGGGCCGCTCCGACATTGTAGTGTAGTGTAAGAACCTACCGGTACTCCGTACCACTTGCATACACTAGAATATGCCGAGCGGGAAGGATTCGAGTGGAGACCATTGCGGTGACCCAGCAAGATATATCTTTGTTGGGCGAAGTCGTGCAGCAGAGGAGACTCGAGCTGTTTCCTGTCATGCCGAGGACATCTCTCAACATAGGTAGGCTTGGGCGCCCTTGGTGAACTCAAGATGGCACCAAGAGTCTTCGGCTACATAATGGGCGCAGAGGTGGAAGCAGCGTCCCACCTAAGTTTGATCCCGTTTTCCTGTGCATCCTGCGATCAAGCGGGAGCAACCGGTCAATCACTTTCTCACTCGTGGAGACACTTGGGGCCAGGGGCTGTGGCCAATGAAATCGACGTAATCGTGGATAACACTGCTGACTGGTGGGGCCATCCGATCGCTTTCTGCGGGTGGCACGGAGGGCGAGTGCGGGGAGGATGGGCCGTGCACTAAGCAGTGGGGGCGCAAAAACGTCGTACCCGAGAACGCTGGACTTCCCTCTGGCGCGTATCCTTCCTCTTCCTCAAAACCAATCAGTCATGCTTGAACCCAGAGTCACCGTCTACAGGGTGGCACAAGCAGATATGCAGAGACGGTTGCGGCGCGATTATTCAGCTAGTCTTCTCGAAGATGCTCTGGTCGCTGTTTTTCCCCTTTTGCGTGGAACATTACCACCGGTTTCGCAGGGGCACAAGAATACTCGGTCTCGAAAATTGAAGGCCGGTTTTATGCCATGAATAACGCCTTCACCACCACTAATCAGGAGTTTGGCCCTGGGACATAGAGTATATGAGCGTTGAATTGCCCGAGTCGAGCAACAAGGCCGGCAGGATTAACGAAGCTCTATGCCCTGAATCCGGTTTCGCTCTCATTCTCTTAGAGGGCAACCATGCGACGGTGGTCACGAAATGCGGAATCGCTCTTACAGGTCTCTTTTATCGGCATAGAAGTCCGACTTTTGCGGCAACGCTCCTAATGGGAACCGGAATTCGGTGAAGTACCAAACTATTTGGACTCGGTCTGCAGCCTTCACACCGTTCCACAGATCCTGGCGGTAACATGGGATCTTGCAAGTTAACTGCCGAAGGAAAGCATTACCACGTCCTCACCATCGTCCAAAGCCATGGCTCTGTCATTCCGAGAGTGTTCGGTCTCTGGCTGAAGCTCGGTTGCCTCACGATAACTACCAGCCCGCTCGCTGTGTTACCTGGCCCATCGGGCACAAAGATACCTTACATACATTTGTGTTTCATAGATATGGCCTCTGCGTCAGGAACAACCTACCGCCCCGGTATATCCAGCCCTACCCGAACGGCCCGCTGTCGCTGCGCCCTGGCCGCGGCCAACAGCACATGGTTACGGATAACGGTACGGAGTGGTTCGAGGAGCGCAGTGAGTTCTTTTCCCGGAGCCTTACGTATGTGCAATACACTATCCCCACAGCAGAGTATCATACACTATTAAGCGCTGGCAGCCGCCTGCAAGTGCACCGAAATAGATGCGCTCAACGATCCATGGATATCCAGGCAGTCATTGTTATACCGTCATCTCTACTCCATTTTAATAACTGACATTTTCTCTTCTTTTTTGGTCAATGATACTCGGTATGTATTTGTGTCTAAATTGAATCGTGGTTGCGACCAACAGCATTCCGCTTGAGAGCCTGGAATGGCGCAGCCTGGAGGGGTTGACAGCTCCCGCTGACTCCCGAGCAAACGCCCCAACCGTCACATAGAGGTCAAACGGATTACGAACTCCCTCATGTTTTGGACTTGCTTCGTCAACGCCGCAGGTATTCCTCATTCAGGCGTTGCTTCGGATTTTACCAAGAACTATGCAGTGGTATGACGTCCATTTTCCGCCAGCAGAGAGTAAAGACAGAGAAGGTTCTTGAGCAACACAGGTTCGATCGGCTTTCACATCATATGCAGCCCCTGAAGGCCAGGCGGGCAAGAACTGCCGGAGTATAACTGCCGTAGCCGCGCCCATATTGCTACCTTGAGTAGCGGCTCCCAGGCTGTTGGCTACCAAACCACCTACTGGATTCCATCCTGGGCTGGTGATTGCAACAAACTTGCAGCACTGGCATCCAAAAGCTGAGTCTAAACGCGACGTGCGCGTCAGCGCCTAGTGCTTGCCGCAAACATGCCTCAATAGGGTGCCCCGACACTGCTGTCTGTCACTATGGTCTGCATCGTATGCACATCATGGCTGCTGACGTCTTGCCGCGCCGTGTCGCACATGGTAGTCAGCTGTGTGTACTACCCTCCCCCCGTCCTATTCCTGCTCCTGCCTTGCTGCTGTGGGCCTAGCTCACGCACCGCCTCGCGAACACCGTGTGTCTGGCAGCCAGCCCGTTGGGGGTCGGAGGCAGAAAGCTAAGGGATGGTGTGAGTCTGGGTAGTTGTGTCTTTGTCGATTTCCAACGCTGGGGGTTTTACGACCCTCTGCCGTATTGCGGCTCGGTGCGTTGGCGCTCTCTTATACCACGCCTGCCTGCTCCCGGCGGAATGAGGGGCGAAGATGGCCTTCCCTTCCTCTGTTGGGAGTCCTTGGTGAGTCTAAGATGCAACCTGTGATTCACCAAAGACGTCGAGTTACTTTATATCTTGAGCAGCAGCGGCCAACCGCCGGCGTCAGGGGCGTGCCTTCCCTCGCCGTTAGAAAGCCCAGTCAGTCACAACCCGCTCAGCGCCTCAGTCCTACTCAGTCCGGCCAATCGTTTCCAGTATATGCCATCGTGGCCATCACCATCGGGGCGGCGTTGCTCTTCTTTGCCACAACCTGTCTTGTCTTTGCCTACCACCGCAGGGCTACACGGCGCAAGAAAACATCAAGAATGCACCAAACTTCGCAAGGGTACCAGGCTGTTAGTGCCACTGCCCCGTTCTCCCCAGTTAGGGCATGCTCAAGTCTGTCCTCGTTGTCGACCCAGGCACTATTCGACCTGGGTTTCTTTGGAGAAGAGGCCCATGGGAATACCTTGAGGGCCCAGCCGCCACAGCGTCCGATCCGGAATCGGGCGACAGACCGCCAGAGCATCGACACGATATTTGCCCTTCGGTTCTACTACAGCCATGACCTTGACCGTCGATCGAAAGGCTCACTTCTCGCCGACTTGCCTCGGACTCAAACCTCGCCCTCCGAAGAATCGCCCCTCTCTCTACCAATACAACAGCCCCCGTCATCCGCAGCAACGACAACAGAAGCAGGACCATCCACACAAGCCCCAAAAGGAATACCAACCCGAAGGCGGAAACCCTCAATGGCATCTAAGAACCGAAAGAGAAAAGGTAGAATCTACCTCAACCCGGCCGGCGAACCATGGGTCCGCGTACCACCCCCGACCACCCCGTTGCCACCCACACCAGAAGGACTAGTAGCATCAGCACCGTCAACGGTACCGGTACCACCAATACCGACATTGCCAGAGCAACGAACAGCCCGCTCCTCCAGCATCCCAAGGGAGCCCAGGTTGTCTCTATTCCCGCCACCCCCAAAGCCTCCGCCGGGACTGACGACAAAGATTCAACGGGATCAAAGTCAGAGTAAGGGACAGAGGCAGGATCTGTGGCAGCTAAGCCCACAGAGGGAAAGCAAGGGTGGTAATTCAGCTCAACAGCGGACGCCGGCAGCGCTTATGGGAACCACTTCTGCTTTGTCGTCAGATCCAACTGCAACAACAACAACAACAACAGAAACTCGTGCTCCCCTAATCCGAGCAAGTGTTTCGTTCCCGAGGGCCGGTTTACGGTTAGCCATCCCGATCGATAACCTGGAAACGCAGATGCACATGCAAACGCCGCAGGTTGCTCCCGCGGCCGCCATGTCACCAGGCGAAGCAGCTGGCAAGGCAGAGAGAAGATCGCTGCCTGGTTGGTTGTGGGGAAGGTGTAGTGTTCTGGGAGGATGGAGATCGCCCAAGCTAAGGACATGAGTTGGGTCAGTCATACATCGGCTTCGTACTTGTACTAAAGACGCTATTCTAGGCTGTTGATGTGATGATACGGTTGCTTTGGGGTTTTGCAATGGAGTACTATAATACAATAACAAAAAACCCGGGTTAGACGGGTTGGTATCAAACCTGACACTCATGAAGAGAGCTTGGAGTTTGGGAGAGGACTGCGTCTGGGGTTTGGACCGCACTGCATCGTAGGCGGAATTTGGGTCAGGTAAGCGGCATTGTCTCAGTTGGTTTATCCATGTACCTAATGTACGAAAGAGCGGCGTCGTGTCGGAGCATGACACCGCGCCCTGTCCCGAGTGCTCCGGGCGGATAGTCACCCGACTCACCATATAGATATATATTTTGCAGTCTGGAGACTTCAAGATTGGAAGGACTGATCCATGAGACTTAGGGTTATATAAGGGTTAGATGTATGCAATGTCAACGGTTCGATTCAAACCGTGATGGACGGGCAGGATAGGCCTTCGCATTAGCCATTGACGAGCATGAACGTCAACGTTAACCGAAGCAATATCATGGGGAGTTCACAATGTTGAGTTTCCCAAATTCCCGGTCTCAGCCTCTCAGGGGTCACGTTCAGGGGTTGATGTGGTCATAGCTCAGGTTCCTTTTTTCTTCTCTCAAGTATTTTCCCCTTTTCTCCCCTTTTTTTTTCCTCCAACCAAAATCCACTCGGTTCTCTGCCGGTCTTTGTGTCACCGGTCTCCGCAACCAGATGTGACTCACACTTGTCCTCCACACTTCCACCCGAATTCTACACACGACAAAGCAGAGCACAAAAGACGGCCCGAAGAGCCCTTCTCCTTATATATCTCTTTATCTTTGCCAGATCAACAATCAATTAGAAGCTGCGTGGCGCAGCGGAAGCGCGCCGGGCTCATAACCCGGAGGTCACTCGATCGAAACGAGTCGCAGCTACAAGAAGCTTATATTTTTGTCAAACTTCCTTCATCCCTTTTCTCTCTGTATTTAACTCTTCCACGCATATGATGGAGGATTACTTGTCAATCGAATGGATATCTCTTATAATAAAGCACCCCTTTCCACAGATCTAGATGTGGCATTTTCCTGTCATGCAGCATCGCAAGTCACAGAGATGAGCAGATGCCCAACAGGGGCAGTTGGTTAGGTAGGCACGATGCGGGCAGTCCTCCCGCTCACACCGCAGGCGATCATGTCATGAATAGCAATGTCCCACCCAGATTTCAACATCTGAGTTTGATCTCGCACCTGATATGTTCTATGTGCCATCAACTCCGTAATCTATCCCAACCCCTTCTTCTCCCCAGCCAGCATTCACCTCCATTCCATATCACACCCGTCTAGGGGCATCCCAAATTAGCGACAGGAAAGAAGGCTTCACTACCATCACTAAAAACAGCAATACCCTTAGACGTCGGCTATGCGCCCGTGAAGCACCGTCTGCTATCTGTCCTGCGCGCCCTGCAGATCCTCGCCCTCGGAACACCACCCTGTGCGGTTTCGTCTAGTCGCACGCCTCGGCCAACCAACTGAATGGCCACCTGGTCCAGTCCGGGTCGATCTCCTGCAGGTAGATGAGTTGGCCGCCGCTGGCACGTGCTGGATATCGCCGCTGCCAATGCCAGCATCCGGACGCGGCCGGCATGAGTCCAGCTGGCTACGCTGTCCGTACCCAGCTACCTCGGCGACACCACCCTCGAAAAATGTTATACTCGTCGCATTGCCGGAGGAGACACTAGGGTTGGAAGGACTGGGGGAAGAATGGGATGCGCGGTCACAACGCCGACCGTTGTGTGAAGACATTCGTTTCCCAGCCTTTCAAGCCTTTCAGGACATTGGGGTTTTCCGACATCTAAACCTGAAGCCCGATGCTGATGATCCCCGTCGGTATATCTGCAAATGGCAGTGATTGAGAACGTGGGCGGTACCCTAACGAGGCCATACCACCAGCGCGGCCGGCCCTCGATCTGCTTGATCTCCGAACCGTGGCCCAAGTCCCGCTTTTGGCGTGTGTACGGGGCGAGTTGATGCGGGGATGTTGAGCAAGATCTGCGTCGCGCACTGTACAGGCAAAAAATTTCACCTGTGATGACGACGCCAAGGGCGTCCGGTTGTATGTGTTCTGAGGCGACCTCCTGGCTTGGTCAAGATCCACTGTTGTTGGCCATTCGTATGCGAGCCAGTTCGGCTCACCAGGGCTGTATTCGCCGGATGAAGGGAGTTCGGTAGAGAGTGCGTTGTCCCAAAAGCGGTGAGTGCTATGTTGGATGGAGGATTCGTAAGGAGATTTGGGTGGCGTGCGAAGGGCTCCCCTGTTGTGTGAAGCTTGCGGATACACCACCGTTGGTGAGTGCTTTGTCGAAATTGGCGTGGCAGGCAAAATTGAACCGGTCAACGTTGACAGGCTTGATAGCGACTGTCCTGAGCTTCCTCTTGGGGAAACTGAGTGCTGCTCGCTTGTTGCATCCTTACTAGGAGCTTCGCCCCAGGCTATATTTCTCCAATTATCAGAGGCCGCCTCTGCGTGCGTCCTTTGATGATGTTGTTGCGCCCATAGAGCATGTGGTCGGTGAGCCCGTAGGCTCGGTTCCTCTCTCCGGTTCCGGCTGCGAAGCGTCCTTCTCGGTGCTCTGCGGAGGTTGGGTCGATGCTGACTGGTCCTCTGAGCATACGGGCTGTTCAGGACGGTCGACAAGCTTTGCAAAAGGGGGTTTGTCGGTGTCAACAATCAGCAGTTCCCTGACTCCACGGCCAAGGAGGCCATAGACGGAGACTTCTCCGTCCTTGATCCCAATGACGGTGCTGGTGCCTGCATAAGTTACCTCATCCTCAATCCCGCAACGGTTGCAAAATACGACAATAACTTCCTCGCCGCTCTCTGCCCGAATGACTGGCTCCAACCTCCGGACCCAGTAAGTTAGCGTGCTGAAGTCGGGGTCTTCTGGAAAGGGCGTGAAGGTGGAACGGTCCTCTTGTGTGAGCCAGGCCATGGAGACAATGACCAGGTTCGCTCGGGCTTCGAGGACGTGGAATGCGAATTCGAATGCGTGCCAGGGTGCCTCGAACTTGTAAGGGCTGTGCCTCGTCAGTGCTGCAGTAGTACACGCTTGCAATTGTCCACGCACTTGATATCCATGCCTACGACGCGTCAGTTGACTTACAACCTCCCAATCTACTGAAGGCGGTCACGTACAGATTCCCATGGCAACCTGTCCAAGCTCGCCAATATGGCCACCAAAGAACCCGGGACCCTCATGAGCCCAAGTCTCATCGGTGTAGTAAAGGGAAGACTTGCGGTAGTTGGCCACTGTCTCTCCTTCTCCGTTAACGACAAGGAGCGAGTTGTAGTATTCGGGTGCTGATCCCTGCGGCCCGGGAGATTCGACTTTCTCTGGGTACCCCACGGCGACAGTGCAGTCGTACTTGAGCGCCGTAGTGCGAGCCCAGAGAGAAGTGATGCCGGAGCCAGTGGGCTCGAGAAACGGCAAGATGTCCTCCAGCGACTTGAAGTTGTAGCCTAGGCAGCTGTCAGTCGCGAAAGACAAGCGGGCACGTGCTGGATACTCACCACTGAAAGCCATTTCCGGAAGAACGAGTAGGTCCAAGCCCTCCAGCTCCTTTGGATCTGCCTTTGCTAGAACGGCATCAGCCCTTGTGAGGTTGTTGGAGACATCGCCCACTTGGGGCGCAAACTGGAGACAGCCGATCCTCATGGTTGCGGTTCTGGCCTGTTCGAGTCTTTAGGTGTCGGTTGTGCTAGAAAGCGATGATTTGACAGGTGAGCGATAGTATACTAGGTGATCCTGTTGGGTCTAACGAGTCAGGATCCGGGTGAAGACCAAATCCTCAAAATCCATTGTCTGTAATTCAAGCCGTCGAGCGAAATAGTCTCAAGCAGCAGCACCTTGAATCGGACCAAATCCTTGTGTGCCACCAATATACCTAGGCACCATGAAGCAGCTTTCGTCCTGTAAGATGTAGCTATCGTCAATCTGATAACTGGGTACTATACCAGCGCGGTGAAGGCGCCAGGCGCTAGGGCTTGCAGGATGGAGGCGTAAGGTACTTGGGCAGCACAAGATGGTGGCCTTGACGATAGCCAGGGAAGGAACCTCAGGACAGTGTGGTGGCACGGCAAGCGGGGTTTCTGAGCAGCAAGGTTCATACTAAGGTTGAAGGAAGACGGGTGCACGGCACAGCGGAGCCTATGAGGGGCTCGATCCGATCAGGCCACGAAGGAAGGCTCGGGCAGGAGTTGTTCGGCTTAGGGCATTGGTTGTAAGTTCCATTTGATATTTTCATGGCTTAACCTGTTGCATCGCTCTTGTACATAACTTTCCCAGAATGCTAGGTAGTTCGAATGGCAAATGGACGTGTAGTTGTAGCAGGGTCTTAGCGAGTTGAAGGTTTGGCATGGCCCCGAGCATGACGGCAGATGATGAGCTGCGAGATGCTTCGCTGCAGGTCGCTCGAAGCGTGGGGCCCGATAGGTCGAGCCAAGACTCGCTGCATCCAGCTGATTGGATGATAAGGAATAGGTACAAACTACACAGCTGGCTCGTGCGCACGCTATCTTGGAATGAGGGGAATTCTGATTGGTGAATTGCGTGACGTACATAGTCACGTAGCTGCTCCATTGTGGGACCACTGGTGGGTTCCTTCTTGGCAGCCCAATCATCCACCGCCATTGAACACTTGCAATTTTTCGATTTCTGGTCCTTGGCTTTTGATCTGCACCTCGAAGTAGGTACTTCCCTCTACGCAATACCACAACAACTCGTTGCTGACAATCTACCAATGCCAATCGTTGCACCGGCCTTGCGGAGGAGCCTCTCCAGTAGCACATCATCCCGCCTGTCAGAGAGTTACGCGGCATAGGGGCAGAGAAGAGTCGGAGAAGACATACGCACACCATGAAGTCCTCCAAAACAGGCTGCTGTCAAGGATGACGGACAATTGTGTTAATTTCCACCAGTCTCGCTATCCAAGCACATCACACGACTTCGCAGGCGGCTAACTCTAATGGGCCTTCTCCTCGATCTGACAACCGGGCTTATCAGACGAGCCCGCAGAAGGACCGCCAGGCGCAACTGAGCAACACCACAAAAAGTGCTGTTATGGCATCAAGTCGTCCCTCACTCATCACTTAGCGGTTCTCGAGACCGAAACTCGGACTTGCACGCATGACCAGGTGACCCGGGACTCTGGGAGATCGTCCGCTACCGTTGGAGTCCTCGCACTCGTACCTCCTTTCGAGTCTACTTGGATGAGGAGTGTGAATCCACAACGTCTCGAGCCGACCCTAATCGAGATGTCCTATACACTCCTAACCCACCCGCTCTAACGCCGTCTCTGCATTCATGACTGCTTCAGAGGCAGCTTTCCGTCAGAAGCAGTGACCAGTCACTGCGCAGGCTGACTCGGCGGGTCTCCAATGGAAGGTACGCATGTAAACTGGAACTCACGTCGTTGAGTCCAAACCAGGCAGACGTCCCATCGGTTGGGCTCAAGCCAGTTAGTTATGACACCACAACGAGCTGCATGACTTCGCGGTCTCCCGTGATATATAGTAGTGGAGTTCTTGGAAGAATTCATGATGGGACCATTTGTTCTTGTTACAAATACTACTACTACCAGTCCTAGTAAGTACAGGTAGCTCACTTCAAGGCTTTGACGGCTTTACCCCTTTGAGATTTGATGGCTTTGAATTCTTGATACAAGAATGGTAGTAGTCCGCAAGACGACTACTAATATTACTGATATCCATTCAGATCATGCCGGACATCTCGTTCAAATACAGTACTAGTATCTGCCCTGGCATCCTGGATGACTTTGAAGTAACACATGCCAGGAGTAACGAGAACGAGGCTCAGACCTTGTGGGTAACCCCAAACGAAAGGTCAGTGGCAAAAGAAGGTGCATATGGCACGGTAGCTGAGAAACCAGAACAGACTAGTATCTGTTACTACTATCAACCTCTCTAGTAATGCAACTTGGATGATAACCTCTATCCCTACATACTCCGTACCAGCATATGCTACCTTAAAACAGCCCTGACAACGCCTCTAGAACGCCCCGAAGCAGTCTATCCATGTTAACGTTTTTGGAACGACTAGTAGTTCCTCCAGCAGACGACAAACTTGAAGCACTTCATACATGGTCCTCACTCCTCAGCGACCTCCTCACTGGCAGCGACCTCAGACCAACTTAGCTGCCAGTTGATCCGCAAAAGTTGCGCAATTATAGGTTTGGTGGTTGTACTTCTTGTTAGCAATCAGTTCCTTGGCTAAAGCCAGTCGCGTTAGCGTTCAGTCATCCGCTTTCGCATTGGAACAGAGATAATGTCTTTGCTTACCGAACTTAAGAATGCTATCGAGCGTTCTCCGCCCGTCCTTCACCTGGCCCACGTACGTGAGCTGCTCACCAGTTTGCTTCTCGTATTTTTCTCCGTAGGCCTCAACAGCAGCTCCGTCGCCGTTGGCTTTCGTCAGCCAATCCCGGCCTTGGAACATGAGGCCATATTCGCGGTAACCCTTGGTGGGGTTCCCGATGACAAGATCGACATGTCTGCCGCCCGTGTCTTTCATCAGCTGGTTGAGGCCGTCGTGGGAGGCGCCGCTGCGGTTATCATACTCGGTGGGCCGAGTATCCAGACGGCGCCAGACGTGCAGTTTGCTGGCGTCCTTTCCGGCCGGAACGGGCGGCCCACCGCTATTTCCCCCATCCGAAGGGCCCGGCTTAGGTTTGTCGCCGCCCTTATCCGCGCCCGCTGGCTTTCCTGCGGATTTCCCCTCTGGCTTCCCGGCCGTAGTGGCGGGCGGCTTTGGAGCAGGCTTCCCCTTTCCTGCTGGCACTGCGCGTTCAAGAATTCGCAGGTAGTCCTCGAGTTGGGCATGGGCTTCCCGAGCAGCAAGGTAGGCTCGCTGGTAGAGATGCGGGTAATCGTCAGATTCGGCGTCTCGGGCGGCTAGATAGCCCGAGTAGTAGGCACGCGCAAGGAGATGCGAGTAATCCTCGCTTTCCAAGTCATTGTGTCCGGGGTCGCGCGCAAAGAGATACGGGGATCCCTCGCTTTCGAACTCGTCGTCCCCTGGGTCCCGCGCAAGGACATATCGAGATCCCTCGCTTTCGATTTCGACCTCACCCTCTCCAGCGGCACGCGCCGAGAGATCGTAGTCCTCGCCCTCGAGCCCGGCTTCTCTGGCCTCATGAAGGCCAGCCGAATCATAACCGAAGTCCGATGCCTCAGCCCAGACGGAACTGACCAGGCTGCTGGCGAGGAGCACGAGAGCTGCTTGAAACTTCATGCTGAACACGGGAGTTTCAGACGGATAAGGGGGTATGTACCAGTAATCTATCAAAAGAGATCGGAAAGAACTCGGGGCTGAGAACGATTGAACACCTAGGGGAAGGTACTAGATGCAGATCCTGTTGTGGTCGTGGTTGCTTGTGATGATGTGTTACACATGAGAATCGACTGCTTGGGATGAACAGTTCTCATCCATATATACAGCGTGAAGGGAGGTAGTTACCTGTATGTACTATTTTTGTCTATGATCTAAGTTCATGGCAGTATATCCATGATGTACTGGAATTAGCTAGCGTTACTAAACGTGTATTGGACATCCATGATGAAGCATCTACGCCAGTATCAGGCCGGAGGTTTAGGCCATGGAATCCAGAGTTGTCTAGCATAAGCAGCCGCAATCCTTCAAGTCTGGAGACCATAGCTTGTAGTATACTATCGAGTATCAGCCAAGTTGCTTGGCAACCAAGTAGTACATACTAGATAGTCAACTAGCTTGTACGCGCCCCCTATCCGGTCGTCTCCCTTTCTAATGTTTACGCCTCACTCTCAGCAAGGTGCTGAAACATGAGGAGGCCTATACCCCGGATTGTCTTCTCACGTCAGCAGACATGCCTACTAGTACCTACCTAAGGTACCTAGGTACAGTACCTTTGGCACACAGTACCTATCACCAGTATCTTAGTAGGAACTTGAAGCACTCCAGTCCACCACCTAGCAAGTTTCTTGTTCTCGTGAGGACTAGGTCGGCATTAGGGACACGGATATGGCTACAGCCAGACACTGAACATAGCTTTAGTACCTTAGGTACGTAGGTCGTTCCTCAACGGTCAATCATGCGAACAGTCAAATGCTGATGCCAGTTATTAGTACTGTCCTGGGCTGAATGTGTTCTGTGCCAAGGGTGCCATCTACCTATGGACCATGATCAACTGAAAAGGATTGACTCCAAGAAGAGTATTCGAACGCCCTTGATCCATCATCCAAGTATCCAACGTCATCCAAAAATAAGCGGAACTTTAGCCCCCACGTAAGCGCAGTCGAAACACTGCAACGAACTCAGTGAAACGAAGCCGGCCCGAGATGCTGAGAACTGGAACAGTCTGATGCCAAGTGCCAAGCAGCCAACGCCGCCAACAGAAGTGAACCAAGCCACTCCTCATGGTCCTCACCACTGCAGCTCTCTATACGGTAACGTGCCTAACTACCTTAAATGGGTATGAATCCGCGATCTGGATTACTTCAAAGCTAATTATTTCTACGCCGCAAACCTGCGAAAATCAGCCTTACAGCCTTAGTAAGGTACCTTACTCATGGAGCATGTTGAATCATGTTTCAAGGATGACGGACACTCCTTCCAGTGCCGCCAGCCGAACGGCGAAGCAGGAACCCCTGACCACCAACAAGCATCCTGCCAAATCAGGGAACCGCTTCAACATTGAGAAACACAAAAGCGTTGAAATGCCAGATCTGCCCGTTGCGCTCCAAAACTTAGTTTCCTTCCATCCGTCACTACTACCATCACTCAAACCATACCCAGACATTAGAGTTAGGCTGAGTTAGCTGCTAATTAGTACTTACCTACTTACCTACCTCAGCGTATAACACATCACCATCACCACCTCACCTATCAAGACTCACCTGCGCCCCCGCGATAGGTACCTCACCTTACTTTTACGACCCAGAATCCAGATAGGACGGGGCGACCCCATCCTGGCACCAGGCGTAACAACTTGGGACCCTTCCATCCTCATAGTCGACTACTTACCTGGTACCGACCATGGAGACCGATCCGGATGTTATCATAAGCTCCGAGAACTACGACAAGTTCGACATTGGAGACATCCGCCGCAGTCACATCGAGTGGGTCCAAGACTTGATGAGGCAGGGTCTCATGACCCAGTGTAAGTTTTCAAGTATCGAGCATCGAAGCGGGACGGACCCGAATTGACCAGCTCCAGCGGCCTTGTATGAGAGGTTCACAGCATCTTTATCCAAAACACTCGTCGTAAACCACCAAAACGGGGCCGGACAGATCTCCAACATTCGGCAAGCATTTCACCAGCTCCAGGATCCGAACACAGGATGCAAGTTTCCATGCTGCCCAACACTAGAAACCCAACTGAAACTGACTTGATTATACCCAGCACTCTCCAAAGAGAGATTTGTATCCATCATCCAAAGCAAGACACCACAGCCAGGACAGGAAATAGCAGCGTCTGTCGGATTGTCGGCCATGTTCGACATCCTGACATGGCATGCCGCCTTCCCCTTTGCCCCGACACGAAATAGTATGGACGAGAATGGTTTTCTCCGGGCAATCTGCCTTCTGACATGGAACCCGCCGCCACATTATGCTCCCACATTCTCGTCTCGACCGGTTCACGGGCTATACACGGGAAATTGGGGCCCTCACAGTGGCTGGCTTGTTGCGACCCGCGGAAAAGGGCCCCAGGACTTTAGACGACGTCTGTTCCGGAGCTTAGCTGAACCCGGCGCAGAGCGCCATGGTCAGGAGCCGGCTGGAACCGTCAGCACGGCACCAATCACGATTCCTGTCCCGCGCTTCGTGCGCTATCAGCCTCGCGAACTTGATTCGGGCGAAACAGACGAGAACGATTTGCTGGAAGTTGCCGTAGTGGCACACGAGGATGAGCGGTCCGTCGACCTGCTCGATGTTCTCTCCGAAAACCCTGCCGAGGACATTCCCATGACGTGCAACCCGCTTCGGGAGTGCTACGAGCCCGTCCTGGCCACACTTCCACGCCAGCCGCACCAGCTTACTGAGCTGCGTATCCCCACTGCCAAGCTTGTCTCTTTCCTCAGGCTCCTCCACGCTTCGGAGCGCCAACGAAGACAGCGGGATGGCGGGGATGCGGCCGGGTCTCACCTGATGGCCCTGGCTCAGGGGCTGGGCGACAGGCCGCCGTATATCAGTTGGCATAGGTTTGACGCCGTGATAGCGCCGCATACTGTAAGTCGAGCTTTCCAATGCTGGATTACCCTGGGTGCGGTTACCCCTTGCTGACTGGCTTTACAGGAACGAATTGGACGCATTCTGTCAGACGTCTTTTCCACGTTCAAGGCCCCCCTGAGGCCATCTGATGAGTAAGACAAAATGCGAGCTTTAGCAGGACCCGATCTTTCGCTTCTACGTGGGAGGTTTCTTTGTCAGAGATAGTAGTTTCTACATGGCATGCAACCAATATGACCTTTTGATCTTCATTCAGGGTATTCGCCCCCTAGGAGGGGGCGTAGGGCCGTAGGCCCATACATGCACATACTGATACCTGCTCCTACTTCAGCACAAGAGTGAAGAGAGACGCGGATGTTAGCCCAACTCGGCCGAATCATCGAGCGACAAACCGTGGCACAGGCGGAGCTTGTTGGAACAACAAGCTCTGTTGCTACTGCTCTAGAGAGAGGAAAAGAGAGAAGGCCAAAGGCAAGTCTACACAGACTTGCCTTGCCTGCTTGCCTGGTGGTGAGGTTATTTGTAGGCAAACAGGAGCTGCAAGAGGCTCTTGAACCAGGCCTTGGTATGCTCGTTCAGCATCCGTTCCCACGACATATTGGGCCCTATAGGCGGTATATCTCCCACTACAAGAGCTGTAAGGCTCTTAGAGCTGCAGTGGGCATCCTGCAGTGGGCAAGCTACAGAGCTGTAAAGAGCTGTAAGGTAAGGAAGCTCTTGGAAGCTCTGGCCCAAAGGAGCTCCACTGACAGAGCTTCAGCCAGAGGCTGGCAACCATGTAAAGAGGACGGGCCATTTTCGGACTGGCTGCTGGACAAGCAAACGGCCGTTGGAAGCTACAGTCTTGATAGCGTTTTACAAATTACGAGCGGGGATGTCAGATGCCGGATGCCGGCCCGGGAAGAGGCCCCTCAAATTGCCCGGCCTCCAATCAATGGCAATGTCAGCAAGCTCGACGGACCCGGCGCAATGGTTCTTAGCGCCCGCGACACCCACCTTAATCATGATGCATATTGCTTGTCACCTGGCCGGCCCAATCATAAGCCAGTTTCATTCCGTGTCAGTGCTGGCCGTTGTGCTACAGGAGCAGAATGTTTGCCATCTGGTCGATCTCAGGACCTTCAAGTTGGCCACTGCAGCACTCACCGTTGACATCGAGTAGGGTACCCGGCAGTATACCTCCTAAGGTGGGTACATACCTCGACACAGTCAACAGACTCAACACTTCCAGCCGAATCAGTACTTCTTCGTAGCATGATCAGGGCAAATCTACCTACCAGGTAATCTTCATGTGTGCCTGCAAATTTGAACCGTCTAGCTCACATGCCATCAGGCACTACAGCAGAGTCCTCCACAATCCCCTGAATCCCCTCTGGACTTGGAGAATGGCTTGATGTTCATCATCATCCATGGCAGGATATATTACAGTGCCTCTCACCTGCATGGATAGGACCTCAACGGGCACTCTAACCACCTCTGTTGCAGCCTCGACAGTGCGAATGTTTCTCTCCCCCGCTCGAGTGACCTGGCCCACTGCAGCCTGCACCTGCCTACCTGGTAAGTAAAATACTCAAATCTTTCAACGAAGGTCGCCTGTCCAGCCAGCCAGAAGCCGATCGGGCGATTCCGTGCTGCCATGCACAACACACACACACACAAGATTTTACGCGCCTGCGAAACGACATCTCGGCACCCCCTATTGGCCATAATGGTTACACCAACCCCATCGAGGGTGTCTATGAATCGGTCTGCCGCATTTGCCCAGAAGTCTTGTCTTGTCCATGTTCTGCCTCACGGGGCGGGAAGTGACCACCGCAAGAGCCGAAGGCTGACCGGGAGAGTGACCCTTGCCCCGGAAGTCTCTCGATTGATGGATTCATGCCTCCGCAGCCTGACGCGATCCCAGGTCTAGTATTCCAAACTATGAGTTAAACGACGCGGCGTTGCCCCTGAAGAGGGAGCGTCATCGGCTGTTTAGCTTTTTGACAACATGTGGGTGGTCATTCTCTCTCTGTCACCTGTGCTCCGTGAGATGGGGAAGAGACCCCGTGAACTTCTTATCAACCCATGAGCGGGAGCCTGGTCAAATATATTATGTGAGTGCCTTCCGCATGTTATGGTACGGAGGGAACTACTGTGCAACCCGCGAGGCTCATTGTGGCAGCCGGTGGCAAGCAGACTTGGAGCCAACTGCATATCGTATAGTAGTACATACATTTTGACCGTGTCTAGCTTGCGTGTAGCCTGTGTGTCTGCCTTGTTTTTGTACCCAGCTTTCCCCCTCTCGTCCTTTTCCATGCTACATAGTAGCCTCACAAGTCTTGGTTCTATGGTGTCTTCTCTTGGTTCAACTCTCAGGATCTCGTCGGGTATGTTCCATATCCACGACTTCCAAGTGAGATGAGATGCCGTGGTAGTGCCAAGTACCGGAGGCTCAAACTCCAGGTTAACTACATGTGCTAGACAACCAAGATTTGGGCCAAGCTCTCGAGTTGTGAGCCGTGGCAGGCCGTCTGCTCTGCAAACATGGCTTTTTGGTGGGCAAAAGTCCTTCAGAGAGACATCGATTCAAGCGCCCATCCGGGCCTCACAACCGGCGCGATTGCCGGCATCTCGTGCGGCGCCGGAGCCCTGTTTCTCTGCGCGGCGGCACTCTTCATCGTCTATTGGCGCCGGCAGCGGCGGTACAATCGAGCAGACAACTTCTATCAGAGCCGTTTTGACGACTTTGGGCCGTCCGGTAGCATGGGCCCTTCCGTCACCTACACTACGGACTACAAGCTGGATCAGCAGCAGAACGAGGGTGAAGCACGACATTACACCTACTCGCCCGAGAAGCAAGCGCACCCGTTCTGTCTGCCCAGCGCCCACGGATCAAGCAGCGCGATGCCCACTCACCCGGCATATATCCCACGGGCCCTGATCCGCGGTGCTCCGCCCCTTCAAAGCAGCCGCTCAGGGCTCTCACATACACCGTCGCCGCCGCAGTATCCCAGCCCAGGCATGGCCTCCTCAAAGTCACAGCCCGACGACGCCGTCATCCAGGCCTACCTGAACGCAACAGTCACCAAGCCGCCCGCTGCATCCCCAGCGCAGGGCAAAGCTGACGTAGGCCGGGGAGACGACAAAGACGCCATACTACCGGCCGAGGCACACGAGTCCGATTCACCGTCCCTCGCAAGCGGGCTTCCCGTCCAAGTCAAGCCCCAGCGAGGTCGCCAGGCCCCGCAAGCCCAGGTGCCAGCCATCGTCATTCCACCAGCCCACACCTCCCCGCCACCGCTGTCAGCCACCTCCGCCAACACTGTCGCCACCGGCACCACCTTCACCACTACCATAGCCAGCGGGAGCACTCGGAGCTCCCCAAGACAGTACATCCCGCCGCGCCTGCATTTCCTCCCCTCCTCCCTCTTTTCCCGTTCAGACGGTGGTAGCGGTAGCGGTGGTGGTACAAGTACCAGACCGGTCATCAGCGGACCGCTCGCGTTGCCACAGGTCCACCACCACCACCATCGTGATCACCCGGGCCCGCAGGAGCTTTCTCCCGGGGCCAGCAGCGGCAGCAGCAGAGACGCCGTCGCCGCCCACGGCCAAGACCAAGAAGGGGAAGGAGAAGAAGATGTGAGCCCCTGGCGGCGGACATTCCGGAGGAGCCTAAGCCGTACACGCATCCTCACGCTGCCGTCCACCATTGGAGGAGGAGGAAAAGGAGGATTAGAAAGGGCGGCTGGAAGCCGGAGAGATGGGAGTACAAGTACAAAGGCGAAGAGAAAGAAGGATAAGTATAAGGAGTCGAAAAGGGGTTCTGGCGGAGGAGGAGGAGGTGCGGGGAATAGGCACTACGCAGAGATTGAGATTGGGACGGGGAGCGACATTTGGTAGGGCGGCGGTGTCTTGGAGGGAAAGACACTGGAGGGTGATGTCTATGGCGCATATATACGCTCTTTGTTGCTGGTATATGGGACTTTGGGGGCATGGTATCCTGGTATTGTCGGCCATAGCGCAGATTTCTCGGATTTTTTCCCCTCCAGTTTCTCAGCCATCTCGTGTGTCCTGGGCTCCATGGCAGTAAGCTGGCTTCGGTCCTTGGAGTCCAAGGGATGTGCCGCTGAATTCGGTATGCGTCGTTGGATATAACACGATGGGATGGTATGCGTCGCAATCCTTGGGCCTTGGGGCTGTTAGTCAACCAATACATGTGGTACTTCAGGAGGTACTGGATGGGTCAACCAGGGTTGGGGGATGGACATCGCAAAGATAGCACACACGGCTCCCGTAGCTCAAAGCAATTCAGGCACGAGATCATTGACAGCTCCATTTCTGTTTTTACACTGGTCTCTTTGATAGGAACAAGGAGCGCATTCCTTCAGTTGCCCCCAAGACGATGCCCCGTACCTCTCGTTCTCCACGAGTCAGGAAGCACCGAGCCTCTTGACGCTCCAGTGCTGCTGCCCAGTGTCCGACCTCCTTGTGGATGGATGGCCGTGCCGTATTCGCGCTGCTGCAGTGGTGCAGTCTGAACCAATCGTGAGAGGAATCCGGGTGCGGCCAGCAGATTCGGTCCCCTTCCAAATTCAGGCCAGAGGCGGAACAGGAAGTCGTGCAGGTGAGCAGCCACGATGCCGCTGACCTGCAGCGGAATCAAACCCGGGCTCATGAGCAGTGACCATAACAGCATGCAATAGGGGAGCAGCTGGGCAGGCACTGTGAAGAAGAAGAAGCTGGCCTTGACGCCGCGTTGGTCTTGCACGGCTGTGTAGCATAGCGCTATGATGAGCCCCTGTAAGAAGAATGCACCGCCAAGGAAGATTCGGTTGATCAACTGTGATGTGCCTGTCAGCGTTCTGTTGAATTTGCCACCAGCGCCAACAACCCAACACGTAGGCTCCCTAGACCACAGTGCTGCTGAAATGTAGGGAGCAAAAAAAACCACCCGAGCAAACGGCGATGAATCACCCGAGTCATCCATAAGACATCCCACCATGCCCGCACCCCGACCGACCCTTTTGGATTTTGCGAATGACGGATCGGCCGACATACGGGGGTAATCTTCCTCGTTTCCAGGAACCGCGATAGTTGGGAGAACAGCACTATGCGGGCAGATATACGAGGTGTCCATAAACGAAGGACAACAGAGAGATGACACCTACAAGAATGAAGCTGCAGACTGTGATCAAATACCAGAGGACATCCTCTTTCCTGGGGAATTTAGGATTCGTCGTCTCCAGCTGTTTCAAGTACTGGAAGGCTATTATGCAAAGTCAGACAACACTCGTCGCTGTGCAGGAAGGCTGATTTGGCTGGGCCCGTACCGAAGTAGGGATCCATGACGATGCCGAGCTGGGGGGCCGAGAGCAGGAAGCTCGTGACCGGGCGCCATATCTCAGGCGGCAGCCGGAAGAGCGTGTCCTCGGTGAAGTAAAGCCATTGGAACGGCAGAAGCCCAAAATGCGCCGGTACGGATACCGCAAGGATCGCTGTCGCCAACGTTCTGGCCATTGGCGGCGCCGCCCAATAAGCGTCCATTAGTTCCGACATTTTCCTGGTGATGGTTTTTTTGTGGGATTGAGTGGCAGTTTGGTAATTCCGCGGTGTGCTTCAGATTTTCATGAGAAGCTCCCAGGCTGAAAACTCCAGACTCATCGAGGCATGGCGGGATGGGTTTTGTAATACAACGGTGCGAAGGGGAGGCCCATGTGGTTGGCACTAATGGAGTGCGGCTCCCACGAGGCACCGTTGGTGATTCGTGTTCTTTTTGGAGCTTGATGAGGAATGGAAGGGGAAAGAAAATTGCACCAAAAGGGAATCCTTTTATGGAGCTCATGTTTGAGTGGAGAACTGCTCCTTAAAGCTTGTTGAGCCACAGGTGGCGGCACGGGCCAATTGGCACCGCCCTCTTTAGTGATGGAGACTGTTGTGGCTAGCGCCCACGTCTTCTCATCCCGCCAACAATTTGTCTTGCTGGGTCGTGTCTTGCTCGCAGCTTGTCCTGTTATGAAGCAAATTGAGAACAGGGCTATACTAGGAGACTAGGTACAAAAATGAATATGGTAGGCGTCATGTGTATTTTCGCTCCAACCTGAATTCAGAAAGCTGCTTCGTGCAGTTTGGCTGGTGAGCTGTGACTCAACAGGGGCCATCTCCGGTTCCGCTACTAAAGTACTCCGAAAATCGCTTGTTGATTCATCCTCTCGGTGATTCAAGACAACAGATTCACTCGAAAACAGAGACTCGGAATCTGCAAACGACCATGGCGGGTCTGAAAGGCCGTTGGTTGGGCCGATTGAGACAATACGGCTTTAAACAGACTCCATACCGGGCCTACTCGGCACCCTCAAATGGCATTCCCGCGGCCAAGAAGAAGTATGTCCCGACAAAGGGGACCTACCCTATCGGGTTCCGGGCTTCGGGCACAGTGGTCGGCGTCAAGCCGAGCAACACGACCAAGCCGGACCTGGCCCTGTTGACGTCGGACGTGCCGTGCGCTGCCGCCGCTGTCTTCACCAAGAACAAGTTCCAGGCAGCGCCCGTCACATTCAGCAGGAGCCTTCTGCAAAACAAGTATAACCAGGGAATTCAAGGTGTCATCATAAACTCGGGGTGCGCCAATGCAGTCACCGGTAAGGGCGGCCTGGAGGATGCCGCCATGATGGCCCGCGAGACAGACAAGTGCCTGGGCCAGAGCGACAGCACCATCGTCATGAGCACCGGTGTGATTGGACAGCGGCTGCCCATCGAGAAGATCATCAGCAAAATCCCAGCAGCGCACGCGGCCCTGGGCGGATCCCACGAACACTGGCTGACGGCCGCAAAGGCCATCTGCACTACCGACACCTTCCCCAAGCTCATGTCCCGTACCTTTACTCTGCCCTCCTCGCCGGGCGTCGAGTACAGGATAGCGGGCATGACCAAGGGTGCGGGCATGATCCACCCGAATATGGCCACCCTCTTGGGTGTCATCACGACGGATGCGCCCATCTCGTCGGCTGCCTTGCCCTCAGTGCTCAAGTATGCCGTCGACCGTTCTTTCAACAGCATTACCATTGATGGAGACACATCTACCAACGACACAATCACGCTCTTGGCCAATGGTCTTGCAGGCGGCAAGGAGGTGACAGAGGGTTCGCCCGACTACGACGCGTTCCGCACCGTGCTGACCGACTTTGCGGCCGAGTTGGCACAGCTGGTGGTGCGTGATGGCGAGGGTGCTACCAAATTCGTCACAATTCGCGTCACCGAGTCGGCGAGCGAGGAGGCTGCCAGGAGGATTGCCAGCACCATTGCGCGATCTCCTCTGGTTAAGACGGCACTGTATGGCAAGGACGCAAACTGGTGTGTGATCTCGGTCTGCTTCAAGAAAATGTCTGGACTCTACTGACATGATGATTATTAGGGGACGTATCCTGTGTGCTACCGGGTACTCGCTGATTTCTGAGCCTGGGCAGCCAGTCAACGAAGTCCCAGAGATTGATCCTGAAAAGACGAATGTTTCCTTTATTCCCACTGACGGCACTGCCGAGCTGAAGCTCCTAGTTAACGGTGAGCCGGAGAAGGTTGACGAGGTAAGATCCTGCATAACCAGCTGTAAATAATCGCTGCTGACACTTGCCCAGGCGAGAGCTGCTGAAATATTGGAGCTCGAAGACCTTGAGATTCTGGTGAGGTTGGGTCTGGGTGACAAGCAGGCCACCTACTGGACTTGCGACTACAGCCACGAGTACATGTGAGTGATTCCAAGACCAGACATTCCGGCTCGTATCTAATGAGATCAAACAGCACAATCAATGGCGACTACAGAACGTAAAAAGCCGAAAGCAGTAACAGGGTCACTTGAGTGGTCAATTAGAATAATATATATATATAGGGAGCTATCCTAGTCTCCCATCATCATCCAAAAATAATAGTTCAATGTCAAAGATGTCTCAATCGTCCGGGACTTAACTAAATGAAGTTCCATTTCTTGACTACTTCCGGAGGGAGGTCAGGGACCAGGAGTGAGAGGAGTCAGGACAAAAGAGAATCGAGGGTTAGGGTTATCGCTTAATGACAAGCTGAAAAAGCACTTAAGATCAAGACGCGACTCTACGCGTCTGGTAGCTCCTTCCCCTCGAAACATCCTCACGCTGCATCCACGCCTAACCCTTCCTGTCTTCTCCCCGTTTGCGTCGCAGCATTAGCAACGAGCACAATCCGCCATAATGCCCGCCGCAAAACAGGAGGAAAAAGGTGAATCATCGACAGCTGCCTACAAGGCGCTCACCAATAGCAATTCTACTTATGAGCTTCCATGGTGAGCTCACTGCTCCCTCCTGAAACTACTTGATGCTGACGTCGATTTCGCAGGGTAGAAAAGTACCGCCCCATATTTCTGGACGACATTGTCGGCAACACAGAGACGGTCGAACGGCTAAAGATCATTGCACGGGATGGCAACATGCCCCATCTGATCATCTCGGGCATGCCCGGTATCGGCAAGACGACGAGTGTTCTGTGCCTGGCGAGGCAGTTACTTGGGGACTCATATAAGGAAGCTGTGCTCGAATTGAATGCTAGCGACGAGAGAGGTGCGTTTCAAACGCCCTTGCCTCCCAGGTCCCACACGCTGACGGAAACTACACAGGTATCGAAGTCGTCCGGCAACGAATCAAGGGCTTCGCCCAGAAAAAAGTTACGCTTCCCCCAGGGCGGCACAAGATTGTGATTCTCGACGAAGCAGACAGCATGACGTCGGGCGCACAGCAAGCCCTCCGGCGGACGATGGAAATCTACTCCAACACGACACGCTTCGCCTTTGCGTGCAACCAGTCCAACAAGATCATCGAGCCGCTCCAGTCACGGTGCGCCATTTTGCGGTACGCCAAGCTGACCGACACACAGGTAGTCAAGCGGCTCCTGCAGATCATAGAGGCAGAAAAGGTCGAGTACAGCGACGACGGCTTGGCCGCGCTCGTGTTCAGTGCCGAGGGCGATATGCGCCAGGCCATCAACAACCTGCAATCGACATACGCTGGTTTCGGCTTCGTCTCGGGGGACAATGTCTTCAAAGTGGTAGACTCGCCGCACCCGATCAAGGTGCAGGCCATGCTCAAGGCTTGCTACGAGGGCAACGTCGACTCGGCGCTCGACACGCTAAGGGAGTTGTGGGACCTGGGGTACTCCAGCCACGATATTATCACCACCATGTTCAGGGTGACCAAGACGATTCCGACCTTGAGTGAGCACTCCAAGCTGGAGTTCATTAAGGAGATTGGGTTCACACATATGAAGATTCTGGAGGGAGTGCAGACATTGCTACAGCTGAGCGGGTGTGTGGTTCGGTTGTGCAAGCTGAATATGGACCCTAAGAAGTTTGAGCTGCCGAAAAAGTGAGAGATGATAATCAAGATACCCGGCCCCATGGAGCTGCCTTTTTGCTCCCCATTTTTTGAGCTCTTCGATAACTCCTCGTGCCAAAATGGTGTGCCTTGAGAGGGAATTTAGTATACATGACTCAATCTTACAAACCCGTAGTTATACACCTCAATTTTCACCCTTCTGCAGCTTTGGCATCAATCCTCATCCTCGTCTTTTCCATACTGCTGCTCAAAACTCTGCCACATGGCCCGGTCCCTCGCCAACCGCCGCTGTACCCGCATCCTGGCCTCGTACTGGCGCAGGCTGCGGTCCGCCTCAATCATGCTCCCCAGCGCCATGCCCGACATCTGAAGATACCTGCCAAGTAGTGTCAGAGTTGCCTCTTTCACCTTCCCCAATGCTGAAGCTCGTAGAAGTGCGAACTCATGTGAAACAGCATAGAAGTATTAGCATTTGATAGCAGCGGCGCATACACTTTGAACTGAATCGTCAGCCCCCTGTATATCGGCGAAACGAGGTAGCCAAGCCCGCCCAGCATCGCCGTCGCCGCGCCCCACTTGATGGCGCCGTAGACGGCGCCCCGGGTGGCTTCCCATGAGGCTTCGACCGCCTCGTCATGCTTGCTGTCGTTGATGGATGGCATTTGTTGCTTCTCGGACTGGTGTGGGTGGTGGACTTGGAGGCAAACCAAGGTCGCCCAACCCTCTTAGCCTTTAGGCGGTTTATAGCTGCGGTGCAGGAAGAGAAGACACAGGGGAGGGATCTAAAACGGAGTTATCTTCTATTGTATGTGAGAAATTGAGCGATGTTATCAATGTCCGGCGGATTGGACGTATGAGCTGCGGAGTGTAGTGTAGTGTTGGTAAGTGGCGGAACCTCAACGCTTGAGTGATTGTGCATACAAATCCGGCTGATTATCGTCGAGCTCTAGCACAGCACTTACAAAGCCTCTGCATCTCTGCTAACGTTAACATTCATGGAAGCTAACATCACAAAACGGCATATCTTGCCGTCAAACAGAGGTAGGCGGCAATGGACAGCAATGTATCATACTTGGGTTTTATTTTACGTTTTTCTTCTTCTACTTCTACCTGATTGCCACAACAGGTTGTTATGTGTATACCCCTTTTCTGGCATGCTTTCGTACCGCAGGCTCGTTCAGCATTTATAGGATGCAATGATCCCTCTAAATCGATAATCAACACCCCACAAACGCCAGTTCTAATGGCTCCTACAATGATCGTTCAAACATAAATCCGCTCGACGAAGCTCAATCGCTCCCTTCGCCTTAGACGGTCAATGTCCCCTTCGTACTGGGCACCTCACCCTCCTTCCCCTTGACTCTGCTGGTAGCCTGACGGATGGCGACTGCCAGCGCCTTAAAGGCGCTCTCGGCGCGGTGGTGGTCATTATCGCCGCGCAGGCAGTCGACGTGCAGGGTGATGCGGGCGGCCTGGGCGAAGCTCTGCAGGCAGTGCGGAATCATCTCGGTGCTGAGGTCGCCAATCTTCTCGCGCTTCAGGCCCAGGTCCACGACGCTGAACGGCCGGTTCGACAAGTCCACCACCGCTCGGCTGAGCGCCTCGTCCAGCGGCGCGTACGCGTACCCGAACCGTGCCAGCCCCGTGGGCGTCCCCAGCGCCTGCGCAAAGGCGTACCCGAGCGCGATGCACACGTCTTCGGCGGTGTGGTGGTCGTCAACTGCATGGCAAAAAGATTGGCGGCTGGTTAGAACGGCTGGGTGGCTTCGTGGAAGCGGGGGTTCAAGGTCGACGCGCACTGTACAAATCACCCTTGCAGGCCAGCGCAAGACTCCAGCCTGCGTGCTTCGCTAGAGCGTGCAGCATATGGTCCAGAAAGCCAATTCCCGTGTTTATGCTGATTGTTTGCGACTTGCTCAACTGGCTGGCGTGGCCATCGGTGCCACCGGCTCGTAGGCGGGGGTCTGTATCCGGGGGGAAGTCGCCGCCATCAAGGTTGAGGGCGAGTTGAATCTTGGTCTCGTTTGTGTCGCGGGCAAAGGCGGCCCAGCGGGTCGCTGGCTGGGAGGAGCTCATTGCTGCGCAATCTTGCGGTTTGATGATTCCAATGTATCTCTGACGCGGCCGCCAATAACTCAACTTGTTGCTAGCACAGCCATGCCACCCATGTATCCTGAAATTTTGTGCTTCCCGTCCACCGTGATCGGCCACGATAAGAGTCGATAACCTTGGACCCCGCGCCAAGATAAAAGTTGCCTGCCGGGTCAGCATGCACTGCAGAAACCCCTGCACAGCCCCACCTTTCCGTGCTTGAGCTCCCGTCGATAACGTCCTTCGATAAGCAGAGGTCCCCAAATTTTCGAGACGTCGAGTTGCCAAAAGGACACCGGCAACGGCAACACGCAGCAGCAACAATGGCGCCAACACGCACAGTAAAAAACAAGCATGCCGCCAGTAAGACCAATGGCGCTGGCAGCAAGTCTTCCAAAGACGGCGGCATTACCAAGTCCAAAAGCAGATCCGGGTCCAAAGCAAATGTAAAAGCGCCAGCGATCCAAGTCAAGGGGCGACCCAACATCCCGGGCCTCGACAAGAATAAGACGAAGAAGCAACAGCGCGTCTACACCGAGAAAGAACTAGGAATACCCGAACTGAACATGGTGACCCCGGTGGGAGTGACCAAACCGCGGGGCAAGAAGAAGGGCAAGGTGTTTGTCGACGACAGAGTCCGTCCCACCCGTCCTCACCTTAATCCACCTCTTCCCTCTTAATCCCCCCGCCATACGACCCTCCCGCTAACATCCCTCAACCCGGTCGACAGGAAAGTATGGCCACAATTCTAGCGCTTGTTCAGGCCGAAAAAGAAGGGCAGATCGAGTCAAAGATGATCAGGGCGCGGCAAATGGAAGAGATTCGCGAGGCGCGCCGGGCCGAGGCCGAGAAGAAGGAGGCGGAACGCAAGGCCAAGCTGGAGGAGACCAAGGAGTCGCTGCGCAAGAAACGCAAGCGGCATGGCCACGGGAACAAGCACGATGACGACGAAGACACAAGCCTCAAAGCCGTCACGGCTACAGGGACCAAGGCCGCCAAGCCCAAGAAGAAGAGGGTTTCTTTTGCTGCGCCTGAATGAAGCATATTATAAAGAGGGGGAGTGGGGACTTTTTGCTATTTGATCGAGTATTTCATGGGTATGCATGGTGGCGTCTGGCGTGTTGGGCGAGGGTTCTAAAACTGGGTTTGATCGCGTTAGGAACAGAGATACCAACTCGATTGAGGGGACTACATATGTTGGCGGGTATCCGGCTCACGGCGCCTGTTGATAGTATACGGTACTTTAAGAGCAGGATATACGTGCATTCGATAGCGAGGCAAAATCTTAGACCCCCTGTTGTACGCCCGTGTCCGTGCCATGCTATTCCAACCAACCTCTAGTCTACTGTGCTATTATATCCATTCCCCTGGTCTAGTCTATCATGAAACGAAACGTATCTATCCAGGTGACGAGTTATCTAGTCTAGCCGCGCCGTAGGCATGGCAACCGTTATACCAGATAATGGCTTCTATTGCAACATCTGGTGGTTCTTTAACTTCTTTCATGTCTAAGTGTCCAAAATTTGCAGTTTCCGTCTCATTGGCTCGAAGGACGTTGAAAACTGGACTTTGGACGCTTCGCCGTTGGCATTGGACGCGATGGCATCAAGGTTGATCTCGGATGCCATCTCTCCCAGGAAATTGCAGATCTTTTTGCAAGTTAGTTGGATGGGCCTACAGACGGGAGGAAGGGTATAATATACCGGTCGAGCATGCCATCTTCCACCACCGATCTCGAACCACGAGAGGTGTCCCCCGAGCGAGGTAGTGCAGAGGATGGTGTAAGGGTTTTTCACGAATTCTTGAAAGGGGATTGCCTCTTGTACTGCGATCTATAGCCAAGGTAAGCCTTTGTGATGCATTATGGGGAGTACGTAGTGCGTACGGGATCATCCAGGGCGGAGATGGCAAGGAAAGGGATTCTGATCGCTAACACCGCGTCTGATGACGAGGCATCGCGGTAATATGCGTTTTCAGTTGGATAACCCCAAGTGACGGTTCTATCGTAGTAAGGTTAGGCCACGCCTTAGACAATTTAGCATGGAGACAGGGAGGAAAAGCCTACTGGACTTCACGATCGAATTCGTGAAGATAGGTAACCTTCTGTATGCGGTCAAAGTTGAGGTTCGTGTAGTTGAGGACGGAATCCTTGTGGAGATTTATGAGCCTTTTCATGTTGGCTGTACCAATCGTCAGATACTACAATTCGAATGGACCACAGCGAAGCGAACTTACTACCCATCACCCGTGAGTACAACCTCCCGAGCGATGTCCTCTGAAGAGACTTGTTGGAGACCTCCAAGTCGAAGGGGTTGCCCACGACTACTGCGCCCTTTAGCGGACAGTTTGCGCCTTCTTCACCTGCGTACTATCCCCGAAAATCAGCGGATCAGATAGCGAGCTTCGATAGTTACTTGCTTACATTGGTCAAGATATTTGCGCCTAACGAGAACCCGACAGCGAACAGAGGCCGGTTAGGAAACGTCACTCTTGACCAGTTTACGACCTGTCCGAGGGCCCAATCAGCACGCCGTAGAGTTTGACAAGGAACACGGCACGAACCTGGCGAATATCCCACGTAGCCCTGGCATTGAACAGGACACCGCTGGTGACTTTGCTGTTCGCGCACCCACGAGAATTGACCACACACACCTCCCAGTCCCCTCCATTCTGCACCAAGGGGGCAATGGCATGCCGGAGGTAAACCTCGTGAGAACCACCAGACAAGCCATGGAGAACTATTAGCATTGGCCTGTTATCTTCGGATGCGATCTTCGAGAATTGGTCGTCAGAGAAGTAGGCAGTCCTGGGAGGCAGTGATTCGTCCACATCATTGTGCTGGTCAACAACAAAATCCACGGCAAAGGTTCCGGTATATACTTTATGGTCAGCGTCGAATATCTTCCTGCGATAGTAGATTGGTGGGCCATGCTCCTTGACAGCTGTCCACATGGTCTGAACGTGACCGTTGAAGAGCAGCGGGTTGAGTTGGCATGTCGGCACAGCGGCTTCGCAGACTTTCAACAGATCGGTCGCGGAGCCATCCTTTTTCTGCAGCACCAGTGGTGATGGAGCATGTGTGAAGGAAATCTTGGCTCGTCCAAGCCAGTCCATGATTCTGAACAAGCGGCCGGCGGCCCGGAAGGGAATGAAAGAGAACAGCGCGTCGGGAAGAGACTGCGTTCCTAGATAACGTTCTGACGTGGGAGGGAAAAGTTGCAAGTCGGGTGAATTCTAGTTGACTGCCACCGGGGTTTGTGGTCGTTTTGATGAACGATTTAAGATTTGCCCAGAGATATGGTATTCTGACACTCTCCACCGCTGTTGTCTGAGGCCCCTTAAAAGTCAACAAAATCGCAAAATAGAAGGGAGAGAACAATGTTTCCTAGAGCGATTCTTGATGTTTATCATGACCGCTCTCAAATCGAAGAACAACATAAGGCCACACCCTAGCACCCGCCGACAAAATACAGCAGGACAAACAAGAATCCATCTGCGCCCAAGAATCTCGAGTCTCTCGAATAACCAAATTAATCTGTCGGTGTATTGCGATTGCCGAGGCACCGACGGGAAGGTGGGACAAGTCGGTGCCGTCATGGCCCACCACAGGACGGAAGCACTTGCCGGTTTCGGTTCAGAGCGCGAACCAAGCTGTGGGTCACGCAGCAGCTGAGCAGAACACCAAATCTTAAGCCACATTGGTTTTGTGGCTGGTGCGGCGTAGCACTTTGACCCTTGGCGTTGCTTGCATCCCATGTGCCATCGCGTCCAACACCGAGAAGCCGCTGACCCAGAAGAAACAAGACCGGGAATCGGATGCCCTTTTTCGCGGCAGCAGCCGGGCTGCTTCGACAAATACTGGACATCACTTGGCCTGCCGACAGGATGCCCCCGGGGGAGGCATATGGCAGCCAGGGCCAGCAGCAATCACAACAACTGCACGCAGCACTGCAGCCAATTCATCAACTGCACCATCATCAACAGCTGGAGCAACAGCAGCCGTTACAAACTGGCCCTCAGGCCGCACCGCCGCATCCACATTTCTTGAATCCATATCCCAACGGAAATGCGCAGTATCAACACCAGCAGCATGCCCAATACAATGTCCATTCCGCATATCCGCCGCAGCCAGCCCAGTTCTATCACAGCGGTACCCCGCAGTATACGAACTACAATGCCGGATTCCAGAACCACCAACCCGCGCTCGCGCCGGCGCCAGTGCTAGCGCCCGCACCGCCGCCCGCCTCTCTATTCGTCGACCCATCGTATCTCCAGAACCCCTCCGCGCCCCGACCGGCCGGCAACATCCTGCCCGCATCGCAGCCAGTGACGGCAGTGAGCCCCCAAGTACCGCATGCCATGCAACCGCAGTCGCAGTCGCACTCCCAACCACGGCTACATCAGTTAGCACCTGCAATGGGGAGTCCGAGATTGGACGTGAGAAGGCCGCCAACACATGGCTTGCCGGTAAAGCAGCCTACAAAAGAAGCGAGACGACCAAGTTCTAGCGCCGGCATCGCCAAGTCCACCGCCGTGCCCCAGGTCTCGCCGCACCTCGAAACGCTTCCGCTCCTGCTGTGCGTTGCCGAGGACTGTTTCAGTAAAGCTTATGCAGCATCCACACGGGTTGCCAGGTCCATGTCCGAGAGCGAAGTCGCAGAGCATCACAAGCTGATAGCGACTGGGTTGGGCTGTTTGGATGTTGCGCTGCAGTCGAATAAGCTGTGGCCTCGTCTCGAAGCCAGACTGTGTCTGCGTTATGCCAGTGTGCTTATTGAGGAGACGACAAACATAATGGAGGCCGAGACCACATTGACACGGGGCATTGCAGTGTGCGAGAAGGTACGTATCCCTACTGGTCTTGACTGGACGAGCAGCCGCTGATGCCCAGACCTAGCATCGCTTCATTGACCTCAAGTACAGCTCACAGTTCCTCCTGATCAGGACCCTCTTCCAGCGCAGCCAAAAGGCGGCTTTCAAGTCAATAGAAAGCCACATTGCGGATTGTACAACGTACGCCTTTTGGATCCAGCGTCCCGTGGATCTCTACTAACTTGGTTTTCTCAGATATAAACATGTCCACTGGATATATGCCTTCCGCTTTCTCAAAGTCGCGTTCCATGTTCAGTCGGGTACAGCCGCCGAGCACCAGGCCATTGAGAATCTTCGCAAGATTGCGGGAATCGCAAATCAGTGCGGAGACAAGGCGATCTTTGTCATGGCCATGCTTCTTGAGGGACTCGCCCATCTCAGCACTATGAAGGACGACTGGGCAACGCGCGTGCAGATGTGCATCGCCCAGGCGTCCAAGCTGCAGCTGGATGAATCTACCCACTCTCCCCAGACTGATGTATTATTATTACTGCTTGACCTTGCGTGTAGTCTCCATCAAAAAACTCATCACATATCAGCACAGAAGTTGTCGGCTCTTCAGAAAAGATTAGAGGAGCTCAAGAACTCGCAAGACTGGGCGTCCCATCACGGAGAAATGCTACTGCCTATCAAGCGATTGCACAATGCGTCCCAAACCATCAGCAATGACACAAGAGCAATTCTTCGTCCAGGGGACGACGGTGTCGATTACCTTGTATTGCAGGCTTTGGGAAAACAGGAGGCCTTTGCATTAGCGTAAGCCCCTTTACTTCGCATCCGGCTTCGGCACAGGCTTCTGACTATTCTCCAGGTTTGTATTCAACGGCATCGTCGCGCACTACAAATCGTCTACCCCAGGCCGGAGTTCGACCATGTGGGGAGAGGCGCTTAGGTTGTTAGAAGGTAGGGTTAACGAGCTTGGTGTCACTTGCTCTTACTAAGAAGGCGTCAGATACATCCACATCATTCAAATGCCTTCCGGAAGCGCTTGCCCAAGCGGAGTGGACCAGGGGGCTTGCATGTTACGCTCACATTCTCACCGGCCTGCAAGCTTCGACCTTGTGTGACTGGGCCAAGGTCAAGGCGTGTCTTGAAAAGGCACAAGAGTGTCAAGATGGGTCGGAGACTTTGAATGTGTTGATAATATATCTGGAGGGTGTCTTTCACCAAGGCACGGCGCAACTCGGTGAGGCGCTCGAAATCTGGAAGGATAAGACCTTTGAGATGGACTGGAGCGGGGCACCCAAACGTGCTGGCAGCCACATCGAGACGGAACTCTCAATTCTGGCCGCCCTTAACCGGCTCTGGATCATGCAGGATCTGCAACGACGGGACGACGCCGAGACGGCAGAATTAGTGGACTTGTTGCGGCCAATCTGCGACGATAACCCGGACCAGGAGATACGCACCGTCTACAATCTCGCGATGGCCGCCCTTGAGGTAAATCCGCCCCTGTCGATGAATCAGGTCAAGCGGCACATCCAGCAGGCGCTCAACGGCGCCCAGCAGGCGAGCAACACACAGTACCTCTCCATAGCGCTCAACGTCATGCGTCGGAGGCTGTTTGAGGACGTGGTTGGGGAGCAGGCGCTCAAGAGCGCCAGGGCCGGGTCGGCACAGGCCAAGAGGAGCGGAAACGTGCTCTGGATGAGCGTTGCCGACGGCATGCTCGCGCAGTCGTTAGAGGTGCAGGGAGCCCTGGAGGAGGCGAGGAAGACACGAGAAAATGGGAGAAGGCTGGCTAATGAGGCGTATGCTAGAACACGGGTCTGATCTGTGTCTGTCGGTGTACTACAAGCATCTGCTTTTTTGGTTCAAGGGAAATGTATCTGGCTGTGGCAATTGTTTGGCGCTGGTGTGCTTGGGATGGAGGGGCAGGAGGGAAGGTCGACATCCATTTACGGTGTATACCCGGCGATCTTGGCCTGTCGACTATCTTCTGCTATCATTAGCTGAGCGGATGTGTGATACCTATGACTGGCAGACATGCATGGCATTCTAATACTCAGGGGCTAATGTTGCTGTTCGCCGTTGACAGATTTCAGGGGTCGGGTAAGCTACCCGTGGGCTGGACCTTCATTGCATTCAGGGGCTCACTTAGGTACGAAGTACGGAGTACAGTACTGAGGTGCAAAATCCAGGGACGGCTCGGGCTATGGCGTTCGGAACGCCAGATCGTCCCAAAACCCAAAAACCGCAGAACTTTTATCTATTTACCGTATCCCAGGTGTCTAAATTTGAAGAACCGTACCTTACGAAGGACTCCAAATAGCAGTTACAGCCATAGCCCAGCCACCCTTTTCACTACAACCAACTTTTTCCTCAATCGTTCCATTACTTCCTTGCAAGCCAAGCAGTCTTTGCAAGCCACCTCAAGCAGCCTTCCATGTAAGCTGGGCAGTCTTGCAAGCTAGGGCTTCCGGAAGGAACAAAAGGATAACGTCAAATTTAGGTAGACACAAGACCCAAAGCAGCCTAGCGCCGGCGCAGTTCACCAATCACCATTAACTAAATATCTGGCAGATCCACATCTTCGAGCAAGCAGCCATGTAAGTCGAGGTCACACAGCGAACTTGGACCCCGAGCATAGGACCTCAGACCACATAAGACCGACTATTTACACCTTTTTTCACTTGTAAGATTGTCTTTGTAACTTCTACAAATCTCCCTACCGGAAGCTAATAAACCCAAGGGCCTACGCCTAGAAACTGGTCTGATTTTTAAAGAGAAATAGTGTCGGCTTGCATGATACTCCGAGTCTCCGCTGAATTCAAAAGATCATCGCTATCTGTCTCGTCTTCGTCTGAATCCCGGACATATGCCGAAATCCTGCCCATACTCAGAATGTGACTGAGCGCCAGGGCCTCTTGTTTCGCAGCCGACAGCCGTACTGCAGCGTGAAGCAACTGGGAGACAGACCTGCGGTTTGACGTAAAGGCTTCCAAAATCTTGTAATCGTCTTCCTGGAGAATACAGGCTACACCTGCCTTGGCAACTTCGGTTTTCCAGAAATCCCTGACATTGGCTTCGGAAAGCGAAATTGCAATCCAGCCGGGTTGGTTAAAGCGGGTTCGGTGGATAGGTGACAACGACCAGAATATCACTCCTCTGTGATCCTGTACAAGGTCGAAAAGCCGACGAAGGTATTCGCTCCAGTTTCCATCGGGATGAAAGGGAGGAAAGTCTAGGACTGACCGCTGCCAGCCCGACAGAAAGACTATTGCATCGTATGAACGTGCCTCATGAAATCTTTCCGCTAGTTCCTCAAGGTCCTGATTGGGATTGGGTTTGGGCCCCGGGGAAAGGGACATCACGGGTCGTTGGAGATGTTCTCCAATGCCTAAGCTGTTGGTCAGTTATCCCTCAAATCTTAGGTGGCGTACTCTTCAACGTTTGTACGCAAGCTGAGGGGCATCATGATGTACCTTACCTCTGGCCAGTGCGACGCCCAGGGAGTGACACCCGTATAGCAAAAAGACCAAGCCATTTGCAGGTCTTAGTTTGCCGTCCATCAGATTCTGAAGTGGTTCGTTCTTCGGATATCCACCAGCCATGGCAAGAACAGTTTCTTTTGTCTCGTTGCGAATTGGTATGGTAGACAGTGGATCTGGGTGCCACTGTACCTCAGACAGAAATGCGACATCGCCATCGACCCTGATACCAGAATCAATTAAGTACAGGGGGACCCGTGTTGAGACCAGCTCAATGACATCAGCTGGAGGCTTGTTCCGGTCAATTCTCCGTATGGTGCTGATTGTGATGCCGGCCTCACGTTGAGCCGTCAATCTAGCATTGAAACTGTGCCAATCTAGAACTGCTCGTCCTCTCATCTTGTCAAAAAGTCAGCAAAGAATACTGGTGTATCCATGTGCAGGCGTTCAAACTCACCATGTTCGTCGATGGGTGATTAACTGGCCCTGAGTATTCCCACATTAACGACGTGGATTGGTAGACTGATTCGTACTTCTGCAGTCTACCTTCCACAATTGACCGAATGTCGTTTTGGCAATCGAATGGTAGAAGCTTCAGAGGCATGATAGGGACCATGTCCAAGCAAACTTCCCTGAAGCCAGGAAATGATGGCACCACGTACTTCAGAACGACTGGAGCCAGATCTTGGCCAATGCGGCGATACGCAATCATGTATATGTCAATGCTGTTTGGCGTGGTTGACCATATCTGATAGATCTTGGAACACTGCGGGTTCTTCACGTGTTCGCTCGGGTCTTCTGCAAACGGATTATGGCACACAACAACTTCCCCTGGGGGAAAGTTTATCCAGAATGTATCGAAAGTCACAAAGCCGCTGGGTAGTGCCGAGAGACGAGCCGAAAGAGGCTCGAACTGAAGAAAAAGAAAGTCGCGGACTGGTTGGTAAAGGCCTGCGTCGCTACCTGCATTCAGTTCCTGGCACAATCTCTCCAACTCATCCTTAGCAAAGTATAGCTGGGTAAATGGATGATGGAAGAAGATACAATCGCCCTCTTCGTGGTCTTGCAGGTATGGCCCGTACTTTTGCAACTCGGGTCGTTGGAAAAACCGACGAAGTGTGGGATGTAATACTCTTAGAATGCCGCCCTCTGGATGCTCGACGATATTCGTCCAGTGCTCCAACACGTAAACTTCATTCTCAGAGGACAGTCGATCTTGCGTAGGTGACTCGTAATTCCCTTGGAAATATTCCTTTACACTCTTTACTTCGTTCCCGTTAGTGACGTAGTGGGCAAGACGCATGACCCAAGTAGTCTTCGGGGATATTCGTTTTGCTCTGCCTTTCGGTGCTGACCAAGCCGGAGCCGAGAAACGCCAAATGGTGCGCCTTGGGGTTAATACGTCGTCTTCGATGTACTACAGGTATTCGCGCACACCTCCTCAGTTTACACAGTGTTTTACTTGCACGATCGAAGAAACATCTCTCGCAATCGACCATAAACAGTAAACATAAGAACGTACGTCAGTCTGTCTGGTCCGTTCCGCCACACTACCAGCAAGACTCTCATCGTCTCCCAAACGACCCTCGAATGCTGAGATTGAACTCGACACTGCAGCAGCAGAGATGATGCGGGAAAATTCTCGATGATTCTCCGACCTGCTCCTCGGGACTGGACTCATTCTGCGTGCCATTGTTGTCCTCAATGTCGCAGACTCGTAGGTAGTTGTAGGTGGTGAGGGAAGTGCAAGTTGCAACAAGTATACAAGGCTCCACACACGGAAGGACTCAACTGTCGCTGGGCTGAGTGGGGATTTATGGGTATATTGAAGTCAGTTTAGGAATCCATATATCCGTATGTAATTGTACGCAGCGTACATACCAATTCATGAATAAGACCTGGTATGCCTCTTACCCCACCCAGTCTCCACCCCCGGCAGGGATAAATGTGGTTCAGCTTGACGTTTAGCCGTTTAAGTACAGTCAGTGCCGGAAAAAACGCAAAGAATTTCTATCACACCAAAAAATCCCAGAAGTCGGCCTTTTCAATCAGCTAGAAAACACCCATATACCAGGTAATATATCATAATAATTGTAATTAGTATATATAATTGACTAAAGTATAGGCAGTATATAGGTATCGTAGTACGGATATATTCAGTTTTCCCTAAGAATTGCAGAAGTTATTTTTCGAAATCACTAACTTTCGAAAAATTACTATTTTCTAGTTACTTATAACTAGCGGCTTACAGGGAGCTTACAGTGGACTTGAAATTCATGTTCGAACTCAACCTCAACTTTACACCAGCATAGCTTCTACATTCTTACCTCAAAATCAAAGCGGAAGCAAAAGACCAATATATACTATAAAAACCTCCTTATATAGTAGCTCCTGTAATCGTATTTGGGTGTTAAGTGTGAAAATTGTATAATTGAAGTTGTCGAGTTTTGTGGTAAATCGACTTGTTTGCGTTTTTAAACGGCACCCACTGTACTATGCAGTACTTCGTACTGGGACGTCTGCAGTCAATTATTGACTTAGAAAGAGCAGAGGATCGTATCCTGTCCAATCCACGATGCATATCGTCCAATAGATGGCCAATATCATGCAAGACGTACAGGGACAAATCGCGGCGGGTTTAAACAAGTGAGCTAGCTCGGCTAGGTACTGCATATGATCAATGCAGAGTTGACTATGATCACCTGCACGTGTACGGAAGACTACAGGGCAAGTGCTGCCCTGAATTGTGGAGGGGCCAGGCCTACCCAACAATGGAACCAACACTCAACGGGCCTGTAGACGTCAATATTGCAGGCTAGAACCTTCTCCAACACCATATCTGAATCTCAACCTTCGAGAACATGAGGAATGAGTCTCTCACACAGCCTTACAGTAGTTGGATCCTACAGTAATTCTTCGACCATTGTTGCGCATCTACACGAAGTAGAATATCTCGATGTCGGCCAGTCGAGTAGGTAGACCGACCGAAGGAGCGAAGATCATACAAGTCTAGAGAGCTAGCATCGGGATATCATGGAAGTCGACCACAGACTACATACAGAGACTTTTCCACTTCCTGGGAGGGTTCCGATACCACCTGTTAGCCTTTGTGCGAGACAAGGAATCACGCCACCGGATTTGACGCGTATCCTGCGGTTCTTGGCCGCTCGTGCTACTCGGGCATCGATAACAAATCTCACATGCCAACGCAAGACGAGGAATCTGAGCATGCTGATGCTTCGTCCAAAAGATCGCCAAAATTCGGCAACCTTGATATCGATTCCGAGTCGCTGGTCCAAGAGCTATGGACCCTGGAAGCCGTCCGACTCTCACGGACGGCTTCTGCGGAAGACTTGCCTGATACGCTTCATATCGGGCTCGACAATCACGGCTCCAGAGCGCGACCAGAAAATGTTGTCCTGGCAACGGTTGCAGCTCAGATCTCATGCGCCCTGGACATCTACATCTTGGAAGACATGTGCGAGCTTCACAGGTGCTACAAACCTGGCTTTGATGCCCGCCGGTTCCGATCCTCATACTCGAGATTGGAGTATCTTGCTGGAATCACCATTGACATACCTGGAAGGACCTACGTCCCAGTCGGTAATAGGAGAGGACCTCATCCGCCGTCGTCTCATCCAAACCGGAACACTGCCGCTGCTGCGTTTGACAGCCCGATAATTGGGGAGACGAAAGGGGAATCCTTCAGAACAAGACGAGATTTTGATCCAGAGACGAACCATGAGGATGAGGCTGCTGTGTCTAGCGAGACTCCAGCCCGTAAAATTGTGACTGTGCATTTTGAAGGACAGGAACAAACTACTGAGGAGACCCGAGCGAGGCCCATGACGAAAGACATGGAAGTTCAACATGTCGAAATCTACGATGGTCTCCTTGATCAAATCAGTGAAACTCTATGTGGAATCGCAACGCAAACAATTCCGTCATCCCAGTACTGGCACGTCGTCACGATTGCTTGCATTACTAGGATGTCCACGAAACTCAAAGCCCTGGCTAGAAAGCTTCCGGAAAAGGCGAGAACTTGCTTGACTTATTTGAAAAACCTGCAAGAAAGTTCACAGGATGATGACAGCAAATGGGAGATTCCCGACCTCCTCAGGAACGACGACCAAGCACCTCAGGCGGTGGAGTACTGCTGGATGTCAAGTATAATGTTGTATTGGCTTGCGGACGCAATGAGGGTAGCACTGATGAGTCTAGGAGCGTCAAAACAGGTCGAGGACCCCGGCATAGGGGCCCTCGATTTATCCTGTCTTCTATACAAGGCAGGCGTGACGGCCGGTAGTATCTATCTTCACGGAGATATGACAGGAGGCATCACTGGGACTACGGGCTCCCTTCAGGCCGCCTATGCATCACACGGCCTGTTGACAACGCTTGACCTCTATAAAGCGATGCAAAGGTCAAGACTCGAGTCTGGACCAACCGTCAGTGGAGCATCAGGACATCTTCATGCAACATTGAAGGTTATGTTTGAGATGCCCACAGATAACATTGGAGACAACGGCAGACCCTTCTGCCTACCACAGGCGCGAACGATGGATTTGTGTACGGCCGGTGATGTTGCGACATTCATCATATTGCATTCATGTATGCACCCATCCGTCATTAACGGTTTTGAGACCAGCGTCAACGCCATCGCCTCGTTTGAGGCTTTTGGAGACTCACGTCACCAGCTCGGCGACATCACCTTTTCCTTCGCTTTGAAGACTGAGACCAAGCAAACAAGCTCTACCGAGCACCCCCGGCCCGGGAGTCACATCTCGACAAACAAGGATACGTCATCTATCGATTGGAAATGCCAAGCATTGTCTGAGTCTATTCTTTTCCGCGAGCGACTTGGCCTGCTCATTTTCCCAGCTGCAGGAAGGAAGTGGCAGGCATTGATAGAGATCGCCAAATCATGGGAAGTTGGTGAATGCTCCATCACAGTCAGCTGCTTTTGGTACGTACTACCTACTGCCATGGTTGCCGCTGTGCTGGTTGCCGGCGGCCTGGTCGCTGGCCTCACTGTAGGGGAGAGAGTCGAAGGTGTCGATCCCTTCAACTTCACCATGTTTGCATGGATCTTAGCCGGCTTCATCATCTTGATAGCAAAGGGCATCTGGGTATCCGATTGGCCTTGGCGTGATTTCCTCCATGCTCGCGTCACATGCAGGTCGGCGAGAGAGCTTCGCCGCGTCACCCACCTGTCGGACCGGGAGCTTCTAGTCCTGCTTCTTTGGCTGGAACAACAGACCTTGACGGTTAGCGGTCCGTACAACGGACCTTTCACCAATTGCGCCACCGGCGAGGGCTTTTCCATCGACATACCCTCCGATCTCAAGGCGCTTCTGGCAAGCGGGCTGGTGCCGGTGCAGGTGGGCACGCTTTCCGGTCCCAAGATTGTCTTTATGAGCTTTCGAAAGGATGGGCGTCTGCGTGCTGTTTCCCCGCGGGGCAGCTTTTCTGGCATGATACTATGCTCCAAGGATATAACGGGCATTGCTGGCGCAACCCGCCCAACATCACAACCCCAACTACACGAGGCCAACAAGCATATGATGGAAAAGCAACAGACAGGTCACACAAGTGGTGCGGGCCCGGAAAAGGTCCAGGAGGCAGTAGTCGAGAAGTTGGACGGCATTAAGTGGCTTAGTGTATACGGGATTTATGAACCTGAGGAGCAATTATTTCGTTAGAATACACTCAGCTGTATATACAGGTGGAGGCTACCAAATCAATCTTTTACTGAGTGCCTACTACAATCATACGGGTCCTTCCTTCATTTTGTGAAAGAGACCTGTTTCTTGCAGAACCCGCCGAGCAGAATGCCCTTCGTCTCTTTGATATTGCGTCGCTGGAGAGCCGACAGGGATTACAACCACTGGAATTGACTGCTCAGGCGCTTTTGCCCATAATAAGAGTACGGAGTAGAGCATCTTAGCACTGAAAAATACTGCCGCTGATTACCAGTATTTTATAAGGCATACGGACGTACCCGGTTGGCGGCTTGGCGCGCTATTGTCCTGTACCATTGCAAGAGTGGTCAAGGCTCAACGTTACACAAGGGCCTTGCAAGGGCCACCCTCCCGAGGCGGTTACATATCGATAACAATTCACTAACAAAACCCCAAGCTTCACTCTTTTCCTCATCATCACACTACAAACACTCATCAAATACGCTCAGCTTTTGTCCACTCCTTCTCAAACCATTAGCCAGCCAATGAACCAATTTGCCGATTTGAGACCAGTCATATTAACTAGCTTGATTCTGTCCTCACTAGCCAACGAAACAACAATTTGCTCTGCAAATCATGTCGTCTCCGGACCCACCACTGCCGCTTCCCGCAGGCGAAGACAGTAACACGCCTTCGCGGAACCCAATCGTCCATGGCGCCGCCATAGCAATGGCAGTTCTCTGCCCGATTGCCCTGATTCTCCCCTCGCGCGGCGGCCGGGGCGTTGCGAAGTCGACACTGCAAAACGCCGTGCTGGGCGGCGCCTCCTTCTGGGCCTTCAACCAGCTCGCGCACGACTACACAGGCAAATCCATCACGGCACGCTCCAACGAGCGGTGGGGCCGCATCTTTGGCGTCTCAACCTCGTCTTCCTCTTCTTCTTCTTCTGCCCCGACGGGGTCGTCGTCCAGCAGTAGTAGCAGCGACGATGTGGCTGCGCCGGCAGGGAAATCGGGAATGTTTGGTCTGCCCCCGCAGGCGGAGCGGAATAGGCTTCTGATGGAGGCGGAGCGGAAGCGCAGGGCCGAGGCGGAGGGCAGGGAGTATGTCCCCAAGGACGGCAAGGGTGTGAGTACCGGGAAGACGGCAAGTTTCTGGGAGAGGTTATGGATGGGCGGTGAGAAGGAAGACTGGAAGGAGAGGAGGTTGGAAGAGGAGAGGCGGGCGCTGGAGAGCGGGAGGGGTTATGGAGACTTGATTATGCAGCAGGTTAAGGAGGTTTGGAAGGGGGAGGGGAAAGGGGCTGACAGCGAGTCGGGGAAGAAGAAGGATTGAGTATCTCGTCCTGAGTATGTGTGGGTTGGCGCGAGTTGGGTTGGGGAGTGGTCTGTGAGGGAGGGTAGGAGAATCACGAAGATGGAAAAGAACTGTAAGAGCATATCGGTGATATAGCAGACGGAAGAGATAGTGGACAGGGGATTTGCCATATGTACATACTGTACTGTACAATATACAGCGGCGTATGAGATACCTGAGGTAACATATATCTAGATACCTATTCACTTACAGGTACATGGTCGTGTTATTAGTGATAAACCCGCCTTGGTAAGCCTTCTATGATCATCCTAAGGCCTGCCAGAGTCAGAAGTGGACTCGTAGATCTCGAGAAGGCAAGGGGACAGTGAATTTGTGAAATGACGGGCAGCAGCCGTGATGTTGGCAGAGATCTAGAACCTATTCATGTTGCAATTCGATACAATCCTGCTTTCAATGACCCAAATGCCCAGGCTCGAGCCAGGTCAGCTAATCGGACGCAGCCACACCAAGGCCTTGCTCAACGCTCAATGCAACATCCACCTGTATCCCTGGATGAGGCGGCAGCTGCGCCTCCTCCGCAAGTTTGTCGATGGCCATTGGCAGCATCACTCCTGCGGCTGATGCCCGTACTCTATACATTCCGTACCCACCTTAATTACACATTCCGTGTTGTTCGTGTTCAATCCCACTTACACGTGTACTGTACATACAGTACATACATAAACTACACGAATCACAGCCGCCACAGATCGGGCCCCATCGTATGCTCCCACTTGTGTAGCGTAGTTCCTAACAAAGCAGAGATCGTGGAAAATGGACTGACGCGAAATCAATTGCTGGGGCATCCTCCGGTAATACCTACCTCAGGTACGGAGCCATATACTGTATTGTACAATACAATACGTATCAGTAAGTTAGGTAATTACCTTGTGGCCCCCAGAGGACATCAATCGGTGCTCTAAACCTCTTTGTTCAGTACACATCCGTATCCCGGCTGAGACCTATGCATAGCCTTGGGCCCTTCCAGCTTCATGCTTTTGTTCGATCTCCCCGGCCCAGCCTCAGCGGCTTGGAAGTTCGGATGGAATACGAATATGTACATACGTCAGCTGTGGCGCTGTCGGCCATCTCCCCTAACAACCAAACAATCAAGCAGCCTGGTTCTTCTTTTTATTTCTCCCCTTAATGGCTAGCTTGATGTCTCAAAAACAATAGAACAGGGAAGGGTGAAAAGTTCTCATCCAAACGCTCTCGCGAATCGCGATACCCCCGAACGTACTCCGTACAGTGCGCAATTCAATCTCTCCACACCTGCTTTGCCAGGGACCGTTCCAGTTCTTGGGGTGATCCCTGCGCCTGCGGCTGCCAAAACATCTCCATCCGGACGGTCCTGCTTGACTCGGGCCGCCTTCTCTTGTGTCTCAAAATTCACATCGAGTTCTGCGCTGTCTACGGATACACTGCCCTGACTTCTGAGTGTTTGAGGGAGAGGCCGCAGGGTTCCGGCTCCTTCTCCCCTTTATCTTCGCTCCGCCTCTCGCTCGCATCACCTTTTCCCCCCAAATTTCCAAAAAAGGGCTCCCCAACAAATACCCACCATGTCCGCCAACGAATACTACAGTCAAAAACCGCTACCCGATATCACATCACCCCAGTACTCCTACAACCGCCATGCAACATCGCCGTATTCCTCCTCTCCCGCTCCTCCATACAGCGCCCAGCCGCATCTTGCCCCCGGTGATCGGCCGCCGCAAGACCTGTCTTCGCCTTTCGAAACCGTCTTTGACGACCATGTCTACCCGGCGAGCACACATCAGTCGCTGCACACACCGTCCTCGAGTCACCATCGACTAAGCCAGCAAGATACGGGCTACTACGGCGTCTCGCCGACCCGCACCGACGATATGGCTTACAATCACCCAACAGACGACATTCCCCTGCAAGATCAACCGCCCCCGGGCACATCCAAGTACGCCGAGATGCAAGACCATGTCTACGACGCACCACAGCCCAAGCCGCGACGGAAAGGTCGCGTTCGATTGGGTGAACTGGGAATGCTGAATTCTAACCGCAAGAGCATCCCCTTCGTTGTCTACTTCTTCACTCTCGTTCAACTGGGCGTCTTCATCGGCGAGCTCGTAAAAAATGGTAAGCGTGCTGCCGGATGTTCGACGCGAGAAAACGATCGAACTGTAGCTAACGCCAGCGCGCAGCAACGGCAACTGGCTCCCCCATCATGATACAACCAAGTTTCAACCCGATGATCGGTCCATCGCCATACGTACTTGTCAATATGGGCGCTCGATTTGTGCCATGCATGCACAATGTGGACAAGATTCAGAACGCCGAGAAGCCGATAGATTGGCCCTGCCCGAGCGCGACATCGCTCGACATGAGCAAACCCGAAAACGCCTGCACCCTTTCTGAGCTCTGTGGTTTCGGCGGCGTTCCGGAACCCGCCTACAAACCGAACACCCCTCTGGATACGAAGCCAGAGCCAAACCAATGGTTTCGTTTCATCATTCCCATGTTCATGCATGCCGGCGTCATCCACATCGGCTTCAACATGTTGCTTCAGCTAACCATGGGAAGGGATATGGAACGATCGATTGGTTCGATTCGCTTCTTTCTGGTCTATGTGAGCTCGGGTATCTTTGGCTTCGTCATGGGTGGAAACTTTGCCGCCCCTATCATTGCCTCGACTGGAGCTTCCGGCTCACTATTCGGCGTCATCGCTCTGACGCTGCTCGACCTCCTCTACTCATGGCGAGACCGTGTCAACCCAGTCAAGGACCTCATCTTCATCATGCTCGACATTGTCATCTCCTTCGTTCTAGGTCTGCTCCCAGGCCTGGACAACTTCTCGCATATTGGCGGCTTTCTTATGGGCCTTGCGCTCGGCATTTCCATTCTGCATTCGCCAAACTCGCTCAGAAGACGCATCGGAGACGACGTGCCGTACGCCACCTCTCACGTTAGTGGCGGGTTCGCCAGCGAGGGCACACCGCCCTCCTTCTTTAAGAATCCGGTCGGTTTTTTCAAGGGCCGTAAGCCGCTCTGGTGGGCCTGGTGGTTCATCCGCGTGGGCGCCCTCGTGCTTGTCTTTGTCGTCTTCATCCTGCTCCTAAACAACTTCTACGTCTACCGCACCACTTGCGGCTGGTGCAGGTATCTCAGCTGTTTGGTATGTGCTTTACCCTTCGAGTTCAATCTGATACCAAGTGACCATCAAAGGCTGACGCAAGAATGTGTAGCCCGTAAACAACTGGTGCGATATCGGCAACGTCAACCAATTACAGTCTTAGCTTCCATCCCTCAAGCAATAGCTGCGCCGCAGCCGTCAGTCCTGAGCTGTAGCGACCTTTGACGCGTACCCAGCGGCGGAAGGAGGGACGTGGATTTAGCGGGGTGCGCTTCGATGGCCCAGTCTGGCCAAAACCGAACGAGCCTTGATACCCAGACCCATGCCTGGATGCTCAAGGTTTCGCGGAGAGCAAGAACCGGAAGAGAATGGACGATTACAGAGTGGGGCAAAACAAACCCTACTAGTGCATAGCGGCGGCGTTTGGTCGATTTGGTAGGATCTTTGTCGTCTTCTACCGTTTATCTGCTATAATCACTTTTGGAGGTCACTGAGCCGGCATATCGGCGGGATTCATCCGGCACTCGGGGTTCTCTGGTCATGGACGGTGCAGCATGATGGTTATGAATGTTCAGTGAAGTCAAGCATCAGCTGTGACTCCTGACCACTCGGTTTGCAGTGGAAGAGCGGAAAACGGCTTCATGCGCCGGTAATTGTGTTGTGATGCATAGCATACTTCGTATGGCATACGGGGAACTTGCATGCTTGTGCTGCAGTTTGAGGATACCTACTCTAAATGAGTATCGGGTTTGCTGATACTTTGTTATCTCGCCCCCGCCAGCACCATGGCCTGGTATGTATGCTTAAGTAGTCGGCTGTGATGCCCTTATGACGGGGCAAAGTCAGGCTTCCGAATGACAACATTTTGTATACGTAGCACATTGTAAGGGGTCAAAGGGGTTTGGTCGTCTGTTCATTGATTATACTGCGTCGAATCCGTATCCTGTATGTAGTGCTCTGGGGGGATGGCCGCTGGTCCCCGCTGAAATGTAGATCAAGACGTCCTTCCTTGATTCTAGAGCAGTAAAGCTTCCTATTAATAATAGCACGCACAGGAGGAGTTAGTTGTATGGTCAGACGATGGCGGAACAGCAGTCACATGGAAGCCCAGCGTGTGGTGATAAAGTCGTCTTGATCAAGCGTTCTCCCGGAACTGCCATGGGACGGGCTGCCAGGTGAGGAGTGCCTGGGCAAGCGCGGGTTTCGAAGGTGAGAGTATTGTAACTTGTGACTGTAGGCTTGTTGTTACAAAGATGGTACAGATCTATAGGAGGCTTCCAACCAGCACAGGTATGAGAACAACTATCATGCCAGATCGCTTTGGTCTATAGTCCTTCTAGTCCCCAGTTTCCTTGCTAAACTCGGCCTTTTCATTGCCACTGAGCTCCTTACTGTCCTTGTCCTCCTCCCGCGCTGACCGCCTCTTGGCTCTGCGTCGAGAAGCTCGAGAAGCTCGCGAGCCCGTTGGTCTGGCCTCATCCACGTTCTCCTTGGTATTCTCAACTGCCATGTTATCATCACCATCCTTGTCCTGTTGGCTGGGGGATGCCTTCCTTCTGGCGGCTTTACTCGCTCTTTCTGGTTCCCACACTTTGTATGGCCTTGTTCCACCGCCCTTAAACACGGATTCATAACTATAGGGCTCCTCGGAACCGTACACCTGGACCGGGTAGGTCTTGGCCCGCGCATTTTCGCGGTTGCGAAACGAACGGCCCTTTTGGCTCAACTCCGCCAGGTTTTGGAGATAGGGATTGAGCCACTTGTCATCCGTATTGTCGCTGGGATCAAGAAGCCTTTTTCGGCGCGAAAGAAGCATATTGTACAGCCTCCCACGCCTGGTCGGCTGGATTTCCTCCATCGCGTATTCGACTACCCAGCGCTGGTTGCGACCTAGGTTCTCAGGGCGGTTCACATACTCGTTGTCAACCTTGTTTCTTATGGTAAGAATGAGGCCGTATAACTCGTCGTTTTCAGCGGATTCCCCGTTTGAAGTCTCTGCCGCTTTTGGTGCAGACGTTTCGGATACCTTTTTGGCCTCCATGCCCCCTTCCACAGACAGAGAGCCGGTTTCAATAACATCGTTTCCTTCGTGCTTCGCGGCGTCCTCTGGCTCCCTGGATTGCACTATGAGCTCCGACAGGATCTTTACAGCGCTGTGAAGCCTCTGTGTATCTGCGTGCACGTCCTCCTGCGCTTGAGTCTCGCTCCGGCCGGACAAGGCCCGTTGCTCATTTGGCATGTTTCTGAACTGAGATGCCAGCCGAAGGATCAAGCCCTTCAGGGTCGGCTCCTTATTCGACGGACCATCTGCTGCCGGTAGCTGCGGTTTGTGCTCTCCACCGGTGTCGCTGGCACCCTGTGCGGTGCGCGCGGCTGTCTCGTATTCCTTGGACTTGTCCAGAACACCTTCTCCACCAACGAGTTGATCTCGCCCGATAATATATGGTGCCTGGTCTTCCGGCGTGATAGACCCGGAATTGCCTGTCAAGGCGTCAAGGAAAGCATCTACAGAACGCTCCGTCTCATCCGGAGAGCTGCTCTCGAGAAGGCCGCTTTGTTTTAGGGCATACTCAATGGCTTCACGGACGGACATCACGCCCTGTTCCTCGTTCTCCAAGGCATGTTCAACCTTGCGCATCACGTCTTCCCAGACAGCAAGGCTCGTTTCTTCCTCAGTTCCGCTTTCTTCTATAGTTTCTTCCACTGCCCCTTCACCCCCATCGTCCTCGCCACCGTCCTCCTCATCTAGCCCTGGTTCCGGGCCCGGTGTGACGCCCATCATACGACGCTCAAACTTCTCAACTGCGGCCTGGGTTGCCCCCTGAACGTCTTCAATCTCCTTTGGCGTCACAGGTTTGGCGAATATGTACATGAAGGGAGGGTCGCCAGGTCTCGTCTCAAAGTGGAGGCGGAGAGTTTTTCCGGGAAACTTCGCCGTTACTTTATCCAGAACCTTATTGAGCAGATGGAGACTCAGTTTGAATTCGCGGTCGCCTAGATTCCTCTCCTTCTGGCCGTGTAAGGATAAGTCCATCTCCGGGAGATCGATGTACTGGAAGCCGAAGATGCGTTCTGTGTTGTGGAAAGCGACAAAGATACCATCCATGCGGCCCATGCGGACTTGGAGCGAGTACTTCAAGAAAGCGGACCGAATCATGTCGTAATACTCGCGCTCAAAGGATTCCCACTGGCCAAAGCGATCTCGAATCTCGTAGCCGAGGCCATGATGGATGTTCTGCGTGTCCATACGAATCGAGACGACCGCCCGGGTTTTGAGGTCAAACATGCCGGTCCCCGATAGTCTGGGGTCGAAAGCATCAAGTTGAGAGCGCATCATGAAATCGCCCATAGTCGTGTAGTGATAGGACTCGGGCCCACTACGCTCCTCGTCGGTTAGTTGGTCCGACTTAGTTTTTCTGTACTTTTCGAAGTCTTGCTTGGGTAAGGTCAGGAATTTCTCCATCGACTTGCCCAGCATGCTCAGAATGTTTGCAGAGTCAAATTCCTTGTCGGCATCGATGGCATAAGTCCCATCCTTCCAATGGAGGAATGTGGCGGCCGGGGCACGCATGATACGGGTATAGTTGAACGACTCGATCTGGAATTCACGAGACATCATGCAGGGGTTGATGGGACGCCAGGCAGAGAGCAGGTAATGGAAATGAGACAATGTCGAGGTCATACTCGATGTCGAGCCGGTGTACTTCTTGGCGAGCTCAGTGGCCGTTTTTATGAGCGTGGTATCCTTGGATGACGTGATATACCGCTTGAGCGCGTTAAAGTCAAACTCTTTGACGGGCATGATGCGAGCGAGATAGGGGTCGAAGTTATATACTCGAGACCGGGGATCCTGCATAAAGTAGACGCCCGGGTTGAAGAGCACGCGGTCCAGACCATGGGCCAATCTTGGTACAGGGGGTTGCGGCTTCTTTACGGGTGTCAACTCGAGTTTGGAGGAATCGACGGACTCGACAACGAAACGCTCCAAGTGGCGATTGTCATTCGAGTCCCTGAGCTGCTGATAAGGCTTTAAGGGGGGAGGCGCCGGACTGTCGGCTGTAGGTCCGGGCTCGGGGGACTTGAGGGCTGGTTTAGCGTCTCCAGCTGGGTTTTCAGAGTCCAGGGAGCTTGTTGCCTCGGTTCCCGTGGGCAGTGAAAGTTGGGCTTCCTGATGAAGGACTCGTCTGAGTACAGCCAAGGCGCCCTCGAGCAGCTTTGCCTCACGGAACGGGTCGCTACCAAGGGGGGTGGAAACCGGGGATACCGACCCGTTGCGTTCGAGCCGGCCGCTCGCCCCCTTATTGGAGAGGGCATCGGAGCCAGCAGAGCCGGCATCAGCAGAGTCAGATGACTGGGAGTCTCTGGCAGCAACGGAGGATTGGGCAGCAGCCAACGCCTGTTGCTGAGCCTGCAAATTTTTCAACACCTGGAGAGTTTCCTTCCACAGGTGTATTCTTCTCGACGACATCCTCACGCGAATCTTCTTCTCACTTCGCCCAGAAGAACTCTCTTCGGGCTTCTTAGACTTGTCGTTCTTGTTGGACTTGTCGTTACTGTCGGTTTCGTCATTCTTCTCGTTCTTGTCGGTCTTGTCGGTTTGCTCCTGTGACTGCGACAGTGGCTGCGAAATTTGATGCTGCTCTGAGTCGTTTTGCTGTCCCGATGATTGCAACGCCTGCAGTCCGTCCTTCGCCTCTTGTGATTGCGTGAAGCCCTTGAATTTTCGTTTTCTTCGGAACTTGCGTCGGTTCTCCGGTGATTGTTCCGCCTGCGAGTCAAGCGGTTCGCTGGGCGTTTGAGCATTCGAACCGGAACTAGAATGGTGACGGACTGCATAGCACGTTACGATGGCGCCAGGCAACGGCAGCGGCGCGCGGCTGGCAAGCAGGGCACGGCATGATGTGCAGACGAAGGGAGACCTGAGTGCGCGGCGTGCCTGCCTTGCAAGTGCCAACATCGCAAGACAAAACCAAGGCACCTACGGACTGCCGAGCAACAGTATCCGTGGGTTGTGTACACGTATGGGAGGCCCTGATAACGGCAGTCAGGAATGTGACGGCCTGGCAATGGCCGTTGCAGTCGAGGCCTACATTCAACACGCTAAACGCGATAAGTTCTCTAATAACCCTGAACGCGACTTTTTTTTCTCCGCCAAAATTTTCGGTCCCATTTTCCCCCCTGCCATGCTGTTCCCAACGCCACTAGGTAACGCTGGATCCCGCTAACGGCATTTGCCGTCCAGACCTGGATCTGACTGATCGACTTAGACCTCACTTCAACACCACCGTACACATCCACACTTACCCCAGATCCGTCCCGGCTTCCATCATATCGTGCAGATACTTGAGATTCTAACTCAAAGCTTCCTAGATGTTTCCGTGCAGCGATGCTGAAAACAATGGCAAACACCGATTGCCCGCAGGATCTTGACTTGTAGTCCAACACTGATCTCTGACCTCATCACAGTCCGCTTCCCATGCCGTCTGAACATATCTTCGAAGCCCTATGGCTCCCCTCCATATTTAAGGCGCCCTTGGATCGGCCGCACCTCGAAGTTCTTGCGACCCACGACGACCCAGACGGCGAAGCTGCCGCTTCCTGGCTTTCATATCATGTCCGTCGAATTGTTACACCGCTCGTAGAGCTATTGAGCGCATCATTTGCCTGCGCTCTTGTCTTGCCGCCAGAGCAGGTTGCTGATTCCAGCAACTGAGGACCAAGCATTTGATTTGGAGAACCCAATACCTCTTGGCTAGACGCACACCACAACCTCTCGCTTTACGAAGGCTCCCTGTCACGGCTCACGACTCACCACCGACTGGATCAGGTAACACCCGATATGTGGTCCAAGCTCAGCACACTTCCAATCATGCCGCACACTCTTAGAGCAGCAGAGTGTGTGGACTGACATCAAGCTATACCACGGATAAGCATGGCTCGGCCTTGGTGAGCTTGTTCAGCCACCTAGCTGCGTGTCGCCCAACCTTTGTGGCTCTCGTCTCCCTACCGTCAGCATGGACAGCAATGCCAACCTTGGCCTTACAGGGATGGTTACTGCGCCGTCCGCGTCCGATATACCCGTTGTCTGAATCTTCGTTGCTCCTGTGACAGTGGCCTCGAGTGATTAAAACAAGCCAACGGGGCAGACTTTTGACTACGCCGCCACGGTCCAGTCAATGTATACCTGAAAGTAAAGGCATTGTAAGAACGGCTACTGGATGGCTAGCCCTGGCTAATCGGAGCTCGCTCTTTCTCTTCGTCCCCATTCCCGCCCAACCTATGGTAGAGAACTTAGCGTGTGCGTTATCGGGCTGCTGTCCGACTCCTGGCGTTCTTATGTTGGGTTGAGCAACCGTTTGGACTATGTCACAGCCTTGAGGGCTCACGTACAGCAACCACGTTCCAAGCAAACCACTTTTAATTGCTTTCCTTGCTGAACTTGCAATGGTTCCAACATGTAAACCGTTTGAACCAACACAGCAGCGGAGCCACATGATTGCACCTACCTACTATTAGCCAGCACTTTCTCGCGCTATACTACAAGAAGATAAGCCGTAGTCGAGCCTCGCACGAAGGGTTGCTCGGATTGGTGCGATGTGAGAATGTGTCTGCGAACTGCGAAGTGATAACATGCGATCTACTTCGTATCTGTGATCTACATGTAGGGAAACATGTGGCCAGTGCTCGAGGATGTGGCCGTACACTACCTTACTCCGTAGTGAACCCGCCTAGCCCAGTTATAGTACTCCATGAGTGTAATTCTCATCAGTCCATTTTTCACGGCCAGGCACAACTTTTGCAGTTGGTCTTTAACAGAGGGCTCAATCAGTTAGCGTAGCGAGTTTCTTTTTCTGAGAGTCCCAAGCCTTTTCTCTGCATATAGTGTGCGCTCTATCCATGTATGACGTGCTTCGGAAAATCTCCAACAGCGCTTGCAGCGGCTTGACTGCAAGGGTGGTGGGAGGTGCGGCACGTCTCCCGGAGGTAAATACTGGTACTTGTACAGTGCAGCTGCACCGATTGTCTTGTTGTCCGTACCTTGCCTATGCTTTCTCTTTGTTTGTCCCATCAATCCCAGAATCATTCTTTGAATGCGGATTAACGGTGGGTTTCTAGTGTAGGAGCATGTGGCGGTTCGACCAGTCGCCATTCGTCTGTCCGGTTTCCGCACCCCACTGGAGGTCAGTTCCATTACCTAATAAGGTGTTACACCCTCGGAAGTCGATTTCACAAGGGAAAGGAGGCGGGATGTAATTATATGTTCCCGTTGAGGCTGAATTGAGTGTGCTTTTCTGGAGTCAGCTTGGTATACCAGATTTACAGCTATGTATACTACTAGTAAATGCTCAAATGCTACTATCAAGTCACTGGGGCAGGGCCTGAATCAACTACCTAGGAGCGGGCGGCGCATCCAAAGGGCGACGGGAGCTTTCCCATACCTATCAAATTGCCATCTGCCGTGATCAGCCAAGCACCGATCAACAGGGCATAAATACATGTGGATTGTGGAGATGGTTAGTTGATCACATAGGTACCGTTGTCTAAGGTGGTTCCCGTAGCTTTACATATTAACGTACTGTTCGCACGTACCTAATTCTCTCAGCTTGGCTTGGTGAGAGTCGTGGGACAGGGTCAGGGTTGTGGCTGCGGTTGGCTTGCGAGACGGACGCCCTACCCGAAGGCAATGGGCATCATACATAGGTGCAGAATCCTGCATGGCCCGATATGGTATCATCCGGGTGCTCGAAAACGCTAATAACTGCGGTATGTGTCCCTTCCCGTGCCGCGTTTTTCAGCCCTTGATAGAGCTGCCATTGGGCAGTCGCCGAGCATTGCTTGATGTTGACAGAGCCTCGCAGATCATGAACCGGTTGCGCTGCTGCCCTTCCAGCACGCTCATCTCTTGCCAAAAGGCGTGCGCACCTGATGGGTCAAAGCACGTTGCATTAGAAGCACAGGCGGCCTCTTGAGACATGGCACGTCACCGCTACTCTGAGACCATATCGGCTTCTTATCACGTCGTCGTCCGCGCCGCATCAGCGTGAGGCACGTACAGCCAGCGAGCTTCCACGCTTGATAAGCGCCCGAGATGCTGCAACGCTGCGGTGAACCTATCGATGATATAAGATAGTATCGTGGCAGATTATAGGTCGCAGGGTCCTTTACGACCGAAACAGACAATTGAGCACGAGACAAACTCTCTGCGTCTGCCTTGGATGGTGGGGTGCATGCTGGCCCCTGACGATAATGTTCCGGCTGCTTCGGTTGAAAGAGGACGGCACGGACACTGCGAGGCGTCAGGTCTGATAAAACCCTTCGATCCTCAAGGAGAGAATCGAAGTGTCTTGCGCCAGAAAGGTAGCCGTGGCCGCAAGCAAGGCAGCTGGCTATCGCCGGCGGTTGGAAGCCGACGCTCAAGGTTGTTCCGGCAGGTTGGAAAGTGGAATCATGGTGCATTGCGAGGTTAGATGTACTGTGGTGCTAGAGGATTGATATCCTTCATCCTACTGAACTGACGTGTGATCAGAAAAGTAGTGCCACGTCCATTGCCGACACAGGGACCAGCACCAGCAATGCGGCAGCGGCTTATACATCTTGCTGCCGCAGACGTGAGGTGAGCAGCCTTGATATTACTCCGCAGTTGACTAGACGTCAGGTCAAGGTAAAGAAGCACTCTCTCTCAAGGTATTTTGGGGATGGCGCACATGGCGCACCACTTCGCAGCAGAACCAATAGCAAGGCTCCAAGCTAGTTCTGGGAGATGCTCCCGCTGTTCCGTTATCTTTCTGGTTGTCTGATGAAACGAGGCAAGGCCGGCGTTGTGAGACTGCGCAATACTCGCTCTCGGGTACGCAATCCCGTCTTATCTTGCAGGTACTGTACCGGGGTAGCAGACAATTTTGCCCTGCACAGTAGACTATAACGTTAGCAAATACACATGTAACATTAGTGTTGTTAAATAAATCAAACAATTTGCTCACCTTAGCTAGGCTGATACGTTAGAATTGGGAAGGGTTCCAAACTTCCAGTCGAGCCTTGACTCCGACCCTGAGCTTGATGCATCAATCGGGGTTTGCGATAGTTTCGCTATCTCACCGTCTCACGGTTCTCACCGGCTCTGCTGGCGTCATGCGCATTCTCAATTTCTCACCGATCTTCGTTGTTGCTTGTTTTGCCGATGGGCAGTGGAGCTGTCGTGCTTGCAGGCAATGTTTGCTTGGCAGGGCCAGCTTCGCGGAGAAGGATGAGAAACCTCAGGCAGAAACGGGATCTTATCTTGGACCCCCACAGATTGCTTTTCCCAGCCCATGTGGCATCCCTTTGGGTCCCCACACTGATCCCTGTCAGAGCATCCTCTCTCCAACCTTCAACCCTGTGTCACGCTGATAAAGTCGCAGATTCTGGCCTCCAGTTCGTCCGACACGGCAATCCCCTGAGCCGACCAACTGATAGACTGGACTCTCCTTGCAACGGCCAGAGGACCCTCATGGCCGCTTTTGGACAATCGGAGCCATCATCGAAGGGAGGGGAATCTGGAAGAAGTGAAGAGGAATGGAAAGCCAGGATGAAGAAATGGCTGCTCGTCCAACAGGTCCAGACATGTGCCCGGCGTGCAGTGCGCTAGGCGAGGGCCAAGGTCAAGGGTTGTCTTCCGGCTTTCTTCGCCGTTGAGACTTGAGAGCAGGGCCACGCTAAAGTGAACCCACTTTTCCCCATCCGGGCAGCGTCTTCTCCACGTCCCGCCCACGCCCGCTCGTGGAAAAACCCTTCTCATCAATGCGCGCAGATGACAGAAGCACCTTGATGCCAGTGTATGTACACGATACCAATTACACGGGCAGACACACTACAGTATGGTCGGGTATGTGTGCCGTAGAATACCGAACATCCACGAGGCTCGCAATAATAAATACAGGACAGAGTCGCGTCGCTGCGCGGTAGCCAGTAATTATGAGAACACCGTGACTTTCGTATTTGGCCCCCGTCTATCAAGGTAATTGCTCGCAGCACGGTCCCGAAGTTGCTGAGGATATTGTCACGTCACCTGTCGCAATTGCTGCGACGACGGGGGCTCAGAGGTACATACAATAGCGGGTACTTGGTCCTGGTTCAGACAAGGCGTAGCAGCGCATAAACTGGGACCTGATTTATCGCACCTTGGCCCGCAGAACCCTGGTACCTCGCTAATGCCGAAGACGCGCTGGAAACCCACCAGAAAAGCCTGGTACTTTCTGTCGTCCAGGGGAGCGGGTTATCTCGCTCAAATGCAGCTGCTGTCGGCGCTATCTCGCAAAGTCTCCCTCCCACTTTCTCGCTCTGGCCTCTCTCTATTCCCGCCTTCGCAACCCTCAACAAGGCACAGCGTAGCTTCCCCATATTGCTATTCCACAATTCTTGTCCTCTTTCCATTCTGTCTCCCGTCTTGACTATGTAACTCGTACATATTTAACCCGCAACACGTTTCCTGGAGCAGAAAACGGAAATTCAGGTTAGCCGCCCACAACGCCTCAAAAGGTCGCTCGCCCGGTCCTTATCGGTGAGGGACCCTCGTCGCATTATAGATGCTATCTACGCCACGGCAAGCGAAACGGCTTTCTTCCCGCCAGCTTTGCAACCTCGCCGGTCGCCAGGCGTATCAGACCTGATACCTGGTGATATCGCACCGCTTCCCTGTCTGCCTATCAGAGGCTCAGACCCCAAAGCTCGCATCGTGGTATCAGATACGGTCCAGCGTTGGGACACACAGTCACACACTGCGCCAGGAATTTCACCGAGGCCACACCCATTCCATTTTGTTGCCCTCCTCTGGTCCCTGCCTCCTTTACTGTTGCCTCGTCCCCTGATTGAGGCCGCAGATGGGCGCCTGATAACCCGCCCGCCTTGTCCTCCTCGTTCCCCGGTCCCGCTGCGCTTTGTACCACAACATATCTTTGTTCGCCGTGACAGAGCCGCTCCGGGTCCCTGACTACCTACGATAGACGGATAACTAGAGGGATCCCCAGGAATCATACACCCTGGGCCCGCCTTTTCCGCTCCACTCATGTGAGAGTGACTGCCGACGCCCGACTCCTACCGCTGCTCTATGGATATCTCCCGGCCTCTCGAAATCCTTAGTGCCATGTTTAATTACCGGTAATCGCGTCGTTGCTCGGCTCATTACTCTTTTCCCTCCATTGTCCCCTCCTCTTCTTTTCCCCCAGACACTACCCCCCTTATCGGAACACATCAACATCAAACACTCCCGTCATTGATCTCAGTCCGCTGGTTCCCGGAAGTAGCCTCAGGACACTACTCTTTCGGACGGCTACGGCGCCCGCCCTGCGTCCTAGAGATGTCGACACACTCACCCTCTCCGTCACCGTTGCAGGTGGCAACCAACAGCAGCTCAGCCGACGAGACCAAGATGCCGAAGGGACACTGTCGGTACATCCTACTTCTCCCCGAAATCAAGGGCCAGAGGTGCGCATGCGTCTGTTTCTCGCTCAACAAGGGCATTCCTGGCGCCACCTGCGACTGTGGCCACCTGGCTTGTTTCCACAACAACGAGCCTGAGCCGTCAACGGAGCAGAAGCACGAGCTGGAGCTGCTGAAGAAGCGGATACAGCACCTCGAAGATCAGCTCTCCAAGGAGCAAGACGACGTATTGGACAGTGTTGTCAGCAGGCTAAACGAAGTCGAAGACCATCTCGAAAAGACCAGGGACGAGTTCAGCGAGCAGATCAAAGGTGCCTACCGGAACGTCAGCATGACGTGGCGCTCCATCGAGCAGGCCGAGCGCAAGAACCAGCAGCAGGATGAGCAGCTCGGCCAGATTTACGACAAGCTTAGAGACCACGACGAGCGGCTCGACAGATTGCATGCCGGGCAATTGGAACTCCGCGATGCTGACCTCAGCCTGGAAGAGCGCATCGAGAACTTGACGGAAACGCTGGAAGAAGAGGAGGAATTGCGCCTAGCGTCGGCAGCAGCATCAGTATCGGCCAGGGGCCCCAGGAGGAGATCAACATCCGACGCGTCCCGCCCAAACGCCGGCCCTTTGGGCCCTTTAGGGCTAGGCTCCGCCGCTCCGCCCTCATCACGCATCGCACCCCCCCAAACATGCCGATCGTCGCCGTCGACAGGCCTGTCGGGCAACAGCGGCAGGCAAGGATATACCGGCGGACCCGAGCGCGACGCGAACAGCTACCGCCAAGCGACCCAGTTAATGAGACCTCGGCCGACACCGGCCGCCTCGGCCGCCTCGGCCAGGTCCACAGGCGCGTGGACAGTCCACATCTCTCTCCTTCCACATGCCTATGTCCCAATGCCGTTCGAGCGGAACACCAACGCGTACCAGCGCTGCCTGTCGCGGGGTCTGCACCAGGTGGTGGCAGTGCAGGGTCCGGATGCGGCGTCGTTCGCAGCGGCGGTGGAGAAGGCGTTTGGCCAGTTCCTGCGGGGCCGCGAGTGGATGCCGCTGCAGGCCAAACTGTGCGACGCCGAGACGCTGCAGGGTCTGCCGATGCTGCGGCAACTGGAGCCCAGCCTGATCGAGTCAGCGGGAGGCAAGTATGACCACGAGTTTCTGCGGCGCCACTGCGCTGTCTGCGACTCGAGAGACATGATCGACTCTTTGTACATCGCCATGCGCCGACACACCATTTCGTGGCACACATTGCGACACTCCCCCGTTTTCATGGAGGGGTTAGAAGACTGCTGGGCCTATGATCCCCTTCTGGACACGGACCCTTTTGATGGCGACATGGCCGTCGACGATGAGGATCGGCCGGCTGCGGGTGACCTCACCATGTCGCTGCCCGTGTCCGTGTCGGTGCCTGGGCTGAAGAAGAGGCCCCTGGCCGAGATGTCAAGGTCCAACAGTTTCGGCTCGACAGGCGCTGCTGTCGATGCCAGCGCCGGTGCCTCGGAGAGCGATGAAGCTGCGGTGAGGGTGAAAAGGACTTGTCCACCGTCGAGTACCATCGTAGAGATGCGACGGAGGGATATCAAAACTGCGTGAGCCGTGCAATGCACGCTGTCCCCGCAACTGAGCAATGCAACCCACCCCTACTGCTGCAGAACAACGATAGTGGGCCCGCGAGATGAGGACAGAATCCGACCGGTGATCATAACGAGTTGAATAGACTGTGACAACATAGCTCGCACGACGATGACGCGACAGTTGAGGCTTGGGGGAATAATCTTATAGACGCATTTTGGAACTGTATGGGGATCAATGGGCGCGGAAGGGAAACGGCAAATGGGGTTGGGTTTGGGGCGTTCGACGGAGACGGGGCGTACTTGACGATAACTGAAGAGCTGGGACAATTTCTTTCTGGGTTGCTCGGGTTGGAGTGATTGGGCCTTGATTCATTTTGTTATGTCTTCTCCGATTGGTTCTTGATGCCCATGGATGAAGGAAAGATAGGCGGCGCCTTTCTTCTCCTTCTACATTTGCCCTCCTGCTTCCCCGCTCCATAATCCAGAGTCTGTCTTATCTTATCCGTCGTCTTTCTCTGTCTGGGCAGCGCTGATGGTAGTGGTGACGGCGTGGTAACCGCAAAAGAGTCGACGTAGATGATAGTTGCTGGTGTTGTGGAGAGGTTTGGGTGGGTAGGGGGGCGCGAATGAACGAGCCGTGTTTGATATGACGTGATGCAATGCGATGCGGTAGATCAGAGCAAGCAAGGCTCAAGGGGTAGTCCTCGAACATAGAAGCCACCTTGAACTACGGCTACAGCTATGGGTGTGGATATGGACATGGACATGGACATGGAATGGGCATGGCGGTCTAGGGGCGCTATCATTCAAAGTGGTCGTCATTTCAACCTGAATAGACTTCTCTTGTTGTCTCTGGTCGTCAGGCGGGTTTTGGTTTACTGCAAATTTGTATGTACATACTGTACTGTACTGTACCGTACATACAGTACAGACATACCTAGGCAAAGTACTACCTTACGCTACAGTGCTGAATATCAGCTTTGCACTTGTCCGCCATAAGTGCTACTACTGGTATTCGTAGGTAGTACTGAATATCAACCAACTACCTACTCCTTCTGAGACTGGCTATCTCAAGATTGATGCAATTTCTCTTGGTATTGAGATCCTTGATCATGTCCTGAGCGTACGAACTTTACCTCGGGTAGCTTAGAAGAGACGGAAGCAAGGTAACACTGACTACCGTATTCTCCTGCCACGGCTCGATCCCGCCAAAGCTGCCATCAAAACAAATACGGTAAAACCTTGGACACACCCGAGCGAGGCCTTTCAAACCTCGGGCCATGGAGTTATTTGGTGTCGGTTAGTTTCGGGAGCGCGCTAAAAACACGCGCGGACCGCGCTTGTCTCGATTTTTAGGCTGGAGTTGTGGAGAAGGGTCGTGCATTGGACTGGGGTGTAACGGTATGTAGTTACGGTATGTACCAAGCTATGTGGCCCGTGCCCACTCACACATCCACTACTACGTCCGTCTTGGACTTCATGGGCAGTGATGTGAGAGAAGTTGAGACGAAAGTGATTGAACAGCTCCTATACTGCTTATCAGAGGGTGGGTGGAGGAGAAGAGAGGCCCTTCGTGTGGTAAATGAACTCGGAATTATCCCTAAATGCATTATGCAGTTGATATCAGGTTGGTTGAAACTTGAAGGCATGACCGTCGACGAGAGTGAGACTGAGGAGATCAAGAGGCGGAAGAGTGGTCACACAGACCCTTTACATAATTATAAACATTTGTTTGGATGAAAGAACGACGTTGCCAGCGTCAAGTCAGCATCCAAGGATACACGTCTTAGACTGGAAGTGGAGTCTACAGATGAACTTGAGACAGTCACCGTCGGGCTAGAAGTGGCATCTCGCCAGGTCTTGAGCTACCCTAAATGACTACTCGGAAACAGGTCTCTATAATTGCTAGCATCTATGCTAGGTTGAGCTGGAAAAGCTCCTTTCTAGTGACCGTTTTTCTTCAGCTACTTCTGTCTGCAAATTTCGGATCCCAGGCCGCAGGAAGAGGGCTGGCAATGTCAATACGTCGAGATCACATTCTCCTTCCAGCAGATAAAGTACTTTATTGACATCCACAATAGCTTGGAGGAAAGTTCCATTCAGCGCCAGGTATTCTTGTCAAGCGCCCAGGCTCGCTCCTTCCTTCCCTACACGTTGACTGAGTCGACCACAGTTCAGCCAAGTCAATGTAATGAAACAACGGACAAGCGTTGAATATCTCTGTGCTCGTCTTAGGAAATCACTATTCCCAAATTATTGAAAACTGACACCTAGCACTCCGTCACGAGTCCGCGCTAAGCCCAGAGATGAAGCACAACATCAACCTCCCCAACGGAAACCTGGCCACACTGAGCTTGGATCAAGTTTGTGTCCAAGACATATACCGCTTGGACTCGTGCTTGCCTCCTATAAGTTTCCCGCAAACCCCTTTGCAACCTCTCCCAAAGTCGTTCCAGTTATCTCCTAGTGTCGTTGTTGTGATTCTCGCACATAAACAGCCACAGTTCCAACAACGACAACCGTTATGCAGAACACACTTGACGCCATACGCGGCAAAAAGCTCCACCTTAGTAACTTCAAAATAAGGCACAAGGTTGGAAAGGGCTCGTATGGGACAGTCTTCGCAGCCCGGCACCGCCAATCTGGTGCTGTTTGGTACGTATCTATATCTAAATACCATGTGCTGTCACTGCGTTCTCGCCCTTCATCTTCCTCGCTTACTGCTTGTTAGTCAGTCAATGGGAATACTCGAATTGGCTGGGAGAGCAAACTCTATAGGCGTCACTGCAGTTGGAGCTGGCGGTCCCCGAGTCCCCGCAGCGCGCACCGGCTACCCCCCACAACCCCCTTGAGCAATCTAAACAAAGCAAATAGTTGACTAACATGGTGATGAATGGACAGCGCCATCAAGACAATAAACAAGGCGAGACTCCGGACTCGGGGAGCAGAGGATCTTGTGAAACGCGAGGTGGACATTCACAGCCAACTTCGTTACCGAGGAATCTTGGAACTTTACACCTGGTTCGAGGATTCATACAACTACTTCCTCGTAATGGAGTATGCCCCCGGCGGTGAGCTGGTGAGTCCCCCCGTCAATCTGATGCAGCATTCATCGACCGAGCAACCTGACAATCTGGTCAGCTCAGAGCCCTGCGGCAGGAAGGCCCATTCTGCGAACGACGGGCAGCCAACTACTCGGCCCAAATAGCTGCGGCGTTGCAGTACTTGCACAGCAAGGATGTCATCCATCGGGATCTCAAGCTCGAGAACGTCCTGCTGCAGGCGAACGGGAAGCTGATGCTGGCCGACTTTGGCCTCAGCGTGAGCTTGCCGCCGGGCACTCAACTGTATGACAGCTGTGGCACCCTGGACTACAGGGCTCCCGAGGCACTGGGAGGGCAGGGCTACTCGCGGGAGATCGACATGTGGGCCCTCGGTGTCATGACGTACGAGTTCCTTACGGGTCGGCTCCCATTCTACAGCGAGGATGACGCGGTCGTCAGGGAGAGAATAGTGAAGGCGGATATCACGCCTCTCCCGACGTCAGTGTCTTACCTTGCCAGGGAGTACGTGCATTCGTTGCTCGAGCTAGATCCATGCTGGCGACTTTCATGTAATGAGGCGCTTCTCGATCCCTGGATTCTAGAGCACTGCCAACGGTGTTAGGGTTCTTTTTCGGCGTGCCATATAGCATTGGGGTATGGAACGGCCTTGGCGTAAAACAACCGAGATCACGGTGGAATAATGCGATGGCGTTTGCATTGATACAAGATACCCATGTGTTCGGTCTGCAGCGGCGCATGATGGACTGGGGTGCCAGGGCGTTGTCCGAGTGGTTTTAATCGTCAGTCTGGTGGGATTCATGTATATTCCCTCAGAAGGGATATACTGGAGAGAACTAGACCGAAGACATAGACAGTCCGCTTGATTGAATGAACAATGACCCTTCCACATACATGTGCTCCATCGGGAATCGCTGCCGCAATTAAGGCTCTTTCTGCCTACCACATAGTGCGTGAGCTGTCCTTCGAAGGGTAGCTCCGGTCGAGTCTGTAGACTAACCACGTACGAGCTATGAAGGTGGGAGGAAAGACCTAGCGTACCTGCATAAGGCAGCTTGTAATTGGGAATATACTGGCCTTGGTAGCACCCACCTGGTCACCGAGGAAGGACGACGGGAGGCTGCTCAGTCCCACACAGACGTCCGGCTTGGGGGGGGGTGCAAACCTGAAGTGAAAGCCGTTGGAATGAAGTCTAAACCGACCCCTGAGCGTCTTGAGTAAACTCGGTCCGACACCCGGGCAGCCAGCAGAGGTTATGGGAACTTACCAAGATGTGAGCGGAAGGGAGAGGAAGAAGGGGGGGGGGGGGGGGGGGGGGTTGTTTATACTAAATCGAAGATGGTGACGGCCAAGGCAGGGGCCATCTCTCATAAAGAGGATAGAGCGGGACGTTGTCGCCAAAACCGTCGCCGCCTGTTAACTAAGGTACTAGGAAGACGGATACCTAGATAAATAGAGTTAGCTGGCATTTACCATGTCGATCTCGAAATGTGACATTGAAGACCAGCGGATCTTCTCTCGGAAGTCTACCCGGAACCAGGTTGGCATCGGATTGAAAATCGCACTCTTGAAAGCGACCTATTCCATGTGATACTCGATTTGTATCTGTGAAGTGTGAACCTGGGACGTAACTGCCGTACGGAGTACAGTACCTAAAATATGTACAACATGAACAAAGCAGCTCTAACAAAGGCCTGGTTTCCCAATCTCGCCGAATATCCACCAATGAGAAGGTCAGATCTCCAGATCCCTATAACGAAAGTGGGTCGTGCCCACCTGCAGCTCGCAAGGCTGGCGGAAAACCGCCACGGCGCATGTCATCGGCTTCGACCCTCTGCTAATTAACCACAAGACACAAGTACACTTACAGCCCGCTCGATGCGGCATTCTTCCCGTCAGTTCCACGCAGCTTGAAGCACACCCGACATTTGATCTGCATCGCTCCTGTTGCCACGAGAGCCAAGCATACTACCCGCATCAACGCTCAGGGCTTCCTAGTTCTCAACCTCTTACTCACTTCCTGCCTCGCACCGCGAAACCCCAAGCCATGGACCTCGACATCGAAATGGACGTTGATGACGTCCAGGATGTACCCGTGGCCGCGATTCCGGAAGCATACACACACGATATTATCACCGGTGAAGAGCAGGTTTGGATGCGCGACCATCTGCACAATTTGGCCACATCGGGCCGCTGACCCCGATCGTTCCTAGGAGCCCGGCGAGGTTGATGAACCCCTTAACGACCAAGACAACACCGAAGTTTCAGATAAAGAGGTAGTCCCATACAAAGTCCACGTTAGAGGTCTAGACACGTTCAATCCGGACGACGTCAAGGCATATCTGGCCGAGCACTACAGCACCAGCCAGCTTAGCCGAGTTGAGTGGATCGACGACAGCTCTGCGAATTACGTCTTCAAGTCTGAGTCGTCAGCCCAGGAAGCGCTTGTTGCTCTTGCCGCAGTCGAGATTTCCGACCCAACTCAGCTGCCCCCACTCGAGGAGATCCCTGCCAAAGGGTGCACACAAAAGCCTGAAGCTTTTCTGCGAATCCGCTTCGCCGTTGTCGGGGACAAGAAGGTCGCTGGTGCTGCTGAGCGCAGCCGATTCTATCTTCTGCATCCGGAATACGACCCGGAGGAGCGTCGCAGACGTGGTGATATTCCCAGGGGCAAGTATCGGGACCGAGATGATCGCTACCGGAGAGACAGACGAGGCGACAGACGGAGGGACACTCGCGATGAGCAGGATCCGGAGCCGTTTGACGCCAGTCTCTATGACGATGCCTCGACAGCACTACCAAAACGAGCTGGAAGACGCTCGCGCTCAAGGCGACGCTCCATGTCAAGGGGCTCTCCCGGCACCGACCGTCCCGATTTGTTCTTTCGGCGGAACCGGGATAAGGAGCTTTTCCCCGAAAAATCTTCTGGCATCGCGCGCGGGTTACGTGATCGGTCGGCTTCGCCGGTAAAAGATCGTGATGGGGATGCCCAGATGGACCTCGACGAGAGCGCGCGGGTTGCTGCTGCTTTGCGTAGTCGGGAGAAGGGTCGGTCAATCAAAGAACGGCTGTCCAAAGATAACCGCACCAAGGAGCTTTTCCCTACCAAACTAGGCTCGGTTTCTGGTGGGAAAGCACAAATGGACCAAGTCAGCGACACAGCAGTCTTGGCAAGTGGTATGTCACAACTCTTTCTAGCAACCAAGTCGCAACAGTGCTCTAGTTACGGATCACTCCGCGCAAGCCCTTGACACGTCACACTCTACTTGCAACAGCCTATGTATCACCAAACCCTGTCTAACGCGTAGCCAGCAAAATTAGCAGAGAGAATCACGCCTCGGCCTGCCTCAACCGGTTCTGGCGGATTCAGTATTCGAGGCATGGCCACTCAACGCGCCACCGACCAGGGCATCGCCATCAAAGGCACCGCGCCTACCGTGAGGGAACTGTTTCCCGAGAAATTCGGAAACGCTGGGAAGGAGCTTTTTGCTGAGAAGCTCGAGGGCAGAGGCCGAAGGAGACAGAGGGCAGAAGACCTGTTTTACTGATATATTGAACCGAATGAGGCTTGCGGAATCAACTTAGCTATGGCGCCATATATCGCTACTCAAAAAGGAGTTGAGGAACACACCGGAAATACCTCGGAGCCGCCCCGCGAACCGAACCTCATTTCACAGAGTCTCAACCGTAGTCGGCCGTTTCATTTGGGAAAAACCTCCAGTTTAGATGAATCCGAGCCCGCAGCGGGGAGACTGCACGCATACGGAAGAGGGCTGACTAGACCCGCTATAGCAGCACCCCAGGTATGGCCTTTCGAGCAGCTTAGTTGACTTGGAGGGTTGGTGTTGATCGGATTCCAGAGGTCGGAAGTTGCCCACACTCAGGCGAGGAACAGAGACCATAGGCTGCTGATTCAGGGGCAGTCATGTCGGTGCTGAAGCACTATACTCAAATGCTTACAGACGGGTTGGCTTCTCACCGTCTCCCTCGGAGGCAATGGAAAAGAAATACAGAGATACCAAATTGCGATCTATTCCCATCAATGTATTCGTCTCGTCTCGTCTCGTTCCCACTCTGGTCCAGCGTTAACGTGCAAGGAGGTGGGCCGGTAAGGGAACAAAAGAAATTGAGGGAGTGACTCCGGGGATATCCTGTGCTTTGGCGAAATCGGTATCCGAGACACGCAGTCATCTGATATCAGTGTGTTCAGCGTTTTGCAAAGGTAGGTGAATATCCTGGTGTGTCACTGGCGAATGATGCTCCTCGTTGCAGTTCAGAAGCCTGTGCCTGCCTACGCGGCCACCTACTTCCCTCGTACCTTCCCCCAACTCTTTCTCACCGTTGATCACCCTCACAGCTACCGCCCACCCGAAGCTCATTTGATCCACTCCCGGAACACTCAGCAGTAACCGGCAAAGTACTACCACGAGAATCCACGATTCCTACCGTCCGATCCTTCATCCCCGCTCCCATCAACCACAATCGTTTACCACCGACATCGATATGGCTGACTCGGCAAGCTGGCTCCGGCCTTTCGCCCGCTCACGCGGTACCGCCATACCGACCTCCAATCCAGGTCAACATGACAATACAAACCCCGCCGCTGCTACGTCGCGGGCCCCAGCCCCAGCAATGGAACCATCTTCCTCATCCACCCTCTCACCGACCCGTGTCAGAGGCGGTCCGGCCGTCCGGCGCGTCAAGAGTTTGTTAAGTCTTGGAGGATCTGGCAGTAGCAACAAGGGCCGCATACACGTACCGGCGCCAGCACCGATCTGGATGCTACCACTGACCGAGCTGGAGCTGGACGGGGACGGTGATTTGTACGGAGCTGGAGTCAGCGGCAGTCGTGGTAGTCGGTGCGGCGGGAGCTTGACGACGTGGCATAACCCGAATCTGATGCAAATGGTGGAGACGCTGAGGGCTGTCATGATTGCAAAGAGGAATGCCCTGGAGGGAATTCCGGTTTGGTCTGTCCCAATTCACACCCTTTCCCTTTTTGGACTTCTGACCTACGCAGAATCTGCTAACGCTTAGTCCACGGCAGCTACAATTCCCACGTCTTAGCCTTGATTGAAGGCTTTGCTCATGTCACTGAGCAGCTGCGCGAAAAAGACGAGGCATTTGCCGAACTTAAGAACATTCGAGAGAAGGAACTTGAGCAGTTCCGAAGCGTCAGCGAAGAGTGGGTGCGTCGGGAGGAGGGTTACAAGGCTGAGGTCAAACGACTCGAGCTCGTCTTGGCAAAGGAGAGCAAAGATGGCGTGGCCTCGGTAGCAATGGCCAGACAGGGAAGTCTGGTCGATCGGGCTGGGTCGAAGCGTTTCCGAGCTAGGGTGGAACGGATAAGCAAGTCTGTCGAACATGGTACGTTTCCTCCTACACCCCGCCAAATGTCCAGGCGGACCAGAGAATGTGGCAATCAAGCTGATGGTTGTACTCAAGATGTTGTTGGTACAGACGCAAGACGGCAGCTCGGTGCCCAACCAGTCGATTTCGAGGAAGCCACGACTTCCTACAAAGTATCGGGTATGCCGAAGTCGATCCTGGCCGTATTTGCGGTGCTAATGCTAAGATTCTCAGGTTCAATTCCTCAGATTCTCGATTCGAATAGAGATGTCCTGATGAGTCGCCTCTTGGTACGACAGGCCATAGAGGAGAAGCGTCTCCTCGGTGAACAAGGTCAAATGCTGCCTGCCCCGGCGAGGGCACGCCATGCACAGCACCAGAGAGCTCTCGAAGTGCACAGAAGCACCATGAAAAGCCGGAAGGAGTTTTCATCTTCCTCCGCTTCGAGTTCCCCTACGGACGGTCAAGTCGGGCCTGAGAGGGGACTGCAAAACAGTCAAGACATTGACTGTGCAGACACTCCCAACGACAAACATTCACTCACTAAGCCTCACCGAGCAGTGTCGTTTGAACTTGGTCCGCCCAGGTCTCCTGACTCAGAGGGCAGCGGAAAGCCGCTATCGACTTAGCTTGACCGCAGTACAACAGCCCGTTCAGGTGACAAATCGTTGGAGTTTCCATGGAGCATAAAATCCCAGACACGAAGATAGGCAAATCTGTGGTCTGGCTGGACAGGAAGTGGGGGGAGGCAAAGCCATCGTCGTAGGCACGCGATCTTCAAGAGAGGATAAGGATATATGCTCCCCCAATGCCAGGAGTTGAATGAAAGGGCACACATCCCCGCCGGAAGCGAGTCCCAAGGCCCTGTTACAGGATGTGCATGTGTCTCGGGGAAGCCTATGGGAGCCTATTCACTAGTAAGAGGACTGGCCTATCTTATATGGGCTGAAGGGGATATTCTTCTTTGACCGATGTTTATTCACCGGGAGAATCTGTGTTGGCCCTAGTCACTGGAATGGCATAGGGGGTCTACCTACGGCAATTGGAGCTTGTTAGGCGCTCTTATACTCTCAAGATTGACAACGTGCTGCTGCCAAACAAGCCCAGGCCCCAGACAAAATGGTTTGATTTCGTCTTATATCGCATGACTGAATTCGCTCCGCTGACATCGGCATCCCGCCTTCCTGGGCGGTTGTACTCGATGTTGCAAGGTCTGTACCTGTAGCGGGCCGATCGAGCAAGATGGATAGATAGGCACCAGTACATCACATCTCCAATACAATATCTGGTAGGTATTCCACTGGTTAACGGGCCGATGCCACATCTCCACCTCAGCTGTCATGCTCCGGGCAAGGAGCCTTTGCTCAAGAGGACAATCATGTCGGAGTTGCAGTATGGGCGCTAGGTATTGCTGATAGGTACTTGGACAATGACAGCCCGACTCAGGTCTCTCTGCTCCCGGCGGGCAGGAACCGCCAGCACTGCACCGTACACCACGTAGAGTGTCTCGGGCCGGTAAAGGAGCAGGGGAATTGGTGTAAGAATTTGTTGTGCATACAGGGTGTAGTCTTACAATACATAAACGTACATACATACATCCATTACAGCAACTTGACGGCCTTGTTGGGCCGAGCGGTCATCAAAACCCGGCTCTACGTGTAGAAGCACTGGGCTAAAACTCAGAGGTGTATCGTACTGTAATTACAGTACGGCAGTCACAAATTACCTTAATTGCATTCGCAGCTGAACCTGGGCCCGGATTTGTCAAGCCATCGGTTGGCAAATTTAGATGGTGATGAGTCGGGACGTTGCAGAGCGGGCCGCCAGAAAAACGCTCCCCGAAAAGGCAGGTGGCCGAAAGAGGTGATGGCTGCATGTCATGGCATTTCCAGGAATGCCTGTTCGCTGGTAGGCCCGATACCCGAAGCCGTTTTGGGCCCAGATCGTCGGGTCCTGAAGGCGCGCATGTCAATTGGCTGGGGGGGTTCGGGGGGTTGTGTTAGTCAAACAAACCTTTCAACAAGCCCCTTTTTCTATACAGGCCTTTCCTCTCTTGCCAGAATGTGCTGTCTTTGCCTTTCTTCTTACCTTCGTCGTTTACTTTTCCACTATCGTTTCTTTGTCTCTTGCTTCTGGCGCATGAAGACAATTAGCGCCAAGCATCAGGATTCGATATGAGCAAAATCCAGATTGCAACATCATGCCTATGCCAAGAGCCGCATCTACCACAGTACGTGTAGCTCGGGCAACGCGCCGTACCCGTCATTCTTTATTTCTCGCCTGTTGCTTCTTTGTCAATTGTTCCGTTAAGCCGTCGATAGTCCACTTAATGTATGCCACTTGAAGTGCGTCGCTGCCCGGATCCAGACAAGAATCCAGCCCCAGGCGGAGACTTCATGACTGACGATGACACTGTTGTGTCACCTGCTGTTGTGATCCCGGAACAATGACAGCGTAAGCAAGCAGGCATCACATTTGTCGGCAAGCGTCTGGCAGTATCGATATAAATTGCCTGCTCCCCTAGAGATGGCATAAACTAGGCCTGTGACTCCGAGATTCGGGTTGCAATCGCGGGATGGTCTGTTCTTCGACTCCTCGGATGTCAGTTTCTTCAGGTTGTATTTGGCTAGACGGTGGTGATAAACTTCAATGGCGGCGCCTATCCATCCAGCTCGATGGCTCAACAGCTTGGAATCGTTACTGTGCAGGTTCAGTTGTTACCTAGGAGTCCTTTGCCGACCTCATGCATGAGATTCTGACGAAAGCCGCGAAATTCAGCGCTGGAACTGAGATTCCATCTCCTTGTGGTAATCCTGTTGCCTACTGCCACGGCCTGTTTCTGCAAGCTCGGGAAAGAATTCAGCCTATTGAATGAGATCCAATTTTTGTTTTTGGGTCCTGAAGAGAGGCAGAGGGCTCTACCTACACTGCACGTGCTGTAACTTATATACATGCGCGTTGTAGCAAATGTACTGTGCTACGGATAGACAGAACAATGTTCTACCTAGTGTAGCGTCCAGTGTCCGCTCGCTTGACGCAGCCGCTGAGCCGATCAACAGCAGAGAGCGGAGACGGCCCGGATGTGTCCTCCCTGGCGAACCTGAGAAGCCGTAATCTCTTATCGTCAGGTTTTGCATCAGTCCGCCCTAGGAGTCGCGTCAAGCAGAACACGCGGAAGATATACCGTGCATGCAACACGAGTACGATCGCGGCTTAACCACGAAATTGTTGCGGTATGACCTGATCGCCTCGTTAGCAGCCCATTCAGATCTGCTTCCTTCAGAGGAGTACCGCAATTTGGTAGATTGGCACGATTGGCACACAACTTCCAATAATCAAGCGCGATACGTGCAGAGCGTACGAATCATGTACAATTCGCGGGGTATGCGACTCGGGGAGCACAGACGTCAAGGGGATATATCGGGGTACCTGCATTTCGAGGTCGCCGACCTGGCGTCCCGAGCTGCATATGTGTAATACCACCCTCAGCGGCTCAGGGCCGTAGTAGTACTAGTAACGAGTAGCGTACGGAGGTTGGGGCCAAAAGTCATCACCCGGTTCTGTTGGCAAAGACTGCCAAGACCCAAATACAGTAAGACTCCCACAGTCCATGTCAGCCACGTACCACTGGCCACTATAGGAATAGTGTACGGCTCCCATTTTGCAGGGCTTCATGTGCGGTACCCAATCAGCGGAATCAGTGAGTAGCCGCTAACCCTAACAAAAATACAGTGCGACTGCATTCTTTCCAGCTCTTCACACGCTAACGGCCCTCGCGCTAACAGAACCGGGTGATGACTTTTGGCCCCAACCTCCGTAGACGGCGGCCAAAAAAAAAAAAAAAAAACTGCAACCTTGGTTGTTTTTATTGATTAGCGGGTGTTGTCGCCGGGGAGTGAATGGTCATCCGTCCATCGACGTCGATCCATGGCCGGGATATCGTTGCTCAATTTCTTGGCACCAATGGCAAGTTCCAGCCAATCAACTGTGGGCGACATGGATCGAGTGGCTTGTTCTCTCCAGCCGTGTGGAAAGTGGGCGGTTGGGTTGCATTCAACGAAACAAGAAACAAGCCTTGCTCGTTGCATTCAACACAGGAACCGGAGAGCGGGGTTTTGGTTCCAGTCACTGTTACGCTCGATATCGGAACAGAGAGAGGCAGACGACTAATAACTACAGTTCCATAAGACTAAGTAAGGTACCTTACGAGCCTACATACCTCAAGTGTAAGCATGTGCCATAAAATACGTACTTTTCAATACTAGCGTTGAAGGTCGATCAATCCATGGCCCATTCCCGAAACGACAGTCTCTTGATCCACCTGCCCTGCTCTGGCGCTGGTGGCACGGCGAAATGTTGACGACCGGAATAAGCAAAGGAAAACGTCCCGCAAGCGGAACGTGGCTGTGGGGACCAGAGACAGTCCAAATCTGCAAAACACGTTTTTTCCCCTTGTTTATTGCCTTCGTACCACAAATGTGATGACACTATGTACTGTACATTACGTACAATACAATACACTCCCTACCTACTACGTACACTAGGAAACATTCAGCAGAATAGCAGATAAGCCTGCCCCATCGTCGGTTCTTCTTTCCCGTCAACTAGAAACCTAGGTCGTCATCGCAAAGCCTGGCTGCCCCGGCATCAGCTTGCTCAATTTGCCGCTAACCAGTGCCTAGTGCCTGAGAAACTAACCGCCTCCGTGCATAAGTTGGCCCCAACGGTCTGGGCGCCATGGCTTTGCCGCAGAGGGCTGGGCAAAAGACGGTGATTCTGAGGTGCGCCTGGAAACCCCTCTCTGTCTCCTTTTGCTCCGAGGCGGTAACGGTTTGCTGGAAGCGAGCAAATCGAAGAACGACGTGGCGGGCACCGGCCCAAAACCAGTCTGCATCTTGGGCGTCCACTTACGAAGTACCAGGCGAACTAATACTTGCTGTAGGTACCTCCGTATGTACTGTACAGCACATACAATACAAGTATGTACATACTCCTGCGTAAGTGAACTTCTGTCGAGGCCTTTTCTCGGTTGTCATGCTCAGGCCTGTTCGGTGTTTGGAGCAGATACCTATCTTGGTCGTCGTGTCAACACTGAGGCCGTCGTCCTAATTTCCGCGTCGGGCCTTCGCGGGCTCTGTTGACCATGCCTCATTACGACCTGCTTCCAAGGAAGAAGAGGCGCCGATAGCGTACAGTACAACAAATATCGCGGGTGCTTGCACCGGGTGGAGACGACCTTGACTTCCTTGCATGCTAGGCACTGTACACCTTCATTCCCAATCCCGCCTGATATGCGTCGATGGGACGACGGCATGCGAACCAGGAAAAGGGGAACTTAGATGGGCTGGTCCTCTTGCAACCGAGATCTTCCGGTACATACGCTGCCCGTGAACAGCACTACCATACCATGTAATGTATGTGCATACATAACATACATGTTCTGTATAGTGCACTAGCAGGAGGAGGCCACGGAAAATACCTCCAGCCTGGGGAGGCCTGATATGGGACTTCAGCCGCCCAGAGCCCTTTCCCCTGTTTACGAACCATTTCCTCCACCGACAGATCAGAGCCTCGCATGCATTACATCCCTTCACTTGTGTTTTTCCCCCAGCCGTTCTCGTGTATGCCACTCGATGTGAGGAGCTATTGTCGCCGAGGACTCCAGCCCTGAGATAGATGGCATGTTCAAACCACAAGGTGTAGTTTTCCTAAGCTATGCGCTATGTAGTTCAAGATATGCGCTTTGGCATGCTTCTCGCAATTATTAGTATACAGCCTCTCTTGCTCCGTTAGGGAATTAGGTATATAGGGTACAATGTTCAATCCAATGGTCCTTTCCGTATAGAGTAATCCCCAGTCGATGCGGCGCTGTAGATGAGCCGATAAAATCGCAAAATGTCCACCGAGCCCAGATATCCAAGTAACCTGTGATGCGCCGCCTGATGCTTTTCGCTTGCTTCGAAACTTCCTATAATACATATGACAAAAGGATAAGACGAAAGGAGCTCGACTGTTGCAAGGCCTGATGACTACCCGTTGAGCAACGAAGTAATTGACAGCCTGTGAGACCGTTCCTGCCTGAGACGTTCTTCCTCTGTCCGTCGCGGGATCATCGGCTCGGGGAGAATCGTCCTGATGGGGTGGACGGGCGAAGTGGGAGCGGTTGGAAGGTAGCTCCTCGGGCTGCTATGGTATCCACTACCATGGCTGGGCGCGCAGGGCGGCCCTTGGGAGAACAAGGAGGCTGGACAAGGAAATCTCGCTTCAGTGGGCGACGCCGATGGCGGCGGGGAGCACAGTGGGCGCTCGGCCGGCATCGGTAGCAGACAAAGCGATGGGAGCACCGGCCGTCTAGGCTCATAGGACAGCGGCGTGGCAGCGTAGTATGATGCGCCGTCAGATATTGGGGAATGGTCCGGCTGAGAGACGGGAGAAATGGCAGCTGGAGATGTGAGTGGCGTCCGCAGGCCATAATGGCAGTCATCCCGTGCGCCTGTGAGAGGAGGAAGAGGCTGCTGCTGCACCGCCATCATTGCACCGCTTCCTGCTTGTTGGTATTGACGATGCGCAGATCTGGCCATCCTGTTCTGGCGCTCCAGGCGGTTCCTGTGGCCGTTGAACCAATTCTTAACGGCGTTGTCGCAGCGCCCGGGAAGATGCTGGGCAATCTTGGCCCATTTATTCCCAAGCTTCTTGTGAAGACGCAGGATCTCGGCGCCCTCTTCTGCCGTGATGGGATCGTGTCTCAGGCCTGGCTTGAGGTTCTGCTCCCACCGCTCCCGGCATTGCTTGGGCGTCCTAGTTTTGACTATCTCGGTCGAAATTCGAACCCAGGTCTGGTCCCGCCTCTGATGTGCCGCCTCTAGCTGCACCATGCGAACTGCATCACGCAGCTGCTGGTCTTCAAGTTGTGTCCATGGGCCCCTCCTAATGTCCTTGTGAACGTGCCGGGTCATGGCCGCCTCCCAGGCGTCTTGGTTCATGGTCGATGATGGTTAAACGTGGTGATGCTGGCCTGGACAGTCTGGTCTGAGCGGGTTGCAGAAGAGAAGCCACCTGATGACTGGAACGGTATATCAGATGGCGAAAGGTGCTTGTCCAGAATTGTGGCGGTTTGGTGGGGGACGAACGGTCCGCTAACGTGAGCTTATGAACGAACCAGGCCAAGGTTGGCTATGGGAGGGTTGACGGAGTAGTTAAGGCATTATATGAGCAGATCAGACGAACGGGATCCAGCAGATTCGCTAGCGCAAGTGCTAACTCAGAAGGAACGGGTCCAAGCAGGAGGGACGGGTTCCGCTAGGCTGGGGCCGGGGGGGAAGGAAGGAGGGGAGGAGACTTCTGTATGGGGGCGTGAAACGAGCAAAAAGTGACCTGAAGTGAACAGACAGGGCATCCCGGCCCTCCGTCGACATCCGGGCCTTGGGCCCATAGTTACATGTAAGTATGACCGGTATTTATTGCACCCACTGGGATCTGAAGAGAATACCCTGCTGGGAATGGAAGACACTGGATCAGCATACAATTCCACTATGCCCAGGAAGTACCTCTGGACTGTACTGTATTGTATGTATGTACTGTACTGTACAGTATATGAACACAACAGTAAGTATGCCCGAGTTGGTGATGTGGAGCCAAGGACTGGTCAATGGTCACCGCGCTCAGTGCAGGCTCTCACAACGTCTCCTTCTGCAAGCTTAATTCATCGAATTACTGTACTGGACTATCCTCATACAACCATTCTGCATTGCAGTTGCCGCCAGTGCTTGAAACATCTCCAGCTGGCAGCGACACATGCATTGTCTTAGGTACAGTACCTGGGTTGACAATGACCGCCCCCTCGTCCGATCCACACAAAGGCGATCTGTTGGGTTTATGGAGCACGCCAAGCCATCTTTAACTCAGTCCCTCGGTCGGCCGGCTTGACTTATCCTGACGCCATTACCGTTGCCTTCAACGGCGCACCCTCAGCAAATGCCAATAGACGAGACCCGGTAGTTTGTAGAATCGCCACTTCTCATTCTCGACATCGAGGATCAGACGCCGGAGTCGAGGCCAGGCCGCCAACACTACGTTCAAACACCTTCTCCAATCAATCCATGGAATAAACATACAGAGACAATGTCAGAGACATTTCCATTGCCCCCTCGACAGCTCGCAGCAGATCACCATCAAGGGAGTAGTAGCAGCGCTGCGTACCAAACTTTGGGCTCCGCGTCGCGCAGAAATTCACCTGGCTTACTGTATGGCACTTTCGAATCGCTTAGAGCGTACCGGGTCGTTGGTACGAAGTATTCCAACCGCATTGCGAGCTGAGCGATCCGCGCCAGGGAATATTCCCAGGGTGCCCTATATTATACCAGCATTATGGCCAGGGACCCGGACTTGGGACCGGCGCGGAGCTGCTCACCACGGGACATTGGCAGCCTTGTTAACTACCATTTCCCTATCAAGTGATGCACCCGCTTGGTTGGGTTGCTAAAGAGACGCGCGCGCAGCTGCAATCATCGACCCTGCCTTGGGCTATCCCGTTAGGCGTCTCACCGATGTTTTTCAGCTCATACACAGCGTAAACAAGGGACCGCCGCATCACGACGGCAGCTAAAAAGCAAAACGTGCTGTAGGGTCGCATTTGTCGCCCCAGCCAGTGTTCCGGGATGACATGTCCGACATCAACCTGGTGATCCAGACTGTCGGTCGCACCCTTACCCCTCTCCCCTCTCCCCGCTGCCCCGTGCCTCCTTTTTCCAACCGTCGTCCACTGATCGAACTGCAGGGCACAAGGAAAAGGAGATTGTAGGAGTCTGAATCCTGTAGGCATTCTCTGTGATGTATCTTTTCTTACACAGTACACTGTTTCCGTGCTCAAGAGCGTGCTGCCGTGATAGGTAGTATTTCCCATCGCTCTCGAGATGTGGAACTTTTGATATCAAGAGGTTCTGCATCCCCTTCGTACTCGTCTTGTACTGTACATACAACAAGGTATTATTACCTTACGTATGGTACTGCATGACGCTGGTCCGTGCTGATCGCCGAATGGTCAGGTACCCATGGCGTATGTGTCTACCGTGCTCTCTAGCAAAGTTACTATTTCGGTACAAATGACCCGTCCTCTTGGGCTCCCGGACGGCTAAATGCATGCCTAACGTTACACCAAGGTAACTTCAGTTTGTTGTAGTGATTGGTACGGAGGTATCGTTAGCCTGTGGGTGCAACGGCGCTTACTTTTCTTCGGGCCCCGGTCCCTTTCATACGGCAAGTCCCATGCAGATGGAGGGCAGGTAATGGAGGTCACCCTGTGCGGAGGTACTATACGCCGAGGCTCCTGTTGAAGAAGCATTGGTTTCGAATGTGTCAGCTCTGAGCCTCTGGGTTGCATCCAGCAATCAGGACGGCACGGCAGCAGCCATGGCGCCGCCCCGACTTCGCTTTCATCCATCGAGGTTAGTGAGCGCCCACAGTCCTAGATGGGTAACCAGATCGTAGCGCCACCGCGCATCAGATGCCCAGATTATCTGGTAACGGTCACCGGATTTACCCGTCCTCGTCAATTCTCCCATTGATTGTGAAAATTTAGTTCATACCGTCAAGCTCTTGGGGTTCGTACTGGAATCAGTAGGATTTTGTTGACAGTACTGTACCGCACCTACACATGCACATACCGTAGCTACCTGCAAGTTGTACTACAATACCAGTTCCATGATACGGGGATTGTTAACCAAACCAACATGGAAGGCCGACGCGGGGTTGCAATTGTCTCCGGCGGATAGTAACTACTTGTCGCTGCCACCTAACTTGCAGTGGATGAAACGCAATCTCGCATCGTCACGGACCCGACACGACTTGTCAGCAGAAAGCCAAGGCCCAGCCCGGCGACCAATTTTCTTGAGCGATCTGATTTGTGCGCACCCGGTAGTACAACGCAACACGGCTGAGGGAGAAACCGTGTCGAGGTGTGGATGTGCCTCAATGCTGCGGCTTGCAGTTGCGATGTTCCATGGCCTTGGGATGTGGAGTGCTCCTTGCTCCCGGTTCTAGAAAGACAATCGCACTGCGATGTGGATTATATATGTATTCGATGGCTGTTGTAGAAACCGGGCTCCCCTATTGCTTGATTCCCCCTTCTCTATGGTTGTCAACTTTGTTTCATTTGTCCGGGATGAGCCAGCATCCTGGGTCAACTTTTTTGGATACAGCGTTGAGAACTTGAGATGGGTATCCGTATTCTGCCTCCTTTTGTTATCGCAACCGGCCTCACTATAACTTAAGAGTCACCCTGCTCAAAGTCCTCTGGTGGGCTTGTCCTCGTGCAGCTGGCCTGCACCATATTCCCGCGCAACTGGGAATTTGCGATTCGCCCAACTGCAGTACCTGGTATCTCCTGAGGGCCTCGTGTTGAAACACCAGCCTTGCAGCGAATCGCCAATTCACACGTCTCCGTTGTTGAAACTTTGTACTCGAGCATTTTCTCAGCGGAGAGTGTGGAAATGGACATGGTCGGCGTACTAATATCATCTGGCCGAAAGCCGCCGTGATACAGTTGAATGAGATGAGCCGCTTGTTGGGGACCGGAACAAGGGGACTGCTGCTCGGAACCGGCGGCGTGCGGTGGGCAGCCGGTACTGGACCAGCAGGCGGTCGGTCGTGTCAGTGTGTCAACGGCTCGGGCACCACTTTCCTCCACCTACGTAGTTTTTAAAGCCCGACTCGGCGACCTGGATTTGGGGAAAGGGAGCGATCCGCCCAACGCCTTGCTTTAGCGTTCACGCAAAAACCGTTGTCACACATCGCTGGGTCGGAGGCGCCCAATCAGATTGGGCAGATCGTCAGGTGGCGCTCTCCTCTGCCTAGCCAGGGGACCATACCGGCACCAACTGAGCCGTCTAGCCATTCCTGGCGAAATCTAGCGAACGTTCAGCTGAAGTCTCCAGGCGCCATTTCCCCATAGAGGAGACCTGCCAACGGCGACACTACGGGTGCTTCGTAGGTTATTCTATGTATGTACCTCCGTACTGTATCCGTACCTTCTTACCTTCTCCTCACCGCTCAAAGGCTCGATCTTCTGAATGGCGCTTCCCTCCACTTTAAAAAACCTCTACCTCATTTAGCTGCTGCTGCAACGCTTTGTATGTATTGTACAGTAATGTAGTGTAGGAGCGTGGAGAACAAACCGATCGCTAGGGGAGAAATGGGACACCGTCGGGGCGGGAAGGGCACCATGGACATCTAACCAGCACAAAGGCATTTTCCGTAACGTTAACGTTACCGCCTCAAAATAGAAATGGCCAAGAAAATTACAGTGGATTGGGAATTACAGCGCACAGTATGATAATTACCGTGACACTCGTATGCCAATGCATGTGTACTGTACTGTACATGCACTTTATGTAGGTAACTCCGGATATTGTACATTACAATACACGGCAATCTTGTTACATCTAAAGAAGCTTCAGCAGCCGTTGACAGGAGCTTGAGGAGTTGAGAGCCCGATCAGCCGTCAAGCGAGCCCGCCGATCTCGTCATTGGAGCCGCCAAAGAGCATGGGGCTCGAGCCCCAGAGAGCTGGCAATGTTGTTTACGGTGTAAGATATCCCATCCTATTGAAGAAAAGGGGGAACGGGACAAATCCCACCATTACGTTCGGCCAGCCTGTCGATCTTTTGGCAACCAATCTATTGGATCGCTTGCCCAGAGATTGACCCCTGTCCAGCTAAACACACCTCTTCCGGGGTCCTCCAGAGCCTCTTCAAAACTGAACATGCAATATTGTACGTAGCTACCGGCGCAAAGTTCCCTGCGCGCTCGAATCGAGACTGTCTGGCGGGTTGCTCATGAAAGCAAAAGCCCCCTCGGCCGTCTCATGGTGCCAAAAGAGAAAGGCTGACGAGAAGGGATCGACGACGATGCTCGGCGACCGGCCTTACAGTCGTATCCCCGCGTGCCCTGGCTCCCCAGCAGTGTCCAGACAAGGCACCAATGATGGAATCGGCCTCTCTAGCGCAGCGTAACCCCGGGCACGCTTCAGGCCGATCGAAAAGCACGGCTTTGAAACACAGGCGCCATCGTTCCCGGCCTGTCTAGAAAGACGCATCTGGCCGTTGTGTTCGCTCAGTCCAAAGACCAAGGCTGCCTCGTTCATTGGTCCCCCATAGCACGCGCCCAGATCCGAGACATGCTCCATTTTCCTCAATGGTCAAGCCCCAAATCAGATACCTATCCTGACGCCTAGGAGGAGAGTGAACGAGTCTTGTGGGGCGGGCTGGGTGACGCGAGCTGGCGCCAGAAGTCGTGGGGGTAGGGTAAGTATGCAACCCAGCGGAACCGGCAACTGCAAATGCGGTAGGCGGATCCGGCTGCTTCTTCAAGGTTGTTGCAATCTTTTTCCAATTCCTGATGAGGAAGTCGCCACTGGACTGACGACAGCTGAGAGCTGCCATGGCCAGATTTGGATTGTCATGATAATCAACAGAGCTTCAGAGCACTGACGTGGCTCCGCCTGGGGGGGCATGTCCTCGGCAGGTTGTCTGCTTCTTTCAAGCGGTCACGGGAAAGTAGTTTGTAGCTGTCGACGGGACTGGCTCTTTCACAGTTCCTTGTACCTTGCTGCTTCTAAGCGGACCGTGGCCAAGCTATGTACTTGGTTTGACCGTCTCTCTGCAGCCCTCAGGCCGATCGATCACGTAGCTCCCCTCTGACCTCTTGCCCACGTCGAGTTCACGCGAACTGATCCAATCGTGTGTAATATACTGTACGAAGTACGGTGGGCCGCGATGCACATCTGTTTCTCCTCCAACCAGTGGCTTTGCTTGGCTGCGGACTTTCTTCTCGACTTTCTAACACCAGGGCTCACTCGCACTCGCAGGGCCGTGAGTGACTGACCCTGTCGTATCCTCTTCCTGGGCAGGCCGTGTTGCCACATAAGTGACCGCATATAAAGATGCTCGACGGCCTGGACGAAGTGAGACATGCGTTGATTGATAAGAGGGCAAAAGCAGAGGGGAAAGGAGGTTGGCGCCACTGCCCTGCAGGGATTATGGTCTCCGGTATACCACACTACACTGCGATTGCCTGCACCACAACGGCAAACGAGTCCTACCAGTACCGTTGCAACTGTTTCTGCGTTTGTCTGTATCACAAGGCTCTCACTTCATTCTTCCTAATCGGCCAGTGTTGCTTGAGCGGCCGGTAGTCGTGAGCCAACGTATAGTGTCGAGGAAACTTGCCAGAGACATGCGGGAGGGAATCATCCATCAAGTTACGTAGACAGCCCCTGAGAACCCCAGGACCCTCAGTCATCACTTTACACCCAGCCAACCGATTCTGACGATGTATGCAGACACACCCACACACGCATGCTCTCCATTTCCCATATGTCCCCCTCAGTTTTCTGCGTCATTCGCTCCTCGGCTGGTCCGAGTTGGGATGGAGCTGGAAGCCCTCTCGGGGCCTGTTGCCAGCAGAGAGGGGAGAAGAAGACTGAACAGGAGGGTACGCAGAATGGTGCCCTGTCTCGCATATACCACCCTACTTCTCAACACCTTCTACCCTCCTTGGGTCCTCGTGTACCGCCCAACCTGGAGGGACGCCAACCCCATGGCCCAAGTTTTTGCCGTCTGAGATTGATTGCCCTCAGTTGCGTCTTTGGTACTTGTAGCTCGCAATACATTGAGAGGTGAGATGGATTACCGATGCGTCTGGACGTTGGGGTGTTCACCAGAACGGCTTCCTGCAATCCTCACTGCAACCGTGACTAACCAAGGTAGCTTAATGCTTGGAAAACAAGGAAACAGGAGAGTTTCGAGGTGCTCTGCTCCCAACCTGCAGTGGGAAATGAAGCTAGATCTTCCCCTAGCTCCGCGGGATGCAGTGAAAGAACAGGTAAGCATCCATTGGCAAAATCTGAGCAAGGGATATACCAGTATCCAGGAAGGCGGGCGTGGGTTGGAGAAAGAGTGCTTACCTGCCCTGCTTTGGGGAAGCCGCTTCTCCTGCGAGACCCCTGCGCCAGATCCGGCTCTCGGGGAAGACGATATGGAGAGTCGCCGTCTACGTGCATATCCGACCCGCACAACCGTCCAGTACGGGGCCGGCGCCGGGGTCTCACCTTGTGACAGGGCAACGTAAGGTACTTAGTTAGACGGCTTTGCTGGATCCTGGATCCGTGTCTGCTGTCACCGCCGAGGATAGATTGAGTGGGCATGCGACGGACCAGCCTTTGTATATACATCTCAAAGCGGCATGCGACGAGCATTCGGCAGTTTGAGGTGGTGAGTGCCATGTGTGCTGGACCGATTCTGGTTGGGCCAGCTGGAAATTGCGTCTTGGTCACTTCGCAGCTGAACAGGAACCGTAGCAGGATCAGGGGAAAAACTAACGCGGTGGGATTGGCGGCTGCAATAGGAGGAAGTCTAGACGCGGGTTCGTTCTTGCCTGCTGATCCGGCGTAGGCTGTTGTACCTGAGATGATGGCAGTTGCGATTGAGCTGACCTCGTGCAGAGACGAGATCTTTTGATGTCTATTTGTGCCCCTGGTCTAGTGCTTGCAAATAAAGCTTATCAAGTGGAACCATGACGGCCTTAGTCCTTGTGTTGTGTTAGTAGTAGAAATAGTAAGAGTGAGAGGGGAATATGATGCCGGCGGGAGTGATACGCCGGGATCCGCGAAGGCCAGCCGAGTACCCGAGTAGGGACGATGAGCTGTCTACTATGGTAATGGATGGCCTTCATGGACGTGGAAGCGTTTGAAAGGCTGTGAAAGTGCCCTGCTCCTTTAGCGCTTTGCGTCGTGTCCTCCCTTCCTGCGACCCGGCGGCAGGTGCGGCAGCGTGAAGGGTTTCGAAGACTTCGTAACGATGACAGGAAAGCCTGGTCCCCGGACAACATCCATCCTCGCTGCTTGCTTTCCCAAGAGCATCATCCCATTGCCCGAGCCATGGCCTGACAAGTAAGGGACCCTGACAGCATCAAGGCTTGAATAGGTATGTATGTACATACGTCACGAGATCTGAACTCCGGCAAGACATGGAGGTTTTGCTTGAAGCAAGAAGAAACTGGAGGCCGCCTGCCCAACAAACATGACCATACCCAGCAGGCCATCACGAAGCTCCCTCCCAGGTAGCTAGCTACATTAGGTACACATCCGCCGAGCCTTCTTCAGGCACATACAACCGGCACTACTAGAGAGTCTTTAAGGTGCTTATGGTGCCTCTTCGTGATCTAACAGTGTAATCTTCAACAAACACACACATACCTACTAGTACCAGTGAGCTTCGGCGATTAATAAGAGCCGATTTGACTGAAGTCTCATCTCTCCCCTCTTCTGGCACCCATCGAGCAGGCTTGAAAGTAACTTAGCTGGGCACTGGGCAGCATCACTCTGGGTAGGCTACTAAGCCATGGACTGGTAGACCCAGCATTCCCATCGAGGACGCTTCACGTCCCCTCGGCTGCTTTACCTTACCGTACTTCTCTCTCAGCTGCCCCAGTATCCTTGCGCTTGTGCCAGGTATTGGCAACGTCCCTCCCACCGTGGCCAAAACTTTATGATGCTCGAGCATAGTTCCAACAAGGATTTGCATACATCTCAATCCTTACCATCTATCCTCTGCTTTAAACTGACTACCGTTCTCAGGCAGCGTTCCGCCCGTCGATGCGGCCCGCGAGTCTCGCCAATATCGGCACCGCCGGCAAAGCGCACCATGTTCTGCTTGTCATAGCCTTCAACGCTCCGGGGCCGCCTTGAAGTCTATCAGACCATGATTCCATCCGGCTCCGCATCCACAATCACCCAAAGCCTTCGGCATGCCGAGAGGAGTGCCTACCCGAGGAGAAAAGGAGTCGACGCTAAACAAACTCCTAGCCTTGCGTGGATACAATGTCTGGCGCCTCTCCTTCCTTTGACATAAGTCTGCCAGCTCCCTTGCTGGCAAAGGCCACATCGTCGTCCTCCGAACATCAGGAGCATCCTTGAGCCATTGAATCCATGAACCACGCAGAAACAATGCCGGGATAACCCTGAGAACATGATGATGCTTGAGCTGAACCCGTCTCGCCAGGTTCATCCTCCGTACCTACCTTGACAAGGGGAATGGGGTTGTCCTTGACGCTGAGGATTGGCAGTCTAAATACGTATTGACGCGCATGCCCTTTGCGGGTAAGGGCCAACATCAATGTCGGAAATATCGTCTCAATGGTTGACCCTGTCTCAGTTCTATTTGGTGTCTACCGTGACTACATGCCTTATGGACTTGAACCAAGGATGGGCATGCATGTGCAGCATGTCAACATGAAGCGGAAGGTGCCTGGCACTGATCCATGATGCCAGCAATGCCAGGGAAGGAATCACCCTTACTCCCCACTGGACAGTCGTATGATGTTCCTGAGCTGTACCTAGATCCCTTCGAAAACTGTTAGAAGGGGTAGTAGAGAAGCCAATTTCTACGTGCAAATTCTTGCCCCGACTAACAGTTACTAAGTACCCCGGGACAATGAGAAGACCTGTCGCACCCTCGTCGAGGTTCGGCGTGAGAGTTTACCGGAGGCGTCCTTGAAATTAGCTGCCCTAAGCAGAAACCGAATCAAGTCCAACGTAACAGCCTTTCCACCCGTGACGCAGGACAGGCGGGTAGGTGATGCCGTACGAGCAACCTAACATGGTATCCCCAATCACTGGGCTAATTACGCCTAGGACCAAATGCCCGCCATGTCCATCATCGTCCCTGGGAAGCTGGCCAGCAGAGGGCCGCCTGGTCGACCCCGAGAGAACAAACAGATTAGACGTAGTTCATCTCCTTTCCCTTCAAAGGACACGAAGGATCGGGCAAGCATAAGACCAGCACATACAGCAGCAAAAACTTCGGATACTGTATGCTTCATGCTGATATGAACTCGGAGGACGGCCAAATATGTATCCAGTTCCTAAATAACCTACAGGAGCATGCCGTCAAGAGATCACAACCAACCACGGCTATTTCTACCCTTTGGCCCGGAGAAAGTCAAGCGACATGTTGTTGGGTCTCGATCAAGAAACCGATGCAAAGACATAAAAGGTCCATTAGCTCGCCCGCCAAACTTGTCTAGCAAGAGACCAAGCCATGCATATCTTGTAAATGATATAGGTACGAGAATATCGCCCGTCATCAAATGGATACATGGAATAATAAACCATACCGATCCTGCTTAAACCCGCCGACCATATGTGCCATTTGCAGGCCCCACCTCCCCGTTATGAGGGAGTCTCTTGAACCTTTCTTCGTCATGAACATCGTACATGTACTGAAGGGAAAAAGGGCACATGGCGATGGAAACCGGAAGCCCTGATATCAGCCCATCCCGTCGATAAAGCAGCGCATATCCTCCAAACCCGCCTTTGGAACAAACATGCCGAGTAAGAGTAAAGAAACCCCGAGGCAAAATATACCAAGTCTAATCAAAGCAATAGAAACCCATTCCACCCTATTCCAACACCCATTCCATGGCTCATCTTAAAGGTATATATCACCCCCGATCCCGTCCACCCACCTGCCCCAAGCTTTCTCATACGCCTCCTCTAAATCCCTGACCCACCGCCTCGTATCGAACAGCGCGCAAGTCCACTTGCTCTCAAAGAGCAACTTCCTCAGTTCCGCCAGCCGGCCCACACCTTCACCGTAGACCGCCCCTCGCCCACCTGCCGCCCGAACAGGGCGATACGCAAGCCCGTTGGCCAACCTTAGCGCAAACTCCTCGTACTCGGCCTCATCCTTGGCAATGAGCTCGCTCGCTGCTTTGTCGCCCTGCGGTCCCTTGGGCAGCGCGCCTTTGAGGATGGACGCGGCCATGCGCGAGCACATCTTGTACTCGTACCGGGGCAGCGTGAGGAGCGGCGTGTTGGACCAGAGGACGTCGGCCGCCGTCGTGTGGGCATTGCACTCGGGCGTGTCGAGGAACAGGTCGCATACACGGGCGCGCGAGATGTGCTGCTGCTTAGGCGCTACGTCGGTGAAGATGATGCGGGAGGCGACGCCCTCGCCGCCCCAGTCGCGGGCCGTGCGCCGTAGGTGCATCTCGCCGAGCTCGGGGAACCGAAGTAGCCAGAGGTATGCTTTCGGCGCATGCGCCAGGATGCGCAACCATAGGCGGAACGTGGTTGGGTCGATCTGGAAGACGGAATTAGATACTTGGTCATGGAAGCGAGGTTCGCGGATTGAAACTCAGCCATAAGAGTTTGCTGCACTTACCTTGTATAACTGGTTGAAATTCCCTAGAATGACGGCGTCATCCGGGAGATTCGGGAACAGCTCCTTGCGCATCTTCCATCGCCTCTGCTGGTCCTCTTCCCACGTCATATCCCTTTCGTTGTGCCCGTCAGCTGATTGCTTGTGGTCGCAGCAGAAGAACGTGTCTCGACAAAAGATGATGTTCTCGGAATATATCCAATCCTCCGCATCAGCGTCTGCTTCATCGCGGAAAACGTCTCCTAACGTCAAATTACTGCGATGAGGACGGAGCGTCGACGGAGGGATGGCAGTCGAGTCGGCCAGGAGATAATCGCACCATTCGGCGCCCAAAGTTCCTGCGAAGCCCATAAACGACATTTGGATTGGGGCTGGACGTGCTGCGAATATCTCATTGCGTGCTCCCCTAGTGTAGCCGTTGAGATTGACCAAAATGTGGATCTTGTCTTGAACGATCTGCTCGATGAGCTTGTCCGGCGACCAAGTGCTAACGTCTCGGAAGACTGGCGCTTCACGCTCAATTTGCTGGCGATGGATCGACTTATCGCTGGCCGTTGTCGCGTAGCAAAACGCTTTGACACGCTTGGGATTATGGAAGCCGAAGACAGATTGCATCCTATCTACGGTCAGACGCTTTGACAACGGGACAAAATGAACGTGATCACCTACAGGTGTGCCAAGGGATGGTTATTGAAGTCAGAGGATACATATCCCACGTTCAAATGCGGGCTGGGCGGGTCGGGAGGCTCATAGACGGTGGTAGGGATCCAGGGCGATCGAAGTGTCGAGAACGATATCCTTAGTGCGTTCCTTTGCGAGATTGTTCTGATTTCTTTAGCAGGCAACGGGCAAGTGAAAGTATGGAAAGGTAGAACCGTCGGCGCCGAAGGGATTGAGAGGCTGGCCGGCGGCTTTGGCCGGCGATATCCGGCTGGTGATGGGATGCCCTTGATGTGCTTATCGCGATACCAGCAACGCATGGCAACGCTCGTCGACCGCTCAATAAGACGCACAATGCGTGCTCCCTCGCCCGGCCTTCCCGCCCATTTTCGGAGTTCAGCCCCCAAGTTGAGGGACTCATCTGTGATACCAGCTCCAGCATCCCTGAGCTGTGCTACCAGTTGTAAAATCGACTGCTCTTGCAGAGCACCGCAGCCCCACGCCAGTGATTCCTTGAGCTGGCGGCCAACAATATCGACAACTCGCTTCATTAGACCGCTCCCTTGCCCCTGCGTCCTCACATCTTTAAGCATACCGTTCTCGTCCACATGCCAGCGATCGTATTTCCCACCCGCAAGCAGAACACCGCCGCGACCTCTCCAGTCGCAGACTGAATTGAGCGCAGTTGAGAGACCGCAGACAGCCTCGGCAAAGTCAGGGTTCGCAGCCACCGCCCGCTGATAATACTTGATTGCATCGCCGATACGTCCCCGGTCCTTGACCGCGTTTGCGAGATTCGTCAAGGCGATGTCAAAGGTACCGTCGCATGCCACAGCCTGCTCATACATTGAGATGGCCATGTCTAGCTGGCCAATGTCTTTGAGCAGGCTACCTAGATTCGTGTGGAGGTGAACATGCTTGGGATCTAGCGTGAGACCGTAGTTGTAATAGGCAAGTGCGAGAGATAGCCCGCTGCCGGGGACAATCCCCGGAACGCTGGCGGCTATTCCCATATCTGCAGCGGAAATGTACTGTGGTGGGACGGATTGCTGCACGCCTGCAAGAAGGATGCCGACATTGTTCGCTGTCGATGGGCTCTCTTGCAGGGACAGGGAGAGGTAGTAGAGAGACAAAATGTCCCCAACGCCTGCGGGTTGACGGATAAGACTCTGGTTGGGCCCACCGTTCGACATGGCATCCTGGAATATCTTGGCCAAGGACAACAGCGAATTACTGGTCGTCGCTACTACCGACTTTTTGTGAGCCCCTTCTGCCAGATGCTGTAGCCCAGGTAACTGGCCGCCGGTCGAGGAGAAAACAAACTGCGCCGTGAGCTTTGCCCTATCTGGCGGCAGAAGCAACGGCACCGACAGGTTTTTGTGAATGGATCCCCGGGGTTGACCTGTTCGAGGATCCCTAGGTGCTAAGACGGTCTGTATCTTTCGAATCAGAGACTTGACGCCCTGAACCTGCCTGCCAGCACTGATCATGACTACTTCCTCAAAAGCCTCGGAAGCCCTGTCGGCATCTTTCAACGAGTACAGCATATTCCCCTTGGCGTGAATAAGGAGAATCATCCGGCCGTTCTCGCTCCCAGGGATGGCGTAGCCGCTCGTTCCATAACCGGGTGCTTTGCTATCCTCAGCTGTTGAAGCAAAGCGCTGCTCCGGGCTGTCCGTCCTATCTGAATCGAGTAGGAATGGATCTGGAGTCGACTCCATCGTGGCCATGGAAGCTGTATCCGCCTCGCTGGCCGTTTCGCTGGCCTGATCGCGCATTGCATCGGAACCCGGCATCCTCAAGGCACGCTGGACGTATTCGATCGTGTTCACAGCCTCTTCATTCCTTTGCATGGAACACAGGAGGCTGACGAGGTGCTCGACCGCTTCGAGATAGCCGGGGCGTAACTTGATCGCTTGCACCCAATGCTGCTCCGCCTCCTCTTGCCTGTTAAGACAATACAGTGTCGCGGCAATATTGGATATGGCTTCTACATGGCTGGCAACAGTTAGCACCTACTCACCATTATCTCTGAGACTAGAAAAACGCGGAGACCTACCTCGCATCCAGATTCACGATCCGCTTGAACCATTCCAACGCCTTTTCGTAGTGCTCCAGACCGTAGTGAAGGCAGCCACCCAGAAGCATTCCCTCGACCCATTTCCAGCCGCTCTGCTCGCACAAGGTTGAGAGTATCTCTAACGCAGCCTTGGCGTTTGAGACTGGCGAGGGTGAACCAATGTCATGATATAACCGTTGATAATGGGCGGTCTGGTAAGGATTTCTGTGCTGCCCTTGTCCGCCTAGAATCTCTGCTGCAACCGCTGGATTTTCCCCCATCATTTGACCATTGATGAACGCTCGGGCGGCACCATCCTTTTGGGCTAGTTGTTGCGAATAGTTTGTGAATGGGTCAGCGGGGATGGTGACCAGCCGGGCTTTGCTGCCCGGGCCTGCCGGTGTAGTAGAAGGCTTCGGATACACCACCATTTTGGATGGTGGTCTGGAGATGGAACCGCTGCGTCCATGGGCGCTCTTTTTGGTGCTGGTGAGATAAAGCAAAAGATCGTTATAGGTCTTGTGGGCGTTCTGAAGCGCCCTCTCTTTAAAGCGAGCTGGCGAGTTGATATCACCTGCAACGGAAACCTTGGCGACATATCCAGCCGCGGGATTCAATGGCCCGCCACAAGCGGCATGGTGCGCCGAGAGGCTCCGGCCATGACCGGGAAAACCGTCATCGACAGGACGCCCCGGTAGCGGCAAGCCAAAATGCTGGGCCTGACCCAGTCCCTGCGCATTAGGCAATCCATGATGTATCGTGGCCTGCGATGGCATGAACGCGCCATCGACAGAATTCTGCGGTGTGTAGCCGTTTGCCAATGGAATCGAGGTCCTATAGCCAAGACTGCCGTCCCTCCACACGGCGGGCTGCTGGTAGCCGTTAGGACTGTAAACCGTCTGAGTCAAGGATTGCTGGCATCCCGGACCGAGGAGTGGCTGCAGGCCGGAAGGCGTGTGAAAACCGTGATGGGGCAGCGGCTGCATGAAGTTTGCGCCGTCTCCCGCGCCAGGGTTCAAGGGCCCATTTGACGGTCCAATTTCCCATCCTCTCGGCGTCGGAGTTGAGCCGTTCAAATTCCTAGCCCCAGTCTCGAATCTAGCTGCGGGTGCCCCCGCGTGGTACGGCCACGCGCCTGTGGAGGGCTGTTGCAGTACAGTGCGGCCGGGCGGCGTGCCGGCGCTTTGCAACACGGCAGTCGGGAAGATCTTGGACGAAGCTGGCACGATCATATGTTTGAGCGGCGGAGGACCCGAAGCCATATGAGTTAACGACCCATCGTACCCGTTGTCGATGGTGCCATTGGGCGTTTTCCGCCGGAGAGAGTGCTCGGCCTGGTCATGTGCATGCAGCCGGCTGAAGGTAGTTGTGATTCGGTGCAGAGCTGGAGCTTGATGGGCGCTGCGTATAGCAAACACGCGAGGCGTCGAATCCGAAGTCTGGAGCGAGGGCGGCGGCCGCGGAAGGTGGGATCCGTGCTGATGCGGCAAGTAGTCCAGTTTCATGTGTGCCTGGTAAGGCGCGACAAAATCAAGCTGCGGTTGCACCATCTGGTGCATCTGTACGAGCGGCAACATCGTAGGCTCTTCATCCAGGCGGCGCCCAACTAGAATCAAGCCTGTCGAAAGCCAGAGCTGAGAGAATGGAAGGCAAGCGTAATGAGCGACGGCGCGTACAGGGCCGCATTCAAACGGAGTAGTCAGTCGAGGCTATTCATTGCCCTTTGGTGGTCAGAACATTGCCGTCGTGGGGCCCGTCATCGAGGGATTCATCGGCAGTCAGCCCTCGAGAGAAAGGGGGCATTCCATTCGGCCAGGGACAGCAGATAGATGCGCAACACGAGTGTCAATCACTGCTAGCGTCGGATCCGTCGCCAGTCGATCTCTGTCAAAGTTGTCACTGGAAATCCGATCCCCCGCGCCGTCTCCCATCACCTGCAGCCGCGCTAGCAACAATGACAACGACGACAGCGGCGGCGGAGGCGACGACGCCTCAATTCCGGTGTCAAAAGATATCCAAAGCTCCGTGCCGTCGGCCGATCAGGTTCGGTGGGGTTCGATGTGGAGTTGGCGTTCGGTATGCACACAGGCGGGAAAAGAAACGAACACAAGAGACGGAGAGGCGAAGTAGCGGGGAAGTGCAGGATGGAGATCGAGGCCCAGGAGATAAATGGCGGATAGCTGTGACGACCGATGGGACGAGAATCGTAGCGTTATGTTAAGATCTTTGGGACAATTTTCATACTTAGTCTGACCGAAAAAACTGCTCCGAAACAAAGTCGACACTGAGAAATGCACCCAACCCGGCGGGCCAAGTAATTAAAAGATGGCTGGCCTCTGGAAGGCTCAGCCTGGAAAAGTGGAATGGACGCGACAGCCTGCGGGCTTTGCTTTGGCGCTGAGTTCGTCGTGCATGGAAACTCGCAGTTCCCGTCAGCAGCATGCACCTTCCAGGTTGCCCGTCAACCCTCGTAAACGACCTCGATGCTCTCCAAGTTAACACTTATAAGTGAAGGAAGGATGCTACGCTAACTTATGTGTGTGTAGCACTGTGGTACTTGTATCCAAGCCCGTGGGGGCGCTAGGGCCCTACTGCAGCTCCTGCAGCACGCACCCGCTGCCTGGCTACGACCCACGACCGAACAATCACAGCCAAACCCGTCGAAGAGCGCCAACCCCAGGATGCCAACCGTCGCTAGTTAGAGGGTATTGGGCAACGCCATGTCACCCTCCGGGGCATGGTTGCGTTCCAGGGGATGCTTCCTTTCATTATCATCACTGCCTAGGTACCTAAATATCCATGTAGGTATGATCAACGTTAAACCTGACTCCAGCCAGCCCGCTCGATATCGACTTGACGGGAATGATAGGGCAGGCAAAGAGCATCAGAGTGACGGCCCATCCATCCACCTACACTTGCGCCACATAAAGTAAGCCCGGCTGGTGCGACTCGACCAGGCAGATGGATGTTAGTGTAGATGGGCTTACCGAATGTTTTGCGGTGTGTCGCCGTTGTGTATGTACGAAGTAGTGTGGTTAGCTAAGGTATCTAAGGCATGGACATACAAACCTAACACTAAGCACAACGTGTGCCTGTTTCCTAAGGGTCCATGTTGCCAACGAGACCACCTTACACTACAATGGAAGTTGAAGCCAAAGCGTCGCTCACCATCAGAACTGCCCGGCCTGCGGCACGCGGGGCCGTACCGCTCGGCGGCGGCGTTGGGGACGGCTGGACGCCCTGGCGTCCCTATCACACGCCTCGTTGGTTGATCAATCGAATACGTTGACTCTCATCAGTCTAACCCGCATTGAATATCGGCTCGCCTCTCGAATCGGCGATTTGTTTCTCGGATTCCAATACAAGGGTGGCATGTATGACCAGATTACACGACATTAGCCAACACTTGTCGTGGCAGCAGTCGTGGTGCTGGCTGCAGCAGCCAGGGCAGATCGTCACAGGTGGCCCATCCAGCCGTGGCTTCCAAGGTTACCCTAGATCAGAGACAATCCATGCATGCACACGAGAAGCCTGACCAGTCGCCCGGTGAATTGCCCGACTCACACACCCACTGGCTGAAGCCACCTTGGCAGAACCCTGCGCTTTCTACGGAGGTAGTGTGATGACAAGCGAAGCATGGGGTAAAAGAAGAGACGAAGGAAGAGAGGTGAGCAATCAACTTGAACTTGGAAGAGCGGTCGAGGAAAGGAACCTTAGGTAGCCAGTAAGCTTGAATATACATGCATAGGTAGTACGGTAGTATTCGTACATACATAACTGTGCGACCTACACACCCATTGCCCCAAATGGCCGACTATGCAGCCGGCCGTCCGTCTGTAGCCCGCTTATCCCTCCCTACCCGCTCTCTCTCCCATCATCATCATGCACACAGTTCGGCCCTTGGCTTTCTTTTCCGCACCCGGCCACTGCCGTTCATCCATCGTTGGGTCCTGCTGTAATTAATCAGACATTGGATGGATTGAGAGATGTATGGGAGAAGTGAGATTCGAATGGCAAGGTCCGAACGGGAAGCAACGAAAGCTTGGAAGACGGAATGCTCATATGCGTTTGAGATCTTTTAATAAAGTTGGTGCACCCCTCCATATGCTCCAGGACACCCTGATGCGGGAAGTAGGGGTGTGGACTGTGGAGACGAAAAGGGCTGCATATCAACGCCCAAACGCCAGCCAAGAAAAATCATCGCTATGTTTGGCTACAACAACCAATCACTTCTTTGCTGAGCTTGCAAGAGAGAAAGAAAGAACAGGACTGCGCTTCATAACCTCAACTTGGTGTACGGGGTACCAAGTACGCGCCAGAGGCGCCGTCCATCCGCATTGTTGCGCATCTTTCATGAGCCTGATTCTTGAAGATCGAGGATCAACAATCGAAGGCAAACAGATCCCTCCAGGGAAATAACCCACCTGGCGCTCAAGGATCTGCACTTGCTTGGCGCAAGTCGGCGCAGAGCACACCACTACACGCAACCGTCTCAAAACCCCAAACAGAATCCGTCATTTCCACCTTCGATTGTTGAAAGGAAAGGCTCAAACAAAGAAGACGCCACAGGCCCCTACTTTACTACTGTGTACTGTAATCTGTAGAACGATACGGAGTATACTTCATAAGTGTGCTCATCCACAATGACCTCGTCCCCTGATAGTTGATACAGGTTGTTCATGCTCGTATGTTACAAGGTAGGCGTACTATGGACTCCTACAAGATGGCCGACCGGCCGGTCCGGCACGGAAAAGATGCCGAGTCTTCGAGTCTATTGCACTGTGCCGCCGCCGAACAGCACCCAAGCCACCAAACAACTAATGGTCTACGCGTACGAACACTGGATGAACCGGAACCTGCTTCCAGGCGGATTAATGATAGCTATGTAGGTATCTGTTGCACAAACAAATCCCCGAATGGTCCTCCTCGTCCCCAGGGGGCCTGTGACAGCTTCACCTCGAGACCGAAAAGCCCGGATTCGGTATCAGAGATACGGCTTCAAGACATATCATGCCAGGATCGCCACCTAAGGGTTAAGAAAGGGACGTCCGTTTATGCTCTTGGAGATTGGGACCGTTTCGCAAGATGCATGTATACGCGGCGTTTAAGCTCAACTGGCCCGCGATATCTTCGCCAGCATCATGCCGACAATAGGCTGAGAAAAGAAATGTCGACCTAAATGATGGACCTTGACTTCCACAGCACAGAGTGCCCACGGAAGCCATGGTGAGTAATAGGACGTCGCATCTCAATCTTCCTGAGCACAAAGAGCCGAAAGGACCATGGAGGAGCTGGTCAATCTCGGAGTGAACAGCCAGGGACGCTCATGATAGAACTCTGTCCTTGAGGGGATAGGCGCAACCTTGGCGGATTCGCGCAACAGCAAACCTGCTTTTCTCGCAGGGACACAGCACTCGGCCATAAAATCATTCTTTTGATTTGATTTGCCGTTGCCTGGCAAGCCTGGTGTAAAGCAAGCCCTGAACTCCTAATCACATGCCAAGAATAATCCCAAACCGACCTTCATGTTGACGGACTTACTCCTCAGGAACTGTGACATATGTTAGCAGGGCAAAGAGACAGGGAGGGTGAGGGGAAAGGGGAAAAAGAAAAAAGACATACTGTCAATCTCACCCGCATCGATCGCATCACTGACCGCCTTGGGGCTCTTGCCGTCCACTTGGCAGCCAACGCTGAACGCCGTGCCGAGAATCTCCTTGACCCCCCCCTTCAGGTCCTTGGAGAAGGACTTGAACCGCATCGTCCTCGCAATCTCAATGATCTCCTCCAGGGACACCGACTTGTTGTGCTTGATGTTCTTCTCCTTCTTCCGGTCGCGGGGGGGCTCCTTGAGCGCCCGGATGATGAGTGATGAGGCCGTGGGGACGACCGAGACGGTCGCTTGCCGGTTTTGGATCGTGAGCTTGACCGTCACACGCAGACCCTTCTGTAATTCGTGCGCAAAAGTGTTTCGTCGTTAGAAATCATGTATAATTTTACCTTCGCAGAAATCGCTCCGTCTTGGGGAGATGGAAGAATGCCATACCCAGTCACCAGTCGCCTTGGCGATATCTTCACCGACCTTCTTGGGCGACAGACCAAGAGGACCGATCTTGGGGGCGAGGGCCGACGAGGCACCGACCTCACCACCGGTCGCCCGGAGGTGGCTATAGCGCAATCGACGGTCAGTCTTCTTCCGGCGAACTGCGTCGGATATGCGATCGGCGAATTCCTTACATGACCTTAACCTCATTGGGGTCGAACTTGGGAGCTATTCAACGGCACCAGTCAGCAATCGACGATTGATTCTTGCAGCTAGCTTAGCGGCGATAACGTACGCATTGTGACGGCTGGATATGTGAAGACGGACTCGGGTGGTGTTCGTGGCAGGAGTTGCAGCCGCGCCGAGGGTCAGAACGACGAAATCAAAAATCGCAGTTGTGGGTTTTCCCTGCTGCCCTAAGAATTTGGGATGTGTGGCTGGAAATATGGGGACGGCGGGGCAATCATGTGGCAGCCACAGGTGATCTCTCGTCACCAGCCACAATCGCGGGTCGGGGAAGCTTGGCGCTAGTCGCTGCTTCCGTGCTTCGCTGCTTGCCCCTGCCCCGGGCCACTTGTACAAATACTTCGTACATTACGTCGATTGCAGACCGGGCAGTTTCGACGACAAGGTAAACTCAGAGAGAGCACGTCTAGCCAAGGACAAATCAAAAGGATTGAGAACACGCTGTATTCCGATACTCAGTTTTCACAACATTGGCGCTACACATAGACAATCACCGAACCATATCTAAGCCTCCTGCCAGGCCACTAACTGCCCGACCAACTCCCTTCCTTGCCCATTCTAGCCCCCCTCACCCTTTAACATGCCTTCTACACCGATCTGTCCAAGTAAATCGTAGACATACCGTTTAGCTTGTGCCGCTGACCGCCAGTTTCATCAGATGCTCCATGAACGTTTGCAGCGACACATCGTCCGTGAAAATGGTCTGAGCGCTCTGTGCTCCAACGCCGCCGTAGGCACCAGCACCAGACGTGTGTGTGGTCGAAGGGTTCAGCTTAGATAGCAAGAAGCGAGCCTGGGAGCCACCCTGGTCGCACACAATGAAACGGGGGAGAGGGAAGCGGTCCGTAATAAGTTCCTAGTGATCGACATGGTCAGTACAAGGGAGAGCGCCTGATCCCGCTGAGCAAAGACAACGTACCCGGGCATCCTCCTTCGGCTGCTCCAGGAGAGCTGCAAAGTTCTCGTAGCCTTCTTGATCCTGGTAGCCCGCTTTTCTCCACTCGGCAATAGTCTCGCCGTGGAAAATGAGGATGTGGAAGAAGGTGTCGAGGAGAAGAATATGTGTTGGCTGGATAGAGGTGGAGTCCAGGAGCACAGGCTGCCCGCCTTCCTGGTCAAACGTATACGAGTCGAGAGTGGGCTGGATCATGATCAGGGAGTTGCTGACATCCTCATGGTTGAGCACGTGCCGATAGAATGCCGTCTCATCCGGCGAGTTGTTGAAGACTTGCAGGAACTGACTCCTCCGTAGGTGGAACATGAACTGAGGGTAGAGTGTGAAGTTCTTTTCCAGCCTGAACGATGAAGGGTCATCTTTGCGGTAATCTGCGAACCTCGAGCACAGCCTGATGAGCATCCTATCAACCCAGCGAAGCACATCAGGCCCGTCGTCGACCTCGGCCTTGAAAACGGCAATTCTGGACATGAGTACAGCAGCGGCTTCCTGGTCAAAGGATTGGGCGATTGCGGGATCCCCTGCCGGGCCGCTGAGGTTGCGAGCAATTGTGGTGACGCGCAGGTGGAACTGGCCCGACGAGTGCTGGTAATATGTCAGGAATTGTATCATGCCCTTCTGAGGGCTCTGCTGGTGTTGCGATGGGCCGCCCTGGCTGGCAATCTCAAAGTAAATGCCGTAGCTAGCAGCTGGGTCAATGCCGCACATCTTCCACGAGCAGGTGTTGCCGATACCGCACTCCGTCTCGCCCACCGAAGTCGATTTCTTGTTCAGAGAGACAGCATGACCGATCAAGCCGCTGACCTTGAGTTCCTTGGTGGTAAGAACTTCAAGAACGGCATTGAAGCCCATCAAGAGGTTGTCGTCAGCATCCTTTTCAAAGATGCGGATGAAGGACTGCTTGAACATGGACGAGGTGAAGCTGTCGGTCAAGATCATGTGCCCGCCAGTCGAGTTGCAAAGCCCCTTCATCTCCAAGAGCCCCACCTGATCGAGACAGCCAACAAAAATGTCAATCGTGTGGCCGTTGTGGGCGGTCCTCTTTGCGAGGTTGTCGTAAAACTGCCGTCATGTCAGCTCCCCTGCCGCCTAGTTCGTTTGCCTTGAGAGTCGGCCCGTACCTTCAGCGCCTTCTTGTAGTACTTGATGTTGTCACGGTCGATATCGTGATGCGAGCGAATTGGTTCCCTCAACTCAGGACCAACAACCATGCCGGGTCCCTCGGTGGCTGGACCGCCGGCAAATAGCATGATGCGCCCACCGGCGTTTTGGAATGATGTCTCGAGAAGGCCGACAGCTACTGACAGCGCAACACCAGTGCAGCGCAGATTTCTGCGGTCGCTAGCCACTGGCCAGGGATCCTTCTGCAGCTGCTCGAGGGCCTTGGTCAGTTGGAATTCGGCCTGTGCAACTGGGAGCAAGAATCGAGACGCAGGACCCATCGGCGTGGGCCTGCCTGGTTGGTGAGGGACCATCCCCGGGCGCATGGTGGGCTGTACAAGGCCGAGCATCTCCTGGACCTGTTTGGCCGTGTATTCCTTGCTGCCTCGGAAGACGTACGACTTGGCGCACTCGGTGTAGCCAATCTCGTGGACCTGGGCCATGGTTCCAAAGGTAATTAGGCCAACGAGGGCGTGCTCGGGGAGAAGGCTGAGGCTCATGATGAGAGACTCCTTAAGCGCGGCCAAGCTGTCTTCCTCCTGGCACGTGTCAACGACATAGAGGAAGATTGGCGGACTCGGTGCCGGGCGAGAAAGCCTGTACTCAATCGTCGTGTTGGACGGGTGAAGCTCTGGAGGAATGGCATTCGCAGTGATATCCTTATAATGCGGGGGGAGAGGGTTCCTGGACAAGCAGAACGGGCAGATCCAGAGACGGGCTCGCACATCAACTTGGCTATGAGGCTCGTCAGCGCAACTCTCAAGGGGACCCATTGGAGGTCCCAAAGAGTACCTACCAGAAAGGATTGAGGACTGAGCGGCAGGGCTGCTTGCAGGTGACGGGCTCGAAGTGCAGCAGAGGAGTGTCGGGCTTCTCCTTGAGAGGAGTGTAGAGGGCGCCGATAGGAACGACTAGCCTTGACGCCTCCTAGGGGGGTGATCAGCTCTGGGAGTCGGCAATTGCTGCGATTGGTAGGGTTGACTAACCATGCGAGAGCTTGGAAAGACGTTCCAGCTGAGGCGGACGCCATCGCGATCCTCAACCTCTCCCCACTGCTCCTTAAGGGCCTCGTAGTCCATGATGTCGGAGGTCCTGCGATGTATATCGGCGCCGACGCGGAATGCGGCAGTAGCACTCTTGCTTTCGGGGAGAAGGGGACGGCTTCGAACTGATTATTAGGAGAGAAAGCGGCCTCGGTTGGCTTGTTGTGACTGAGGAAGAAGTTGCAATCTGGCATCAGCGTCAAGGCCAAAGGTGTTTGATGCAGCGGCGCACATCGGGCAATTGAGAGCTACAGTACCTTGTGGTTCGGGGCTTGGGCACAGGAACCAGGTCGCTAAGATGGCCTTGCCAACGTGCCGACAAGCTCAAGCAGCGATGCAGTGCTGCTGCAGCCTCACCGAGAAGTGCCTGGCTTGCGAAGCCCTATATGGGTGCTAAAATGGCCGGGAATTGTGGCAAGAACCTGGAGTCGTTTGCGCCGCTCTCCCTTGAATCCTCGGTTGTCTGTCTGCCTGTCCCCTCATAGAAAAGGACAAGTTCCAGGTCCCAGGGTTGAGGCACCACCTGGATGGATTGTGGCTTGTGGATGTGGCTGTGAGATATCTTACTGTCTTGGCTGGGCCCTGCTGCTGCTGCCCGTTGATAAGTCGTCGCACTTGCACTTCACTTAACTCCCATCTTAGGTTTGTTAGTACCTGGACTCCGCCTGTCCTTCACACACATACCGCATCATGAATACTGCTACTACATTGGAAGGTATTGGTGGCCTACATGTTAGGTCTCTCATATATCCATGCCCAGCATGGTCATCAAAGCTCAAGAAATTGATGCCAGTGATGGCTCGTCGACATAGTCCAAAGACTGTCCTGCCTCCGAAAACTCGAATTCGCTGACTCAAGCTGATCTATTGCCATTCACTAAAGTCCAAAACCACCTGCTAGGCCCGTTTGTTTCTTTTAGCGGAGTGATGCTCGGACGCGGGTGCTCTTGCTTCATTAGCCAGAGTGTCAGTCCAAGCCTGACAATCACATGGCCGTTTTGGAAACAGCAGACCGATCTTGTTCCTGACTCCTGTTGTCAGAACAATGGCAGTGGCGTGCACCACGTCTTCTCCTGTTCGATGTCATCCAATTCCAGCTACAGTCGTAATACAATGGCAGACTATGGGATGACTGGCATTACGCAACCTCCGGAATCCCGCATGCGAGCTTGCCTCGATTCTCGCCTTCGCCTTGCCAAATGGCTCGCCTTTCCGGCCGCTAGATGGCTCGTCGACAACTCCCGGTTTCTCTGCAATCATGTCTTGGACGACTGCCTTGTGTCTTTTGAGCGTTGTTGTATACGCCGCCACGGCCTCGCTCGTATGCCGGCGACAAGAAAGCGGCATTGTCGGTGTATGCGTCTTCCTAAGAAGAGCATTTCATTCGTGTAAGCTGGCCAGAACGCTATTGATCCTGTGGCTTTTTGCTGACGGTGGAAAGCCGCTGTGCTTAATCGATGGTTGTACATTGACGGAGGAGAGTTCTCCTACTATGATGGCGAGGGCATCGCTTACCAGTATTGTACTAAGCATCCTGTTGGCGTAGTCCACTGATGGCATTGTTAACTTGAATTGCAGCGACCTCGCTGGTATCGATTGATCTCACCAAGGACTGGACCAATACTTCGGTCAGTTTACACTCAATCCCGAAGCCTCCTGGCACCCCAAACCTCAGGCATGGCGGCATCTGGGTCGACCGCGCAAGAGGCGTCCTCTACACCGGGTTTTCGGGCACTCATTCGCATTTCGGAGACGGAGCCCCTTCTCCGCAGGGACTCTGGTCATTTACGCCGGACCGGTCAGGTAAACCCTCAGGCTCCTGGAAGAATCTCAATGAGAGCGCGCATGACAGTTTCACAAGGCAGCCAAGGCCTTTCAGGGGACAAGTGGCGAGTGGTGATGGCTTTGGTTTTCTCCTTGCCGGTATATATTCAAGATCGGACACACACGCGACTCCCACTCAATACTGACGCAACCAACCGGCAGGTTTTGTGGGCGACGGGGTCTGTACCCAGACTCATATCAGCAGCCTGGCCGCATATGATCTGTCCTCTAAGGGGCTGAGGAACTTCAGCGATGCTCGAGCCCTTGCCCCGGGATGGGAACAGTATGGCGGCACTACTTTCGTTCCAAACTGGGGCAGACACGGGATATTGATTAGTGTGGGCGGATATCATGGCGGAGGCGCCGAGAACATGGTCTCATTTCAAACCGTCCTTATCTACGATATCGATAGCCAGCGGTGGTTTGAGCAAGAGACATCGGGCGATATTCCCCGGCCGCGAAAGGAGTTCTGCATTGCCGGCGGGGTATCAAACAAGCGCACGCACGATATCCTGGTGTACGGTGGCTGGGATGGCCGGGCCGGGCCGGATGCGGTTCCCTATGATAGCGCCTTCGTGCTGACGCTCCCCGGATTCCATTGGGTCAGGGCGGACTATCCACCGAGACATCCGCGGCATGGCCACAGCTGTAACGGGGTCGGGGGAGGCCAGATCTTGATCGTCGGCGGTGTGGACTCTGCGCACTTGGATCCCGCAAAGGAGGTCTACAGGAGCGTATTCGATACCCCAGATCCGTTTACTAAGGGCCTTGCAATATTCGATTTGAGCAAGCTGGCCTGGAGTCCGTCCTACTCGGCAAACCGGGGCTTGCAGAAGCCCGCGCCTCAGATTCAGGCGTACTATGACGCACAGTGAGTGCCACACCAGTCGAGTGGTTAGACTGATTCAATAGCTAACACACTTCACCTTGCAGTGGGAGAGTCCCTGCCAGTGGCTTTAGCTCTCGCGACCTCGAGCGGCTCTTTGCTGTAGACGACTTCCGAAAATGGGACGAGAGCACGCTCACATCAGGGGCCAGCCACCGGGGCAGCCATAGCGTTGGCGCCATCATCGGGCCCCTGGTAGGTGTCGCAGTCGTGGTGGCTCTAGCGATTGTGGCTGGGTGCTGGCGTCACCGGCCCGACTCCGGAGGATGTAGGGGCCGTGTTATCTGCCATGAGCTGCTCCGCAGGTTGGGGCGAGCCGTTTCCCGTGCGCGGTCGCGTAGATTTCTGCGTGTCATCTACGAGGAGCGGCTACATGGGTTGGAGCGTGAGTCGCAAAATCGGACACCGCAAGCTTCGGGTGGACCTGAAGGCATTGAACTGGGCGAGACTGATCGACGCCGCGTCCGGTTTGCGCCAGAGGTGTGAGGTCTGCATGTGAGGTGTCTGAACTCTCCTGTCTCTCAATTGCTTGGGATATAGTCCAGCAGGACGTTCCAAGAACTCTCAACCTGGCAAGATATTTCTGCCGAGGACCGCGGAAGTCGTCGCACTGGTGGGCTTGTTCTAACGACGGGGAACCAAAGGCCCTGTATAGAGATTCTCACGATGAATGTACGGTTGGAGGCCTTCTCCAGGTGGCGCCTGACTGGAATTGACAAAGTGATATTATTTATTCATATAAGCAGCTCACTCGGCTATACAGCAATAGCCATGGCGCAGGGGAAAGGAGTCCCGTTCCTGACTTCACCCTTTCGCCGGGATACTCTTCCTGATACACAGCAACCCCACACTCACCATCCAAGCACCCAGCCGGCACTAGCCCGCAGCGCCATTCCCTTAACCGCGAAATCACACAGAAATCCGATAGCGGACCAGCTGTATTCACAAATGCGTTTGTTAGTAGACCCATAGATAGGCAGATGGGATAACCACGACTGCGTGAAGGTACGACGTACAGAGTGCGTCCTTGTGGGCCCTTGCTGGACGTATATCCCAGCGCATACATGACTCTGGCGGCAGACCAGGCTGCGCCGACGCCGGCGGCGTAGATTGGGTAGCGCAGGCCCGAGACGAGCATTGCGCCTAAAAAGGGGGTGAGGTTTTCCGTGAAGTTTGCGTGGGCGCGTTGGGCTGCGGGTTCGTTCAATGGTTAGCCTCGATTTGCTTATTTATTGGCCTGCTTGCCGGGTTTGCTGGCTGGCTGGTTGGGAGGGAAGATGGAGGTCAAAGATAACTAGTTGGGCGGGGTGAGTTGGAGTATAGGGATGAACATACCGCAGTTGAAGGCATAGGCCTTGGGGTCCTTTTCGGCAACCTCGTTGGTAGCATAGGCAACTGGGTACTTGATGCCCGAGGACCTCCGGCGGTTCGAGGTGAGGACCGCGTGCAGCGTGTTGATAAAGAAGGTGGAGGTTGCTACGGCAAGGACGTAGCTTGTGGTTTGTCAGTACTATTCTGTGCGCAAAATGATGCATATGGTGTTTATCACTCACCCGTACTCGTCAGGCAAAGTGATGGCCATTTTGATATGTTGATTTTTGGTAAGGTCCCCGGTGAGATGGATATGGATGGGTATCAAGGTGATGCGGACCGCAACTGCTGGCCAGGAATCAGAGAGACGGGGCTCAAATAAGAAGTTATCCCTGGTGTAGAGCTCTCATCGTGCTACCATTTTCCTTTGGATTCTGTCGCGCTGCTACGTAATCGACCTGCTACCTCCTGCCGCGATCCGGGTGGATATCATGGGGAACCCCTAGCCCGTTGGGATGGACAAGCCAATCGGCTTGCATGGACGGGCCTTGAATGGGCCCGATGCCGACCAAAAGTGTCCGTGGGGCTTGCGCCAATGGAGCAGACGGTGCTCGGACATTTCTCTTCCTTTCCGACACGCCGTGTGTATTGTTTGATCGGGAGAATTGTCAATTCATGCTATCGGTATGATGGGAAACGACTGTTGGAGAAAGGTCTGGTGTATCTGCACGATCGGATCTGTATGTGTGGAAGGTTGTAAGACGTTGGCGGGATGCAACAGGGGTGTAAGCGGACGTTGGTTCCATGTCCACTGCCGTGGGACGGTTCTAGCGCTCAATCCACTGGCTTCCAGCATGACGGTGTATGCCCCAGGAATGACACCATCGGCATGTGTTCCGAATCGAGTCTTTTGCTTTAACCTTATCCTCACCTCACTCAGCCGGTACAGCGCTCTTCTGGCGGTCGCCACTCTAAGCCCAGGCCAGCAAATACGCGGCGCTCCGCCGTTAGCATGTCCGGCGCCGGCTCCCCATCCGGCCCGCTCTCGAAATCCACCCACGACCCATCGAGCCTGCTGCGTATCCCGCTGCTGTCAAACTTGAGCGACCTCTCCTTCTTGCAGTACCTGCGCAAATCTCGCTGAAATGTCGTTCCGCTCGTCCAGCCGAGCACGGCGCACCCCGCCGTCTTCCAAGGGCTTATAATGATGTCGACTCTGCGGTGCGGATTCGGGTTCTTGACCGACTCGCCGGCGTTCCATACCGGGTCTTGCCAAACCACCAGCGCCTTGTCGAGCGTGTCGAACCCAGTGCCCGCCTTCTTCTCGTTGCCCTTCCAGCTGACGGGGACTTGGCCCCGCTCCGAGTTTGTCGTGCTAATCGAGAGCGTGTGCGTGATGTATTTGTCCCGCTCAAGGCTGACGACGATGCGCTCGACAAACCCCAGAGTAGCAGACTCGTCGGGGTGGCTCAGCACCACGTCGACGTCACCGCTCTCCGTTTTGCCCCGACGGTAGCCGCCAACAATGACCATCTGAAACCCCTTTCGGATTTTGTTGGCGTGCGCAAGGATGATGTTGGAAATGGACTCGACTTCTGCGCGCGGGATCTTGAGCAGGAACTCGTCGTAAAACTTGACGCCGATCTGCTGCACGCGTGTAAGCGTGTTCCAGCCGTACTCGACGATGTCGTCTATATCGCGCCAGCCGCGGTTGTAGAAGTCGCGTGCCGTCGTCTCAGCCACGCCCCAGATGTTGTAGAAGAGCTTGAGCACGGCCAGCTTAGGGTCTGACTCATCTTCTCTTGCTTCTCTAATCTGGCCCGTTTCCTTGAACTCCTGATAGAGCAGGGCGATCTTAGCGCCGCAGCCCGGAAGTCTGGCAACTTCTGTGGCTGAGTTTTAGCAGAGAGCGAAGTCCTGAAAGCCTAAATTTCTTACCTACCTTGGGAGGTCTGAAAGGTATAGGGGTAGGCGGCGATGGTGGCGATTGCGCTTGAATAAGCCCTGACGCCTATCTTGTCCCCGGTCAAGGTTCTTGCCGTCTTGATTTTGGACAGCTCCTCGATGAATGGCTCGTTTGGTGGATGCACCGGAGTAGGGCGTTGGCACGAGTAGGTAGTATGGAGATAGTCGGGGATGGGTGGGAGATGGGCGTCGACCTCATGCTCCGATGTCGTCTGTCTGACCAAAGTCGGCCTGACGGGGTTCCGAACATAGGTCTCGCCCCTTCTTCCACTAAACGGTTTCTGGCGGGAACTTGGCGGCAGAGCGCTTGCATCGGCAAGAGCACGTTTGAGAACCTCGGCCGCCTTTTCAGCAGGGGGCGGCGGTTGACTTGTTTCTGGTGCTGCCAGCACCTTGCGGCCTTCATACACGAGATAATCGTCCAGCGGAAGAACTAGGCCTGCCTTGATGGAGTCGGTAAACCAGGAGAGCCTTACCACCTTGACCGTCTGCCCTGCAGTGCCGGGTGCAGCGGGCCCAACCAGGCGGCGCTGAATCTCGCCTTCAGATGCCGTGTCTGAATCAAGATCAGAACTGGCAAGGACAGGCGTCATAAGCCTGAGGCGCTTCAGCTCGGGCGATGCAGATGCTGAGCGTCGGGTCGTATCGATCTCCTCGGTAACCAATTTATGCTTCCTGAGCTCAAACAGTGCTCGCTCCTTGCGAGACACCTTTCCCAAAACGACTTCGGCCTCATTGATGTCATAGGTGAGCGTGGGGATCTGCTCCTCGAGTTGCTCGAGTTCTTCGGATCCGAGCTGGGCGGGGAGGAGGAAGATGGTTGGGAAGTCGAGTGCCATGTTCTGCGTGGTTTGTGTAGCTCAAGGTTGGCAATCACAGCGGAGCGCATTGTGTTGAAGAAGCCGGGACGTCTCAATATGCACAAGCATCCATGGATGGCAAGAAGTTAAGAAGTATGTACAAGACGTCTTGGTTGGAAAGCTAAGGTAGCATTTAGGCAGATGAGGAGTGAGTGAAAATTGAGGATCAGAATCGTGATGAAATAAGCTATTTCACCTCCATTGTGTCGCCCTCCGCCCGCTTTCAAGCCCAGCTTGGGTTCCTTGGGTATCTTCCGCTGAGGCAATGCCAGTGTGTGTGGGCAAGTGACAAGTGACACAAACCGGTTGCATCTTATCTTGGCGTGGGGATCCAGAGAGACTTTGAAAGCTCTTGGTGCAATGCATCGAACAAGAGTGTATGACGACGTTAGAAAAGAGCCTCGAAGAACTTGCGAGGAATGTGAATGCATTACATACAAGTACATACATACTGTGCCGCACCATTTACGGTAAGTACACGTGGTGTTTACAGTACATAACTTCCGAATTACAGTACACGAGTTGGTTCGTATTGGATGTAAATTATGTAATGTACAGTTCTACCGTCCTCGTCGCGGGCGGAGACGCCGGAGAGACAGAGACGGCTCAGTACAGTAACGAATAGGCACTGTATACCGGAGTACGCTCAACGGTTGACCGGGCTGAGGCTGCTTCTGGAAACGTCGCGCCTCAAAACCTAAACTTAACTCTTGACGCTCGATGCAGAACACTTGGGGAGCGGCTTTCTACACACGAGATGACAATTGTACTAGGGCCATGACGACAGGCGAGACGGGTCCGATTCTAGTTTGTTTCTGGAGATTGAGATTCAAGCGCGCAGTTTCCGACTTTTGTCGCTTCTCAACTGCCAGGTAAAAAATCTTTTGTTGGAAAGAAACGGCTCAGCCTCCCAGGACCGGTTGAACCTTATTATCCTTCTTTCTAAACAAGAGTCTGAGCGATCCATCGCCCAACTCTCACCCGCGCCCACTTGGCTTCTTCATAGATGCCGTTCATCCTAATCTCTCTTCGCGGCCACGCATTCCCACAAGATCAATAACAGTCCCTCGTTTTGTGTATGGTGTGCCCGTCGCTCCGGTGAAATCAGCCCAGTCGCACTTGGTCTCGACTCGCTTCTCTTGAGGGCTCTCGCAGCCCCGAGAATAAAGTCGTCGTTTTGCTCGCATTCCCTCTGCTGGGCCCGTCAGAATCGACCGAGCCAAGATGGAGGTTGCGCAGACGCTCGTCCGCTCCGTCATGCGCGCCTTCTACACGACACAGGAGGTCCTGGTAATCGAGGCGCTGGTAACACACTCGGCTCTCCGCGACGACGAGCTGGCCTACTTGATGAAAATGAACATCAAGGACCTGCACAAGCTCTGCGCCTCCCTGCGCGACGCCCGCTTCCTCGTTATGCACACGCGGCCCGAGATGCAGCAGGGCAAGACGCGGCCCATCAACCGAACCTACTACTACATTGATTACCGCCAGACCATCGACGCCATCAAGTGGCGCGTCTACAAGATCGACAAGGACATGCAAGGCGTCGCCCAGCCCGCCGACGAGTCCAAGGAGTACTTTTGCCCCAACTGCGACGCCCAGTGGACCCAGCTCGAGGTGCTCGACTCGTTCTCGCCCCAGGGCTTCACGTGTGGCCGGTGCGGCGAGGTGCTGGAGCGGTCCCAAGAGCGCGAGGCCCCGGGCCACCAGCAGCTGTCGCGCATGAACAACCAGTTCAAGTTCATGACGGACCTGCTGCAGGAGGTGGACAAGGTCGGCGTGCCCGAGTGCAACTTCGACAAGGCCCTGGCCATGGCCCGCCCCGTCGTGCGCGAGCCCACCCACGAGGTGCTCGCCAGCATTCCCGTCGACACAGGCCTCAACAAGCCCTCGGCCGTCAAGGGCCTTGCCAACGTCGGGCCCAAGACAATGCACGTCACCATCTCGGACGGCGACAACGAGCAGGAGAAGATCGAGGACCGCAAGCGAAAGGAGCGCCTGCTCAAGGAGAACGCCCTGCCCTCGTGGATCACCGAAAGCTCTGTGCCCGCCATCAGCCAGACCCAGTCGTTTGAGATGCGCGACGCAGATCGCGATGAAGACATGGCGCCGGCGAAGAGGGTCAAACTGGAGACCGCCGAGCCTGTTCAAGATGCAGGCGCTGCCATGAGCTTCAAGATGGAGCATGACGAAGACGAGGACGATATCGAGTTTGAAGATGTGGTTTGAGCCAAAGCAGTACATCTGAAAAATGGCTTGCCTCCCTTGAATTGTCACCCGTCGACCCTCATGCGAGCTAGGATGGGATTGTGGTGGTTCACGTGTCCCTTGCAGAGCGATCGAGATTCTAGCCGATGGTCCTACTCCCATCACAGATCGCCCTACCGTATCTGGCAGCAAACCCGACATAAAAAGGCACCTTGTCCTTTTAGACCAACAAAACTGGGTGGTTCCAGCGGTCTGGATGAAGACATTTGGCGTGTACAGGCTGGCTGTGCGGAGCGGGGCTGTATATATATGCACCATTCAACCTTTGAGGAGGCAATTCTGCGGGGACGAGGCAGATGACCCGGGTGCGGGTTCGGGAACGCAAGAGACTGCAATAGTCTCGCAAGAATGGCTCTATCGGGCAGGTAGGTATATTGTACACGCATTGACATGCAATTGTCAAATCGGCTGGGGCAGGCGTTTGGGAGCGTAAAATCTAATTAGAATAGACACTGAATGATCATCATTCGCCGCGGTCAAAAAAGCATGGCTGTGGAGCGATTGCGCTATTCCCATTCCTGGCCCTAATCCCTCGATGAACCAGTTACCCCCTTAGTCGTTTACACCCGGACTTCATTTCATCTCTTCCATTATACATACTTCCGCAGCTGTATGGAGAGTCAGTAAAAGGTCAACCAAAAAGATAGCAGGAAAGGAAGGCCACTCACATCCAAAGTCAGAGTCCTCGAGCTATTGATGTCCTGATCCCTGTACACGCCCACCAAGCTCTCACTGTCCTGGAAGAGCGTCGGCTTCAGGCTGATGACGATGAACTGCATGCCCGGCCCAGCATGCTCCCGGATATACTTCTTGATCTTCTCAACGTTGGCATTGTCCAGCGCGGCGTCCACCTCGTCCAGAACGAAAAACGGGCTAGGCTGGTAGCTGTGGATGGCGAAGAGCAGCGCCAATGCCGCCATGGTCTTCTCACCGCCCGAGAGGTGCTCCATGTCGCGAAACCGCTTGAGCGGCGGCATGGCGTGGTACTTGATCCCCGACAGGTACGGCGTGTCCGTATCCTCCTCAATGTCGAGATACGCCTGCCCGCCGAGCGGGTAGGCGTCAGACCGCGTGAGGTCCTTGTACACGTGGGTTATCTGCTCCTGGATGTGGGTGAAAGCGCGGTTGAATGTTTCGAAGCGCTTCGCCTTGACTTGGGCGAAGGCCTCGCGAGCAGCGCGTAGAGCGACGCGAGAATCCTCAAAGTCCTTTTCGGTGGCCTCCAGGCGCGATTTGACGCTCTCAAGGCGCTCCATGGCGCGCATGTTGGGGTTGAGCTTCTCCAATTCTGCCGTGAGCGAGTTGATCCGTTCCTGGAGCTTGTCTTCGAGATCCTCGTCGGGCTGCCGAAATTAGTGTTAGCAAAAATCTCTGAAAGAAACAGGAGCGGAGACTTGCATTCTTGAGACTATCGTCTAGGCCGTCAAAGTCCACTTCGATGCCGTAATCGTCCATGGCAGCTTCCAGGACTTCGTCTTCGTCCTCTTCCTCGTCCATCTCCATGGCATCTTGATCTTTCCGGAGTAGCACATCCTCGTTTGGAATGTTTTCGAGCGAGCCCTTCCGCAATGGAATTTGAATCTGCTCTAGCTTGCATCTCCTCAGGAGCGCAAACTTCCCAGCGCTGTTCTTCTGCACGGTCGATTCGAGGCTACTAATCTCCTTTAACCTGGCCTCGATCTCCTTGCTCTTCTTCTGTAGATCCTGCTTTGCCTCGGCAACCTTTTTGGTCTTTTCAGCATGGCTGGCCCGGACCTCTTCCAGTGACTCCTGGAGAGCCTCGAGCTCGTCCTGGTCCTGTGCCATCGCTTCCTCAATATCCGATTTCTCCTGTTGGTAGGCTTCCAGGTCTTTTTGGTGGCGCTGCAGCGTCGCCTCCATAGCACGAATCCGGTCAGAGGCTGTGCTCTGCTGTGATAGCTCCCAAGACAAACTGTTCTGGATGCGCTGCTTCTGCAGGTCGAAATCTTGACGCTTCTGTGCAGCCTCCTGCTCGAGACTACCTTGCTGAGCTTCGTAGGCACGGATATTCTCGTACCCGAGCCTCTTGCAGAACCCAGCGAAGATTTTATCCTCGACGTCAGCGATGGCCTTTTCGAACTTTTGCACCGTGGCACGGGTGCGCTGCAGCTCCCCTTCCTTCTCCGCATATTTGGGCTCATATTCCTTGAGTTCCTTTTTTGCATGGCTAAGCTCCTTCTCTTTGCTCTTGAGGTTCTTTTCAAAGGCAACCAGCTCGCTCTGCTGGAGGCGGAGGCGTTGTTCCAGCGCAGCAATCTCGTTTTGCAGAGCCTCTTCGGCAGCCCCTCGCCTCCCCGGCCGAGGCAACTTGGCAATGTCGTCTCTGAACTTCTCGGCTATTCGCTGCAGGTTCTGGACGTCGTGCTCCTCAAAGCGGCGCTTCCCTCCCTTCTCGTCTGGCAACCGACCACCGGACATGGTGCCGGCTTTGTGGATGACGTATCCCTGAAGAGTTACCGCTTTGACCTGGATCTTCTTGTTATAAACTATGTCCTTGGCAACGTCGAGACTGTCGCAGACTACCGAGCCACCACAGGCGTATGCAATTGCCCGTTCCAGCGAAGGGTCAAAGTCGATAGTGTCGATGGTTAACCGTGCACCAGAAATGCCCTTTACGGCAGAGTTGGAAGTGTTGACTTTGATGTTGTCGAGAGGGATGAAGGTAATCGGTGGAAACCGCTGGTCTTTAAGGTACTGAACACAGTCGACGCCAGTCTTCTCGGTGTCAACAACGACTGCGTCGAATTCGCGACCCAGCGCAGTGATGACGGCTTCATCGAACTTTTTCTGCTTGGGCTTGCACAGCTCGCCAACTCGTCCCCGGACGCCAGGGTAGATGCGCTTAAGATCGCTGATCATGTTTCTCATCTTCATCTCCTTTTCGTTTTGTCTTCGTCCCATATCTGCGTCGTCAAGCTTCCTCAGCACCTCGCGGAGCTTTTCTTCCAGTTCGGTATGCCTGTTGTTGATCCTGATGCGCTCAGATTGGACGCCGTTAAACTCCTTCTTTTTGGCATCAATATCGCTCGTGATTTGGCGAACAGAATCTTGGCTAGCGTTCCTGCGATCCTTGATCGCCTGGACCTCACTTTGTAGTTTCTCCACGGCTCCCTCGAAATTGTCAATCTTGCCTTTGAGACTGTTTACCGTCACCTCGTCGCTTTTTAGCTGGCGCTCCAGATTGGCCAGCTTTGCCCTGTTATCTGATGATTTTCTCATGGCCTCTGCTTGAAGGGTTGTGTACTCCTTACGGTCCGCGTCGCTCAGCTCTTTGCCTTGTTTCTTTAGCGTCTCGGACCACTGCTTCTCAAATTGTTGATGTGCCTTCTCTACCGTGGCCAGGTCTTTTTTCAGTTTTTGGACGTTTGCCGCCTTCTCGTCCCGGTCCTTCTTGACGTCGACAATCCGCTTCTGAAGCAGGGCTATGTCCTGAGAGCTCTGTGATATCTTCTCATCCACTGGGACGAGGCTGTTTTCTCTGTCTTCAATGCTCTTCTCTTTAGCCTTTATGCTCTTTTCAACTTTGCTGACCTCGCGTCCGGTGGTTGCTTGCTCCTTGCGGGCCGCTTCAAGTTTCTTCTCAAAGGCCTCCACGTTACGGCGAAACTCCTTGAGGTTCTCCTGATGCTCCTGGATCTTGGCGCTAGACTCGTCCATTACGCGCTGGAAGTGATAGAGCTTCCACAGGATATGTGTGATGACTGCCTCATCTCGCTCCTCGTTTTTTTTCTGGAAATTTTCAGCCTCTTTCTTCTGCTCCTGATACTGTTTGATTTCCGAGTTGATGCCCCTCCTCCTGTGGAGTTGGAAATTCTGGTTCTCTGCGGCCTGCTCGGCCTCTGCCTGGAGCCTCTCGTACTCAGCCTTGTACTCTAGACTCCCCGATATCTGCTCGATCAGGCGCGTCAGATCCTGTGGGGATTGGGACGCAATTGCCTCGACATCTCCTTGAAAGACGAGGAAATTCCGCGCCTTAATCAAAATGTTTTCTTCCTCCAGCGCCTGGTTATACTGTTGTGCGGTGACTATGCGGTCGTTGATGCGGTATTCGCTAGAACCGTTGCTCGTAATGGTCCGCTTCCACCGTTGTTCGTCACCAGCATCGTCCTCATAGACGGCCATGACCCAGGCCGTCTTTGGGTCATTCCGAGATGCTCGTTGCGAGGAGCCTTCGTCCTCGCCATTCTCGGTACCGTTGATGTGGTTGCCATTCGTAGCCGGCGCAGCGGTTCCGTCGTCCTGAATTTTGGAGGTTTTCATCACGCGACCGCGGTAGACGAGGTCGCGAAGATGCGTGGATCGCAGGTGTGACGACTTGATACCCAGAACGAAGGATATAGCGTCCATGCTACAAAGTAAATGAGCGTATTAGCACCTCGAGTCAAGGGGAGCCTGGTTATTCGAGCACAGAAGCGACGTACGAGTTTGACTTTCCGGAGCCATTGGGACCGATGATGGAGGTGAAATAGGAGTCGCCAAATAGAAGGGTGTGGTGCCCCTTGTAGGATTTGAAATCTGGCATTCATTGTCAGACGGAGAAGCGACTGAAACTAACTATGGCACGTACTGAAAAGCTCCAGTCGTATGAGCTTGCCCATGATCGCGGTTGCTCCGATGCGCGGAGCACACTATCGGTTCGGTATCGCGCTCTAGAATGGATAATCTTGGTGGTATGACGCGACGAGCGATGGTTCGAGATAATCGGCGCGATAATCGGCATGCGACGCGCGTGGATTGTGGGTGAGATGGTGGGCAGGTCTCTGCTGTCGGTTCGCGACAGGTCCCGCATTCAGTTACCGCGACGGGATGAATTTACTTTCGCGACTGGGAAGACGAACTGTGGGGGTGGGGAGGGAAGAGCGCACAGACCAGGCACTCTACCTTCAGGCTTCGGCAGCGAGGTAAGTTACAGTATAATACAGTAACGTTGCAGTACTTTTTGTATGTATCAAATTACTCTACCGCCACTTACGCTTAGAGGCAGGAGGAGGCTTAGTAACTCCTGGTAAGTCTGCTTTGTCTGCGCATTATTCCGCAAGGATTGATGCAGATGCAGCGTGCAACAGATGTGTGTTCAGATGTAGGTATGTACTTCTACAGAATCGGCGCCTGGCGGTCTTGTCACTCAAGGTTAGTAAGAAGGCAGATAATCCACCGGCAGCGATAACGTCCAGTGTCTTCAAACTTGCGAAGGTAAGCTTCATCCAATGAGAGAGGCGGGTTGTGGCACGCCAAGTGCTGAGCCAGTTACAAGGGTCGCGTTGGTGACCTGCCCATGCACCGTCATCAACATCGTTCACGGGTCCGCTGGGCGTCCCTTGCGGTTGCATCACAGGATCTCAGAGAGGGCCTGCGCGGTCAGTCGCCATCTCCCCTTGAAATACATACAACATTTGCAGAGCCCGAACGGTCTGGCCCGAAACCGTCAACCTCCCCGCTTATCATCTAGACCCCTCAATATACATTTTAGTATTAGTTCTGGCCGCAAGTCGCGTCTCCAAAATCTCCAAGCTGGTTGAGCTCTAAGGCCCTTTTTCTCTTTCTCTTTTCGTTTGTCCTTCTTTTTTGTTAGACGCCCCCGACTCATATATACCGACACCTAGGCAAAGGCCAGAAGAACGACTCACATAAGAGTTGTGGATAAGGGCGCAGTCTAGGCTGCATCCCATTCTCCTTGTCCGAAGCTTCGGTGTAAGTAGATGCGCCACTTTGACTTTAGCTGACCTCATGCCATGTTTGCCTTTACATAGGGCAGCCTGCAGCTCCACAGCCGCCTGGCCGCTTGTCTTTTGTTGAACATGTAGAGGTGACGTTTGATCGACACCTTCCACCTCACGCTATTAGTATCAAGCGGAGTATTTGGACTGACAACATCCCGTCTCTGATTTCTAGTTGCACCCTCTGTGTCGCGTACTCGAATCTGGACCCGAAGACATTCGCGCTTGCGGCCCACGCCAAAGATGGCAGAGCCTGGGAGCAGCAGTCTCCCCATACCTATCCCTAATAACAACAACAAGTGGGAAGTGGCATCTACCGATAGCGAAGCGATTCCGACGCCAGACATCAGCGGGACGCCGCCCAACGACATCAGAACCCCTGACGAGCATACCATCGATACACCCACGCTCGGCCCTACGGCACCCACAAGCCCCCGGCACCACTCGCGGAACCCATCATTCTCGGGAAGCTCCTCGTACCAAGAGGACTGGGATGCGTTCCCGCCCCTAGACCGCCTGACGGTGCTCGATATCCTCGAAAACTTTGCCCTCCCGCAACAGCTCGAGAAGCTCCAACGAGGATTTTCAGCCCAGACGGAGAAGGTGCGCAAGTCGCGCGAGGCCCTCGGGAATCGGAGCCGCATGGCCCGCGAGCGCATGGTGGACGAGTGGCGGCGCCGGGTGCCTTCGGCCGACGAGCAACTGGAGCGATACCGCAAGCGCATGCGCGCGAGCGTCGAGAAGCTCGGCAAGCGCTGGAACGACACCAAGGCCATTACGCTGCGCGAGAAGATCTCCTTCATCTGCGGCGTCATGAACATCTTTGTGAGCGGCTACCTCATCGGCGGCTTCCCTGAGTGGTTCCATCTGTGGTACACAGCCCAAGTCCTCTACTTCATGCCGATCCGCTTCTACACGTACCACAGGCGAGGATACCACTACTTCCTCGCCGACTTGTGCTACTTTGTCAACTTCCTCCTCATGCTCAGTATCTGGGTCTTTCCCAACTCGAAACGTCTCTTCACGGCCGTCTACTGCCTTGCCTATGGCAACAACGCCGTTGCCATCATCATGTGGCGCAACTCGTTGGTATTCCACAGCTTCGACAAGGTTACCTCTCTCTTCATCCACATCATGCCCTGCGCAACGCTGCACTGCATCGTCCACCTCCTCGACCCTAATCTCCAGCGAGACCGCTTTCCCGCCATCTGGACCATCAAGACGTCGCCGCCTGGCTCCCCAACCGCCTATGCCAACGTCATGTCCATGCTCGCCTGGTCCACCATCCCCTACGCTTTCTGGCAGCTATCCTACTATTTCTTCATCACCGTCCGCCGGCGCGAGAAGATTGCCGCCGGGCGCCCGACGAGCTTCACCTGGCTTCGCAGGTCGTACAGCAAAGTCTGGATCGGCAAGCTCGTCCTCTCCCTGCCCAACGCCCTGCAGGAGCCCGCCTTCATGCTGATCCAGTACATTTACGCCGTGCTGACCATGCTTCCCTGCCCGCTGTGGTTCTACTCGCGCTGGGCATCGGCCACGTTCCTGATGGTCGTCTTCGCCTGGTCCGTCTACAACGGGAGTACCTACTACATTGACGTTTTTGGCAAGCGGTTCCAGAAGGAGCTTGAGGCGATGAAGGCCGAGGTGGCCAAGTGGCAAAACAGCCCCGACGTTGCCGGGGTGTTGAGCCCCACGTTACAGCCGGCCGAGGGTGCTGGTGCTGGTGGTGCTGCTGCTCCTATTGTTGATACGATTACCGGCAAGGCATTGGATGATAATGCCCCCGGGGGTGTGGCGGGCGGGCTGGATAATATTCCGCTTCTGAACGATGAGAGGCCTGCCGCCGTGATTGCCACGGGGGCGGATACGGATGGAGGCGCGAAGGATGTTGCGAGGGAGCGCAAGGTTGGCGGAGAGCTGGAGAAGTCATGATCTTTTGCTTATTTGTTTGGTCACCTCTGAACCGTTTCATTCCTCTATTTCTGCAGATTTAAATGGCGCGGACTGGGTCCGGCTTGGTTCGCACATTGCTGGCGCTGGATCATAGACGTTTGGGGCTTAAGGGTCACTTCCATCAGTTTGCCTTTGCTAGGATTCTGAGTTTGTCTGGGCGGGAGAGGAAGGAGTGAGAGCAGTGAGGAGAGGATCCATTCGTCTCTCGTTATACCCCCAGAGTAGTTCATCTTCTCCTTTTCCGTCATGGGCTGCATCATGTCTCGACTTCTGGTTGGCACACTCTCATGTATGTGTCGTTCATCACTGCTTGTGATTCCTCGAGCTTTATACCCAGTTCCTTTACTACTGTTGAGGCATGTCAGAGGCTACGTACGAGATGGCGTGGGAGGCAGATATGTAGTTAATGCGATTTTCAGGCGATGGACCCTGAGCTACCATGACCCCGAGTTACCATGACCCCGAGTTATCATGATACCGAAGCAATGATAGCTGTTCAGACCACTTCACCTGGCCACTCTGGTAAGCTGAATTTCTGCTCGAATACGAAGGTAGCCACAGTCACGTTCGAAATATTGTTTACGCACCACGGAAAAATGCATCAAACACGCCGCTGGTATTGGGCTTTCTGAGCCATCAAAAACGCTTTCCCATATCCGCTGAACCGAACCCATCCCAATCACCTCCAAGCAAAGACCGACGCGATACCGCCCAGCCCTGGCAAGCAAGCAAGCAGCCAAAAATACAAGTCAGAGAAATCTCGCTGAATCAGGACCACCAAGATCTCTGCCCCGCTCAGTCCCTGCCTCGCTGACTCGAGCAACTACACAGGTACATACAAGCAGAGCGACGTGGTCCCGAGAGTTCTCGGAAGCGCCCTAAACCTTCATTCCTCGTCGACTCCCATGCCGCCTAAGGAAGAAAAACCCGCTTGCCCGCACTGTAAAGCCCGGCCGAGAAGGAAACCGAATGAGAACTACCAAAGCCCAAATGCCATTAGGGTGTCGCTGATGCAAATCCCCCATTCATTACAAGAGCGGTTTCCGGGAAAGATGAGGAGAGGGGTATATCGTCGTCGCCGTCGTTGTCGTCGTCGAAAATAGGCCAGAGGAAGAATGAAGAAGGGCCGAGCCTCGTCATCCTTTCAGGGTTCGAGTCGCCATTCTTCCGCATGAGTTCCTTGCAATAATACACCACCGCCCAAGAAAGATGAAATACCCCGCGCGCGTCCTCGTCTACAACACAAAAGGACGTTTGCCACGCGGAAGCCAAGTTGAGTTGCGATTTGGGACGCGAGGAGTGATGTGGGATGGCATGTTAACGTTCCGCCGCAGAACCTCTTCCTTCTCTTTTTTCCCCGGCTAACCGACCCTAATCCGATCCCGAATTTTCAGCGCCAGACGCCTCCCCGCCCCAGGGGTCCTCGAAGGCCAAAGGTCACAGCAAAGCAAAGGTTATCATCTAATGACGGGGATCCCTATTCCCCCGATGCCGTCGCTGCTGTACTGCTGTTCCCTCGACACCCCCGGACGGGTACCAAATACGTTCCAAAACCTGAGCGTCTCATCGCCGGCGCCCGTCACGACTGTCCGCCCGTCCGGGCTCATGGCCAGGTAGAGCACGCGGTACGTGTGGCCGGTGAGGCTGGCAACTTGGGTCATGGACGGGTACTTCCAGATGACGATCTGGTTCTGGCTGTAGCCGTGGGTTGAGACGATCTCGTTTGAGTTCTTGGACCAGGCCAGGTTACAGACCTGGCTGCCCGTGTCGATCTCATTAATGACGGAGCCGCGGACCGTGTCGTGGAAGATGATGCGGCGATCGGCGGTGCCACCGCCTGAGGCCAACAGGCCCCTCTGATGCGGAGACCAGGCAATAGCCTTGACGGCGGCGTTGTGGTCGGCAAACTTCCAGAGCGGCGACTCTGAGAGCTTATCCCAGACCATCAACTTGTTGTCGTTGCCTCCACTGGCCAGCTGGCCGTCTTGGCAGTTCCATCTCAGCCCGCACACCTCCTGCTTGTGCCCCACGAGCTTCTTCAGCCATTGGTCTGGCGCCCGAACGTCGCGGTGGTATATTAGCCGATCCCGCGAACCCGACGTCAAGATGTGCGTGTTCCATGCTAACGAACCGACCCGCGCAGTATGGCCCGTCATGGTTCGCAACCTCCTGGTCCTTTCGGCGTCCCATATTTGAACGAGCCCCTTGCCAGTTCCGATGGCTATGTGAGTCCCTTTTTGGATCCACGATACACTGGTTACCGTATCGTCGTCGAGCGTACACAGCTTGTTTACGCGACCCGTCTGCGCGTTCCACATGTACACGCTGGATCCCAAACCGACACCCATGACATTTGCACTCCCCCAGTCAACCAGGTTCAGATAGAAATCGTCCGCCAGCTCGGGAGCGTCCAGGACCTTGTAGGGAACTTTAGCGACTGCTCTGGGCTGCCGCCTCGGACTGAGAAGCATCTGTTGGCTGCTATACCTCAACGGCGTCACGTTGTATGCCTCTGAGCGGATATCGTGAAGTTGGCCGTCCCGGCTCTGAGGTGTCCTTGACGGTGTAGGATGGCCTGCAATGTTGTGATGTCGTGGTGACATGTAAGAAAATAGGTTCTTCTGAGGAGTTGAGGGCGTCATCCTCGCAGGTAAGGGCGGCACCGCACCGCTTGGTGGGGTGCGAGATGATGGCCGCCCTTGTTCAGGGGACATTGTAGGTGTTATTTGTGGTATTGAGTCCTCAAACATCTCTGCCCGCAGCAAGGTAGAGAAAGTCCGATTTGCTTCCTCGTCTACAAGGGTGTTAGCAGGGCATCAAGGACTGTAGGGGGCTTTACTCACTCCTTTGAAAGTGTAACTCCCCGTGAGGCGTTCTTTTCTTCTGCTTTGGGGGCGTAGCAGGGGAGCCTGCAGCGTGCAGAAGCTGAAAGCCGGCAGAATAGTCTCTCCCGGATCTTGTGGGAATGAATCTGTAAGGCTGGGGTCAGCCTCAGTCCTGAACCGAGGGCCCTGCTCTCCAACATACCTATCGCCATTTATCCTCTGTCGCTTCCTATGCGGGCTTGCACCGGGAGTCCCTTCTCTCTGTTGGCGGCCCATTTCTCTGCGCAATGCGCTGTCGACTGCATCTGCATCCAAACTCTCTGATCTTGAGCTCATGCGGCGATCATCGTGCCTTAGTTCAACACGGAGGTAATCTGACTGGGGTGGAGGCGTTGAAAACCGCGCACCGCGGCCGACGGAATGGCTGTGGGATTCGGAAACGGAGCGCTTCATGTTGGCGGACAAGGCGGCTCCGCCGGAGACGTCGCCGTTGATGCCCATCCTCCTCAACAAAATCCGGACTTAATATGCACAACCGGAGCGATACTGTCTCTTGTGTAGTTTACCCAATCCAATCGCTCAGCAGCTGCAAACCCTTGAAGAGTCCTCACTTTCTCCCGCTCGGTCACTGTTCGCTGAAACCAATCCGTTCGCAGGCAGGCAATATGCGCGGTGTTGTTTAAGTGACAAGCGGGTTAGGTCTCGTCGCGGAGCGGATAATCTGCAAGAGAAACCTAGGTAGCCTATGTAGTAAGGCAGAGGGCGCGGATCCTGAGGGACGCTATGACGGTCGACGATGTAGAGCGAGCGTCGCGATGGCAGCCGCTGTTTGGCAGGCTCGGGGAGTGGCGGGGCGACCGGGCAACGGCGCGATAGAATCAGCATAGAATTGCTCAGGAGCTAAAAAACCCTCGTGCGATTCAATCGCTCGCGATTCCAAAAGGTCCGTCTCGCCGTCGTGTATGCTGCTATCCAGGTATTCATTAGGATGCCGATAGGCGATTGCGACGATGTGCACCAAAGGTGGAGGAGGTTGTGGTGGTTTGGCGGGAAAGAATGAGGTTGGAGGGTATGATAGGAACCTGGTCCTCGTCACTGATGGGTCGCGCTTAGGGTGGGCGTCGTATTGTAACGATGCAATGGCCTACTGTATCTCGTATTTGTGACGGTAATTCGCCTGAACACCAGCTTGATGCAGGCCGAAATGATGATTATTACGGTAATATTACAGCTTTATACAGCATATTACAATCTCAATACATGGTTTTTCATTCCCAACAGTCGCGCTAGAGAGTGTCACACCCTAGCTGCCGCCGCACGGTCCATTCACAACACACCCGTCTCCTGCCACTCGCTTGCAGCCAAAACGGCCTGCAGGGTGCAGAGTGCCTGCCCTGTTGTACTGCCGAGAGTTCGCCTAGCGGTGCCTGACAGACTTCCGTTGCCCAACCCCAAGACGTGATCAGATCACAGCCAGAGTGTTGTGTAGGTATCCGTAGTTCACTGGTGTACGGAGTATTCTAGTGTTGGATCAAATTGACAGAAGGTGAATGTTTATGAAACGGCCATTGGAAGTGGCTGGTATGATGGTATCTGCTCTTCGGAAGCCCCTTGCGGCAGTTGAAGCTTCTCGCGATGTCTGCTCTAGAAGGAGGGCAGTCAATCTCAACAAATGTAAGGTAGTTCCAACTTCCACATGAGAGGTGGCATCTGGCTACCTAGTCGTACTTCGCAGTCGACGGTTGAACCAGAAAGCCTCCTGATAAACTAATGGACCTCACCTTGATGCGGGGTATCGCCGGTGAGTGTTGCGATTTCGCGAGGTTTGTTATGATCATTCCGATAATGGACGTGTTTTCTGTAGCCGGCGGGCATGCATCGCAAGAGTCCCTTGCCTGGTTCGTCAGATCCGGGCTTTTGTTGTTGTTTTTGTTTTTGCCAGTGCCGGCAGACGTCGCGCTCCTGCGCCTCTGACTGGCTGAAGATCTCTGAAAGGACGAGTGGGCCGCTTGCAAGGGGGCCGCTCTCTGGCTTGGCCAGTGCTGACCGTGTTCTTGCAGCGAGACCCGCGCCTGTCTTCGGCGCTTCGCGTGTCTTCCCATTTCAACCCCTGTCCTTCGCCAATATCCAACCACAGGATCGCATCTAACTAACATGGTCAAGACTCGGCAGCCGTCTTCATGGTTCTTCATCTGATGAATCGGCCGAATTGATCGCCGCATCCGCCGCCGTGTAATGTACAATGTATGTCTACATACTGTAGTACTGTACTGACGCCACACTGAACTTGCGGGTGTCGACGAAGTTTGGGCCTCGGCAAGTACTCTGATCTTGTCGCATCGCATTACGCCGCTGAAACTTTGAAAGCCACGAGCAACCTCATATGTACATGTATACTAGGTACGGATGGTGTCGACAACTGAACTGCAACCGCAACAAGGTTATGCGTACGCAACTGGAATGAGTCTGCTCAAGTACGGGCCTTGGATTCCTGCATGTTCGACATGAGTGGCAGCAGAGCTGCCCTCGACGGAATACTTGCACCTTCAACTGTTTACTCCACCATGGTCAATCATCGAACATAGCACGATTCAAGGCTCTGGTCCGAGTATTAACTGTCCTGAATACATGGACGTGCAATCAACGTCCATTCACTGCTCCCTTTTGCCGTATGTGACGCAACACGCCAGGGGTATCATGACAGACTCCAGATCTCGACCCCTTTCACAAAGACATTCTCATATCTTCATCAGCATCGCCTTTCGCTCAATCATACTGAAACAGCATGCTAATACTCTCCCCATGATGCACCCTTCTAATGGCCTCTGCAAAAGTGCCGCTAATGTCCAGCACCACTAGCTTGTCGCACGCCGCGCGATGCGCCTCCTGCGCGACCGTGTTGGTCACGACCACCCTGTCGAGCGCTGAGGCGTTGATCCTCGCGATGGCGTCGCCGCTGAACACGCCGTGCGTTATCAGTGCGATCACTTGCACCGCGCCCTCGCGCTTGAGCAGCTTCGCCGCTCGCGTGAGAGTGTTGGCCGTGTCAGCGAGGTCGTCAACCAGGATGCAGACCCGCCCCGCAACGTCGCCGACCAGCATCATGGTTGCCTTGGGAGGGTAGGATATCTTTGGGGAACGCCGTTCTATTCGATACAGTTAGTTTCGGAGAAGTATGAAACGGGACACGAGGGAAATACCCTTATGGATGAGGGCAAATGCGAGCCCCAGTTCGTCGGCGACGGCCGTGGCACGTTTAGCGCCGCCTGCATCGGGACTGACAATGACGGCATCACGGTAGTTGGGAATGTGCTGTTGGATGTAGCGTTGTAAAAGGGGGCGAGCATGGAGGTTGTCGACTGTCAGAGTTAGCAGTCAGCAACGGATTGGTTGACTTCTAGCGCCCAGGGACAGCAATAACGGGGAAAGCAAAACTCACCGGGAATGTCGAAGAACCCTTGGTAAGCACTCTCATGAAGATCACAGGTCAAAACCCGGTCCGCCCCGGCACAAGTCAACAGATCCGCCACCAGCGACCCGGACTGCGCCATCCACTGCTTGTACCCGGATTTTGCCTGGAGCGCAATCATTAACCCCGGATTCTCGTAGTCATGCGTCGTATAAGTGCCCGGCTGCTGCTGCGGTACAAGTACCGGCGAAGCCGTTCCGTTCCCTCCAGCCGGAGGCCCTGTCCCCTTATTCCCGCCGCCCAACGACACCTTTCCCATCATCTCAGCAACATCAACGCCAGCACTCCCTAGCCCAGCCGTCCTCGGGATACTCGCCCCAGGCGTGACAGGCACGCTCTCAAAGGTATAATCCCGCCCTGCTCCTGTCCCCGGGCCCCGTTCCCCTACTACTTGCCTGGTAGTGCCCGACATGCTCACCAGCGGCGCACCGGCCTTGGAAAATGCTAGGTCGGGTTGCCTGGAATACGGAAAGAGCGGTAGCACGGCAGTAACCCGTCTGGCGGAACCCGTTTTGCAGGCCGAGATCATGATGCACAGCTCGATGAAGTAGTCGTTGACCGTGTTGGGGGGCGACCTGCTCTCCTCATCGGCGGTTGTTGCTGATCTTGTCGATGCCGATGAGGGTGGGGAGGCGGACGATGTAGGACCCACGCCAAACGTCTGAACAATATACACATCCTTGCCGCGGACCGAGTCGCGGATCTCACAGCGTGTCTCGCCGCTTGAAAACTTGGCGAGGAGCCTGCTCGAGGGCGACACACCGAGAGTCTCGCAGACAGAGTCGACGAAGCCCGGGTGGGAGCTCCCCGAGAGGACGACGATGTTGCGAACCATGGTGTTGAATGGTCCTGGGTTTCTTTTCCTTAAGTGTAACGTCCAACGTCTTTCTAACTGGAATTTTATGATTTTCGGGCGGGTTTGCTGTGGCCCGGGTGTTCCCTTTCTTTAGCGGCCACGGACAATGACAACTGGAGAAGACGACCACCACCAAAGAGGTAAGGTAGGTACTCAGTCAACGACGGCACTAAGGCAAGCAGCTATACAATCGCAGACACCGAATGGAAGCAGCAATCCGGTAACCCTGTTCCTGCTCCATCCCAAATGGCAGACTCATGAAAAGAACAGAGCGGAGTGGAAACCCAAAATTAAAGAGCACAAGCAGAAATGTGCCATCAGCATGATTGGGTATCCACGTAACCTTTTTATCAAGCAAAGGTCAGGACAAGGAGGGGCAGCCAGTGAGTGAGTAGTGTGTCTTTCTCAGCGCCGCCGCCGCTGTCGTACAAACATGGCGGGGGCTTAGTGTATGGAGTAAGGAAGGAAGCAAATCAAGAGTGAAAACGGTATGTAACATAAAATCTCACAGGCCGAGGGAGGCGCCCAGGATATTTCAACCCCGGCCTCCAGTACCTTACATAATGTAATAATTGCATTCATTCATTGAGTACTTATGTGCTTAATAATTCCCACGAATCGAAAGGAGAAGGCATGACTTTGAACTACCTTAGGTACCTGCTAGGTGAGGTACGGTCCGGTGACGGAAACGGCAAGGAGAAACAATCTTGTGCCATACGATCTCGTTGAGTTACACTCTCTGGCACATACTGAAACTGAAACGGTCATTGCACCGACAGACGCCTTTAAGAATGCACCTCTGAAAGACGGGAATTCGGCATTCTCTGCAGCTTCCCGTTGCGCATCGTACAGACACCGTACCTGAGGGTACACTATAATGCGGCGGCCTCTGCCGCTGTGCATCTAGCCGTTCATTCTGCCAGCCGGACCCCCACGTACTGACATTGTCCTCTTTTGAACACCACGTTTAACACCGTCCACCATTACGTCATGAGCACAGCTGCTCGTTGTCTTCATTACCCCCTCACCCCGCCCCCGCAAATCTCAACAATGGATATTAGTTGCAGACGCTGGCATGGCAATCACTGAGACGAGTTGAGCACAGGACAGAAACGCCTGAAATGGAACACAATACGTGTCTACAGTTCTATCGAATACTATTATCTCACTCCAATCTGTCCTATGAGCCTGTCCCTGGGGAGGGAACAAGTCTCATCTTCCAAAAAAGCCAGTTGATATAAGTGGTAAACCTACGAAGCGAAGTCAGGCCCTTGTTGTCCTTCCCCTATTCAGACAACAAAGGGCGATGCGGGACACCAGCAAACACACCGCCCTTCTAGTGCAGGCCCAACAGGACCTTTGCACCAGGCTCGCTGCAGACGTAAATGACGTCGTGGTTGTTGGAGAACCCATTGAACGTAGTGGCCGAGCACTTTGTGTAGGCGCCCATGTCCTCAAAGTACAGCCAATCGCCAACGTCCAGCTCGACGGGGAAGCGGATGCTCTCGGTGATGCGATCAATGCCGTCGCAGGTCGGGCCCCAGATGCTGTACTCGATGCCGCCGCCGCCGACCGCGTCAACCGCGCCCGCCGCGGGCGTGTCGTACAGAGTGTGGCCTCCAGCACGCAGTATTTTGGCGACGGGGTGCTGGTGGTCGAACATGATGCTACTGAAGTTTCCATAGAGCCCGTCATTGACGTACAGCATGTAGCTAGCCTCAGACTTGGCTTCGTCCTGGATGGTACGGCGCGCAATGACGTTGCAGGCCAGAGTGAAGGCCGACGAGGCGTAGAAACGGCCGGGCTCCGCGATGAGGTTGACTCCCGAGTGGGCAGGGAAATACTCGTCGAGCGCAGCGCGCAGCACGCTGGCCATCTCCTCGAAGCTGCTGTCGCTGCAGAAGCCGCCACCAACGTCCAGCGTCTTGAGGGAGAAACCGTGAGAGGCCGCCTGCTGGAACACCACATGGGCATCCTGGACCGCCTTCAAGAACGCACCTGGGTCTGAAGCACCGGACCCGACGTGGAAGCTGACGCCCACGACATTGAGCCCTAGCTCGCGCGCCAAAGCCAGGAGGCTGTCGGTCGAGTCGAGCGAGGCGCCAAACTTGAGGCTGAGACGGCACAGCGACGACGAATCGTCGGTGAGGATGCGCAGGTAGAGCTCGGCGTCGGGAAACAGGCGGGCGATTTTGCGAAGCTCGTCGGAGTTGTCAAACGTCATCTGACGCACGCCCTGGTTGGCGACATAGCGCACATACGAGTTGGTCTTGCAGGGCTGCGCGTAGATGATGCGAGAGGGGTCAACTCCCAGCTCCAGGACCTGCTCGATCTCGGCCTTGGAAGCGCAGTCAAAGCCGTTGCCGAGGGCGGACAGCAGCTGCAGGAGCTTCGGGTCCGGGTTGCACTTGACGGCTACAAACATCAAGTTAGCAACCAATCCATTCGACGCTTGGTTAGAGAAGAATAAAAAATCTTACCATAAAACGGCTTGACACGGGGCAGGTTCAGCTTCCAGCGCAGATGCTGACGGTAGACCTCGCCGAGATCGGCCACAAAGAAGGTGTCCTCCTCTCCCGGCTCGCAGAACTCGTGGTCAATGTTTTCAATGCGCTCGCGAAGAGCGTCGCCAATTAGCTTCTTGGCTGCAGGGTTGACTTTGCGCCCGACATAATGGTCATGAGGGTCGTAATGTCCATGATCACGGTACTCAAAGAAGCCATTATTGCAGGACTTCGGGAAGACGTGATTATTCGTAAATTCGTAATAATCAAGCGATTCGGGGTTGCTGGCGAGGACCGTTGGCATAACCATATCCCACGATGTACCGGGGGGTGGCAATCAATCGAGGGCGGGCGAGTGGGCGGACTGGACGAGCGGCTTCTGGGTCGCTGAGGTGCGCCGGCAGCGTAAAGCTAAATGCACAGGCTTGAATTTGTCGAGTGACAAACGTGGTTTGAACGACACGAGCGCAAGCGGGTTCTAGGGAGGTCGGTGGCGGTAGCAGACTGATCCCTGGGCGGTCTGACGAGACTTCGTCGACTCTTCCTCGGTTAGAGGAAGAACCGCACAACTCGTCCTATGCGGCAGCTGGTTGGGGGGATTGAACTCGGGGCTCTGGTTGTGAGAGAAGTCGAGCAAGGAAATGTCGAATTCCCTAGGCGACCTCAGCAGGTGGTGGAAGGGAGTTGATGATGTGGAAGGTTTTGCAGAGGCTGAAATCTTGGTCCGACACGAGGTTCACGGCCGCGGAAGCCGTAGTCGGGTGAGTGCCTTTGAGAAGACCAAAGGCAGTCGAGCGAAGCGATGGTGTGACACTAGTTCTCGAGGACGTTAGCACCATGCAACAACGACAACACAGTCATCCCAGTTGATCCCATCCCGATCTGCCATGGTCCCAGGAAGGAGGACACGGCATTCATCAGCCACGCGGCATTTCCCCGATTGCAGTCAAACCACGAGTCAACGTCGAGCGGCGTTGCACGAGTGACAAGAAAACCAACATCAATTGGACAGCGTACTTACAAGATTCCTGCGATGCGCGTGGATTTGACACGATAGCCGTACAGCCCGACTGACGAGGGGAGAGGAGGACAATGGGGAGAAAGGGGTCGAAGGGACGGAAAAAGCTTGCGATTGTGAAAGAGTTAATAATTGAGGGGCTTCGAGTGGTTATGTATGGAATGTGGGGGAGCTACGAGGGCGAGGGCTGTGCTCAAATTTTCACTTTTTGTTCCCTGGTTTTCCATTCCCGTACAGAAGAAGGGTTTGTTAGTGTGTGATTATACGGGACATACCGGCCCCATAAATTCTGTGCAATAAACCCTCGATGATCTTGCTTGTCGAAACAACAGGTACCGGTACAGTACAACAGGTATGTACGATACAAGTGCCTCGAGCAAGCTGGTCTGCGACACGTAGTACCTATAAAGTAATTTCCCTCCGAGTGTTGTGACGAAAGTACAGACTGTCTATGGAGCATCATACAGCGAATCCGCTCGTCTCAATATTTCGACCTGCTTATGGGGACCATCCGTGTGTTGCCCTGTACTATACTGTATTGTATTGTACACTTTGAGTGATAGAACGGCGAGGAGGACTCTCTGATGGAGCTGGACTGCCCGAGCGGGAACGTACAATACCCCTCCGCTAGCACCATGCTCCCTGCGATGCGGCCTGCTCTTAGCAGCGCTCCATCTCAAGCCGCAAGTTGCGGTCAGCGACAGGTCAAAAGCGGAAGCTGGTGTTAATCATCCCCCTGCCGGTCTTTTTTCGACTGCACCCCCGGAGGAAGAGGGGTCATCATGCGGGTCGCTCGGCGGTCGGTCGGCGGTGTTCCATCCGACCGAAGCACTGTTGTTTGTGGAATCGGCGACACACTAGTACCAGGAAATAACGCAATGAGACCGTTCTTTGCATTACTGGACTGTGCCATGGTCTCCCGTCAAACGTGATATGGTAAATTGGTGACTGTTGATTCCTCGCTGATGCCTGGTCCTGGTCCTCATCACAGGGAAGTCTCCAACTGTGGCCGACGACACTAGCCGTGGGGTGACGCCTATGTTGACCACCTTGTGCCCGATGCTTCTCAGGCGCCGGAAAGATTACCTAGGTGGTTCGCATGTGCGCTGGGATGGCACGCGATAGCAGAGCTACCGGTCACTTAGATCGAGATTTCGCTCATTTCAAAATACAATCGCTACCCTACCACTGACGGACTTGACTCTGAGACATTAGGTCCCCTTCAACTTGACGGCCTATGTCAAAAGGATTGGCGATAGCCGCTACTATAGATCGGCAAATCATCTAGACATAAGGTGGCCGCAGATTTCCCGGATCGACTATAAAGGGGGCTGGACAATCCGAATATGTACTCTGTTCTTTAGTCCGCAAGTCCAAAGCTGTGGAAGGCAGCTCTGAAAGAACGAGCTTGGCTTAGGGACCCGGCTCTAAGCTGGTTCCCGTGTCTTTGATCTCGCGTCGTGCAGTGGTCCCGAGACTATTGCATGAAGTCCCAAGACGTATCGTATCCTGACGCTGTGGTGGGCTAAACAACATCAAATAAGATAATCATAACGAATTGGAGCATGAATGGATGAGTCGATGACAGTGAGCATAGGGGATGGGCGCGGATCAGGGCACTGCGGCGGAATTGAACCCAGTGGCTCGCCTGAGCATTAGAGAAGGGTATCATCGGTAAATGTTGTACAAGTACAAAGTGGTGATAGTACATGACTGTTAGCGGCTCAAGTCTTGACGCTGATAGTCGGGTGGATCATTAAGCAGTCCCGTTGATGTCCATCTCGTTGACCGTCCAAGACTTGTCGACAAACTCGCGCTTTTCGCCGAGGAACACGAGACGCTCGGACTGCTTGTCCAGGGCATCAACGATATACTTTTGCGCGACGTCTCGGACCGAGTCCTTGGTGACATCAAGGAGCTGCTCACGCCGCTTCTGCTTCATTTCCTCGGTAATGCCATAGACGAACTGGCCCATGCCTTCCTCGTTGACCGCCCGAGGCGCGTCAACGCCTTGAAACACTGAGATCTTGGCGTCTTCGAGGTCCCGGTCGGACCACTTCTTGTCAACAGCCCACCGGCCTGCGTTACGCATAATGTTGACTGTGTTTAGAGGGTTCGGATCGCGGTAGGAATAGAAGCCGAAAATGCCGTCGAGGGCACGGGAGTAGGCACCCCCGCCGTACGCCCCACCCTTTTCACGAATTTCGTGGTGCAAATGCTTGTGAGTTAGAAGAGACGCGAGGATCTGAAGAGGGGCGCCATCTGGTGACGTGTAGGACACGGTCGGCAGGGCAAGTGCGCCATAGTACACCTGATAGGGCAGAGCGAAGAACGACTTGAGGTGTCTTGGAAACTGTGATGTCTGTCCGGACGGAAAGGCCACGGACTGCGAGGGTAACGAACCCAGAAATTTGGTGAGGGCGTTGCAGTTGGTAGCAACGCTCTCAGCATCGCAGGTAATGGCTGTCCGTATGTTTCCAATCAAGGCGATCCGCTGGATCTCCTTCAGCTTGGCAATCACATCTTCCAGCTGGTCAGACTCCGGCCGACTGGCCAGACTGGTCACCAACTTCACCTGAGACAAGCCACCGACTTGCTCCTTGAGGAAGGCATCCCGCGTCAAACCGGCTTCTGCGGCCCTTCGAGCAAAGGCATGCCCGGAGGAAGCGATGTCGTTGACGACGCCGTCAGCAGACGCTTGCAGGAGCTGCCGAATTTGCTGGGCGGCCTCGGGACTGTCAAAGTTGGTCTCGATTATTAGCTTGCGTAGCAGGTCGAACATTACTGGAACATTGCGGTCCAGAGCCATTCCGGTGAATATGAGACCTTCGCTGGCCTGCGTGAAGTCGGTCGGCCGAGACGCCGAGTGGTAACCGACGGATACACCGCCAGTTTTGAGCTTGATAAGGTCCTCCAATTGTTCCATTGTCATATCCTTGGTGCCGAGACGCATTATGGAATCGGTGAAAAGCGGAATGAGAGACCGGAGCTCATCGGGCAGATTCTCCAGCGTGTTGATAGCCCGGAAGTAGGTCAGGCCGTTTGTCGGCGCTTCGCGCAGTTGAAGCTTCACCTTGCCCAGCGTCTCATGCCGTAAAATGACGGGTTCCTTCTCGCGCGGGATATCTTTCACGTGAACACTTGGCAGGCAGCTGAGATCCTCCGTGTGCGACTTGCCCTGCTCCGAGAGAAGGGCCAGTTCTCGGGCTTCGAATGCGGCCTGCGCTTGCTCTTCGCCACCAACAGACTTGACAGCATCAGCGATTTTGCCTTTGAGGCGGGCTTCCTCCTCTTTCGCAAGCTCCTTCACAAAGTCGGGGGAAGGAGCCATCGTGAACGTCAAGGTGTTGTCATTCAACAGGTACTTATCCATCAGTCCCTCGAGATAGCCTCCCTTTGCGTACTCGGCCTCGAAAGCAGCCAGCGTGTCATTCCAGGCAAGTGAGTCAAACGGGTCAACGCCTGTGAACCATTTCGGTTTTAGGCGATGAAGCAGGGACATGCCGAAGTTGGCCGTCTTGTGCTTCAGGCCCAATTCTAATTGATGCAGATAGCCGTCAATCTTGGACCGTTCAAAGCCCTTCTCCCGCACTTTGCGCAGAATGTCCAGCACTGTAGGCTTCAATTTGGAGACATCTGCTTCCTGAACGCCGGTCAACCCGATGGAAAATATCCCGACCTTGGCTGAACTGTCGTAACCAGAGTTGGGGCTCCAATCGGTGCCCAGTCCTGTCTCGATGAGCCCTTTGTAAAGGGGTGATCCGTAGCCGTCGGTAAGCAAGGCTGAAATCAGAGCAAGCGAGAATGACTCGACAATGTTTGACGTGTCCCCAAGGACCCACGACACGGATGTCTTGAACTGCCTATTAGGATCCACCAGAGGGTCGACGGGGCCGAAAAGCTTGACCTCCCTGGGACCGCTGCTGAGATCTATTGGGCGGTGAATAGCCATGTCGGCCCTGATCTTGTCAAAGACATTAAGCTGGGCATCGATCTCTCTCAGATGGTCAGCCAGAGGCATGTCACCGTAGGTGAACAATTTCGCATTGCTCGGGTGGTAATGCTCAGCATGGAACTTTTTGAGCTGTTCATAAGTAAGGTCGGTGATCTTTTGGGGATCGCCGCCGGAGTTATTGATGTCTGGAAAGATGTGGTCTTGGAATCGGATATAGAACAGATAGCCGGCGTCCGACATCTGACCTTTCATCTCGTTGTACACGACGCCCTTGAAGACCAATTTGCGGTCCTCCGGCTTGACCTCGGCTCCGGCTGCAAGAGCCTGGGGATTCTCAGGCCCAATACGCCAGCCCTCCTGAGTGAAGTCGGATTCTTTGAGAAGAGGCCGTAGCGTCGCGTCAAGGTACACAGACATGAGGTTCTTGAAGTCCTGGGCGTTAGTGGTGGCAAAGGGATAAAACGTGTGGTCCGAAGCAGTGAATGCATTCATGAAGTTGGAGAGAGTGCGCGGCAGCATTTTGAAGAAGGGATCCCGTATTGGATACCTGCAAAGCGGTCAGCAAGGGGCATAACAGGGTGCCCTATATTTGGGGAGGGGTGTCACTGACTTCTCGCTGCCGCAGAGCGTTGTGTGTTCGAGGATGTGTGGAACGCCCGTGTCATCCGGAGGGTTGGTCTTGAACCCGATGGAAAAGACATTGTTGCTGTCATCACGGGCAATGTGTAGGTGCTCAGCGCCAGTCTTGTCGTGGCGCAAGTGCAGCGCCGTCAACTCCAGCTCCGGGACGTGCTTCGTTCGCAGAAGCGTGAAGCCATGGATCTTCTCACCAGGCTTGGGCGAATGCAAGAGCTCTGTCACGACTCTTGCGCCCCGTTTGGCCGTGGTGCGAAGCATGCTGGCAACGGCGAGCACGGTGTAGTGGTGATACTTCTGGACATGGGCTACCGCCTAGGTCAACCTGGAAATTCTGAAATGGATGGTTTGAACGGTTCAGGTTTGGTTCAACTCAGTCAAAAAATTACGAGGAAGAGAAGTGGACCTTCGAAAAAATGTTATCCGAGTACCTGGCTCGAGCCTGGCTCCCAATGCGAACAGACGTGTATTTTTGTGGTTCTCATTGGTCTTTGGTTATCTGCCAATGGCCCCCAGTTTGCTCCGAATATCCGACTGCTGGGCCTGAGCGGCAACTGCTTGCAGTGCAGTGGATGTCCACCTACTGAATCAGTCTGGTAACCTTCCCGGCACCTTTCCAGCCCGCGAGGTGTCAATGGACGCAGACAGACGATTGGTGCTCCACAGCTAAGGTTTTACGTAGCAGAGAGTCCCAGGTTTTCCGCCCTGGACGAGACTAATGCAATTGCGACGCCATTCTGGAGACGACAATCTCTGCAGTACTCGCCAACTCGCCCATTAGATGCATCCTGCCATTCTGTGCTACACAACCACAGAGTATCGATACCTGCCCTCGAGGTTCCTTCCAGACAGTTATACAGCAAACGGACGCGGGGCGAGGTCCCTCTGAATTTCTCCTAGTTGATTAATCAGTGCATCCGCGGACGGTCATTGTGGAAGGCATTCAGCCGCCTTCGCGCACGCGAGCGCATGCGACTTTGTACGGGTGCTTTCGTCTGTCAATAAGCGGGGAGAGCATCGGCCGCCTCTTTGGACAAATCCTCAAACCGACGACCTAGACGACTTCGACGGCCGGCCCACGATCCGCTGCCATATTTTCGCGCACGTCCCCATCCCCAAAACCTCGACGAAAGCGGTAACGAGTCATCAAAAGTTTTCGGTGACGCCGGGTTCATACTCTCCACATCACTCGATCAACGCAATGTCGAACGCCAGTCCTAATGTGGCAGCCGCCACAGCGCCTGCCAGACCTGCGACGCCGGTAACGAACGGAACCCCGGGTGCTCCGGCACCCGACGCGACCCCGGCCGGCGGACATGTCTCCAATGGCCATGACAATCGCCCTGCCCCGGCTCCGCCCGCAAATGTTTCCGGAAAGAAGGGGAAACAGAAAAAGGCTCCAGAGCCGAACGAAGCGTCCAAGCTTATAGCGCAAAGGATCTCGCAGTTAGAACTCGATGCTGCCGGAGAGAAGGATCAGGAAGCCGAGATTGGTGCGTTCTCAACCCCGCCTTTCGCCGTACCCGGTGGACGATTTGGAGACAGTGTCTCGGGGATGCCCTTGAGCGCTGGGAACTGTGCTCGTACTTGGACCACGCGTGGCGCCGTGCGGTGAGGGGTTTTGCAGTTGTAGCATGATAAACTGACCGGACTATCCTACAGAGCGGGAGGTTAAGAAGGCGAATAGGGAGCTACATAGCCAAACCTCGCGGATGAGCGACATCCAGAAGATTGAGCATCTTACCAAACGATGTTCCGACCTGCTGTCCGAGATGAAGCGGCATGAGCGCGAAAGCATTAAGAACAAGAAGCGCGGCGACCAGTTACAGAAGGATAAAGATAACAGCAGGAACGAGCTGAACAAGACCACGTCTCTGAAGGAAAAGCTGGAGAAGCTGTGCCGGGAACTCCAGAAGGAGAACAACAAGTTGAAGGTCTGCCCTACCACCCCGGCGTTGGTTGTCTGGGTCTGGCGTGCTGATCGAAGTTGGGCGGACAGAATGAGAATAAGACGCTCTCCGACACTCAGATTAGGAGCCAGAATACCTGGGACGAACGGTTTTCCGGTCTTCTTAGGCGGATGGACGAGTACCAAGAAGAAAAGGACAACCCGCGCAGACAGGTCATCGACATGGAGGTTGAGGAGGTGTATGTCTGCGGCCCCTGCCTTTGGGATTTGCGCGTGCTCACAGTTGGCAGGTTCGCGCAGCGTTTCAAGTCCTTCATCGACCAGTACGAACTTAGGGAGCTCCATTTCCATTCGCAGATGCGAACGAAGGAACTTGAGGTACAGTACAACCTGGCCCGGTACGAGCGCGAGAAGAAGAACTACGAGGCCGAACTTGCGCGCTCGAAACAGTTGAACGCACAGGTGCAGACCTTTTCCAAAACGGAGGCGGAGTTGAGGCAACAGCTCAATGTATATGTGGACAAGTTCAAACAGGTCGGTCGCGAACTCCCCTTCAGCCGCCAAGCGTAGGTACTGACGATGCGCCCCAAGGTCGAGGACACTCTCAACAATAGTAACGATCTGTTCCTCACGTTTCGCAAGGAGATGGAGGACATGTCCAAGAAATCCAAGCGTTTGGAGCGCGAGAACGAAAATCTGAAAAGGAAGCACGAGCAGGTGAACGGGAATATTCTCAAAATGGCCGAGGAGCGGAACAAAAACCTGGCCGAGATTGAGGATCTGAAGAAGAAGCTGGAGAAGCTGAACGGCATCATCAAACAGATGCAGCAACAGGGTCGCGGCATCCCGCAGGGATTGACGGGGACGGTGGAGAATGGGTACGCCGAGGGGGATCTGGACGGAGACGAGAGCGAGTACGAGGATGACGAGTACGACGAAGGCGAGGACGAAGAGGTAAGCGACGAGGCCGACGAGTATGACGATGAGACGGAAGACGAGCTCCATCATCAGCAGCAACCGCAGCCGTACGGACCTGAACGCCCTCCCGTCCCGGCAGCAGCAGTTGCGACAAACGGTCACCGCTAGACGGGGATGGCGATGGATGGGTTCAGTCGTAATGCGTTCGTGCACGTCGGATGCCCTCGGATCTTGCGAGTTGAGCCTCCGTAGAGGCGCGACGGGCTGGGCGGCACGACAGCGGTGCTGGGCCCTGTAAGTAGCAAACGTGTCATTTTGTCATCCAGGCTTGTAGCTCAGCGCTCATCCCTACACTGTAGCGTCAATGCAATACTTATACTCTGCCAAGCCAAGCTCCCTTGATTGATACTTTTTTGCAGAGTTGTAACTAGTGAACATCACGACTGAGATGACGCCTAGGATGGATTTATTCAGACAGCATGCGTCTAAGCTGACAGGCCAGTCCGTTGTGCTCCGTTGCGCAAGGGATTCTCCCTCAATCTTGTAACAACCTGGGGTTTGCTGTAGAATGTCGGGACTACACTGGCAGACTAGACACTGGTAAGTTGTAGGTACCGTAATGATATCATCAGCCAGGGTGGTTGATTATAGAATTACCGAGGATGAAACGAGGAAACGGGGCATGTTTTCACCTCCACTGCAATTTATGCACCACAAGAAGGGACAATGTCACAATGGAAGCAGCGATGAATCAGTATAAGCATATGGTCTGTACCGGTAAAGGCAATTATCCAACTAGCTACCTAAGCCTTATCCATCGGCTCGACTTGCATCAATCCATCATATGCGCAGTCTCCCAATCAAGCAGCCCACTTCAACACACCCTCACACACTCAAAGTGCGATTGAATGAGGCCAGCTTGAAACAGCCTCCTGGAGGGCTTGTGCCTGTCGCCGATCTCTTGGATCTCCGCAGGGCTTTTCGCCGTGTCGTTCCCATTTTTATACGAGCAACTGCTGTTGCAGCGTGTCGATGCTGCTGTGCTGGCCTTTGCGCTGCCCCAGCTGCAATAGCTACGAACCGCCAACGTACATTGCAAGATAGGAGTCTCGCTTCACTCGTACCTTGCGATTTCGTCGCTATCCACTCGAGCCACTCATCATTGCTACGCTAATCACGACTTAATTCCGACCAGAAATTGACCCTACATCAGGCACACCCGCTCATTCGGAATACACCTCATCTCATCCGCCGACCGAGTCAATGATTGATCGGATTCACTGTATGCTGCCCACGTCAGCCGACAAGGCTCCTGCCCTCGCCAACGCCACCACCTCCTCCCCTTGCCTTGCCAACTTGACGCAAGCAGAGGAAGTTAGCCTATAACCACAGCCACCATTCCAAGTACCAACAACCTCGAAACCATCCGCCGCACCCTCAAACCCAAACATAAACAACGAAAAACAAACGGAGACCGCAAAAAAACAATGGCTTTCATCCAAGACCCCCGCCTGCGTCAGCGATGGAACCAGATCTCGCACAACACGGAGGCCATCACGTCGGACGCGGCGGCGGGCATCTGGACGTTTGGACACCGGTACGTGAACCCGTGCCTGGCGGGGCTGGCGGACGCGGTGGATTCGTGCACGAGCGTCTGCCTCGGCGACCGGGAAGAGCGGGCGCGACGGGCGCGGGAGCGGGACCGGGGCGCCCGGCGGACGCGCGCCGAGTACAGCTTTGACTTTTACGACGACTGGGACGACGACGACTTCGATTACGGTTATGGCTACGGCTACGGCTACGGCGGGGATTATGGTGGGGTGGGAGGAAGCAGCTCGTCCGGTGGGGGAGGGGACGGTGGTGGTGGTTCTCGCAGGTTGGACTGGGATCGCTTGCTGGCCGGTACCGGCTCGGGCAGGCGGGGGCACCACCACGAGAGCGGCGCCGGGGATGTTATTGACCAGCCGAGGAGGAAGAGGGGTATGAGCTACGGGACACGAGGGGTCAGGAGGAAAGCGTCAGGGGCGGCCGCATCCGAGGAGGACGATCCAAATGTCATCCCGCGCACGGCGCCGTTGGGGTTCTTGGGAAGGCTGCCGTTCAAGATTGTGGGGTCGCTGAGGTATAAGCCGTCCGCGGCGAATCTCAAAGACCATCCTGGCGGGGGTGCGGGTTTGTTGCAGGGGTCTCGCGGGGATGGCGCTGGTGAGGACGAACATGAGCCGTTGTTGAGGGCGAGCGAAGACGAGGATCATCGGAGGCGAGGTGCGGGCGATAGCGGTCGGAGGACGTCCCCAGCACGGCGATCGAGACCTAGGAGTGATACTACCGAGTCTGGGGACACATCGAGCTCGTACCGGTCGCGCGGGGATCTGTTTCCTAGCGATGGTGAGGGAGAGGAGGATGCGGTGCCGTTGGACGATGAGTTTACGGTGGCGCTGGAAAGGGTGGATGATCGGAGCAGTAACAGGACGCGCAGTAGCAAGGGGAAGCGGCCGGCAGATAAGGACAGGGATAAGGGCTTATCGAGGACAGTCTCACGGACTACGCTGTCGTCGTCGACATACACGCTAGACGAGGCCAAAGGCGGCAATGCCTTGTCTCGAAGTGCGGAGGACACCGCGCCGGTTCCCTCGCTAGAAGATCTCCAGCGGGAAGAAGAGCAGGCGCAAAGGGAGGAAGACGAGGAAATCGAACGGAAGCGACAAGCGGCATCGCAATTGGCCCAACAGCGCGGTCTGAGCAAGGATCAGCTAGCCGACGCGTCGGAGGAAATACAGGAGACGAAGGATGACTCGCTGGATCGGGAAGGTCACGCTCCGCCGGTAGAAGATCCAGCGCCAGATGCGGCTTCGGCAACTGCTGATGGGAATGATCCCGAGGTGAAGGAGACGAAGCCGGCGCCGGCGATCCTGGAATCCCTGGGGCCACAAACGAAGAATAACATGGAGGGACGACCCAACGAGAGTAGATTTGTGCCGGCGCGGCTGCCTTATTTTGGGTGATTCCAGGTTTTAAGTCTCAATTAACGGGGGAATTGGACCCGTTGCGTGTGTTATGGTATCTTACGAAGTCATGGTTTATGACAGCTTGAACGAAACAGTTTGGCAGGGTTCAGCACATTCCCCGCAGCAAGGAATGAAGCGTGCTGTAGATAGGCTGGATGCTGACAAGGGCACGGTGCCTTTCCACGTGCTGTGTGGTTTTGTACGGAGCTTTGGAGTTTGGAGTCTGGACTGTCCCAGACCCGACGGTGTTAGATGAGGTACCCCTGGGCATGATAGACATGGCTTGTATAATTATGCACATGTTGTCTTGGTTAGCAATTTGAGTTGGGACCGGGTCCGCCCTAGCTGAGTGAAATCGAGCTCGTGTTCGAGCCGTGGTTGTTCTGGACAAACTCAACCCAGATCTGTCCAGATTGTTTATCTGGTCTGGCGTCGGTGAGGTGAGACCCCCCAATCCCGGCTCCGGCGGTGACGTGCAGATGCCTCGGCTTTGCCCGCTCTGCAGCTCCACAGGCACGCTTCCCCGCATCTTGGCACCTCCCAGATCCTGGCTCTCTCTGTGGCTAGCGCCGCGGGTGGAGCACGGCGGCGGCCGGGGAATGGCAACGGTGTAACCGGGGGTCACGGAGCGTGACATGTGTAGTCCCCTTTTGCGCTTCAAACTGTAATAAGTCTTCATGCTACAGCTTGAGTATTTGAGTCTATCATTCCCTATCAAATTGTCTTTTATTCCCCTCGTCTATGAGTTGGATTTTGTTCAGATTCGCGTCGAAGTCGCAAAAGTCAACGGCGCTATTGTACCTCGTCAGGAACCCCCTTACCATCCATCCCTAGATGAAAACCTAACCTCCAACCCCATCCTAGCTTCATTTGTTTTTTTTTTGTCTTTAGTATACCCCCAGTCCTCCTACAGCCACAATGCTTTCCCCCGGCCCCATCACAACCCCATTAACCACCCTCCTGGGCATCCAGCACCCCATCCTGCTAGCCGGCATGGCGCGCACGTCGGGCGGGCCCCTGGCCGCAGCCGTGTCCAACGCCGGCGGGCTCGGCGTGATCGGGGGGTTCATGTACACCCCCGACCAGCTCCGCGACATCATCGCCGAGCTCAAGGCCAACCTGCGCGACCCGGGCCTGCCCTTCGGCGTCGACCTGGCCCTGCCGCAGCTCGGCGGCTCCGCGCGCAGGACCAACCACGACTACACGGGCGGCAAGCTCGACGAGCTGATCGACATCACCATTGCGTCCGGCGCGAAGCTGTTTGTAAGCGCCGTGGGCGTGCCCCCCAGGGAAACCATCGACCGCCTGCACGCTGCCGGGATCCTGGTCATGAACATGGTCGGCCACCCAAAGCATGCCGTCAAAGCGCTCGACCTCGGCGTTGACATGGTATGTGCCCAGGGCGGCGAGGGCGGGGGTCATACGGGTGACATTGCAAGCAGCGTGCTGATCCCCGCCGTGGTGGACGTTGCGCGGCGGTACAGGCCGCCGTTGCTGCGGGGCCAGACGGCGCTGGTGGTGGCGGCGGGCGGCATCTGCAACGGGCGCGGGCTGGCAGCGTCGCTGATGCAGGGCGCGGCGGGCGTGTGGGTGGGCACGCGCTTCGTGGCGAGCGTCGAGGCCGGGTGCAGCGCGCAGCATAAGGAAGCTGTGGTCGAGTGCGGTTTTGAGGATACTGAGAGGACGTTGGTGCTGAGCGGGCGGCCGTTGAGGATGAAGACAAACGATTACATCCGCAGGTGGCACGCCCAGCCGGACAGGATTCAGGAACTGTGCAGTAAAGGGGTCGTGCCCATCGAGCACGACTTGGAGGAGGGGAACGAGATTGATGTGCCGCATCTTATGGGCCAGGTGGCGGGCGCTATCACGAAAGTGCAGCCCGCAGGGGAGATTGTCGCAGAGATGGTGGTCGAGGCGGTAGACATGTTGAGGCTGGGAACATCGTATCTGAATGAAAACAAGGGGAGCAAGTTGTGACGGGTGAACAATATCTGTGCCTGTTTCCTCAACGCCCATCTAAGGCCAACCATGTCCATATTCGGTCCGTACAAACTTGACTCTCGCTTCACAATTTCCTAGCAGGCCAATCCAATTTCCAGCATCGAGGTGCCATATCCAACGATAGCAGAGGTACAGCATAGTGAGCATACAGCCCCCTTACTCCTCCCTACCCCTACCTTTCGTTCACCCCCTCCTCCTGTCCCTCCCCGTTCAAGACTGCCCACCTCGCCTTTCCAAGGGCACACTGCCAACGGATCCAGTACGTCCAATCCAGCGCAGCTACCCTGGGCATAAGGCCTTCAGCAAAAACGAGCGAATCCACAACCGCCACATCCTCAATGCCCGCGGCCTCAAACAGCCACCTCACGTTCTTCCTCCTCCTCCCACTCTCAGATCCCACCCCGCCACCGCTGGTATCGCTACCACCACTACTAATACCACTAGCAGTAGCAAAACCCTCCGTATCCTCACCACAAAGATAGACCCTCGCGCCGGAGCCGCTACCAAAGCAGAAATGCCTGGCCTTGCTCAGATCGGGCGTTCGCCTCAGCAGCTCCCGCCCTTCTGCCGAGGCGAGGAGTGCATCAGACAAGCCGATAACGTCGCACGAGAAGTCGACGTAGGTCGGTGAGACCCGGTAGTAGCGGTACCCTTTCGAAGAATGACATCGCCCGTCCGGGATGAGGCCTGGACGGTAGTGCCTCAGCGCGACCGCCCGCGATTCCGAGTTGACCTGGAGGAGGGTTGGCGGCGCGACGGGGCAGGTGAGGGCGTTTGAGGGTGGCTTGGGCCCGCGCGACAAATCGCGGTAGGTCTCGTCGGGGTGTTTGGGCTTGCGAGAGGATGATTGGGGTGAGAGCTTACTTCGGGTGCGCGAACGGCGCTGATGGGGCGGGTGGCGGCGTCTGGGTCGAAAGGTGGAGGTGAATGAGCTGGAGTCGGGATCACTGTCTGTCCCCCGGCTGCTGTCTGGCAATCTGAGAATCAGCAGTCGGGGACCGGGGAGGGCTTCGGTCCATATCTGCTGGCGGAGTTCGGCGGGGAGGCGGTTGAACTGAGGAAAGGTCTTCGGCGTGCCAGGGAGGGGTGGTTTGAAAGGGGAAGAGGTAGGGAGGCTGGCCCGGATTGTGGGGTGAGAGCGTACGAGACCTTCCTCTCTCAGTTCGAGGAATTCTTCCTGCGTGAGGCGCGCGTATAGCATGCACCGCTCAGTGAGCCAGCTATAGAAGGCGCGGAGTTTGACAAACAGTCGGAGGAAATAGGGTTGGTTAGCATCGTCATCCGGGATTGCGCTGGCTACGGCCGTTACTGATGTGACTGCATTCGTAGCCATGTCGATGACAGGTGTCCAGGAAGAGATGGTCGAAAGACCCAAACCGGGGTCCAACATCTTGCCGTCGCGGAGACGTAGTCCAAACTTGACAAGTACAACGACGGGCTGAAATGAAGGGGAGAATGATTGCTGAAGTCATTAGGGGGTCGGCATAAGTATTAACTCAGGAAATGCCGCCTCCGTAGAGCCACTCGGGCAACGTCAGCCATCTTGATTCGAAAGCCCTGGCATCTGCATCAGGGTATGCACCGTCCGGCGGTCCGGAATGGTTGACGGATTGTCGGGAAGAGGTCGGCCCGCCGGAGAGGCGGCATCAAACACAGTTTTGCGGTTCCATATGGGCATGATTTGCAGGAGGCAAGAAGGCGGATCAGACGTTGGAGGGGGGGAACTGCCTTCCGCCTTAGCTGCTGATCAAGGTTGCCGCTAAGTCTCTCGGGCCCGAGACTCGGACTCCATTCATCGCGGGCTTGGCTGCCTGCTCTAGTACCGGTGGCACCAGCCGTCATCGGGCATGTTGCTGCGCGCAGTAGTACAACACTTGAGCACTCAGACAGTCAGACAAGGCGAATGGGCCTCTCAAGGGCTAGCCGTTCTTTCTGAGAGCAACTCTCTCCCAGGCGGTGAACTCGGACGCCAGTCGTGGTAATCCTGGGTGTTCTGGTGGCAAGAGCTGGAGTTGGGAGGAAGGGAGACGATGATGTTGCTTGTATTATATTTGATTCATCGAGTCATTAAGAAGTGGCAGCTTCCTTGGAGGTTTCAAATATCAGATTGGCTCGTTCCAATCACTTGATAGTCAAAGCTTGAGAACGTTGGCCTCCAAATCTGGGCCATTCGAACCCCACCTCTGCGTCCTGTCATAAAGGTGCCACATAATACGGCACCGGGACAGCGAGGCGTATGCCTACCACGCCATATGTGGAGAATCCGAGTGACTGGAAGAGCTGGACGGAGGTCGCACGGTCACGTCCCATGTCAGCAGGGTCGGGACAAATATCTCCTTGTCAACCCTGGGATCGATCGTTGCCAGCACTCGGGAGCTCAAGCGCAAGGGCATCGCTGAGACTAGATGTGCTGGAAGGGCGAAAAAGTGCCAGTGGGCTTAGCAGTGTCTCACGGCGGGCTTGCACCTCACCAGACGTCGCTGGGGTCGACCTCATGCTTCTCGCCGTCCTCCCTTATATGCTCCCTCTTCACGTCTCTCTTCATTGGCTTGCGCATGTCGTAGGCATCTTCGCTCGGGAGACTGGGGTCCCCCAAGTTGTCACCATAGTAGTCCTTGACCACGCGGTAGATGCTGTAGCCCATGCTCTTGTAGAAGGCAATGGCCTTGTGGTTGGTTGTGCGCACAAACAGGTCGACAAACCAGGCGTTGTTTGCATCAGCAGCCGCCTCAAGCTGCTCCGTTAGCAGCCTGCCGATGCCGAGACGTCGTGCCTCTGGGGCCACCGTCACGGCAGTGATGTGGGCGTGCCAGGGCAGGTAGTGTTCCGAGAAGCGGTAGACGTCAGGCGAGGACTCGAGCTTGCCCATTACTGCGGAGAGGGTAGCCAGATTTAGCCAGGTTGATTCGGGGCAGAGCATCAAGCATAATGAGAAGGCAAGAGGCGCTCACTATAACCTATAATGTTGCCGTGCTGGTCCTCGGCGACCTGGAAGAGTGATGGCCATTTTGCGTAGTATTGCAGGTAGAATCCGAGCTCATATGTCTCGGTGAAGGGGTCGAGGTTGCATTTTGACAATTTGTTGAGATCGTCTGGCCGAAACCGTCGAAAGTTTGCCATCGCATGGGAAGCCCGAGCAAGTAAGGCCTGAGCGAGGTTGTGTGCTGTTGCAAGGACGGGGAGCTTCTTGATGAAGCAAGATCTTTACTTTAGACGGTGAGACTGGTCTGTGACTGGCTGGTTGTGGACCCTGCCCCTGCCCCTCACTGAGTTGCTGCCCCTCGCCGCTGCCCTTGACTGATGGATAGGTACTATACGGATCCAATACAGCTGCAATTCGATACCTTCGCTGCTGTGTAATGTATGCACACGTGGCTAGGACTCCATGAGGAAATGTAAATGTGCACTTAAGCCAGAATTTGACTTGAGATGTATGTCCAATAAATGCTTCAAGTCTGTCAAAGATTATTGGATCATGGCCGACAAGCCCGAATACATTAGGTTGCTATTAGATGATTTGAAGGATGTGATATGTATTGTATCGTACTTTTACGTACTGTTCAGTACATGCGTACAATCCCTTGTTAGGTATCACTGGGCTACCTCTGTAGTGCAGGTACTCCAGGGGTAAGACATCGTAATGTAATACCTAACCCTGTCAGTTTCTGGTCCTGCAATCCTACGGTAGTTGTTCCGGGCCTTTGCTGACGCAGCCAGCTGTTACAGCGGCAGTCCCGTCTGTGCTGGCCCAGAAGAACGCCTGCATTCGTGGAACATGAAAATACGGACTAACTGTGGCCCAACGACGTTGGGAGCTCAAAACACTATTTCGCCTTCTACCAGTCCACATTACCTATCAACAAGAGAACGACGACAACATATTCGTCCGTGCCTTGCTGATCCCGGAACAAAGCAATCCAGGGCGGTTCTGACAATAGCCATCTTTTACCCTGTTAGGTAGAACGTCAACGCTACTCGGTACTCGGTATCAAAGGCCCAGCATTAGGTACTCGACGAATCCGAACTCGAGCGCTCCGGTACTTCGTATACCGGTTCGGTTGCTCAACTCCTGGCACCTGAAAAGCGCACGGCTGTCGATGCAACGACCGAGATTCTGACATCGACCGAACCCCAGCCCTCTCCGGCCTGCGCGTTCGACGAGCACTCACCCCTTCTCGCAATCATCCAGGAACCTGGAAAGGGGAAACCAAGCATCGTGTTTCAGCCACCCGCGCGCATTCGCACCGCCGGCTTGGACCAAGCGGAAGATCCACCAGAAACAAACAAAACCAAGTTACGGATACCTTCGCGCCAAACATCACCTCACCTCCCAGAAACCCCCAACACACGCCATATTGAAACAGCAATGTCCTCCCCGCAACAATCCCCGCGGCATTCGCGCCACGACTCGCTCGATTCCTACTCGCCGCAGCTCCAATACCAATACCAATTCCCACAAGAACGCCGCCAGTCCAAGGCCTCGGCCTCGTCCTTTGGCGGCGAGCCCAGCAGCTCGCTACGCAACAGCTACGCTGCCTCTGACGCTCTCGAAAGCAGCGGCGGCATCGGCGACGGAGGAGGGGGTGGTGGTGGTAGTGGTATAGGGGGAGACGGCGGGCTGGGAAATCTGGCTGACGAGTTGGCGGGCGCGTTCGATGACGACTATGAGGAAGGGTATGACGACAACTACGAGGAGGGAGAGGGGGAGTATGCGGACGAAGATGGGCCCTCGGTTCGGGTTGACGGTCTAGGAATGCGGGAGGAAAGCGGGGCGGATGGCCGGGAAGGAAGAGAAAGTGGCGATGGTGGGCGGGCGCCGGACGGGGCCGGGAATGGTGAAGCCAAGAGGGGGAGTTTGGGGGTGCCGGTGCAGGGGAATGGAAGGGGAGGAGGGCATCACCGCCGCGCACCGAGTGAATACGACGGGAGCGAGTACGGGAGCGAGTCAGATCTGGAATCGCCTGGTATGCCGCCAAGATTGGTTGATAAGATGGATGAGGTGGAATCCCTGGCCCGAAGGGGTGCTGAAAAGAACGGCTCAGCCTCAGACGGGGCCTTTGCGAGAGTCACCGAGGGGTTGAGGGATCTGGGGTCACAATCTGGTGTTGAGGGCGGCGCTACAAGGTGAAAACAGACCACCCCTGCCGCGTAGATGCGTACGGTTACGGCTAACAAAGACCTGAACAGACTAATAACCGCCCACTCGGCCCTGACCACCCACCTGACGCACCAGACACGGCAGCTGCACAACCTCACCTTCCCGCTCCTCTCGCCCCTGGTCGCGCCGCCAGACCCGGAGACCATCGACGCGCTCCTGCCCATGCTCGTGTCGCTGTCGGACTGCATGCCGCGCCCCTCGACGAGTGCGTTCCAGTCGCTGGCCTCGCTGCACTCCATCACGGCCGACCTGGTCCAGACGCTCAACTACCTCTCGGACACGCTGCACATGTCGCGCCAGACCACCACCACGGCTACGCGCCGCCTCAAGAGCGCCCGCGACCTCGTCGCCGAGATGCGCCGCGACGAGGAGCTCCGCGAGCAAGGGGAGCGCTGGCTGGCCAGGGGCAACTGGGGCGAGCGCCTGCAGAAGCGCGAGTGCGCCCACGTCTGCGGCGAGGTCGTCGGCGGCTTCGAGGAGGTCTGCAATAGCTGGCGGAAGAGGCTACTTGCTCTTGCAGAGTCATCACAGGCTTGACATTTTCGGTCGGGTGTTTTATTTCCGGGCTGAGGGAGTTGGGCGAGAACATAAGGGGGATTTGTGCTGTGGTCGTGTTGTCCTTTACCCCCCTTTTTTTGGCTTTGCATATACCGGCGGCTAATACCATGATCTACATGTTATACAATCTTGCGGCGCAAAGACAAAGACGGCGTTTCTGGCAGTGAGGAATGACGAGGGAAGGGCAAGCTTGGCGGACATGTCATGTTTGACACATAGATGCGGCATAACCTGGAAATGCTTGTGGTTGCTGGTTGTCGGCGCACGATACACGGAGATAGATGAATGGACGTGATTGACTGCGTAGCTTGGTCACTCGACATAGCATGATGCAGGTCTTGTTGGCTTCCAAAGATCTCCGCATATATGGCGCGAAGTAGATCGGTCTATCAAGATCTATATCTCTTCAATCCTCCATGTCTCTGTCAGAGCCTGATCCGTTCGACGCCTCATCTGAGCCGCCATCCTCCTCATCATCCTCGTCCTCCCCGTCCTCATCCTCTTCATCTTCCTCTTCGCCTTCTTCATCCGCCTCCAGCCCGTAGTCGTTGTAGAAATGCGAGAGAGGCTGAACCTGCGTCTTGTAACCCATGGCAGAGAGCGCCTTCACCATGTTCTGCAATGAATTGTCAGTGTCAACCTTCCACTGAAAGAAACCCTGGGTTGCGGACTCACCTCCTCCATGATTGGAGCGCATGTTACAACGACATTGCTCTTCCCGGGTTCGAACACGGGCATGATGACGTCGCGCATCACGGCACGAATCTCATCCCGAGTGACCTCAGCCACCCGAGCCAAGATCTTGCGATTCCAGCCCGGTTCGAGCCCGCGAACAACGCCGATTACATAGTTCTGCTGGGCCGCAGCAGCCATAGTCGCCTGCTCCTCGGCAGCACCAAAGACGACGCCGCTGACCGCACCCTCGACCAAATGCCTGTCGAGCGGCATTTCGCCCGAGGCGAGCTTCGCCACAGTAGCGCGGCTCGCCTCAATCGCCTTGCTGGCATCAGGAGAGCGGTACACTTTGAACTGAATGTAGCCCCCGTCGACCTCGCGCGAAAACGAGACGCCGTAAGCAAGGCCGTTGCCGCGAACGGCATTCCACAACGGGCCTTCCACAGCCTCCAGATAGCCAAGTGCAACTAAGTAGGCAGGCAGTCGGGGGTCGGAGTACGACTTGAGCCCTATCGCCGAGCTCACGCTGTACGAACTGTCAAGGGTTGTCATGGGGATGATGACGCTACCGAAGCCGCCTGGTGCCGCTCCCTCTTGGCTCAGCATCGAATGGAGCTTGGTGATTGGCAAAACATCCTTGGTAGGGTCGAGGTCCGGATGCTTGGTGAGTATATCCCAAGTGTTGACGGGGTTTGAAAGCTTGGCGACGTCTGCTGTGACAAGGATGCGCATGTTCTCAAATGCAAAGAGACTCCGTCGCAGCTCCTCGAACCACGATAATACTGTCTGAGGTTCCTTCTCGATGAGTTTCTTGAGTCGACGTAGGTAGACAGCCTTAACCAGTGTCCGTTTTGCCGCGAGATATGATTCAGGCTTGAGGTGGATCGCCATATCGACCTCCTGTGCCATCGCTCGTCCATCTCGCTTCGCCTCGGGAATGTCTGCAAGGGCTTTGACAATGGCAGCCTTGATCCGAACGGGATCGAATATAACGTCAAACATCAGAGTGCGCAACCAGCTGACGACGGTTGCGTACTTATCTGGATCTACCTGGAACTGCAGAGCAATGCTCTCGTAGTCGCCCAGGCCCATCCGGCTGGCTGAGCTGATATGGTAGCTGATGGTGTCCTTCTCAAGCTGCTTAACCACTTCCTCAAACTCCATGCGTTTGCCGTCCCGTACCACAGGCGAGTTGAAGAAGTTGTCTGCAAACAATGGCAACAGCGGCTTGTATTTGACCGGTGTCTGCGACATTCCGACATGAACCGTAACGTGAACAAAGTTGGTGGGAACGTCTTCAAACTGCACAAATAGGGGCAGTCCTTGGGGTGCAGAGTCTATGGCCTTTTGCGCCGCGTTGTCGAGAACACCCAAACTCCGGGCTTTGCCCGACCTTGCCGTTTCGGATTCGATAAAATGGATGGACGAGGTTCCTGGAACAGGCCAGCGGTCGAGCACTTCGGGCGGGATTGGTTTCTCGTTATTTTTCTTTGCTTCCTCGAGCCTTTCCCTCAACGCCTCAAGGCCAGCGTTTCCTAGTTCCTCTTTTCTCTTTGCAATGCGCGCCTCCTCATTCGCTTTGAGAGTGTTGGCAAGCTCCATTGAAGGCTTGCCTAGAATGGAGATGTGGTGGGCATCAGAGATCCATTTCCTCAGGAACTCCCTCCACTGCTCGTCAGTCCAGGTGTCCAGGACGTCGTACTCGTTCAGGTTTTCCAGGTCTTTCAGCGTAGACCCGTCACGCTTCCCAAAGAGATAATCCGTGATCAGGTTCGTGGCGTAAAACTGTTCAGATCCCTCAGCCTGAAGCTTGACCTGCCGTTTCTCTCGCTGTAGGCACTCTTTGATGTAGTCCATGTCGAGAGGCTTCGAGGCTATTTCCTTCAGAAGAGAGATGAGGCGCTGCTCAACGAAGGCGAGCTTTTCCGTGGCTACGCCGGTGGGCTGGAACCAGATGACTGAATTTGGCCGGCTATCCCACCAGTACGAGACAGAACTTGCAAGCTGCTCCTTTTCGACCATGGTGTTTTCAATGACAGACACGGACGACCCGCACAGGTACGTCATGAGGATGTTTACCGCCGTACCTTGCACCTGGTCAATGCAGCTGGGACCAAAGAAAGCCACGACGATCTCGCCGGTTGACTCATCCTCCTCAGGAAACTCGACCGTCTCCACGACGGTGCTCTGCAAAGGTGGCGGCTGAGCAGAGTCAACAAAGGGGCTGGAAAAGAAGGTGTCAGTCATGATAGTCCAGCGCAGCCTGGAGCCCTGGGCATCGGAAGAAAGTAAGCCCACCGTTTAAAGTTTGGGTTCGGAGGTGGGACATCGTCTTTGATGCTCTCTTCAAAATCGTCCAGGATCCTTAGCAGATCATTGTGGTCGGCCTCGCCAATGATGATGACTGCCAGATTTTGAGGCTGATACATGGCTTTGTGAAACTCCCGAATCCTGTCTGGGGTAAGGACTCGGAGTGCCTCCATCATACCGCCAGTCTCATATCTGAACCCAATGTTCTCCGGGTAGAGCAGTCGGCGGGCTCTCAGATCCATGAGCTCGCTGCTACTGTACTGAAGGGCCTGCATTTCGGAGTAGACCACACCGGCATCGTTTCCCTCACCATCGATGTGGTGGACTTCGGTCAGGCAAGCATCATCGGTAATGATGGGAAGGATAACATGCTCCAGATAGACGGGCAGGATCTGGGCGAAGCCGTCCCAACCAGCGGTCTCGAGCGTGTATGCCGTGTGGTCGACGGCAGTCCAGGCATTCGTGTTCGAATAGGCCCGGCCGGCCAACTTGTCCAGGAGCCCCTTGTACCGGTAGTTCTTGGAACCCATGAATACCAGATGCTCCAAGGTATGTGGTGCACCAGAGTCGTCAAAGATCTCGGTGGCTAGGGTGAAGTAACCGTTGACTTTGGGCCCGTTACGGTCGGCCACAATGACCTGCATGCCACTTCTCTCAGACTCATACTGGGTTATACCAGTTGGGGCATAGTTGGTGCGGAAGCTTTGGACCTTCCGGAACCGCGGTTTCTGTTCTTGGGGGGTCATGTTTGCGATAGCCAGGTTCTGCATAAGACCTGCGACGTAACTGGGAATCAGATCAGAATTAGCTCCTTTCCAGGCACAAAGTTCACGTCATGAACGGGTAGGGCATAGAAAGCAAGGCTCTGGACGAACCTAGAGCGGTTTCACCAACTGAGGCTCAGTAACAATCAAGGGAATACTAGGAGACACCAGCGTAATAGTCGCCTACCCATACTCGAGAGTGGGTTCCCGCTCCAAGGTGCTTTTGTATGTGTCAACCATGACCGTGAAGGCCATGAACAGCACCCATGCTCCCAAGCTCCTTTTGACGAGCATCTTGGTGTGTGTAGTGACGGGTGAAACAAGGAAGCAGCAAACACGGGGGACTCATGGAATAAACCAGGAAGGGGAATGGAGATGAGAGGCAGAGGGGATAACAGTTGAGAAAAGGGGGAATATGGCTCTGGAACCAAGATTGAATTGAGACTATGTATGCTGCTGGTGAAGGAGTCAAAGGACCTCGAAGGTGCCACAATGTAAAAGGTGAGGGGCATCAGGACGAAGCAAGGGCATGCACTGGATTCAGTACTCAAGTAGTGCTGACAACACACATACCGATGTTGGCCTCTCAAATGCAGGCCGCCCGCAAACAATCGCCGCTTTTGCTGCCCGGCAAGAGAGCTGAAAACCAATGTCGTCGTAACTGTGCTACTGGCCAGTGCCCCAGGTTATTCGACCTAGTGCAGGCACAAATGAAGAATGGAGCCAGAGTCAAATATCAACTGACGACCCCGACCTCGGGGACCTGTACTGCAGTGTGCTGTCGTACAGTGCTTGCCCCTCCTTGAAATTGTTCAGATGGGATACAGTTGGCGGTGTAGCAGTTTCGGTGTTAGGATTTGGAAAGGAAGAAGAACGTACAAGTAACCGATTCTGAGCAATCACGGCAGTTGTGAAGAAGAGAAGCTACTTAGCAAGTTGAAGTGGGCGCCTTCCACAAACAGCCACACCAAACATGTCGGGAGTCTCTTCACATCCCGGCGGGGCACGACTTGAGTTTCCGCTCTCACCCCGCCGCCCCGCTGGCACCAACAGTACCTGTATCTTACTCAGACGGAGCCAAGACTATGAGTAGTATCTCACTGTTCTCACATGTAATTATGGATCCATCAGCTTGGTACCGGAATTATCTGATGGCGAGTGAGCTGCTGATTGGCTCCGGATACGCTGCAAGCGCCTAGATGTTGACCCCCCTGATTACGCGAGGGAAGGTGGTGTGAGAAGGCGATATTCTCTAGGTCCTATCCAAGCTGCAAGCGGTGAAGCTGTAGTCAGAATTGGGTACGCCAGTATCCAACCATCTACAGCCATATCATAAGCCATCTAGATAACCCCCTTACATTGTTGGATACCGGTCCAAGGCCCAGGACTTCAGAAGTGAAACAAGATTTTCAACCGTTGGCGTCCACTTAAGGGTGGTGGCGGGCTTGAAATTGTTCAGATACTACCCCTTACTAGAAAGGGAGGCAGCGGGGATATCTAGGAGTACAACGACCTCAGGCATTGTCTCAGCGTCAATTCACTCCACCCCAGAATCTGCCATCGAGTCCTCGGCCTTCACCCTGCGCGTTCGTCCCATGCGCTTATTCGGAGCTTAGTGGCCAGCACGACGAGACTCGGCAATGACACGGTTCATGTCGTCGACCTTGGCCTTCGCACGGCCAAAGGTGCCCAGCTACAGTATGTTAGCAGCAGTTCCAACTAGCAGTCCAACTTGGCAGTCTTACCTTCTTCTTGGCGAGCTTACGCGCCCGCTTGTCCTTGCTGTTGCGGAGCAGTTCGATGATGCGGCGCTCGTAAGGAGCAAGACTGCCCATCCCCAATCGTTAGGCCCCGTCCCAAGTCCACCCATCAGAACGAGGACAGGGAAAGAGCAACATACCCAGCGACCTCCTTGACAAGGTCGCGAACGAAAGCAGTCCGCTTGCTGAGGTGGCCCTTGGTGCGGCTCACGCGTTGCTTGTTGACGCGGGCCGTAGTCTTCTGCAGACGGGCAAGAGTAGGTAAAGATTAGCCAATGTGTCCATCATCCGCGTATATGCTTCGATATATCCATAGAGGATGAAGCAAGTGCAGAGATCCTCCACGAGGTGAGACAAGAAGGCTTATCTTACGTGACCCTTGTTGAGACCCTACAAATTCGTCAGTCAGCATTTTCGTGTCCCGTACTTTGCCAGAGCTTCGAAAGGCAGAATAGGACGATGCAGTCTGCGCAAAATCCAGACTCGAGCCTCTGACGGAAAGTTTGAGGACAAGACTTACAGCGGCAATGCCAGAGCGCGGGGTGTCCTTGGTAGCGGCCATTGTGACTGGTGATGCCGTGATGGTTGTCGTCGTGACGTTGAACAAAGGGAACCAGTGCAAACGCAAGAAAAAGATGATTTTTATTTTTGTGTGCAGGGCAAAAGTTCGCTGAGTGGAGTCGAATGACGCCTGCTAGCTGGCAGCTGTCGACACCTGTCTTGCTGTTGTAGGGGACTAGGGGTCGACCCCATTACCTAGCTGTCTGCTTTCTATCGGTCTGTGCTACTTGGCCGTGTTGGCGTCAGATGCTATCGATAACAAGCCGCGAGCAGGGGTATCCCTTTAATTGTAGAATAAGCTAACTTCTTGGCGCTCCATAAATACTTGGGGAAACTTTCAAGGTGCGTGTGTCAGCGCGTCTGTGCTAGGAATTTCAACTAGAAACTCTTATCGATCTCCCATGAGATATAGCGGATTCGAATCTTCTAAACGACTGTGGTCAGTCTTTAAAGCGACTAAGGTTACGGACTACTTACTACATCCGGCGAGGCCAAGCCATGCGCCACACAGCCAAATTTTGCAGGGCGCAACACTAAAGTACCTTGACTTCTGTGTACTGCGTGACCGCTCAATTGAAGTCAATTACTCAAGGTCTCACAATTCGCCTATACACAAGCCTAGCCAAATCGCTCAAAAACGTAATAAAATTTAAAGAATTGTAAAATCGCATATAAAAATACTACCCAACTATACCACCCATCCTCGCCTTCCTTAGCTTGCCCCCTCACCGCGCCCGTCCTATATAAGCGGCTACTA